TGATAGTTTAGTCCTAATGTGAAGAGTTTTAATTTCGAGGTTCTACAGCCTGAACGCACGGACTTTTGTCCCCATGTTCGTTACCGCGTCTCGCTTAAGTGGGCCATTCCCGGTGGCCTCAGCTCTTACAGATATCCACAGAAATGGAAGCTTTCTTCGACAAACTACAGGCTGAGCAGAAAAAGAGCGGGGTAAGACAATTTGCCCACGCTTTGAAGTCCGGTGACAAAGAAGACCAAGAACTGGCTGGCATCGTGAGTCGACTCTCGAATGCAAGGCAGGAGCTCAGTCTGAGAGTGTCGGTTGTGAATGTTGGCTTGACTGGAAATGTGAACGATGGATTCCAAGTGGCCCAACAGGTGTTGATAGAGACCAACGAGAACGTGAGAAAAGTACTAGGAATACAGCTTATGCTTGCTGAGAGGCTCCAAGAAAGACAATTGATCAACACATGTTAGTTTCCCGGATACCTTAAATCTATCGAGATAAAGCTAACGCGGAATAGCTCAAGAAATGATCCAGCTTGATGGGCCGGACGTCGTGGCCCTTGGCCTCTATCCCGACACATCAAATGACAGTCAGCACGCTGATGTTGACGATCAAAACCTCAATTGGCAGAGAAATGAGACAGGCGATGCGCCACGGCTGTTCGCGGGTAATATGGGACTTGAAGATTCCAACAGCGCAGACTCAGTCAAAGGGACAGTCAAAGACAGCAAATTTGGAAAGGATTCTAGATTCATGTTTGGTCATGTTGGTGGACAAAGTTCTCAAAGCTTCAACGAGAACTTTTGGAAATCCAAAGAATAAAGTTCCAACTCGGAAGCTAGTTCTGGCTACGTTGGTACTTCGAGATCTCAAACCCGTTGGTTTTTTGTGTGCACAGTTTACCAAGCGGGGGCTAGCTCAGTTTGTGGGTCGACCTGTCTCGTTCGGGAAATATAAACATCATGTCTTCTACATTTCTTTCAAAATTCCTCAAGTAAAATTTACTTAGCATCAATTAAGTCTCTTAGCACCGCAAGCGCGATAGGATACGATTTAGATCGCTTGTGGCAAGTCCCAGATGCTAAGACGCTCTTTCTTTTGAGAAATAACGTCGCATCACGTGTTTTGCTTTTGGAAACTTCCAATGGGATTCAGATGTAAACAACATTCCTGAGACTGCCATCTCGTTAAGCGAGGCAAAACATCGAACATCCTTCAGACCTATGGACTTTTCTGTTTTACATCTGAGAACGCCCGCTCTCTCAGCCATTTCACCGCATACCACTCTGTACTAGTTCGAGTCAATGACCAATCATCACCAAATACATTCCTGACCCAAGATGTGTACTTCCCCGTCCAAAGCAAGCTACTATGACAGCATCTGCGTCGACATTGGCATATCCAACACATCTCGAGTCTCTTCCGCAGTCAGTACCTTAAATCCAAGCCCCTGCAACTCCTCCCTCAAATTTCTCACTTGCTCACAAGTCCTCCCCTTCCGAATCCCACCCGGAACAGAAGAATCGTAAACGCTCAAGCCATCTTCCAATCCGATACGAACTCCATCAAGAGACATCTTGAAAGCCAGTCTCGCCAGGAGACAATGCATCAGTCCCGGCAAGAGCATCGAAATCTTCGCTTCAGGCAACTTTTCCCGGATCTCATCAACGATGGGCTTCAAGGCCGCCATCGCCATCTCTAGCGCTCTTTCATCCTCTTCATCTTGAAGTAAAGAGAAAATTTCTTTCCTCTCCTCGACGGGGATCAACGAATCATCCTCAAGTGCATTCCCATTACGCCGATGTTGATCGATTCCCGCAACGAGCATAAGGATAGGCGGTGTTCCTGCTGCCAACAAGCGTTCTTTGAATACTCCAAGCGTTTTGTCCAAGATTGTATGATTGAATACTTCAATCTCAGGACGAATCCAATTCTCAACACAAGAAGAAAGCTGATCTGTCAGAAAGTGATCCGAATTCTGATATCCACCTCCGGATTGGAAAAGTACTTCAGCTGGACTCATAGTGCATATCTCTGGAGCACGAAACTCGCCATAACTTTTCAAATGTGCTCGACGTGTAGGACCATCGGCGTCTCCACCGCCCCGGACTGAGGTTGATACGTTTAGAATCGCGGCGGGGCAGAGAACTCGTAAAGCGGGGATGATTTCCTCGTAATCTTCTACGACGATTTTGTTTGTTTGGCAGCCTAGAGTGATTGGTAAGTCTGACCAAGGGAGCGAGAAAGTGGTCATATCGGCTCGTTGTCTCGTATGTAGGTGGATAATAGAAGCACCTTCCAATGCCGCTTTCAATGATTCGGTGATGATAGCGTCGGGTGTGATGGGGAGGTACGGAGTAGTGCCTTTGCTGTGTTGGTAGTAACCGGGACCAGCTTCTTTCCAGCCAAGAAGGAGCAGTTGTCCGATTGCTCCGGGGTAAATGCGGATATTGGCTACAAGTGAAGGTGGAATGTAGGCTTCAACAAACTCTCCGTGTTTCCAGAACAGATTATTCTTGTCTCCTGCTTCCCAACCATGACTTGTGAGATGCAAGACGAGTTTCTTGATAATTGTCTGAGAGTTTATCTTGACGAACCATGAAGCTGGGATTTCCCGCCTAACGAAAGGACTTTTGAACTGGGTGACTTGATCATCGCTTTCCATAGACTCCATACCGTGAAGGAAATTCGTTGATTGACTGATCAAAAGACCGCCGCTGGTGCATTTCTCCCATCCTTTGCTGTTTGAGATGGCTGTTTGGAGAGCAGCGTGGGTTTGAAGGAAGTGAAAGGGGATAAATTTCGGTTCGCATGGGTTGAGGTAGCGAGGCATGGAACCCACAGGTGCGGCAGTGATGAAGATGTTCGGCATCTTGAGGGCGGTCTTGTTGGGAAGAGGTGTGGAGTTGAAGGTAAGTGAAGGCAAATGCTGGAGAAGGGGGTTATTTTATAGAGAAATGGAGAGTGGAAGAGTCATGTGCCTTTCGATCGAGTCCTATATGAGCCGATTTCCTCCAGACAAATCTGTTTGATGACTCGATAGCCAAGTTTCACGTGAAGAATGGTACGATTGACTACTACTACAGCCTATGAATCATTTCCTGACGCCAGCTTATTGGAGTGATTCAGATCCAGGCTTTCGTCGTCTTGAAAACCACTTCTGAGGAAGGCAAAAGATTCACTTGAGCTATTACCAGAGCCAAATTCGTCTACTCAAATACACAACATGGATCCGAATGACATCTCATCTTGGCAAGAAACCTCTCCTGGAATCTTCTGTAGACCACTCGATGAACCAGACTTATACTATCTGACAAATGTGAAAATCTGGGAAAGCACTGGTATGTCTTCTCCGGGCAGTTTCCTCCAATGCTACGATTTTTGTATATTTTGAGGAAGAAATGTCTTCCGATTTCTCGCAGCTTCCCCAAGCCATCTCCGCAAGTATAGATATCTGAAACCAATACGACAATAACCAGGGCACACTGCCAGCGCTGTCACAGCACATATCGGTATCTCACTCTCCCTCCCACCATCCGAGGACCTCGCGAAAGTGTCTTCCCGCATCAAAAAGTCTCTCCGCTATGCTTGAAAGCAGATCCGGTACCGTTGTCCACTTTTAGCATCAACTATTGAGTACGAGCCTCAAGGTAAGCCGTTGAGAAGGGTCTACAGACTTCCAGACGAAACCGAAGTTGAAAAATGGATGAATGCGACTTTGACAATTGACAAATCCGGACAGACCTCAGCCGAGTTCTTGTCCTTAGATGCACCAGTACCTCATTCAGCCATCTTCATCTTCCCAAAGAATACAGAACAAGACAAGCTCGAACATGATATTATTTTCCGCAGTGGACACGATGTCATCGACGGAATGGCAACTTACGCATTGCTCAATAACCTCATCAAGTACGCAGCACAAGCATTTTCATCCCCAGACATCAACTTGGCCGTCTCATTCGGAGACGAGTACAAAAACCTCACGCCACCATTCCGAAATGCTCTTGGTTTACCCTCACCAGATGCCCTCAAATTCACACAGACAGAACTCGACGCAATCAGAGCCCAACGAATCAAAAACCGCTCTGGATCCCTCGGCATCCCTCTCAGACAACAATCCTCTATCCCAAGCAAAAGTGGTCGGGCTGCTCTCTCTTTCACGGTCGAGGAAACGAAAGCAATCATCACAGCCTGCAAATCTCGGAATACAACCATCACCCCCGCCATCCACAGTCCGGGATCTACAACCAAGAGAAAAATTGCCGAGACAAGGAAAGTACGTTAGCTACGTTATCATGAATCTCAGAAAGTACTGCAGACCACCCTACAACGGTCCCGAGTACAACATGATGATATGCCACACAAACTCCACCTCCGTCCTTGTCGTGCACCTCACCATCCCCTCCGATTCCGCTCCCCACACCGCACAATCTCCACACGAATTCCAAGACGTGCTCGAGCAAGTACAACACTTCTACCATAAAAACGCAAAAGAAGTCAACCTCCTCGACGGCGCCCGCTGTTTCGCTGCACGCACACTAGAATGGCCGACTTCAGCGCAGCTTCCGGAGCTGGGAATTCCCAGTGTTTCGCTCTCGCGGAGGGGAGTCACGGATCAGTATATACAAGCCCGACACGGGCGGTTGGAGGTCGTGGATCCGTGGGCGGTGGGGACGGAATTATCGGCTGGGTTGGGGGTCTCGGTTGCTACGTGCCAAGGGGCTATGTGTTTGCGTGCTGCGTATAATGAGGCTTATCATGAGGAGGTGGGAGTGCTGGGATTCTTGGAGATTGTGAAGAGGGTTGTGTTGGAGGGACTGGGGGTTGTTTGAATGAGGGGGTGCTCGGAGAGGTGGCGAGTAAGTGAGAGGGTGCCAAGCATGATGGGACTCCGCGTTTTCAATGTTTTACATATAGCATGGTTTTCTTAATACTAGATATCATCATCATCGTCATCATCAAGACGACAAGTCTAAAAGTCCAGAAACGTCCTTTGCTCCGTATCTTCTTCCCTAAATTTCAGTCCCAATTTCTTCACAATACAGGAATGGCAATATTGCTGTCAACTTTTCGTTTGTTGTGAATCGAGCGGTAAACGTCCAGCAAATCGACAATTATCTAACAGAGATTGTAATAAGGAGAGGTTCAAATAGATACGAAAGAGCTGTACTCAAGAACTCATAACGGCAACTCCAAATTTTCGTCCTAGCATCGATAGCACTATTCGCACTTAACCAATAATTATGCAATGGATCTTAGACTTGTGGGAATTATCCTCATACCTGCAACTTGCGGCGACTATCTTCAACAAGACCAAATATTCACCCCAACTATGCAAAGCATCCTTTTCCATCCTATACCGATTCACCTCCTTTATCCACCTCAACCACTCCAAACAACAAACCATTCCTCACAAGCCTAAACAAGCCCACCGATCAACGTAGCCGCGCCAAACGGAGACCGGCCGCCGCTCTATCTAGAAAAGGAGATCGAAAGTCCTATCCTCAACGCAGATTGCGAAGCCTCGACACATCTGATGCTGCTGCCGCCGCCGATAGATCGAAGTTGAGAGGCACCAAGTTAATTACCCAACAATGCGATTACGAATGCGAAGGTCCCGGCGGACTGGCCTGCGGCTGTAAAGACATGGCTGGTGAGCAAAGCATTCGCAAGGCCATACAATCTTTTAAAAGAAATATTGCGTGGATCTAAAGTCACTATTATACAATTTTAACATGAATGATAACAATTTGGGCCGGGAAGCCTGGCGTCTGGGGTGTACTCTAGTCCTACCAAGTTTGCGCCTAGAGGATCTCGTACTTTCCAAGAGTAAGAGAAGAGAACTTGTACATGAGATACCATTACGAAACGCCACGCAACGATACCCTGCTGCTTGACAATCCGCCATCTAACAAAACGATGCATCATTGACAAGACCGCGCCATGAAACTTAACACTGTGCCGTGGTGTTATCAGTCAGAGAGACATTGCTTAAATTTTTGAATTCCCCGCCATGAAAAGATCCCGAATACAGTAATAAAGCTTAGGATAAATAAATATCCAAATCCCCAACACCAAAAATCAAATTCATAACCCCCCTCTCCCTCAAAACTAGTTGGATCTTCCTTCCCTCCTTCCAACTCGTAGGTCATGATACCAAAAACCTCGTCGTCTAGGCTACTGAACCACTTCCCTGCCTTACCCTTCATGCAGAGTGGTAGGGTCTCTAGAACCGCGGCGTTACTATAGCGAGCACTCTAAGGCGTTTGTAGTAGACTATGGAGGTTTCGGACGTGCGATCGAACTCGCCCACGTCTAATAAGGACTTCAAATGTCTCCTAGTGGGAACCTCGCTACGTCTGCGCTCCTGGCGATAGTCCAGGCTCTTGCCGCTAGTGGAATTGTCGTCGCTCGGGTAGCCTCTAGGTGGACTTGGTCTTAAGACATTAAGAGAAAAATTTGAAAAATTGAAAAGGATACATACCTACCGCCGACAAGATCAAGATTGCGAAACTCCCTTAAAAATAGGACATTAAGAAGTGGTAAATATCGGTACACGATCATGTTTCGATTCCTCAAACACAATGCACATATAGAAGCATTTTCTCTGCAACGAACTTGCATTCAATTTGCCCATCTATCTATCTACACTACACCTCACACGCCAAGCCCAGCCAGCTAGCTAGCTTTCTCACCCTCACCCTCAGCCATCTCATCTCATCTCGAAGCTCTCTCAAAGAAAAGGAAAGGAAATATCCAGGGGGAATCACAATAGATACAAATTACGTCTCTAGCTCCGCATATGTATCTCATCCACTTCCATCCATCCATCTTATGTGCAAGAAAAGAAACCCCTTTGAAAACGAAAAGAAAAGAAAAATACAAGGAAATGTACATGCGTCATATCACATATCAATCCAGCCGCCCGTCCCGTATTACGCCATTAACCCAACTCTAGAATAAAAGCCCAAGTCTTACGCCACCGTGGAATATAACGCAAGAGATGGTTTTCACAGAGCTTGACCGGGAACTGGTTTCCGGCTGATGGGCGAGTCGGTTGGCGGAGAAGCTGGGCCGTCGAATTGGGGAATTGGCTTCATTGGGCTGGGGCCTGGGGGAGAGTTGCGCTTGGCTTGTGCTGAAGCAGCGGAGTTGCTGCGGGGACGTTGGTTGGGTGTGCCTGGCAATGGTCCGGTTGGGGTCATTGGGCGAGGTTGTAGGCCTTGAGGGGTCATTGAGTTGCCGTTAGGAGTCATGGGTCTTGGTGCTTGACCGTTGGGAGTCATTGGTCGTGGAGCTTGGCTATTAGGTGTCATTGGGCGACCTTGACCGTTTGGTGGCATAGGACGACCTTGGGGTCCTGGATTGCGGGGTCCAGGAGCGGGGCCACGAGCACCTGGTGCATTTTGTGGGCGAGGCTTGACTGGTCGGGCTGAGAGACATGTACGAGGGCAGACACCTTGTTGAGAGCGATCGAGACGAATGCACATTGCCTGGACATGTTAGCAAGATACTGATAAATACAAAGGTGAAGCTTACCCATCCATCATCAAACTCGTGCAAGACGCGAACCAACTGACCAGCCTTCAACTCAAGCTCATCACCCATGGATGGTACGAAGTCAAGCTGAACACGGTGAACAGCACTGTTGGCCGGGCCTCCAGCAGCTGCAATGGCGACACTGGTAGCAGTCTGGACTGGGGTTCCTGCATCAGATGACATGCTGAACTCGGTTCCGGCAGGGCTGGGAGGACCTAGGAAGGGACCAGATCTGGTGAAATCAAGAGCCTTGTCTCCGAGATCACGCTTCGAAGCACCACGCTTGAGACCGACTGGAGCTGCTGATGCAAGAGGATCCGCCAAAACCACGTCTCCAGCTGGAGAAACACCTCGAACAAGTCCCGGGCCATTCGCATTGGTCGTATCGATCGTCTCAGCATGATTACCGAATGGATTATCCTTGTTCGCATCATTATCCTTGGGCTTTTGCCATCCATCATTGCCCATGTTCAGAGCATTTCCTTTGCTGACACGCTTCTCGGCGAGGTTGGGGAGGAATTGAGTAACAGGTCGAAGAGAAAGACGTGGAGCGGTGGCCTGAGTACGTGTAGTCGCGTTCGTGGCTGTGCTGTTATGACGGTTGAACTGCGAGGCCTGGGGTGTAACTTCAACCAAATCATGCTTCTCGTCGGGAATCTTCTGAGCAGCTGCCTCTCTTCTACGCTTGAAGCAGAACAAGACCATCGCAAGGACTGCACCAACCAAGAGCAGGATACCAATCGCCAATCCAGCCTTTCCAGCCGTGCTCATACCACTCGATGTTGCAGTTTCCGAAGTAGCGGTCGAACTCGCAGCCAATGCATGAGTAGCTGTGGCTTGCGATGTTGTGGTTGATGACAGTGCACTCGTAGCGGCCAGGATACCGATCGAGCTGGCGGCTGACGTCGAAGGAGAAGCGATTGAGCTGGGCAAGGTCGAGATCGAGGTCGCCAATGTGGTCTGGGATTTGGTGGTCGCCTTAGTCGACGAGGTATCGGCAAGGAGGCCTGTACTCGAGGTCTTTCCAGCCGCAGTCGTGGCCGGAGTGGTCGAAGTTGTGGTATCGGTATCGGTATCGGTATCAATGGCAACTCCCAGAGTCGTGTAGCCTCCAATCGCACCAGTGAAAGTCGGAGAAGCGGTCACGTAAACGACAGAAACGACCGTCGATTGCGCTGGATTGGGGTTTGCCAATGCGTTCGCAATCGCCTCAGCTTCTGCCCATGCGGCGGCGAAGGGGTCGGCAGCTCGCGCATGGCGACGATGAAGATGATCGTGACTGACCATATTGAACTCTCTCTCGTTATCGTTGGAAAGGAGAATTCAGGATTTGAAGATTATGTTAAATATCGCACAGCTGGTATGCGAGATCGAAGGGGGGGGTAATCGGCGGGATCGAGGGAATCGTCGAGTCGTGTGAATTATTTGTACAGGCAGTATTATCGACGGGTAAAACGGGGGCTGTCGTCAAATATGTGCGTCGCGGGAAAAGAAGGGAAACCAATTATTGGGGGACCACCCGGATTCGGATTGTAAAGAACGTGAGTCGATAAAAGAAGGACGACCGTGATGGATGTTTGTGTTTTGTTTACTCCTCGTCGCAAATGAATGTGAGAGTGACGGCGGCGGTGAGGTAGGAAGGGAAAGGAGGGGAAGAAGAGCGAGAGGAGAAGACGAGAAGATGGAGAGAGCGTGAGAGAACTGTGCAGTGCAGCGTTGGTGTGTTCACAGTTGAACGTGGTGGGCAACGATCGACTGGTCCGAAAGCGGGTCTTGACCTCCTTCGTCTGTTGATGTGGCTGCAGGTACCAGGACCCCAGCCCACCTAAGGCTTCTACGCTAGGTTGAGAACCGTTAGATCCAGGTACAGCCTTTAGCCAATTTTCTCACGACCAATGAATGTCTCCCAACGACGGTCTCTCAGACCCACACTGGGTGAAACGAAATGAGGTCTGATCCTGGTCTGATCCTGCCCAGCCGTTCGTTGGAGAGAAACGGATTCAGAACATTCGAAAGAAGGCAGGAACCACCGAAACATACGCGCGCATCTCCTATTTTCAGCAAGAGAGGAGCACAGCAGCGTCATCATCATCATCATCACGAAGATCCATACGAGGAGATCATACCTATATCGTGATACAGTACTGTACCATCTCTCACTCACGCATCATGCGGGATGGAAGGTTGTGATAAGGGGCCACCAGCCAGCGAAAATTTAAAGAAATGTTTCTCCAACACCTCCACCACCAACGTTTGTTTCGTTTCCGTGTTCCCGTTACACCAAACCGAGCAGCAGGGGCTGACTGACCGTGCCACGTTCACTCACAGGTTCATCCCATCACTTTCCCAGCAAAGGATCAATACACTTCCACTTCCACATCCACATCCACATCCCACCACTCACAAATCCCGCCGAAAGAGAAAAATAATACTTATGTGCTGTCCAGGTGCCCGCGTGCAACCCCATTCAGAAACCAGGCATACGAATCCTTCCTCAATTAATATCTCCCACTCTATCGCCGCTGCACCGCACCGCACCGCACCGCACAGCAAAGATCGATCGGCACCCTCATTTCGCGCACCCCAATCAGACATGTTGTGATCTTCATTTGCGCTGTTTCATGCACCACCTGGCCACCTGCCATAACTCTAAATTAGCCATGAGACGCCGCCCGAAAATCCCTCGGCAATCAATCTATCTGACTGCTGTGCTGGTGATTTGCGGAGGTGGCCATTTACCTAGGTAGGAATGGATAGCTTCTGGAACACGTGATAATACATTAATGTTTCTGATTCTGAGATTCTGAATTGAAGAGAGTCAGGTTTGAGAAGTAGTTGCGCAACTATTGACGAGGTGTCTGAGATGGTGGTGGTCCAAATGTTGGGGACTGAGATGTGGGAGCTGGATCGTCGGCTGGGATGTCTGGTCAAAGGTCGTTGCGTAGGTAGCTTTTGAGTTCACTTAACGTACTTAAAGTTCAGCCTCTGCCCAGACTATTGATATTCTGCTTCGTGGAATCTTGGTTGTTTCATCGGTGCGAAGAGCTACCTAGGTAGAGATGTCCATATGGGCCGAGGCATCCCCAAAGTTGGGGATGCTTGTGAGGTTGGACGCTTAGCTCATGGAATGCTCTTTGCTACTGAATTATGAGGGTAGTCCCAATGCCCAGAAATATTTCAATCATTTTCACGTTCTCATATCGTGTTAATTGTTCAGACATTTGCAATTTTTGAGTTACGGAACTGGTGCGCTGTGACATCACGTGTTGTGGTCTATCTTTACTCTATGACATCTTGACGACTGAATGCATTGATTGTCCTACATCCAATTCAGCTATTTATCAATAGTTAATGAGCCGTCGTCTGTCCATACCATGTTGCAGTGAAAGAGTTGGAAATATTGCCTCAAATCAGCTAGTCATCTATGGTAACTATCTACCTATTATGTATCTGCAAAGTGGGAACCCTTGTTGTAGTCTTTCTCCAAACTCCGAAAGGAGGAGAAGGGCAGGAAATCAGACCTGTCAGTTGCAACTCTACAGTCCTTGCAAGGCCTCTTCCGAGACTGCAGCTTCCTGATTATTGATGAGAAGTCAATGATTGATATTGTCACGCTCTCTTTCATCGACGACCGGTTGCGGGCGATTTTCCCGGCCGATACCCGCCCTTTTGGAGGTATAAACGTCCTATTGTGCGGGGACTTCTACCAGCTGCCACGAGTAGCAGGGAAACCTCTCTACTCCTTGTCCCACCCGAATGTGAACGCAGTTAAGGGCCACCAGATATATCAGGCCTTTGACCGTACGATCCGACTTACTCAAGTTATGCGGCAGCAGGGAGAGGACGAGATCTCGAATAGGTTCCGGCTGGCGTTGAGTGAGCTACGGGTATCCCAGTTAACAGTTGAGAGCTGGATGCTCTTATCCACCCGTGTGACGGACTAGCTCTCTCCCGACGAGCTTGCAACCTATTGACACGGCTTTACGATTATACTTCACTGCTGACGAGGTTAAGCGCATAAAAGTCAGGGTTTGACTCTTCCTAAGGTTGTTCTGAACCTGAATCAGAGGGAGCACTGTTTAGGCCTCTCTTATGTAGCTGTATCTCGGGTAAAGACTCTGGCGAGTGTGTTTTTTGAGGTTCCTTTCGATTTTGACCACTTTAAGGCTACGAATTCAGCTGTATCTCGAGACCGTGAACTAGATTACACACGTAGAAATACACAATTATTATAACTTTCTGTCCGTGAGACTCAGATGTAAACCTAATATCGAGCGCAGCGAGGACACGTTTGCATGTGGACGCCGCCTGTGAGGATTGAACAAGAGGCCCTTGCAATTATCGTATAGTCAATCTACCCCACACAAGATGCCCTTAGTGAAATTGGCTTCGTAATTCGCCAGCGCTGTTGGCATTAGCCATTATCAACTATCACAGTGCGAAATATCAATTTAGCGGTCTTCTCTCGACATTCGAACAACTTTATCATCCCCATCTTCCATGTCATTCACCTGGCGGGAAGCCTTGAGAAAAGACTAACGGCTGTCATTGGTTCATCATCTCGGGGCCGGAAACTATAATTAGAAATCTCCCAGGCGCCACCATTCAGCCTCGTTGACGAAGCGTCTCTCAGCTCAACATGCTCACTCACGTCTCCCAAATCTCTTCAAAACTATGCACCCTCAATAGAAACTTCCTTCAATCGTTATATACACTTAAGCTATCACTATATATAACCACAACCTGCCGCCAAATCTCTCCGCAATGGCGCGCAGCTTCGTTATCCTCCTCTTTCCAAGCCTCACATATGCATACACCACCTTCGAAACCAACTGTTCGATCCCAACGAACTCGACCAACTTCGTATCTTCTAACGGCACAAGAGGTACGATGGACATCCTCTGGAGCTGTCTCTTCACAATCATCACCTGCACATGGATAGTCCAGCACCTCAACGTCCCTGAACAACGAGAAGACCGCAATCCAGGCATATGGGGCACTATATGGTGGGCTATAAAAAGGGGGTGGACAAGCGCGAAATGGATGTTGGTCACAGTCCTCGCACCAGAAATCCTGCTAGCCAAGAATGTGGGGGATCTCACTACTGTCAAGCTGGATTTGGAGAAGCTACAAGACTGGGCAGCTCAGGATGGAGTACCATGGACCAGAACCCATTCGCTGTTCGCAAATATGGGAGGGTTTGTAATTCGAAGGAGTTCACCTAAACGGGCTGTGACTACAACATTTCCCGAAACCGGGACAGCCCCACAAGAGCCTGTACCTCGAACAAGAGAGACAGCGGGCTGGAAAGCAAAACTCCGCCGCAGAATGGGATAGAAATCAAAGTCTGATGTTGCGTTCGCCCCTCCTGATGCTCACGAGCAAAATCCAACAGAGAGCAAAGAGCCCTCAACCGCTGAGCTCGGTCTATCTGCCAACGCATCCCAACCCGTCCTAATACACCTCCTAACCCAAGATATCGTCCTCCTTCGCTCAAAAGGCCTTCTACCAAAGCTACCCTACATTACACTGGAAGAAATAAACGACAAATCCAAATCCGATAGCCTTATACGAGCCATTATAGTCGTCCAAATAATATGGATGGTAATCCAGATTATCGCCCGCGCCTTCCGCTCCCTTGCAATCTCACAATTGGAGGTCTCCGTCGTTGCGTTCGCGACCTGCGCTATTATACTTTACGGTATAAATTGGGAGAAGCCTAAAGGTGTGCAAGTGCCAATAACAATTATTTCTTACCCCGGCCCTTTCCCTAAAGACACTATGGAAATTGTAGAAAGAGACAGAAACGGAGCCGATATTAGCGTCTTTAGCGGTTTAATGTTCTTGGTAGAAAAACTTTTTACTTGTCTATACGACGGCGAGAGCACTGTAAAATGGCCGCTTGGCAAACCCATCCCCAACGTCTATAACCGCGACGACCCCTGGGTGAATCGGATAATGGGTGAGTCTGTTCTCTCCCAAAGCGATATCTTCGGTCTTTTCCTCGGCACTGCGGTCTTTGGCGCTGTGCACATCGCGGCATGGAATTTCGTCTTCCCTACGCCCGTCGAAAGCCTTTTGTGGAAAATCGCCGCTATCTTATGTACGACGATGGGTTTGGTTTTCGGGGGTTACATGGTAACCTTATCTACTTTTTCTGATATTGAGTCGCTGGGGTATATATATAAAATAGCGTTAGCAATTTTATTTTTCTTAATCCCGGCGAGTTATGTGGTTTGTAGGTTGTTTTTGGTTGTGGAGATTTTTAGGAGCTTATGTTTCTTACCGCCAAGTGCGTATATAGCCACCTGGGCGACGAACGTGCCGCATGTTGCTTGAGATCGATTGTATTTGACGGGGCTATATGGGATATGGATTCGATATTTATATGTTTGATTATGAAATAAGTAATGAAATAACACTCGATGATGATTACAATCTTTGATCTCTTGATCGTTAGAAGTGTCTATGGCACTAGTGCAAGCAATCTAGTGATTTGTGAAATATTGAATTTATTTCTATACTAAATTCCGCTTGTTTGATGTTTCTGGTAGACATATAAATAAAGTATTTGAGAAGGATGTATAAACACTACCGCAAGTAAGTTTATCCGAGTCCTCGCGTTCAACTTGATTTCCGCCAGTACTTTTTTCCCATACCTCATATCCACTTCCTGCCTCTCACTACATGGTAATCCCCTTATACCACCCTCCACTCACGAACCCTCCTCGCCTAATCTAATCCCCACTCAAACTCTCTTTCACCCCTATGAAAGAGCGGGACGCGTAAGGAAAGAAGGAGGAAGTGGCAAGAAAGGAGTTGTATCTGGTAGATTGAGTTAATAGTCGTAGGCGTTCGGAAGTGGGTGATGATTGAAAAAAAAGCGTGGACGTGACGAGTAGATGAGGATTAAATAAAGATTAAAAGATTGTTATCACCTGTAGAAATGCACAATTATTATATTTTTCTGTCTATACGTGGGACTGCTCGATCACTTATCTCCTCGAGCGCAGCGAGGACCGGGGGTTTGTGGGCTGGCCCCTATGAAAACAACTTCTGTAAATACAAAAGCTGCGCTTTTACCCCCTGTGAATATTCTATCCACGGCCCCTAGTTTTTCCTCATTGTCCTTCCCCACAACATCACATGCTCTTTTCAAAAGTCTCAACATCCCAAACTTGATATTCGGCCTTCCTATTCACTCTACACTCCATTGACAACTAATTTTCTCTTAACAACAAAAAGACATCCCCTTGACAACAATATATCAACAACTTAATCACATATATTCCTCACCCACACATCACTGCAACTCCACAACAAGCAAACAATGTAGCCTGGCAACCCACAACTTCACTTGCTTAGTTCCATCTTGCCAGTTTACGTGAATCTTTGGAATTGTCCTTGAGGAGTCTGGCTAGAGACGGGAAGGGCTTATATAGACAGACAGATCGAGGTGAGTGGTGTGGTGAATTTGATTACTTGATTAAAAGGCGTTGAGTGGTTTTGTGCAGTGTATCAGGTGTTTGAAACCATGCTGGACTTCATGGTGAATTTGCTACCTAGCTTTTTTTTGAGACCGTTCTTCTTGAATTCATGGGATATTCAGACTGATTTCCGTGCAGTCAAGCAGAGGGGTACCCGAGAAAACCTTCAGAAATCTTGATTCTGTTACGAAATGTTGAGAAATGTTTGCAGGAGTCCTTCTCGCCAAATTTTTATTTATTCTTCAAGGACAATTGGAATGCTTAATTATTTTCCTTCTGATCAAGCTAGTAATTAATTGTAAGAATAATCATTGTTCTACGTGTAATTCTAACGTTGCAAGTATATACTCAGAATCTGGGGATTTTTATATCACGGGCAAATAATATTATTTTGGGGTTTATGGGATAATAGAAACGAGCTGATTTTGTTATAAGGAGATGTAGTGTTATAACATTAACTTATTGCAATTCACTTACTTCTTATTGTCCTAGCCTTGAAGGACATTCAAAAGCCAAATATCTGAGTATAAATCCATTCATTCAAACCGGAATCGGAATGCTTACAATCACTAAAGTAAGTTACCACAATTCTTCTCTTGAAAACAATAATCGAACACACGAAACCTTCCTCGAGAGCCCACCACAGCAAGCCTACTGAATAGCGAGGATCAGCGAAAAGGCGTTTGTTGCTTACGATTTGAATTCTAAGCACTTAATTACGTAACGAGCGAGTACCCATAACGAACGCTTCTTCGTCAAATCTTGATATCAACAACCTCGCGACATCGATAATCTTCTTTCATCAAACATAGTTAACAAAGAAGCAAGATGTCCTTCACATAGTATACGCATATTATGGCACACCTGTTTGTCACAGGCCCTGCTATAGGGAGATTTACTGTTGTCGAAAGTGAGCCAGCTTTAGTGGAATTCTGGGATGAATTTTTGTATTGGAAGGAGCCGAGAAATGTAGGTTTACAGGCTAGACTTTTTGTAGGATTTTTTCGGTTATCTCAGACGACAAATTGTGCTTTTTTGTTCCCGGCTCGGTTAGTCAGCATCGCCGCTTTGCTTAGGCACTACTCACCCTTGTCTCACCCTCTGCTCAGGTTAAGTCACGTTCCTGCTCTGCTTCCAGGTGGGCAATTATGATATGCTTACTATCTGGTTCTTCTCTACAATGTTTATTAACTCTATACGAGTATAGTTAAGGGGACAAACTCGATTAAAGTGGCCAGCCGCGATTACCTAGTCTGGCACGCTCGTACGATGATACACAACCACTCCATGCTGCGAGGCTGCCGTCTAACTAAACCGTACGAGCACGACCTCGACTCAACCTGTCCTCCCAACTCAACAAATCCAGATGCTATGTTCTTCAGCACTTCTACAATAATGCCCTGGGACCTAGACTAAAGGTCTTTGTGGGCCTATACTTAACACTCTTAGGGACCTGCATGTGTTGGAGCCGCTAAATCGGATACAAGATTCTCTAATGTTTTCCAAAGCAATGGCCCTACGTTGCACGATCCCAATGCTGGTTATCAGGATACCTGGTAATCTTAAGTAAAGGCTTGAAGTAGGATATAATTTCACAGCGATTCAAGGGAATAGGAATGATCTGTCTTTGGATCTTAAATGCTCATTACCATTATCGATACATCCAGCTGTCACCGTCTTCCGCCTGGAATCCGTTATTATGTCCTTGATTTGATTGAGAGAGAAACTCAGAGGTGTTCCCAGTATTGAAACTTTCGGGCTCGTCGAAGGTCGACATTTCAGAACCATTAAACAGGATTTCAGAAGAGAAAGGGTAAGAATTATACAGAGCATTCTGTTCATAATTCTGAGGAGGTCCTTCTGGTGGGGGCCAGGTATCCTGTCTTGTGTCTTCGGCTGCTACCAGCGGTGGGAAACTCCACTCGAAACTGGTACCTTGTATTGCTATGTTTTCCTGAGACTGGGTAGCTCTGGATGATATCTGATTTTCTAGCACCACTCCACTATCGGCATTCGAACTCGTTGATGTTTCGAATTGGGTAGCTTGTAGGTCGTTACTGCGGTGTGTAGATGATGCTGAAACTTCATTCTCTGGCAATGTCGAGGAGACACTCAAGCGCTGATATTCCTCAAATAGAGTGTTGATCCCCTGGGCAATTACTCTTTCCAGATGCATCTGTCGCTGTTCTTCGGTGATTTCCTGCCCGACCAAACCTGGGCTGGAATCCAGTTGTTCTCTGATCATAATAGGCCCATGGGTGTTACAATATTCACGGAACAGACGCATTTCTATGGAAAGACTAGTGTTTATATAAGGTGAAGCTGGGCATGGATGTCTTGGGAATAGAATGTTCCAAATCGCATACCACTGGTCCTCTTCACATAATTTCCGGTTAGACTTTCTCGTCAGTTGTCGTTCTTTCTCTGTAGATATCCCATCTAAAGTCTCCGGGTCATTTGCTTGGCATGTTCCAACACCCACGTGCATTTGGAGAGTCTGTGCGTCTTGGAAGTTCGTCTCTAAGCAACACTGGCAATATCGCTTGGGGGTATGTTTCCTGCAGAGATGCTGTTTAACGTCTCGAATCCTGCTAAGTTTCTTTGTACAACAACTGCGGTGCTTAACCAAGTCGAATTTCAAATAAGGGCATGCAAGCGACCTTTGCGTTGCTTTATCTTCGCTGGCATGTTTCTTGCGCGGCGGCTTAAAGTTGTCCTTATTAGCCCCATCATCATCATCATCATCTTCTTCTTCTTCTTCTTCTCTGTCTCTCTTTCGACAGTTGTTTGAAGTACCGGTAGTAGTACCAGATCCATTTCCACTGGCATATGTTACAGACTGTCCCGCATTACTGCTTGGAGACAACTGATATTGAGTCAAACCTCGGAATTTGGTAAGCAGTGCTAAAAGAACAGTTCGAAGCACTGGATATGCCGGCTCATCAATATCCAGCGTGTCATCTTGGTTCGATGAATCAGATGTTGAAAAGAGGTCTGAATCTAAATATATGTCCAGAGATCCCGTCGTGGCCATAGATTGATAACCTTCGGCCAGCTGCGTTTCATCTTCTACCAACAATTTGCATTTCGGATCATCCATGTGAAGGTGTGACGGACTGTTTTCGAGAACATCATAAGCTCCCTTTTTAATGATCGAAGTACTTGAAACATGTTCACCCTTTTCAGACCCGGAGAGCGTGAATACATTTTCTTCCTCGCTAACCACATGTTGATTTTGAAATAAGCGAGGTGTATCCATCGGGGTTTCAATATCTGGGTCTATAAACAATTAGTAACATCTCAAACGCCATGGAATCAGGTTATATACTCTCTACGGCATCAGCTTGAGGCTCCGGGCACTGGCTGAGGATGTGACGACACGATTTGAGAACATGAAGATCAATGGGGCCAATCCAGGGATGTTGGCTAGTGCAACAAGTACACAATCTCCAGGGGCGAAACGGGTGCCAAAGGAAAACGTTACCGGTATGTTTTGCCAATTGTACCGTTAAATGCTTTCCTTGGAGAAGGATTTGTTCGTTGGCAATGGTAGCTTCGTTTGCCCGCAAATAATATAGGAGTTTGTCAAATGACAATTCAAGCCCCGGATACCCTTCTGGCCGACGAGAGATTGGAAACCCCTGGATAATACTTCCTTCAGATCCAACAAGGTCATGCCAGTATAAGTTCGAGTCTATAGGCCGTATGAGACCCTCACCAATAGCACACCAGCCTTTGTACTTTAGTCCTCTTGACAATGATGGGTTGGCATCAACAGCAAACCCTGTGATCGACGGTGTGTACGAATGAAAAGAACCTGTACTGTTTCTAAGAGCGGCACGAAACCAAGCTAGCTGCTCGCCACATTCTGCGATGAAGTGTGCTGGCCCGGTCGCTTTGACGAACAAGTGGGAGCCCCAAATTTTAGCTGCGAGACGTGTGTTATCCGGAAGAATTTCTATATGAGTATAAGTGCGGGCTATGTTAGAACTGAGCGCGATTGCAGGCCTTACCAGAATGTGTGTCTTCAGTGTCGTGGACGGCTTCCAGGATTACATCAAGAAGTCGTGATCCGTTTGCGAGCCACGTCTGGCTCAGATACTCCCTGACTGTTAATCCTTGGGCCACTTTTGGAGAACCTGTTAGGACAAGCGAGTTTTCCACTTGTGTTAGTTGTGTATAGAGCTCGTTTGGGAGTTCTCCCTCCTTCTCATTTTCCCACCGAAGTTCAAATTGGACTTCACAAGCACCAAGAGCTCGTCGTTTGCTAAGGACTCCAGTTGGGAGCTTTTCTAGTATTTTTCTGCGAATATTCTCAATCATAACAGGAGGCTGATTCGTACTACACTGAATGGAGAGCTCTTTTCTCACACTTGAGATAAACCACTCGTAGGCGGGGCTGTTGAGAATGACCTGTTGATAGACAGCCAGATCGATCTCTGGAATAATTTCATCTTCATCTTTCACTCCTTTGAAAAATTCGTCACGTTCAGAGAGCGGATGATCTTCTTCGGCTTTGCTGCTCCACATCTTCATTTTATCGGCTATTGACATTCCTTTGGAACCATCTTGCCAACTGTCGGGTTCATCATCCTCCTCAGGATGACAAACCATTGCTTCAAGTTGCGCAATGATCTCCCTGATGGAGCTTGTTAGTCCAAATCTGCAATCTAAGATTGATCCACTTACTCATGCCGCTTGTGAATGAAGTACATTATTTCTTGATTCACTGGGGTGGAAGAATCATAGCCAATCTTGATTGCAAAGGCTTTCATAAGTTCGGGTAGAGCACTGGATATTGTGCTCCAAATTTGGGAGTCGAACTGTTTCCCGAGTTTGCCAAAAATATTGCTGCATAGATCGGCAATATATTGTTGAGCTAGAGGTCGGGCAACTGTGCTCCCAGCTGAGTATATGGTCTTGGAATCCTCGCCATCTGTTTTGTTTATCGTACCAGTGGACTTATTCTTCTGGGAAGATCGTGGCTGCTCCATTAACTGTAAATTCGACGTGTTGTTTCTATTAGGCGCAGACGCGTAACCAGAGTCGGTGAGAGGTATGTCCTCTAAAGCAGTTTCATCTTGTTGAGCACTAGGTCGAGAAACTGTGTTCCCTGCTGAGTATACGATCTTAGCATCCTTTCGGTTTATGCTGTCTGTTACATCAATGGCCAGGATGCTTGCATGGATTGGAGATCCTGCAGATCTGGAACCAAGACTTAGGCCACCGCCTCGGGACTTATTGCTGTCGATATCAATCCACTCCATGATATCTTGCTTGGGTAAGCCTTGACGTCCCATGAAATGATCGTCGATATGATCGAAGCGTTCGTTCCATGATTCAAGTCCTCTCTTAGTAAGATCAATCAATCGGATGCAAAATCCACACCAGAAGCGAGTCTGGAAACTCCGTCCAATGCGGCAAGATTCCAGTTCGGATTTGACGACCTCTTTATCCGAGATGGAATGGTCCTTGGTCAAATGGTCTTGGAATGTCTGTCGGCGGTAACAGACCTTGATGCAGGGGCTGCCTTCTGGCTCCTCTTGGTTGCAACGCCATGACTCAAGTTGAAAATGTTGCGAGTTCTCATGACGCTTCCAATCGTTCTTACTGCCAAAGGTTTTGTCACAATTTGAAAATGTGCAGCCATAAGGCCGCCTGTGACGTTTCATATTTCCTGTCCGGTGTTAGAAAATGGCATCAGTTAAAGAAAAAGATCAATTAATTATATAGACTCGACAGGACGTCGTCCAAACTTTCCACGGGTCTCGCAAGTGACTAGATGCTCACTCTTGCTGCCTGCTGTCGATCCAGGCTCTAATGGTTTTGGAGAATGTCGCGATCCCTTACCTTCGAGTTCTTAGGCAAATTATTTCATGTATTGTCACGATCTCCTTTGAATGTCGCTTTATCTATGAGCCTTGACGGTGGTCAGCCGCTTGGACAGTCGATTCTCTAAAGCGCCTTCGCCAACCCTGGGACAGTTCGGGGCAATCAGTGGTTGTCTCGGGGTAGAAGAGATCAAGATAGTCAAAAGAAGAATGACGAGAAATCTCTGTTCGCAGGCACTGCAGAGGCCGACGTCGAGGGTTGCAAGGCTGCGCCGTGCGGCTGAAGTCAAACAGCACAATTGTGCTCTTCAACGTGACTAATCCAAGACAACCCATCACCCGCATCCCCGCTTCTTAGTTTTAACCAATGAGAATACAAAACCACACCTGTGATAATACCATCATGAGAACAATTGTGGTCTGGTAGGGTTTCGACTATGGAATTGCTAGACCACCAGACTTGTACATTAGGAAGGGTGAGTTTGAAAGATTGTGCACTGTAATTAATTATAGAAGATGTGCTTTGGGTTGTTTATGTTGGACTCAGATTCATAGCAAGAAAAGAGAGTGACGAAAACTTATAAGACTGCTATAATCAACCTCAAATAAGTTGACCATTATATTTCCGTTCAAAACCAGACCAATTAAAAGCATATATTGCACTTAAAAGTACAAAACATTGCCATGTCTACCAGATCCGATCCCTCAGCGACTCTAAGAGGAGAGACTTCCACATCCAACAGAGATACCCACTCGCCAATGCTGGAGAACTATCTCACCAGTCCCCTTACAGTTACAGAGAGATTGGCCTTTCCACAATTGCCAAATAAAACATCCAAGGCAGTTCCGGAGAAGATAAAGGACACGTTGAAGTTAAACGAGGGACAGGAGCCAACGTAAAAAGAACAATTCATTCAATTGTATGAGTTGCAATTCTGTAAAAATCATTTCATTGGGCCGAAGCTATCGATATGAAGTAGAGCTTTGGGTCTTTGGGGATTATATTTCAATCTAGGAGATTTTTGAGGGTGCAGCTATGGTGTACGCCGGTTTGGGAAGTAAAACTTGGACATCCCGTCAAAAGTTTGTATGAGGGGCGCGGAAATACAGGATGTATGGCTCAGACTATTAGGGAAAAGTCATTGGAAGCAGTAAAATATCAATAGTACAGGTGACTTTACATTTGTCGTCGCAAGATGTTGCTTCTAGTATTTCTGGTGACATGACCAAAATGGTAATGGGGGTTAGTAAAAGGCGGAGTATTCAGGCTCGAGTCTAGCTGTCATCATCAGAATAATATAAAAACATGAGCTGTGAAATAGGCTAGGAATATGAGCTGTGGAGCTTGGTTCTCAAATGATGCGGAAAAAATCCATAAGGACGTGAGAAGAATTCAAAGCTCGCAAAAGAGGTCTATGACATGGGAATTCGTAGCGTCGAATTAATAGCCACTACAAAGAGGGATCCTCGATAACCGGGTTTCGATTAAGGAAGAAAGAGAATATCTCTGCACGAGACGGGGGCCAACTGCCAAAATAAAAGTTCTAGAACAATTCCTACCTATAGGATGAGTGACGAACATGGGTAGACCGTGGTCGCGTGAGAAAGAGATTCAGAGGGATTCAGGCGCTAGTAGCGAAAACCAAGGAACGAAAAACAAGATTGCGAGGTTGGAGGACGGAAAAATCGATATATCGAATAGATTCATATATTCATAAGCATTCCAAACACAAAGCCCTCCTCGGATCAAGATTCTCAAGCCGCGCACTTTTCGCCGCGCCCCTCAATATAAACCTACTGATACCGATCACCTTACCCCTGACACAGCCATTCTGTGTGCCCCAGAACGTATGCTCTGTTGTACCCCGTTCATCGGAATTCAATTCCAGAATTTCACCCAGTCTATGGAGTCCTTCGATTTTCATCGGGCTTTTCCCATGGAATTCAAGTGTGATTCTTCCACTTTAAATATTCGCAGCCAGGTAAGGTTTGCCCATAAATTGAAGATATATTTGAGTCTTATGATATCGATAAAGAATTGAACCCTTTTAAGTGAAGTTATAGCGTATTACAAAGCCTTAAGCTAATTTAGTCTCTGCCTCCATATCTCACTTCTTTCTAGCTGTGATTTTTTCGCATGTCTTTCCTAATTCGAGACTTGGCAATTAATTATTAGGTGGTAAACTTGAACGATCCCAAATGGTTCATGATCTAGACTTATATTCGATGGGATGTAGGTTTTCTTTTTGAAGAGTCGTGTTTATCGAAATGTTGTTCATCACACGGACATCGGCCAGTTATCGAATCTACATTGCTGTCAACATGAATCAGTCTCGCTCAAAAGTCCAAAGTGCAAAGCTCACTTTCAATCTCAGCCAGTAACTGTATGTGCCGAGAACAAAAAAATCAAAATCTCAAATCTGTCATAGGTACAGCTCGTACAGTTTTCTGTTTAGAAAACATCGCTCATGCCGTGCTCAGTAAATCTCCAGGATTTGAGGGACAATCAATTCCTCCAGAAAGGAGGATTTTCTATTATTTCTAGTACTCTTTCATTATGATTTGATTTGTTTTGATAAAGCCTTAAAATTTGAGGGACAATCTATTTGGCATCAATAGGTAGCCAAAGGTTCTTCGAAATCCGGTTTTGGCTGTCTCTTTAGGATAGCCTTCGTTACTCTCGCATTCGACTGGAAGTGTTCCTTCCCTTTGTCCCCATTCCTGGGAGCGAACCCCTTTATGTTTTCGAGGTGCCATTTTCCTTTGTCTGCATCTTCTTGCACATTATACTCTACAAATCTCCCAGAATTTGAGGGAGAATCAGCTCCTCAAATTGTCCGACGCTTTGATAATTGACTAAGTGCTACATAAGTCGCAGACTTACAAAGGATCGAACAATGAGATGGAAGACTATGTACAATTCCAATCTCATGTCTCGACACATGAGCTTTGATTATCTCAAGTCTGTTAGGACAATTCACAAAAGGGAGGTACTTCAGTACTCCTTCAAATTTGGCTTGCCGCGATTCCTACATCCACTACTGCTCTAAGAATGGATTTGTACATCACAAACTCGGGATTGTCAGAAAAATTCCCCTCTTAACCCATCCTCGGCACCAATGTTAAGCATGAGGACCCGCTTATTTCATGATATATTTACAAATTGCCCAATGCGGCTAGTTTGTTTGCGGGCCGCCTTACCCCTATTTGGAAAATCTCAACGACATCTCTTCCCTTCTTTTTCAAAATTTCTTCAAATCAATAAATATCCTCAAACAACATTGTTGGAGGCTTCTGCTACTGTCGCGAGTGCGGTAACATATGGTCGGGAATGCTTGTGGCGGCACCGACTCGCTCCTTCCACATTGAAATAGAGTTCGCATCACGTGTTTTGTTTTGAAGAAGAATCAGCTCAGCGCCTTGATGATTGGGGGGACATTGGATGCTTGTCGCTCTTTATAATGTTATTCTTCTGCTTCTTTGTCTTCTGCGTGCTCGAGCGAGTGTACATGTGCCATAGCGATCGGAGATGAGCGTTGGTCTCTCACTGTCGCCATGGCTCCGACCGCGATGACTACTGAACGACTAGGCATAAAACATGGAATTGAGAGGGTCTATGGATAGCATCCTGATCATGGCATATCTGGGATATTGCTTTTATCATGGCAGTCGTGGAGAACTGGGCTGGCAATGACCAGAGTTTCGTACGGTCGCATACGATTGAAGACTTCGACGAACTCAACAGCTACAATAGCAAACACATCTTCATTTGATTGCTATACAAGTTACTGGTTTCAAGAATCACATTCCATTACGTTTGAAGATGTTTCACAGGTGCTGTTTGTCCTCTGCGTGCTCTGATTCTGCTTTCCCCGAATGATGTGTAGGAGAGAGAGAGCGTTTCCTCTCGACCCAGTCCCAGAATTAGCGTGAACAGCTCGGCAATCACTCACCAAGCGTAGGAAAGTCACTTGCTGGCCAGTCGCTACAACGGAACCGCTTCAGTTGGAGCTAAAGTGAGCGCAATCACTCACTCGTTTTAGCGTCCTGCCCATATCTATATAATATCGCCCTCCCTCCCACTTCTCCCTTCTTTTCATCGGAGCAACACAACACTTTATGTAACGCCTGTATAACAGCACAACATTCACAACACTTCTTCTCCACTTTTTCTTTCTTCTATCCTCTTCTTCTCTTACACCTTCGACTTTGTTGATGCAACCGGTCGCACCTCATCTTACCTTGCTCTGGTCTGGTATTCATTCTCTCCAACCCTTCCATCTTGTTCTTGTCCATCTTACTGACGTCTCTGTTGCCGCAGACTTTCCCTTGCCATCCTTCCTCACCTCACCTCATCGTCCTTCCTCACCTCGTCGTCCTTCCTCACCTCGTCGTCCTTCCTCACCTCGTCGTCCTTACCTCACCTCCTCACATACATCATCGGTCGGACACACACACACATACACACATACACAACTCGTGTCATAGGGCTGTGATCATACCTTTGGTAAGACACTTGGGTTCTGCTAGCGATGCTTTTCTGTCTGCCAGCCTGCCACTGTTCAAGCGAGTGTTGGAAGCAGCTTCACTCCCTCGATATCCCGTCCTCAGACATAAGCACGGCTCTCATGTATCACTCGGTGATCGTAACCCGCCTACTTTGGTTGGGGGGAGTGTCTCTGAGTTGGGGCTCTGAATCTCACGCTTTGGACATAAGCACGGCTCTCAGGAATCATTCGGTGATCGGAACCCGCCTACTTTGGTTGGGGGGAGTGTCTCCAAACTGAGCTCTTTCGAGGTGTCTTGAACAGCAGAGAACAAAGTTGTGATCTCTGTGTTCGCGCTTCGGGGGCTTGGATGGACCTGTTGGCTGCATTATACCTTCAGGGAGCGTAAGGAGCTTGCTGTGTACTGAGCGCGTGTGTCACCGTTGCATTGTTGAATTCTTTGTTTCTCGAGGTGCTGGGCGGAAATCCCTCTTGCTGGTTGTGTCTTACTCAGCTGGCCAACCCCAGCTGACAGAACTACACTTGCAGGTCTTTGCGATGAGCGACTCTTTCGACGATTCATCGAGGTGGACAACTGTTCGGGGAGACAGGGAGAGCAATCTGGGGGTCGATGTCTGGGGTCGGAGGTGGGTGGAACTTTTGCAGACTAGTAGTAGAATGGATCAATGCTTTAACCTCACAACATGACTTTCAACTTCCGCCTGTGCTCTTGAGACCACTTCTTCGAAATCAGTTACAGTCCATACAATTCCTCATCAATACATATCTTCAAGTCAACTAGTCAGCAAGGCGGTCACTAAACAGTATACGATAAGGTGGCGAAATGCTTCACGATAACAACACCCACTGTGCATTTCAAATCGCATTTCAAATCGCATTTCAAATCTCATTTCTAGCATTCATCTCTATGCCAGAGATGAAACTGTTCATCGAGCGTCTCTAATTAGTGCTGGTTGTCCAAGCATCGAATTCTCATGGGAGTTGAGTGGATTGTCTGCAGGTAAGTGTAAGTTGAGAACGAGTATTAGATGACAGCTCGTCTGCAAGTTGACTACCGAAGCCGTGTCTGAAATGATCTTCCTTGGCGTTAGACTATCATGATAATAGACTTTTAGAATTGTTCTACGTGGCTCTAAGGCTATAACTCAGCGGCTGCTAGCCTGAATTGGTCAAGAGATCGTTTGATGCGGGGTTGTTTAGTACAGAATACGCGGAGTATACATGTTTCTACTATATCTACATACTCGAGGACTAGCCAGGACTTCTACAAAGTGGATTCGAATGATGCCCAATTGTCCTTCGCATACCGAAAGGGTCAGACTTGGACGGCTTCGTTCCGTAGTTAATTTCCGATTGGCTTCTTTCAACGACATCTCTCCATTGTAGATGCTTTTCGCATGAAAAGACACAATGAATCTCAACGAGTGTATTCTTCTGTTTTCAGTATAGAATTCTCTGCAAGGCTTTCGATATCAAGTTTTTCCGCTCCTTCCTAAGTCCAGTTGCGACAAGGTTCGCAGATCACGTGGAGTCGTTTCTTCAAATCTTCTTGCCAAATTCGAGTGCTCTACGAATCAACTGTTTGTCATCTGCTGTTCTTTGAGCGAGCTCTTTTATGCATTGAGAGTTGGAATCCAGGATCTGCCTCCAACGCTTCTGGACCCTTGGGTCGATCTTTAGTTGATTCCATTCTCGCGATGAATCCGCTCGAACCCTCGAACTTCGCCTTGCCTTTGATCGATCTGCGGACTCGAAGCGTGGGAATAGGAGTTGGAGATTCGTCATTATAGGATATTTGGTATATTTCCGCCTTCTGCTGAGTGCCTTTGACCTCGTTATATCGTGAACAGTGGCGGGCGATCAATCTACATCCTCGGGGCATGGGGGATGATCGGAGGATCTCCCGCAATAGATTCCTCGGCATACCTGCGCCTTCTTCCACCTATTTTCTTCTTCGTCGAGTGGTGAAAGGTGGAAACCTGGCAGGGTAGATAATGTAGATTATCGAGCGCGTCCGACTCAGCAGTGTACTGCAATATGTATTGCGCTTTGTACAATTTATTCTTCGCGGCCCTATAGTCTCTGGACGGGGACACTTGGGCTCAGGGGCATATTCAGAAGATAAAACATCTTCTTCTACGTTTGAGATGTACAGCTAGATTTCTTCTAGTGTAATGGTCGATCAGAGTACTCCTATTGTCCTAGATTCCAAACCTCTATTCATGGATGTACCTCCTTCATCTCACAATAGCGAATGCCCATCTTCTCTCTTATATTCCTAGAACTGCTCCACCATGAACCTCTGGTATAGTAGATGATTGGAATGGTACCCTCTCTTATAAAATAAGGTTTGCAGTCTCCAGCATTTTCAACAAGTCGAACTTGCCCAGGGAGAATAGGGCGAATTAACAGCTCGCCAATCAGCCACCAACCCTCTCTATGCCATCCTTGACATCGATCTTTCCTGTATTGCAATCACTCAACCATTTTAACGTACTGTCAACCAGTACATAATCTCGCCCTCGCATCCTCTTTCTTTTCTTCTCTTCTTCTTCTCTTCGAGCGTGTACGTACGCTTCAATCCACCCCAACGCTCAGCACTTATAGCTGACGATTTTTTAGATTCAGTACATGAATCCATTCTTCGAGCTCATTCTGTAAGTTTTATCCTTTTCAATCTCGTGTTCCCCTTGCATACTTCTTGGTCGCATCAATCCAGATGCACCGCCTCTCCATCATCCATCGCCCATCAAGCATCCAGTACCAGCATCACACATTAATTTCTCATCATCATCGACCAAGCATCCTACCCATTTGGTTCACATGCTAACGTATTGATAGACCAGCTTACACTCTCAAAATGTACGTTCCTATCAGCTTGACTCCCTTCTCCACGGTCACAATCAACGACCACCATCGACAAACATCTGCAGATATCAACAACGGCTCCACCAACGCACACCTGATACCATCAGCATCTACGAGCTATTCTAACTTACTGCAGATCATCCGAAAACTCATCTTCCAACGTTCGGTTCGTGAGATTGCCCACGACTTCAAGTCCGACCTCCGATTCCAATCTTCCGCCATCTGTGCTCTTCAAGAGTCCGTCGAAGCCTACTTGGTCAGCTTGTTCGAGGACATCAACTTGTGCGCTATGTTACGCTTTTCTCCTTTCACCTACATCATCAAACCTCTCTCTCTCTCTCTCTCAATGATGTCATTTCCGTCAAGTGTCGCTTTACACCTTACTGTCACTCTTGTATCACTGTCATGTTCGAGTCTTGCTCTTGTTCCCTCAATTGCGATTTCGCTTCAATGTCTGTGAATAACAGTATAATGAGGAAGTTATATAGGATAATAAGGATAGAGCCGAGCCAAGAGTATGTATTCAGAACTCTTTCCTCTTTTCCTACCGTTCATTTTGCATTTTCTATTTGTAGATCGATGGTTGTCTGTCCGTTTTCTGATCATGGTTCCATTATAGTACAGGCGTAGAAGTGATGTCCGGCGGTGTGGGGCGGGTGGTGGCGGTGGCGGATTAGTTGTTCTCCTTCCTGAGATGTGTGGACACGATTCAAGGATATGAATAAGTGCTAATGTCAGTCATGTGATCAGACAATAATGGACTTGGTTTCGGACAATGAAGCGAAACGAGCGATTATTCTACAATCAATGTCCCTACTTATCGGGTTCATGCTTGGCTGGTTTCTGCGGGGCAGTGTCTAAATTCTTAGTCTTAGTTTTTTTTTTTCAATTGATTATTGTTGACCCCGAGCATCTCCTTCTCGGAATAAAGTGATTGGTAACAACTGGAAACTCCGAAGTTGGACGAGGAACGTGTATGCTTTCACTTGAATTCGAATACTAAAAAGAGTTCATCCCGTCCCACAGAGGTTACTGGGTCCGGAACAATCGTCCTCAATCCACTAACTCTGCATTTGTCTATCTTCGTGCTCCGCAATGGCAAAAAAAAAGAGGACAAAAACAGAGCACGAAAATTAAACCAGCAAAAACTCTATCAAGAGAGACCCAACTTAATGGGTCTCCATCTATTTAGAGAAACCTAACTTAATAGGTTTTTTGTGGGAAGGAGTTTCTTGGGAGCTACCAGAGCCCATTAGTTTGGGAGGTCGATCACGGACCCGAACATTACACCATCTTGTGGTTCTTGAAATAAGGTTCGCTTATTATAATCTATATAGGTAGGTCGCTTAGCGGCGATCCAAATTCCGTGTGCTGGATCCTGTATGTATACCCGGAGACTGAGACATGACGTATGGCGCTTAACGAAAAGCGCGAAAACAGAATCTAGATTAGATTGAGGTATACATTACCTCGATTTCTAGCTAGGTTCACTTGTGTTGGGCAGTTTTACTTGGTGCACGGAAAATGGTGGAGATTCAACTCTCCTCGGAGTGGAGGAAGGGAATTAGCGAGGCTGGAATTGAGGAACATAGATGTTTCAAATATGTGTAGGAGGAACTTGAGTATTAGTGGATTTCTAAGCTGTTAAGATGTGAAAATAAGAAGAGACAATAGAAACTTCATCCCCAGGACCAAATATAGGTGACGTGGATCAGGTTCAATGTCCGGGATAATCTGGGACTTTGTAGATCTTGGTCAGTACATTTCGACATGGCCATACATGTCTTCACTAGAATGTATGACTCTCGCTGGCAACACCCGCTCAGGTTCAAGTGGATGGATGGTTGAAAGTCCTAAGATATCATGGTCATTGAGGTTGGAAAAGAGATCCATTTCGCAAATCTGGCTAGTGCTACGGCAACGCAAATACAGCAAAGGATATCATTACATGCTACCCGGAACTCCCTCGAATCGTTCGCATACGGGGGATCTAATCGCTCTCGCCACTGTCAGAACCTAGATCAATTTGAAGAGTCAGCAACTTATCGTGATGAGGACAAGTAAATATAAGGACTACAAGCGCACATGCCTCATCCTGGAGACAGTGACTTCGCCAGCACCTCGTTTGCTCTCAATTCGACATTTAAAAATAGATGGAAGTTATACGTACCATCAGAGGAACCAACATCTTCATCGATGGGTCTACGAGGGGGTGTCCATTTAACCACCATGTCGTTTTGGAAGTCCCTTAAGCCGCCCTGAAGATCTGCTCCAGCCCACCTCTTCACTTGTGGATCCGAAGTATTGTTGAAAGTAATTCGTTGCGGGTCCAGATACTCCAGATCCGTCAATTCTTGTGAAAGCAATGACAGATTTATGGCAGATAGCTTGAGTTTGTACTCGGAGAGTCGGCCAAAGAACTCAGCCCAAAGGTTGACCTTTTCTGCCAACTTTTCCTGGTCGTGCTCCAACATCTTAACTTTGTGCAAGCTGACTGTATGTAGGGTAGCTTGAAACTTCTGAAAGATGGCCAACAGGACTTTGGGAGACACTGATAACATGCCAATGTCTAATTGTTGAAGATTTCGAAGGTCGACAGGTGGCGGTGGCTCGAGGTTGGAGCCTGCGAAAGTGCCGTTGGAACTGACAGAAGTATTTGGCTTGGAAAACCATGACAAAAGCTCGCCGCCCTGGTCAGATTCGCGATCTTTAACGTTGAGGCGCAGATGCTCGAGGTGAGGAACCTTCGAGAGAAATTTTCTCAAGAGGTATGCAGGGCATTTGGATAACTTGTTGCCTTCGTTCACGTATAACGGGAAGAATCCGACGGATATATCCAGGAACAAAGTGCGAAGCTTGCCCAACACGGGCTCAATGGCCCGTTCAAGATGCTTCGGAATGTTGAATGCATGATCTTGGAGAGTGCAATTTCGTAATATTACTTCAAAGTTCTTGGCTTGAGAGTTGCTTTTGCCCAAGGCGCGAAGTAGACTGAGAAAAGTGCGACTGATGTGTAGGTCTCGTTCGTTCATGCCTAAGTGACCGGTTGAATATGCTGTTCTTTCCAGTGCAATCCCGGTTTCGAGGAGAAACGTAGAAACACCATAACCTACAAGAATCAAAATTAGTAAAGGTTTGCTACAATACATACATCAAGTCGTATATCCCGCTTGGGACGATAGGAAGAATATCAGGACATGCACAGAATCATACTTCTCCATTCTATTTCGGGATGATCTCGAGTCCGAGACCGAGAATTGAAGTCACGCATTCCAACAGTCTCAAGGTTGGTCAAATTGGAGAAAACCTCGGCAAGCATTTCGACATCTTGGCTGGTGTTCAACATGGCAATGTTGTCGAGTTGTTGCCGCAAGATGTTGTTTTTTCGAAGCTCCAATCCAGGGCGTAAAATGGTCATTTGGCGGAGTGCTGCCGTAAAATCCAGTCGCTCCAGACCGAAGATGACATGCTTCAAAGATTTGGCGAATCTAGACTGTGAGATGTCAAGGAGGGCTTGCAAACTGAATTCGCTGATCATGAACTTTTTCTTGGCGAAGAATTCTCGAGCGAATGATGTGTGAATGGAATCTTCGATGAGCTTGCTCGTAAGACGGAGTGCGCCATACTCGGGAGTAGTGAGATAAGAGGTGATATGGAGAAGCACTTCGGTCGGAATGGACTCCAAGGTAGGAGATTCATGGTCGGTATTCGCCATTGGAGTGTCCATCTCCAGAACCCAAACTAAATTCTTGATGACTGCGTAATATTTTCAGATCCAACAAAGAGTTTTCCTGATAATTAGGGAACAGAACGCAGGCAGCAGCTGGAGACGTTGAAGAGTTGAGAGAGAGATTGATAGAAATTTAAGGCGAGGTAGTTCGAAAAAGAAACACTAGCACGTGTCTTCGCGTCTTAGCGCGAAAGGCTACCTACGCTTGATCGAAAAGAGCCAAGCGTCAACATTTCGTCACGGTGCCTTCTTCGAACCCAATTCATCTTTCACTTTTTTTTCCATCCAATTCTGCGTCATCAGAAAGGAGCCCTCCTGGATGTCAAATTCGAGCAATTGACACCATCTTCATTTCCTCAGTGCTCGCGGCCTTCCCGAGCCTGTCCATGATCATGGCATCCTTGCAGGGATGTGTCATTGCGCTAAGCGGAACCTTCTCCGGACGCACTCAGCAAGAACTCGAGGAAGAATACATCAAACCTCTCGGCGCCACCCTTTCCAAGACTGTCACCAAATCTATCACTCACCTAATTGCGACGGAAGCCGATTTCTCGAAGCCTTCTCTGAAAGTAAAGCAAGCTTGGTCACATGACGTGCCCATCGTAAAGTTGTCCTGGTTAGAAGATTGCTTAGAGCAAGGCACCAGGTTGATTGAGGCTTCTTACGAGTTTAATTCTTCGAGTACGCCACTTGCGCAATCATCTGTCAATACCAATGTTGCCCCTCGAAAGAGAGCGGTCATCACGATCGATGACAGCGATGATGATCAACCGACTGTGCCCATGAAGAGAAAGAAAGCTACACCTGCTAATGCCAGTTCTATCCAACCTCAGCCTGCTTCTCAGTTGCCAGCAATTGTTGCATCCAGAGTCTCGGGTTTCATCGCAGAGTCCAAAACCAAATCAGATCTCACCAAAGGCCCGACGAACGTTGCCAAGGTAGCATCTGTCGTCAACATCCCTCTCGATGAGACTTGTCCTCTTGCCCAGTACGCCGTCTATATAGATGGTGATGGAATGATCTATGACGCATCCTTGAACCAAACTAATGCAGGTAATAACAATAACAAGTTCTACCGCATTCAGGTAAGTGGTCAATTCATGCAATACTCCGCATACGGTTCCTAATATCTGCTCAGCTTCTCCGCAATGGAAGCGGTGACCACAAGACATGGACCCGATGGGGGAGAGTTGGTGAACGTGGACAGAATAAGGTCCTAGGAGACGGTTCTCTACATGATGCCATCCGTCACTTCGAACACAAGTTCAAGGACAAGAGCGGTCTTGCTTGGGCAGATCGCACAGCCAAACCCAAATCTGGAAAATATACTTTCGTCGAGAGAAGCTATGCGGAAGATTCGGAGGATGATGATGCTCCCAGGGTGGTCAAGGCTGGAGAGAAGTTAGAACCCATTGAGTCGAAATTGCACCCTGCCGTCCAGAGCTTGATGGCGCTCATATTCAACCAAGAATACTTTGCAGCTACCATGATCGAGTTGAATTATGATGTGGACAAGCTACCCCTCGGAAAGTTAAGCAAGCTCACGATTACTCGAGGATACCAGGCTTTGAAGGATTTATCAGCTCTTTTCGATGATCCTGCATTGGCACAGACCCAGTATGGTACGACGTTCCAAGATGCAGCTGAAGAGTTGTCGAATGCTTTCTTCTCTCTGATCCCTCATGCATTCGGTCGTAATCGACCACCGATCATCAACAACCTTCAAATGCTCAAGAGAGAAATTGACATGCTCGATAGTCTTAGTGATATGAAGGAGACTGCAAGCATCATGAAGAAGGACACGAAATCTGTCGATCAAATGAATGCTCTCGACCAACAGTTCAAGGGCTTGAATCTGTCTGAGATGACACCACTGAAGAAAAATAGCACCGAGTTCCTCGAGCTTGGAAACTACTTTGTCGATACTCGTGGTCAGACGCACAAGTTGACCTATCAAGTTGACCAAATATTCCGCATCGAACGTCAAGGAGAGACCGATCGTTTTAAAGCAGGCCCATTCTCGGGTCCACCTCGCGATCGCCGCTTACTTTGGCACGGTTCCCGCTGCACCAACTTTGGCGGAATTCTTTCACAGGGTTTGCGCATTGCCCCACCGGAGGCACCAGTCACGGGATATATGTTTGGCAAAGGCATATATTTGGCAGATATGAGTTCCAAGTCGGCCAATTATTGTGTCCCGCAAATCTCCAACGGCCATGCTTTGCTCCTTCTCTGCGAGGTAGAGCTTGGCAAGCCAATACAAATGCTCACGGATGCTTCGTATACTGCGGGCGAGGATGCTAAGGCAAATGGGATGTCGTCAACGTAGGTTTCTTCCCAGTCTTTTGTCTTTATTTGATTCCTCTCAGCCCTATTGCGAGTCCTGTCTATCCTTTACTGGCATTTATTGGAACCGCACCTGCTGACTGCAATCCGAAGGTGGGGCATGGGAATTACAGGACCAAGTCTCTGGAAGGATGCCGAAATTCTGCACCCAACTTTGAAAGGTGTCAAGATGGTAAGTGAAGCAGCCTTCAAATTCCTGGATCCTCTGACTGACGGTTCTCTAGCCTGATACCCGATTGAAGCCAGGTTCAACCAACGTCATGAATGCCTACCTTCAATACAATGAGTATATTGCATATGACATTGCTCAAGTCCGTCTACGATACCTGTTTCGCGTTCGAATGATTCCCGATTACGATTCCGATTGAACACTTACCATGTGGTTCACAAAGTCTGAAGGGCTTGATAGGAATCTTGGACTTTGATTCATGATTTGCTTTGCTTGCTGGATGGCGAAAGTTGTATGAACATTATTGCTGGATCAATATTCTTGTCAACTGCGGGCGATCGGTGCAGGGAGTCAGGCTTGCGCAAAAGTTATATGGATGGGAGTCTATGAGGAATACCCTATGTGCTAAAAGCTACATGTTTATGTTAAATATCTTGCTTTGCTGAAATGTTAGCTAATCGTGCTGAATAAATGCAGAGGAATGTCTCCACCTCGTAGTGTGATTTCACCATCTAATCTTTCAATCTACGACAATAATATTTCAAAGCTTGTGAGAGAATAATACTAGGATAAGTCCCAAAGATGACTTAGAATTTGGAGGATGAACTAATGAATGGACTCCGTGTATCGCCTTTCATCTCGAAGAATCTGTTTGTGCTACTTAGGACTTGACCTATCTATATGGTTCTATTCCATCTTCAAATTTCTGCAGTACTTATTGTTACGAGCCATGTCTGAGTGCTTTTCAACCTCAACTTCGACATATCACTATTCATCTAATTTAACAACAGATGAAACTATTGACTTGGCAACAAATGTAGATATGACAGTGAAATACTGATCATTCGGATGTTAGCTAAGAAAATAGTAAAGTTTCATTTTTGATTTCACTCTACCGATCAAAGTAACAATATAGACTATACCAAAGAAACAGCTGTATATCTTCTCCACCTCCGGGATACTCTGTACTGTAGACTGGAGGAGGGTGACGGACGAAGCTTGGAAGGTAAAACAAGGAGAGGGGAAAGATGTGTTTATATACTCTGTATTGGACCGAGGAAGAAATTTAGAGTTTCAAGTAGAGACGCTTTCTGATTATTCACTACTTGTGGAAACTTCACATCGTGTTTGAAGTGAATGAGTATTGGGCTTTTTTAACAAGTGTGAAGTAAAAACGTGGCTATGCAAGTGAATATGCCCAGTTTGCTGCAGACAACGCTATGAATGTAAATTCGACAGCTTCCGCAATCTCTCCGACGAGGGGTATATAAAGAAGCTGAGAGCCACCATTTTAACTTGTTGATTCGGTGGTTGCACAGAAAGAGAGTCTTCATTACACGAGAGAAGAAATACTTCGAATCTCAAGTACTGGTATCGTAACAACTGACCAGGCGTGAAAACATTACAGTGAAAGTCTAACACTGGAAAGTACAAGTTCTGATGACAATGATTCTAAAGTTGACAGTCAAAACACGTTCGTGTGAATTGTGGTGCTCGTGATAACTTACAGGTTGAGCAAGTTATTGATGCTGCCATACTTTTGAGATACGGAGACACGATGGGTTGAAGTGACCGTAAACTATTACGGAGTGCACCTGGGAAAGCCAGAAATTTTTTGTCCCAACGCCTCGTTGAAGCTATTTTTACCTCATTACGTTGAAGATTGTGGAGTTTTTATACAAAAAAGGGCGGCGAGTTGTCAAAAATCCTGGCCCAAACCTCTTCCTTTCGCAATCCATTCACTTAAACGGATTCACCCATTTTGGCTTTCGCACTCCTCTTTACAGATACTTTCTGTTTGACTCAAACGCGGCCAACGCCGCCGCCTTCCAATATTCACTTCTAAACCTGCAGCAATCTTTTTACTGAAAACCTGTATATATACTCGCTTCCACACACCGCCTTTCCAGCATTTTGACAAAGACGAAACCTTCTTCGCTTTCTTCGACTCAGGACGTCCTTTGTCTGTATAACTTCTCAAATTGCGACTGAAAAACGGTCAAACACGCTGGACCGGCTTTATCGCCCGCGCCGAAAGTGACAAACTTAAGAACAAATGGTTTTAGTTGGCAACAACAAGGTCTTTCCGATGAAGATTGAGTTATAACTTGACATGGAACCTGTCTCCCGAATTGACACTCTTAAAGTCCCAAGCACTAAAGTGAACTTGGTGATCGTAGGGCAATGAGGCAGCTGCCTACTTATTGGTTGTGAGCGAGCCTAGACTTTTCAATGGGAATTTGACTTACTTTTATATCAAGAGGACCAGTTGCAAATTTGGCGCTAACGAGGCTTTGAAGTGAATCACAAAATGAAAAAAAAAGGCAACCTTTGTAAACGCACCTGCAAACAATAGGAGAGCGCTACTACTCGCGCCAACTGGGAAAATCATCGATCGCTTCTTGGAATATGCGGAACATTATGGAGGGGAGCCGGGCTCTGCGTATGGTATCTGGGTGATATATGGCAGTGGAACTCTGGATTACGTAGATGTGGGATTGTTGTCATAGCTGCTAACTTTGTCTTGGTTCCATATCTCAAATAGGCTTTGCTGTCAAGTTGAGTTCATAGTAATTTGGGCTTGCTGTCATGTTGTGTTTGTTGCCAATAGTTGTAATTGTGGTTAGTAAAGTGCTTTCTGGGACAAAGAATGTCTGTGGTGCCGGATGAGCAGGGTTTGGTTCTGTAAAGTGCATATTCACGAAGGAGTTTTCTCTTTCTGGTCTTCACTTGCAAGATTATTGTCTCACACACTATATGATTACTCAAAGTGTGTCTCATGATAATGTTGCTCTTTCTCCGAGAGGTGAGTAACATGTGATCATGCACGAGGACTGCAAAATCTACCAGACTAAGATGATAGTTTATTCTTTCAGAGTCTCTCGGGCTTACGCATAAGCTGTATATTGAGCTACAATACAGTTCTAACTTGTATTTGATTATCGAGAATTCCATCCCAACCCACCTCATGTGATCGCTTCACTCAGGAGTCGCGCCCCCTCGCTTAACGACCCCTGTCCAGGGGTAATTCAGCCCCCACGTCCATCTCACCACATATAAACCTCCTCAGCTCCCACCCTCACTTCTCAGCCCTAACCTCAACCTCATCCAGCCCCAAACCCCAAAATGGCCTCCACCAGACAACCCCAGAAAAAAGACACCCCGCCTCCACCAGGCCAAACCTACGAATTCTACCCCCTCCCCACACCATCCCACATCCGACTCCTCTCCCTCGACCCCTCTACCTCCCACTACACACTGAACGCAGTTAACCTCACCACCACCCCACCACCAACCTACACCTGCCTCTCCTACACCTGGGCCCACCCCTCCTGGCCCAAACTAACCACTGAACCCCTCGACGTCTCCCACGCCGGCGACCGCACCGAATCCCTCCTCTGCTCCGGCCAAACCATCCTCATAACACCCAACCTGCTCTCGGCCCTCGCCCGCTTGCACGACGATATAAAAACCACGCCCATCTGGATCGACGCCCTATGCATCCACCAAGAATCCGCCACGGAACGAAGCGCGCAGGTCGCGCGCATGGACTCCATCTATCGGTCCGCGCAAAAAGTTATTATCTGGCTTGGGCCGGAGGACGAAAATTACACCGAGGTGGGGATTGAGGTTTTGTCTAGGTTAGCGGGTGTTAGAGAGGAGCAGAGGACGCAGGAGATTCCGGGGGGGTTGATGCACAGGGATATCTACACGAAACTCGGGATTAGCCCGCCCGTGAGGGATTTCGAGTGGTTGGCGCTGGGAGAGCTGTTGATGCGGACGTGGTTTCGGCGGATGTGGGTTATTCAGGAATTGTTCGAGGCGAGGGATGTGGTTGTTTATTGTGGGCGGCATGTTATTGAGTGGGCGGATATTGTAAAGGTGTCGGAGTTGTTGAGGGTTAGTGGGCTGGGGAGAGCGTTGATGGGGTATTTGGAGATGGTTACGAGTGTGGAGGGGGATGGGGAGGAGGAGGGAGAGGTGTATGTGGGTAATACGGTGACGAATCAGTGGTTGTTTGAGAGTTTGAGGGAGCAGAAGGGGGAGGTGAGACTTGAGACTTTGTTATCGTATGCAAGGTACTTTGGCGCGACGTGTCGTTCGGATTACTTCTATGCTGTGCGCGGGATGTGGAATCCTTCTTCTGCTCTCCTGAAAGAGCTCAGGGAATCGATCAAGCCCGATTACAAAGTCCCAGTCGAGGACGTATTTACGGCTGCTACGTACGCTAGTATCGTCGAAGCGGGGGATCTGAATATCCTTTGTTTGGTGGAGGATTATTCGTTAAGGGAAGCGTCGGGGATAGAGGAGAAGATGAATCTCCCGTCTTGGGTTCCAGATTGGAGTATAACGCCTATCGCGGATCCGCTGGCTATGAACCCGCGTCCGGAGAAGGGGGAGGAGCGTTGGACTGCTGGAAGATCTCTCCCCTATAGCACTCCTCTTGCGCCCATTGACGGCCATCTGGGTGTAACGGGGGTGGAAGTCTCAATTATAACTTCTACAGCAGAAGACAATGAGATTTTCGGATTACTGGAATTCCTCTCCCTCCTTTCATCTAATCCGACCCAGGCAGAAAAAATCATAGAATCTTTCTGGCGCACAATAATCAAAGATACATACCGCGATCAACCGGCCTCTGAGTCCGCTAGGAGGGCATTCAAAGGCTATCTCTCTGCTCGCGTTTATGAACTTGGAGAAGAGACTGAAGGAATAGAAGAGCTTCTCAATGAAATTTCGGTGAGAGATAAAAGTGGAACGATGCCGAGCTGGGAGGAGGTAAGCGAGGTTATCGAGAAAGAAAAGGGGGATAGGGAGTTCAAGGGTGTGAATGAGGAGGAGAGGTTCTTTGGGGAGAGTGTTAGGGTTGCGTGTGTGGGACGGACGATGTTTTGGACCGGCGGAGAAGAAGTTGGTGAGTTGGGGTTGGGCCCTTTGGAGACGAATGTTGGGGATAGGGTTTGGGTTTTGGCTGGGATGGATGTACCGGTCGTTTTGAGGAAAGTGGAAGAAGGGTGGCGGTTCATTGGCGAATGCTTTTTGGGGAGTCTTGTGGAGGGTATCGGGGGAAGGAGAGGGGAAGTGAAGGATGCTGTATTGGTGTGACAAAGAGGGACATGGGATGGAGAAAAGCAGGTACAAGTGGAATCGGACAGGGGAACGAGGTTGTTTTATTTATAATGCCAAGAGCTGACAGCCTTTGTACTTAAGATAACGCTCAAAGCGGACTAGTGTTCTAATGCGTGCTAGGATCGCGTTTTTGGTTATGGACTTTGAGTAGGCAAAGTATTTGGATACTCATGTTAAATATCATCTCATCTCGAAAGTCTGGCTAGAAAAGAGAGTTCTTGCTGATGTGAGGTGGCCATTCAGGACCGGAGATTGATCACTTAGCGAAGTACGTGCAACAGACGACATCTTCGGAGAGAGATGCTGTGAAGGTCTGTTCAAAAATTACTCAACTATGCAAAATCTCAAGGTTTCTTCGTCCCCCCACTCGTGCTCTTACTCTTAATCGGACTCGACCCCACAACCTTTTTCCTCGTCTTCCCCACCGGTTTACACGCAGCTTTCCACGGACAGATCCCCTGCCCCGGCTCGACCGTCGCCTTATTCGCCGTCTGGAAGATCGCCAGTCCATCCGTACAAACTGCTCTATTGGGCCCACACAGACTCTTCAATTTTGTGCACCCGGTAAGGCATTGTCCGCTGGTGACGCCGCACGCGTCGGTGAAGTTCACGCAGCGGCGACGGTCGCAGTTCACGTTGGATAGGCAGGCTTCGCTCGTTTCTTCGGCGATGCAGTCCGAATCCGCGTTGCAGGGTGTGGGCGGGTCTGAGAGCGCGGAGGGGATGAAGTCGTAGAGGGTGGTGTCGGTGTCGAGGTCGAGGAGGGAGGTATTGGTGATGCTGAGGCTGGAGGCTATTTGGCCCATTGTTAGGACTTGGGGTTTCGAGACCGTGCCGTTGGGACCGGTGATGAAGTTTGAGGGAGCGTTGGCGGCGGTTGCGAAGCCGGTTGAATTTGCGACGCAGAGAGAGGGGTTGGTCCATATTGCGTCCGCGGCGTATTTCCAGAGGAGGGTATAGTTGAATACTGTGTTGATAGTATAGAAAATTCTGCAATCAGCAGCTTCGAAGGCAAATTGTAAAGGTGTTGTTTCGTTGATCCTGACTTGGTCACGGAGATTGACACTAGCGTAAGTCACGAACACATCTCCAGTATCGGAGCGGTTGGGAAGGAAGTTTTGTTCGGGTGACAAGTTTTGTTGGAGGACTGTCTGAACGGAACTGATACTGCCGTCGAGGTTGTCTGTATCGTATTGGATTGCTCCTCTGGTTCCGGCTGGTGCTTGCATTGGGCCTGTTGTTGGACGACCACCGACTGCAACAACGCGAACACCGGCTTCATGATGCATCATTTCCATGAATAGGGCACATGAAGAGGCACAAATACCATCGGACAGCTAAGAATAATATCAGCCCACCATCCAGAGGAAACTAAGAGAATACTCACCATAATGATATCCTCCGCCGCAAAAGGAGGCGCAGTACTCGAAGCCGCCTTCTGATCACTATACCCAAACACCGTAAAATTACTAACAGTATCATCAAAACTCGCCGCCACAAAATCATCACTATTCAAATCATATCTCTGCGGAGTCGTAAAGAAATCCCCATCAATCTCCGACGGACCGAAGAACTCTGACCAGGAGGCAAAAGTCTGGTTCGTGTTCGCATTCAGTTTGGTAGTAGCGACCCATTCGCTGTCAACCAGCTGATAATATTGATCGTCATCTGTATCTGTCGAAGAGAGATTTTGGAAGACGGATGTGAGAGTTTGGCCCATGACGTTGGCAGGAGTGGTGGCCCGGAGACGAGAACCGCCATAAGGGTCGATGTTGGGGAAGAAGTGCTTGAACGTATCGATTGCAAGAAGAGGTTCTCCACCTTCGTTGGATTGGAGATCGACAACGATCTTGGTCATTCCTGCTGCTTTACTGCTTGTGATGAATTCGGCGATTGCGGCATCAAAATCCGCTAAGCTGTCATCTGTTGGAGTGTAAAAGTTGGGAATGCTGAGAACGGCAATAGAATCATTTCGGAGGAAATATCCTGGGCCTGTGTTAGATGTGTCCTTTAAGTCGGCTCAGGGAAGATTACCTGTCACACCAGGTCCATCATCGACCAAGTCCGCTTGCGCAACATCTGCACAAGCAGGATAGAAGTCAGAACCCAACCCAATACAGCTCGAAACCGCAGTCGAAGTCGCCGCCGAAGCAGCTGTCTCCGTTGCCGTCGTAGTAACAGCAAACCCTCCTATCGAAATAATTGCCCCTCCCAGAAACACCTCGGTAACAGTCGACGTCCCACTCGTCGACAGAACAGTCGACGTGGCCTCTGGCGCATCCGACACACTCGCCGACGAAGCCGTGATATTCACCGTATTATTATCAATCAAATCCGGATCATACGAATCGGGATAAATGCCCAGAACGAAAAAATTGAAGAAATCCCCTCCGGTTTCCAATGGTCCCGTATTTCCCTGGCTATAGTAAACACCTAGGAAATACTCCGTGATCGAGGTCCCATTCTCGAAAACGAAGGTAATGGTATCTCCAGGGTAGAACGTCGAATCCCCAGTAAAGATATTAGGCGCATCCTGGATACCCTCTGCAGCGCTGAAGAAGAGCTGGTTCCAGTCTGTGTGAGCCTCTAGACCTCCTAGACTATTCATAGCAGCGAAGTTCTCTAGATACGTAACGACGTTCTGGCCATTGATAGTCGTAATGGGAGATGGAGTGAAACTTCCATCTCCGTACGCGATATCTGTTGCGATATACACTTTCGGGAGCTGTACGCCATCTGTCGAAACCGAGACTAGATCCGTTGGACTCCCGAAACTGAATGCTGCTAGGATGCCAGAATCCAGCACTAGATGCGAATCGTGAGCTGCGTAAAGGAGAGCAGCGAGCGCGGCCTCGAACTCGTACTGATTTTGAAAAACAGCATTGTTGACGCCAGCTTGCAGTTTCGCTAACCCGACTACGAGATCTACACCTGGCTGTTGATAGCTTGTTGGCGGGTCCTTGAGGTATTGAAGCGTGCTTTGGAATTGGATTGTGTCGTTGTAGTATTGGATGAAATCGGTAGCGACTGCGGGGTTGAAGGGGACGCTGGTCAGACATTCGTAAATGAGACTTGCGTTAAAGACTGCATTTTGATCTTTCGCACCGTTAACATTTTGCTTTCTAGACAAGTTCAGAGAATTCAACTAACTCGGATCATTGGACCTAGGATCATTCACAATATCGCCACAAGCCGTCGATTGAGGGTTCCCCGCGCTCGCTGTAGCAGTAGGCGCCGCATTCGAAACCCCATACACAAAAACAGACAGCAACAACGCGCGAGGTAACGGGAAAAGAAGCATCGCTGCCACAGTATCAAAGGGGAAAAATATCAACGAATGGATGCCATTTTAAAGAGCGAAATCAAAGAAAAGGAGACACAGTCAGACAGAAAGAGCCGCAGCAGAAGTAGTTTTAATTCTGACCATCATCTAATCTTTTTTCAGCTGTGCGGCACAGCGTTCCATCGCGGGTCTGACGTTTAAATCCTTCCTTCCCGCCCCGCAGGGCTGAGCCCCTGAAACTAATTTCCGGCGGCCCAGATGATTGGAATCGGTTACGGTGGGTCCAATCGAAGGATCAGAATGCCGCATTCGGGGTGCGCATTTTCTGCAGGTACATGGATGCGCATATGAACGGATTTTGGTGATATTGGGGGCGGAATAATGCTGTATGACCCCCAGGATGTCGGATTTCGTAATATTTATGCTGGAGAACGGCGCAGGTTGGGACATACCGTGTTTAATGAAAAGGTCGGAAACCCACTTGAAACTTTTCCTAAACAACAAGTTGTTTGCTGACAAGAGGACTTTTGGTAACTTCGAGGCTTTGAAGAGTGGACAAACGTTTGTTTGATAATAATGTCCCTGGTACATGCATTTACAAAAAGACAATACTTGAGCCCAAGTCAGACATTCGGACTAGAACATGGATTTCAAGTAGCATGCGTTTGATGCATTGCTTAAGTCCTTTGAGGGAAAACATTGGGGGGGTGCTTGTGAGGAGTTAGACGAGGGAGTGTGGTTACTCAACAAAACGAAATACGGATAACAATGAATGAAGATCGACAATAGTAGTATCCCGAGCCAAAAAGACGGAAGAGGGGGTTGTTTTGAGGCTCACTTAAGCTGTGGATTAAATCCTTCAAGCGCATGGCTGAGAATCAAATGGCCTCCATAGCTGGAAAACAACAAAAGAAGAGAAAAGTAGAACAAACTGCTGTATATATAGCTTCCAACATATGCGTACTCGTACAACGTCAACCATATATCATCAACATTACCGCATCATCATCCGAACCCGGTATCAAACAAATGTCCCACCCTCTGCTCAAATCATCCCAAACCTTTTCCAAACACAACAAACCCCAAAACGCCTCCCTCCCTCTCCTCTAAATCTTCGGCGCAATACTCAAAACAACCCACCTCACCCGACCCTCCTCATCCTTCAACGGCGTCCAATGCGTAACATACCTCTCCTCCACCCTCCTCATGCCCTCGTCCTTGCCCCCAAACCAGCCCGTCCCCTTCCTCTCCTCGAACCCCGTTAGCAACCCCGTCTCCACACTAACCGCCTTCCCCACCTTCAGCGACTCTCTCACTGAATATCTAAACGCTTTAGCTGCCGAGGATGAAGAAGCAGAGGATGTGTGCTCTGAGAGCACTTTGAAGATGTCTTTGTTGTAGATGGGTGCGATGGAGCCGTTGGGCAGGTTGAGGCAGAGCATGTCGATTATGCCTGGGGAGTAGTGCTGGATTGAGAGGCCTTGCGTTTGAGGGTTCCAGGTCATTATTACGTACTGTTAACTCGTTAGCATCAGCTCAATGTGAATGGAATTCGAGTGAGACGGACCTTGGAATAAGCGGTATAGAAAGCTTCGACTTGAGTCCTAAAACTTAGTTTCCCGACTCGCTTGATTAGTTCTTGTTCCATTCCTGCTTCTTCTCTCACTCGGACTTTACTCGAGGTTGGGAGGGAGGATGCATTGTATTTCCTCCAACTCTTGAAGAATGCACTTCTTGGCTTGGGACCATAATTCGACGGCTGGCTCCGGACACTTGGCGGTTTGTTCCTTGCCATTTCATCCAACTTGTCCAGTTCATCATCATTGACGCTTAGTACTCGAAGCACATCTGTGCAAGAATGTATTGTCGTTGAGCAGTTGATTTGTCCGCCCAAGAAAAACGAAACTTCTCCACGCTCATTTAGTAACGGAGAGACATAAAGCAGATTCCAGAACGGATCCCCGTTCTTGCGATAGTTGAGCAGGAGTTCTACCGTCTCCTCGCAGCTATCGATCGAAGCACGTAATCGTTTTGTAGATTGAGAATCCGTCTGCTCTCCTTGTAGGAACCTGCAGTTCCGAGGTATGATATCCTTCCTCGTGTAGCCAGTAACCGAAACAAAACCATCCGATGCGAATGTGATTGGGTTATCGGCAATGGTTGGATCGGTCAAGCAGAAGCAGTCTCCTAGTCCTTGAAATCTTTCTCTATGATCTGCCAATGCCATTGTAGCCTGTGCCGTGACTTGATGTTTGACGAATCGTGGGTATATGTCGCTTGCTAGCAATTTCTCAACGTGTTCTTGTGCGTTGATAAATATCGAGTCCAACGTGGGTAGGGTGAACTGGGTACTTTGTCGGATATCTGCAGAGACGCGTTTGATGAGGTGATGCGAGATATTGACTTGACGTGGGGCTTCGGGCGAGGTATATGTGTTGTGTATCGAAGCCAGGGTCTGAGTAACTTCGTCGAGGAGACGATTGTACTTGTCAATCTGGGGATAATTAGCCACTGAAAACCAACCAGAATTGTATACGCTGAACGGAGACCAATTGATCATCCCAAATTGGTGAACAGAATTGTGTTCTTACCTGCTGCAAAAATTCCATATTCTCCCCGCACGCTCTACTCTGACAAAAGCGAAGAAATCGGTGTGCTGTAGTAGGATTGTGAAGGACAATTTGGAAGACTTCCCAGCTAAAGAAATCCGCCATATTGTCACGACCAGGCGCAGTCACCACCGCAGTCTGTCCGCTCCTGCTGCTTCCATCACTCTGTCTCATTGATTTCTTCTTGGGACTTTCTCTCTCCGCCCCACGGCCAGAAGACCCCGCGCGCTGATCGTCATAGGATGAATGAGAAGTTGGTCTCATGCCGTTCTCTCTTCTCGGACTTCCTGAACTCTGGGGAAGTGGGGGTAGAGGTGATGTCCTGTTAAGACTAATATTTGAGTGAGTCTTGTTGTCTTGTGCATTTACAGGCTGAAGAGACTGTCCACTCTGGATAACTTGATCAATTGAGTCTGGCTGTTGAGATGGTGGATATGCCATGATGAGGGGTCTGCAGAATTGGACTGATGCATGAGAAGGATGGAAACGCAAGATGGGAGAATGAGCGGGAACTCATCTTGAAAGGAGGGCGCACCAATGCGGAGAGGTGTGAAGGCGGTTCGGTTCTACGATCGGAGAAATCCTTAGCATTTGTAAGTAGTGTCGTTGGGCTCTGGTGGGATAGCTTCAGGATGACGACCGATTGGACGACTGAGATAGGTGATGGTGGTGCATGTCACACATTTCATGAACTCAAATCGTTCTGAAGTTTTCTACTCTTCAGCAGAAGTTTGCTGTTGTGGACGATGATCGAAATCGGAACCAGGAACCAGGTCCGGGTGAACTGCATGATGGATGCAAACCATCACCAAATGGGAATGCTCGAAACGAATCCCACAGAATCTGAACCGAAATGGACATTCTGCCGTCTTGTGTCGAGCCGAGGACATGCCTGCTGATCCAGACCGACTTTTCTCTGCGAGATTGAGTTTCTGCTCTGTAGGCACAGGCACCATCATGTAAGTAGCCAGATCGTAAGATTACCACCTGTGCATCAAGATCATCGCGATGGAAAGTTTAAACCAGCTCGGATCTCTCGTCGGCTTTGTGATTTTGAGTTTGACGCAATCTTTGGATGTGCATGGATCCAGAAGTGTTGTCCTGGTTGCAACGCAAATGCAGGGGCTCGGGGGGAAGCCGTGCGAGGATTTGGACCCTGTGCCTTGGCTTGTCGTCTGAAGATCGCTGTGCTCGCTTGCTGCCGAGCTGACATCTCATTAAGTATCGCTATCCCGACGATATGGGACGAATCTGGGCGGATCGAGACGTATATTTGCTTTTTCAGTGTATCGAACTCGATTCCTTCCTCTAATTGGTTTCATATCGACTAACTCAAGATCCCGCTTTTCGTTATTCTTCACTCCATACTTATCTTCATGGATGCTCATCCTTCACACTATCCAAGCATCATCCTTTCACTTGAAAGAGGTCTGAGCGCGATAACATTTTACTCCCGTCTGTGCCACGCAGCATAGGGCGACAAGATCTCGGTATTGTATACTTAGTGTTTTCAACGTCCATGCAGCCATCAATGATACCGAATCTTGAGCCGATAGCTCTAATTCCCAAATATCCCCCACTTGGCCATGTCATACTGGAAGTGTCGAGGATTCAGAGGACATCCTTCCTTGTACAATATAATATAGTTCAATAGCTCCAAATTCTGACATGTTGCAATCTGACTCAGAGGAACACGGCTCTTGAAGAAAAATTCGGTTCAAGATGCCATACAATGGTATTATACATTATTATTATCATCGGTCAAGGCTTACCTGAACACCCAGGCTATTCCACATCCAACAACATGCACCGTCTACTCATATTATCTCTCCCACTCCCAACCAATTTCTCATCAACATCAGACCTCCGGCAAGGACAATACCCATAATCGTCACCAGAATCCACCAGAGAACCTCTCTTCGTTTCTTCGAACTCGTCATCCACTCCCTAAACACTTCAAACCTCCCCATCCTCTCCTTCCTATACGTACAGACTTTCGTCTCAAACACCAAACACCCTCTCCCACCTTCCCTCGTCTCACACTCTCCATGTTCTCTTCTCCTCTTCATCAACAACCTATTTCCAACCACATCAGCTCAATTCTCCTACTCTCATCACCACCCAAGACACGAAGAACAAAAGAGCGAACAAAACTCACCTAACACTCCCCCTACAAAACCTCATATCACTCCCCAACTCACATCCCCTATCATGCGGACAATCCAGATGCAGAATCCTTCTCTTAATCAACCACTCCACCTTCAGATTCACCCCCGTATACACGAACCCATAGAAATGGCGACTGGTATGTTTCAAGCTCAGCGCGTCGGGGTAGGTCAAGTAGCTCGCGATCTGGAGGTGCAGTTCGGTTGGTAGGTCCATCAGGCTGATTTTCTTTTCCTTCTCTATTGCTTCCGCCGTCGATATCATCGTAGTGGTCTTCATCTTTGGTACGAATATGGAGAGTGAGATGAGGTGCGAGGTGAGGTTTTTCTCTTCTCTGACACGAGGTGTGTCACAATCACGTGAATGGTCTTCGAAGTGGTCGGTTTTGGTGTAACGTTGGTCAACTTGGAAGTTTGGAAGTTGATGCAGGTACAAGACGAAGCGAAACTCGAGAGAATATATGAAAGTGTCTGCCTAGCCTCACCGAAATTGTTCACACGTTTAGGTAGCCGTGAAAAGTGAAGAAAAGACGTCAAATCAAGCCTCTTCGTGTTCTGCGGATCTGAAACGTGGGGATGGGGCCCATGTGATACGAGGAAGTTTTGTCTTGAGTGTTGGAGATTTTCAGCCTTGTGGGATTATTTTTAGTGTCAGGTACGAGGTTGATTGGATGCGGTGCTTTGTTTAGAGACATTTTGATCTTGAAGCCTAGACGAAAGGAGTGGAATGTCGGACCAAGGCAGCCACTTTCGAGGTACAGAATTTAGATGCCTGGACTTCGCCACAATAGTACAGCTGTATGATATCAAGCCATCAGGAACTTCGAGGACGAACAAACTATTGTCCCAAGAAACACAAACCCCGGCTTCCCGTCCCAAGTCCCTCACGTGCTGTCGCGTCGCGTTCATCCGACATGCGCGCTTCTCGCCGTCATAGATAGATAGATACTCTATAAACCACCACCTCCACGCCCAATGGCCTAAACAAACCCATCACCCGGCATGGCAAGCCCTGCCCTCCCCCTCGAAGACAACAACGACACAGACTACGGCTCCGACTTCTCCGCCGGCGAAGAAGAAATCGTCTCCCGTCTCCTCTCAGGCGCTTCTCCCTCTCCCGCTATCATCATCGAAGAAGACGACAACCCGATAACAACAGAAATCGAACACCATGACACCGCGCAGACTCTTCGTCTCCCTCGCCTCCCCACGATCACTGGGGAACGGAGTCCGTTGTTTCAGGCCGCGAGGGCAGCAGAGCAGGTCGCAGAGCAACTCAGCCGCGTCGTTGCAGCAAAGGGAGAGCGGTATCCGGACTGTGAGCTTCCTTCCCTCCTTTTCCTCTCACATATAGTGGTAACAGATCTGACTGACGCTCAGCGATTAGTGAGTACCCCGCTCCGAGAATCTACCCCAGAAACGCAAGGGACGGAAACACAAGCGACAGAAGACCCCAATACGCCCGACGCGAGATCCCCGCTCGAACGCTTCCGCACGCAGCCCAAGAAAGCGCTGTCGGTGACGGATCTGGTGTCGCCGGCGTGGTGCGAGTTGCAGTACTGGTACACGCTGACGAAACATGGGCGGAAGCGGCAGACGGCTGCGATGCGGGAGGGGAGCCGGGTGCATAAGGTGCTGGAGGAGCAGGTGCATACTACGGTGCATGTTAATATTGAGACCAAGGAAGATGCGTGGGGCTTAAGGATTTGGAATGTGATACAGGGGTTGAAGACTTTGAGGGATACGGGACAGACGCGGGAGTTGGAGATTTGGGGGACGGTGGATGGGTTGGTTGTTAATGGGGTTATTGATGAGTTGTCGTATGTCTGTCCGGATGCTGAGCTTGAGGAATCGGTGGAGAATTCGAAGAAGCAGGATGAGCCCCCTGCGGATCAGACTACTATTGCGGATTTCTTCAAAGCGGCAGGGAGCTCGATATTAGAGGCTACGAGACCGAAACGGCGGTCTCAAAGCAAGAAAGTCTATATCTGCGATGTCAAGACTCGAGGCGTCAAATCCATACCCTCAGCAGCAGCTTTCAAGCCAACCAGGATCCAACTCATGCTCTACCACCGCCTGCTCTCCCTCCTCGCCACCAACAACGTCGATGTCTCCATCCTCGCCTCTCGCTATAACCTCGACGCCTCGAAAACATTCTCAGACTCCTTCATCGCCCAAGTAGGAAGCCTAAACGAGGAATTCTTCTCCGCCCAAACCTCTCCGGCTCAAAGCCAAGAAAGCTCACAGCCCTCATCGTCTCAAGACTCCATGACCGTCCTCCTAGAACACAATAATCTCTCCGCGCTCTGGTCCCTCATGATCGCCGAATTCCAGCTCACGCTCCCGGACGGCGCTTCTTCGTTAGGCGGTGTGCTGAAAGCAGAGTACAGATCACGCAACGATGGAGAGGTGGTGGGGAGTAAGACGTTCTTGATGGATGAGGAAGAGTTGACGAGGTATGTGGAGAGGGAGATGCAGTGGTGGAAGGGAGAGAGGGAGCCAGTTGGGGTGGTGGTCGAAGAGGCGTTTAAGTGTCGGAGTTGTGATTTTGCGGACGGGTGTGAGTGGAGGTTGAAGAAGGTTGAGGAGGCGAGGGAGAAGGTTAGGATGAGGAGAAGGAGGAGCTCGAATGTTTGATCAGAGCTGGGCGTTCGAGGGCATGCATATTCGTGGGATGGCGTATATACAATGAGATAATGACTTTGTACAATTTGCCGACATTTGGATTTTTGATTGTCTCAAGTTGGTCAGGACAATTCACAACAGGTAAGTACTCACTTTCAAATCTCACTTACCTTTCAATCATAATCCTCTTTTCCGTCTAGAAAGTTGAGAAGGAAAAGCTCAAACATTTGTTGGACTTCCAGACATTCAGTATGCGGCGTTTTTATGAATAGCGTATATACAATGTAAAGAATAGCTATATACATTCCCAACCCCATCTCCCGACATTTAACCTTCTCATTATCCCAACTTTGTCGGAACAATCAACAACACATAAGTACTCACCCCTAACTCTCGCTTGTCCTTTCACCCCTACTGTCTTTTCTATATTGAGACATGAGGGGAAGTGAAGTTCAAATGTTCGAAAGATTCTGGGCATTCGGTAAAGAGGATATTTGTGGAAAGGTGTACCTAGGTATATACAATAAAAAAATAGCTATATACAGTACATTTCCAAACCCATTTCCCGACATTTCGAACTCCCAATTGTCCCAACTTTGCCAGACAATCAACAACACATAAGTACACCTCCACAAACCTCACTTTGCCCATCCATCCCAACCCTCCACTAAACAGCCCTGGGCGTCGGCGTCGCCGCATTATAAAAATGAATCGTCTCATCCACACACCCACTCGGCGTCATATAATCATAATTCCCCAAATTAATCCACAACGACTTCTCGCCACACACCAACCACGCACTCAAATTCGGCCTCGAAATATCCGGCGTACTCCACGTCACGGCATCCCCGCTAAACACAAACGTCCCGTACGCATTCTTCGTCGTGTTGAAGCTCACCGATAGCTTGACGGCTGCGGAAGTGTTGCGTTGTACGTTGGCGTAGAGGAAGGAGGTCGAGTTGAGCAGTTGCACGAGTTGGCCAGAGATGATCTGGAATTGGCCCGCGGTGGTGTAGGTGTCGAGGATGGCTTGGCCGGGGGAGTAGAGGGGGCGCGATTGCAGGTATTTGTGGAAGTTGGGGGATTCGACGGCGCGGATCCAGAGGTAGCCGCTTTGGAGGGTGGTTCCTGGACCGGAGGCGGATGCGGAGTCGATTACTGTCGTGGGTGTTGGGGTTTCGGGTGATGCTGTGCTTGGGAGGCATTGCATGTAGTCTGTTGGTGGATGTCAATTGAGAGCATTGCTTGGAAGCAGAAGATGGGGAGTCGTACAGTCGCTGAGACGTGTTAGCAGTAGAAGGAAGAAGAGGAAGATAGAGAACGAACCTATTCCCAGTACAAACATAACCATCAACACAACTCGTAGCTCCGGCCCAACTGATCCCACCACCTATTCTCATCAGCTCACGTCCCTCCACCCACATCACATCTCATCTTCAAACATACATTGACCATAGGCACTCTGCTGAGCAACCGCCCCCACTGCAGTTAGAGAAAGCAACACGAGAATCGACATCAAACCAGCCATTGCTCAAGCACGTGGAGGGAAATATATACAAGAATAAAATCAATGGACCACAAAAAGAAAAAAATCAAGCTTTCCTCCCCGCCTTTAAGCATCTCGGAAGATGTAATGGACTACCGGTCTGCAATAACCGGGTGCAATGTATCTCGCATTTTTCCAAATTAAGGCGGCTTCGTCAGGTACAGATTTCTGCTCTGTGTGGGAACAGGCTGATTGGCATTGCGAGCAGAGAAGTTGCGAGCCACATCGGCCTGGGAATCCTCTTGTCGTATACCATGTACGAGCTCTCACGCGCTCCGGATTGGCAGTAGGCCCTCTGGACAGAGCTCCTCACTCTAAGCGAACCGAGTGAACTAAGCTTGGCCCATCGCCTTCCAAGTTTACGGGTGCTGGACGTCGTCGTGACTGAGACTATGCGAAACCGTGCACCCTGTCCGGGCCCCTTGATATTCCCCACGTCTCCGAGCAGGAGGGACAATGGCTGCGTTGGAAAGGAGCTGTTTCGGTGGTACTCGGTATGATCGGGAGAGCTGGTCGGGTTATTGCCCCTCACTCTGCACTTCCGACAGATATCTGATTCGATTCCGCTGTCCTAGTACTCTTTTTATTGATCCAGCTACAGGTTGCCAGCGAGTGTTTAGGGGGAGTGAGGGTTGGGGATAGAGTGCTTTGCGCACGGGGACCCTGGCATTTCGGAGGAGGATTCCGGCCACGTGGATAGGGAAGCACCTAGGAGAGTACTTTTAAAGTTCAAGATAGAAGTAAGGCATTGGCATATCGATGAATATAGCTTAAATTTAGCACTAATCTGGAGTATACAATCAGCAATACAGGCTTGTGGCATTCTCTTGTCTTGGAAGTATACGTATCACGTGTAAGCCACATGACTCTATTATCTCCTCACTAATCATACCTACGTACCTTTACAAGCTGAAGCCTTGAAATTGGCGTTATACTTCAATCTAACTTAGCTGCCGACCTTCGATCCCGTAGGAGCCTCTTCCTTTCCCGGGAATTCCAGAGAACCATCCCCGACTATTGCATAGGATTGTTTACACTTACTCGAACGTCATCGTGAGACTTTGTGTAACTCTCGTTTGTGGTAGAGATCCACAGTGAAAGGTTTACCGCCATGGCTCAAAGGAGCAGTTGAGTGATTTTACAAACTCTGCCCGGTGATTGGCTGACACTTGGTATTCTAGCGCTTAGATCACTGGATGACTGAAGTTACGCCCCAGCTGCACAATTCACGCAAGGCATATTTGAAAGGTCACTGGAGGGGCTGTGTCATGACACCATGGGAGGCTGCTGAGCATGACTTGTTGGAGGGGCAGCGGTGGTGGAGGGGCAAACTTGGATATCAATATATTTCAACCTGCTCAGCTCCAACTATATCAGACATAAAAATCGATTTGCATGCAGACATACAGAACAGAAGAAGTTGAGCATTAGGTACGCTTATGTTTGAAGTTCTTGTGTATTTGATTCGAGACTAATTATTGTTGACAGGCTGATTCACACCTATTTCAATATGCCTAGGGCTACGCAACATCAAGAGGGCCATGGAGAAGGTAAGTAATGCTGCTCCATCGAGACCAAGTTCATGGTCCAAGTATAACCTTATAGACTGACGCTGGATAGGAGCAATGAATGTCCAAATCGGCAACATAATCATTACATCTGATCCCGCCTCGGCGCAGCCCCGCGCCAGTCAAGATGCTCAGACTGAGCCACAGAGAGACCTCTTGGAGATAATGTCTGGACTCGTTCCATTTCTGCCTGTAGAAATCGCGGAGCTTGTTGCTGAAGCTCAAGCTGGTCGAGTAGAAGAGATCGTTCGTGCGGTCGAGCAACAGCGAGCAATGTTGCAGAGCTTTGCTCCAACTGTGGCCATTCGAGCCGAAAACCTTCGTGGGGTCGAATCGCAGCGAGAGATTCGAGAAATGATGGAGGTCTCTGCCCTGACCGAAGCTATTGAAGCGGAGGAACTCGCTCGAGAGACAATGGAGGCCTCTGCTCTAGCCGAAGCTATAGAAGCGGAAGAACTCGCTCGAGAGATGGAGTTGCAACGCGCAACTTCGAATCGTCGTACGGACCTTCGAAATCGGTCCCGCAATCAGGCTGATGAGTCCCCCATCTCTAATCTCCAGTGGTGGCTTGCGGGTGGAAGAGGACCGTCGCCCACACGGAATCAGATGCGGCGGATGACGGTGGGGTCCTGGAGATGAGGAACTGATGCGAAGTGGAATAACTGTTGTCGCTCGCATATTGTGATGAACTTATGAGACAAGAATAACGAAACAGACATTACCTTTTATACTCCTTTCCATGTTGCTGTACACGTGAAACTGTCAAGCGCATATAGTAGATGAGCTTCTGAGCGGCTTTGGCCGCTATTGAGCAGAGCTAGGGCAACTGGCATATTTCTTGAATATCACCTCAAGTGATACTTTCTTGCAGACTTTCTTTGCAAACCATTTCGCCTCCGCGGTGCAATCATGGTTGTAAATTCTTGCATAGCAGTGATATCCGCTCGGATTCTGGTGGCCTGATCGCCAACGTGACATGGAAGATAGGGCGTAGTGCCGAACATAATAGAACTTCAATGACAGGAGTGAGGTCTCGCGATAGCAAAGAGCGCAGACTGACGGAAGAAAGATCAATTGAAGTGAAGAAGGGAGGCAGAGGAAGAACAGGAGACGTTATCTATTGCGCTGCGGGGTGAGTTGTCCGTGATTCAATGTACCGCAAAACGATAGCGAATCAGAGAGATCATAAGTCCTGCACCAGAAGATCTCATCAGCCAAAATTCAGAGACAGAAATGAATTCGGTTCAGCTTGAAGCTAAAGTAGTAGCAATGCGGATTGCAAAGATGAAAGATGACAAAAGAAGAATATTGCAACGAAGATCGGAGATCACCTCTGAGGCTATTGCATCACGTGAAACAGGGTGTTATTAGATGTTGGATGTGTAGATTGAGATGAGATAAGCACTTGCGGATCGGTCCGAACTTCGAAAGCTTTATATCTTCAATATACAGAATGGGATGGAGGAACTCTAGACGAAATTGAAGAGATGAAAGGACTAACACAAATGACAACCCCGCCGTTGCCCCACTTTGTCTCGTTCCTTGCTTCAAACTGCACCTTCCTAGAGCAAGAGTGACATCCTTCCTTCTTGGCATCCATGACGAACAAGTCAACTGTGATTAAAAATCTCGCATAGTTCGTTCAAGCTTCGATCCACCCTACAGTATCTCCCACGCCTCAACCATAACCATGCCTCAAACCTGGCTAATAGTCGGCGCCACCCGAGGAATCGGTCTCGAATTCACCTCTCAACTGCTCTCGCTAGGCTACATCGTCCTAGCCACAGCCCGAGCCCCAGCCACCACTCCATCAGTTCACTCCGGCAATGCATCCAACCTCTGGTCTCTGACTGGTACGCCGAATGGTCACAACCTCACCATACTGGAATGTGATGTTAGTGATGAGGCTAGCATCAAAGATTTCACAGAACGAATTAGGAAGTTGGGAAGGAAGGGATGTGTGCTCGAAAAGGGAATCATCGATGTCATGGTACTGAACGCCGGAGTAATGGAATATCCAAACAGGATCTCGGAGATGTGAGCCCCTTTTTCTTTACCTATTATCACGTGAAGCTCGATTGTTCAGAAGACTAACATGGCCCAGATCCTTCCAAGCCTTCTCCCACCACTTAAATACAAACACAATCGGCCCTCTCCTAACCGCCTCTTCCCTCCTAACCCTCTCCTCCCTACCACCACTCACTCTTCCCTCGGTCCCACCAAACCCCGACGTTCCGCTATCTCCCTTCCTGCCCTCCGTCCCGATCAATATCCACACCCTAGTCTTCATGTCCTCGGACTCCGGCTCAACAGCTCTCTTCCGTAGCCACGAAGACGGTTTCGGGGCTTACGCCGCCTCGAAAGCAGCGCTGAATCAAGGACTGCGCCATCTCGCTGCGGAATTGCAAAGAAAGGGGGTTAGAGACGGGAGTAAGGCACCGGTTGTGTTGGCGATTCATCCTGGCGAGGTGGCAACAGATATGGCTGCGAATGTGAATTTTGAGTGGGAGGTTGAGGGAATTATTTCGCCCGAGGAGAGTGTGAGGTGTATGTTGAAGGTGGTGGGTGAGAAGGGCTGGGGAGGTGTAGATGAAGGTGGGAATGTGAGTAGGCAGGGGAGAGGCGAGCAGGGAGAAGCATATTTCTGGACGTGGGAAGGTAGGAGGTATCCTTGGTGACGGATAAGTTCATGTATGAAGAAGAAAGATTAGAGCGTATGTGATTCAATCATTCTATTTGCAGCGTTGTACGTACACTTTTCTCCATCCCGTATTTTACAAGTCGCCTCATTTTTTCCCTTTCCTCTTCAGCAAACAATGATCTCCCCATTTTCTCCTATACTTCTCTGGAATGATGGGCCAATCTGGTAGCCAAATGGTTCGGCTCAAGATATGTGTTCTTGATGCGTCGAGGAAATCTTGACAGGCAACTGGTTCCCAGTGATCGACGTCAAGAATGTAGTGAGGCTCATTCTGAGATGGGCTTGAGCCTGGGTAGTAGGTATCGACAAGGAAATCACAAGTTCTCAAGTCGACCTGCAATCATTAGTAATGACCTTTTTGATGTTATGGGACGACTTACATATTTGCCCATGTCTTCGAGATTTTGATCGTTCATGCCAGATGGCATGAGCCAAGCTCCAGCCCAGAACCCCAACTTGGCCTCAGAAAATTCTCCAGGGAGAAGACCACTGAAATCGCTCTTAACAAACTTGGCGCGCATCCCCCTTGGCAAGTGGTACGAGCTTGGGAAGCGATACCACTCTTTGCCGAAGCAGACAGAGTCTCCATGGCCTCCGACTTTCTCCAGAGGTTGATAGATCTTCAGAGGCGCTGCATATGCTTTGTAGATGCCATAGATTCTTGCCGCACCAATGTCGACAGATCCGATGAGGAACATACTGATGATGAGAAGCTTTAGTCTTGCGGGTAGCATTCCGATGAATGACTTAGGGCTTGAGTTGCCGAAAGCTGCTAATATGATATGAAGCGCCATAGCTGCATTGAGCGCCAAGCAAGGGTACATGGGGTACATGAACCGCTCCTCTTTATGAGGTTGAAAGCTGAAGATGGCAAGCCATAGGTAGAATGGGCTCATGAATACGATGCTCCGGAGGCCGTTGATGGTACTGGTCTGCTGGCTTCGAGTGAACACTTTCTGTAAAGCGAACAATGGCATAGCTAGAACTGCTAATATAAACCAGATGTTGAAGTTTAGCAGAAGATTGCGAATATAAAAATGCCAAGGTTCAGTGCCGTAAATTTCTGGGCCACGACCAGGACCACTGAAAATGTTGTAGAGGACAATGTTCAGAGGAACCACGACAACTTTCTTGTAGAAGAAGCCAGTGATGATGAATTCGAACAACTAAGATGTGCCCTCAGTCCTGTGCTCAGAGCAGACAGATGGAGATGGAAACTTACCAGAACAAGAAGTCCTGCTATAACCCCTCTCCCAGTCCTTATGATGGTATCAATGAATGCTTCTTTACTGCTTAAACTTGCCAGAATGACCTCTTCGATCAAGAATGGCAGAGATAGCGCCATAGCAAAAGGCCAGCCGAGTATTCCCCCAACAGCAAAATAGAAGATGCCCCATGAAGTCTTCAGTCCTCCCTTCCAATTCATGAAGGCCGACATTCCCAACATTGTGCAGTACATTGCGAAGCTCGAAGGGAGGTATGATGCCGAAGCATGAAACATGCCAGGACTGAATATCATAGCGAAGAAGAAGAAAAGTGCGACTCGAGGATTCAAGGTGTTGTTGACCACCCGGAACATCAGGGTCTGGCAGATGGCGCAGACGAAAGCTAGAACATATCGGATGAAATAGAATTCTCCAAGCTAATTCAATAAGTATATAGAGAGTAATATGGCAGATCATCCAACCTTGGTAGAAAATGGGAGTAGTCTTCTAAAACTTCCCACCAATGCGTGTAGAGCAACGTAGAGCCAACTTCTGATGGCATACTCGGGTGAGTATTCCCACGTCTGCAGACCATAGGCATGACTGATGAAATGCGTCGGCTCCCAGTAATTGAACGTCTCGTCGCAGTCTTGTATCGGAGCATACAAAGCAGCAATCAGATTCGCAATGAAGAAGAGGTAGAATGCGCCAATTGGCTTGACGGCGAAAGGGGTCTCGGGCCTGTATTGATGTCAGCTAGAAAGGTACAAGAGCACGGGAAGTGTTCACCTCTTCTTGGGCGGTGGCTGAGTGTACGGCCGAAGCTTCTGCTTCTGAAAAGCAGGAGCTTTGTCTGCCTTTGGAGGCATCGTGAATGTTTACTTGGCCAGAACGTTTCTCAGAGTCGCGATAAAACAATGTCTCGTGTCTTCGAGCTGTCCAGCCCTGTCTATGACGGAGCTTGTGATCCCTGTCAGATTTTCCGGCGCTAAAATTTGAGCTCTAAAATTATTTTTGATCTGAAAGAGTCGATAAGCTTTTTTGTACACAATTTTTATTTCGCACAGCAGCGCATCCAATTCTTAATGGAGAACAAGATCTTGGATACAGCTGACGGTGCAAGATTAATTACAGTGTCTGATAGTGTTATTGATGCGCACGAATCTGCCATGCAGAACGACCAGCCTGCGACCGCGAATGTTGATCCGAAAGAACAAGACGCAACAATGAGCGACACGATGGATGGCGCTGAGGGTCTACCTCTTACGCACGCATTAGAGGCGCTTCTTGGCGGGCTTGAACCTGCGAAGTCTAAGGAATCGGAAGCTATCTATGCGACTGCGACAGATGTACCGTCAACTTCAGAAGGCCCAAAGATTGAAGTTCAGACTGAGTCTCAAGAACCTGCGAAGACGAAACAAGTAGTGGTCTCTGCGATTTATGCATCCAACGCCCCAGAAGTCGACATGGATGGAATTGAGAGCGCATCTCAGGAACCTACAGAGCTCAAGGAACAGCAAACCCTCTCTGAATCGGGCGTGCTTCCACCTGCAGAATCCAAGATGGATGAAGATCATACCGAATCTCGAGAACCACCGATTGAGAACTCTATCATGCCAGAGGATGCGCCAGCGATATCAATGATTCCAGGTCTTGATCTACATAATAGAACTCCTACTGGGCATGCTGGTGGACAGCCCACACTTGCCAAGGATGAAACTGTCATAGAAGACACACCACCGACAGCATTACTAGCAGCCTCGGAAGTCGAAGCAGTCGAGGAAGGAGAGCACCCAGAATGGGAAGTTGATTCATCACCAATCGAATCCTCTTCCGACGATTCCAGCGATGACAGCTCTGATGATGAGAGTGATGATGGAGACAATGCAGATCTGCTCTTGACAGTGGAAGAACAAGCAAAGATACTGATGGGAGAAGGCGATGGAGGTTCTGATGATGAAGGCGGCGGCAAGGCAAAAGGTGCTGGTGGTCCCCTACGAACCAAGAATGAAGTCCCAGAGGTCGTTGTTCCTAAGCCCGATGTTACGATTACGCCAGAGATGCGCATTGAAGAATTGGGATCTGTCGAAGCAATTGTGGAGAACATCTTGTTGATAAAAGCCAAAACATCTGGAGAATACAGAGTACTCGAGAGCGGCTCAGTATTGTGTTTGGAAGACAGAAGTGTTTTCGGAGTAGTTGCTGAAACCCTTGGTCGAGTACAACAACCACTTTACTCGGTCATGTTTACCAATCCGACCGAACTCCAAGCAACTGGGTTGGCTGTGGGCACCAAAGTATTCTATACGGAGAAATGCTCGACCTATGTCTTCACGCAAGCATTGAAGGAGTACAAAGGATCAGATGCTTCCAATCTACATGATGAAGAAGTAGGTGATGAGGAAATGGAATTTTCTGATGATGAGGCCGAGGCAGAACATAAAAGAAAGGTTAAGCAGCTGAAGGCAGAGCGAAGAGGTGGCAAGACACAACAGAACGGGACACCCAGGCGTGGAGGTCACGGTCACCCACTCCAACAACAACATCAAGCTTATGACCCTGCCCAAGGGATCAGCTACGATGATGCCGATGATGATGGTCCTTATAAGCCATTAGCAAGACCCACTGGATATGCAGAATCTATTGGCCGATCAGAAGCACCAGAAGAAGGAGCCTACAACGGTCAAGACAGGCCTAGCTCCAGCCGAGAAAATTTCCGTGGCCGAGGTCGTGGCGGCGATCGAGGCAGAGGACGTGGTGACCGAGGGCGAGGGAGAGGTAGAGGAGGCCACCAGGATCGTCGAAGCGAGGGCTATTCTCTTCCACCAAAACCGCCGCAGAATTTCCAACCTTCCCCACCAAGCATGGCTGTCCCTCCTTTCCCACCTACACCAGGAGCAGCTCCCAATTTCTTCATGCCACAAAATTCTCCTCAATACTCTCCACATCAACCACAACTTGGCTGGCCTCAGTACCTTCCTCCTCAATACCAACAGCAATACCAGAATATGCAAAATAACTGGCCCAACGTCCCGCCAGTCATGCCTCCCGCTCAGAATGGTGCATACATCAATCCACTTTTCTTTCCAAATGGTCAAGCTGGTAGCCCACCACCTCAATGGAATCAACAAAATCAAAATGGGGGAGGAAGAGGCAAATAAATCGTGTTGAATTATTGACTTATAGTGTACAATCAAGATACCCTCGAAGTGGGTAGTTCCTGTCTTGATGGACTACTACTCTCGACTGCTCGCGTAAAATATCAAAACCATATCTTCACATCTTCAGTCGTCGATTCGGTGAAGTCCAGTGAAAAGGGGGTGTTCGAGTAAGTCACGTGAATCTCATTGTCGGTCTCAACCTGGAAAACGTCCACGGTACCTCCGGGCATTGTATGCAGCAAGCCCAGCTTGAGTATCAATTGCATTGTACAACAATAGGATACGTCTATCCTCGAAGACAGAGTTGTGCATGAGGCGCGTACCTTATCAATGATAAAAAACGGTTCACAAGTTCGGCTGTCTTGAACCCCCACCCATGTCCTGCATCAAGGGCGCAAACCCCTTTCTCCCAGTGGAAGATAGTAATGGCATGATTTCCCATCTCCGATGCTATTCGCAGTCTGCTCTGTATTCCAGATGTGGTGTCTTTAAACCGCACCCTTTAGTGAAGCTTGATAGTGCAGGTCTTAACCCGAATGGGGCATCAGATCCCGATAACATCCCCACTCTCATGGCGGGGCAGCGTCCCCAAAGTCTTATCGGCAACATTGGTACACCGTCATAAATACGTCCAATGAACAAATGAAGATGTTTTTGAAGGTCATTCTGAATCTTTCCGTAAAGCTACGGCATACATCCTCTTCGCAATTCCTAAGTTTACGAGGAGGTGATCAAAATGGCTGAGGCCATGCATCAATGTCAAAACTGGGCAGCGCAAGCTCTTGATCGCTCTATCCAAACAATATCTTCACATCCTCGATATGTCTTGTACGGGATATCTGCTGTGTGTTTGGCGGCATGGCTCCTGATCTCGGCAACACGATACCTCAAGCAGTCAACCAACACTCGGCCCGCGACCCCAGATCTTGAAAAGCCAGCATCTCGAAGTCTCAAAGCCCCTTCCCGAGCTCCTGGAGGTACAGTTTCCTGTCTCAACCTCGCTTTACTTGCTAATTGATACAGTATGGGAGCCGATGAAATTTGACCGGCCAGCAGCAGTGCCAGCACTCAATTGGAATGTCTACACTTCAAAACCCAAACCATACCGTCCTTTCAGACACGGCCCTTACCACATTACGATGGGCCTCCGAAACATGGACTGGAACGAATGGATAGGTGAGTTCCCTACGGACGGTGACAGAACGCCCAACTGATGCCCAACAGAACTGGATAATCACTACCTAAAGTTCCACGCCGACAAAGCAAAACGTATCATCGAACGCGGTCCAAATTGCAGTCACACCGACCCTTCCGCATTCGACGGCGCCGTTGAACTCCTCGAAGAATTCTGCTCCTATCTCCCAGAACGCTACCCCACCCTCTACAAACGGACTCCCGTCGGCATGGACAACATCGTCACCGGTGAGACCTTCAACATCGTCGAGCGTCCACTGATCGAGGATCCGATGCAGATGGCCGCGCGCATGGTGCAAGATGACCTGGCCATCATGTTTGAGAAAGCCGACGGCCAGTATTACCTGCTCGCGGGCTCCATCCTACTCGCCGGGTTCTGGAAGCTGGAAGATAAGCTGGGGATGCCGTTGAGCGAGATCCACACCCATGGTGATGTTCCAGGCTACAAGGAGAAGCTGGAGAAGGGAATGATGAATTTCTTTCGGAGAGTGCAGCCTAATGGGCCAGTGCAGCGTGTACGTGTTACTCATCTCATGTTTCTCCCTCGCTGAGACAGATAGACGCAGTAGCTGACACACGAAAACAGAACAACTACTTCATCCAAGTCGACGACGAGCTCGCCTGGTCCTCCAGTATTGGCTCAGAGGACGGCCCAGAAGGTACCGTAGGCTGGTTCACGGCTGAGAAGAACAAGGCGATCGAACATCACTACTTCCGATCCGAGCGTCAGAGTCTACGCCGCTTGTCGCGCAGTGGAGGCGTTGTTTTCACGATCCGCACGTACTTTCATCCCATCACGGAGATTTGCGAGGAGCCGTATGTTCCAGGCCGGTTGGCGAGCGCGGTGAGGAGTTGGGGCGATGATGTCAGTAAGTACAAGGGCAAGGAGAGGTATCAGGATGTGTTGTTGGAATATCTGGATGCCAAGCATAAAGAGCAAGTTGAGGCAGGGCTGGAGGTCGACAAGGAGGAAGAGGTTAGGGCGTATCCGTTCTAGGAGCGGTGAGCTCGGGAGGCTGCATGTTTTGGGACTTGGTTGATGATTGCGATACCTCCTTTGCGTTTTTCTTTGCGTCTCGGGAGACTTTCCGTAGATCTGATGTATGGAATGTTCCGTGTCTTGTCGTCCGGAATCAAGTTCCCAAGCGAACGCCTTGCAAGTGCATTTTGACCTTGTTGTGGCGTTTCATTTTCTATGATCGTTTGTTTTCCACTTAGAACTTTCCAATGGCAGGCTAATTCAGATGTGACAGCTCATATCCATCTATGTCCAGCCACTCAAGCCTGTTTCCCGCTCTTTTCTCTCCATGCTGGTCGTCTTTTTTCAAGCTTCACTCTTCTCGACCTCCACCTTATCCACATGCCGACATCCTTGCATCCTCAACTCTACCAGAGCAGGAAGCACTCTTTTGATATCCAAAAGAGACACAAGGAAAGAAGCTGTGGAATAAGTCAATGGAGGTCGGGGCATGAAAAGACTACAACAGATGACGGGATGCCGTTGCCGGCATTGCTGCAAGTGTTTAGAGAAGACCCTTGAAAAGATCTCCTCCACGATAACATCTTCCATTCTCAGAAAGTCTTCCAGCTCCTTCAGCATAACGCCACAATTCAGTTGCAGTGGGGTCAAATTGAGAGGTTCTTCCAGCTTGAGGAATCTCGCCACTTTCGAACACATTCAAAATCTGCCACACGGTCTCATTGTTGATACGAAGCTCTACGCTCAACATCCACCTCTACCCAAAATCCTGAAGAAGCAGCCTCCCAGAGAAGAAGCAATACAACTCTCGCTAAGAACGGAACTCAGGGAGACGACAGCAGTGTTTGCACAACTCCAGCCCTAGGTCTACATGTGGCTCCACCTCCACCACCACTCCGTTGAACGACGGACACCGCTGTAACAAATGAGAATCGCTAGGGTGAGCCCATGCGACCATTCGAAGGGTCAATCCTGGACAATTGGGACAAGTGGGAGGAAGTAAAGGAGCCCGAAAGGCCAGACCTAGAACCACTCCGACAGCGCTTTCCTACTACTACGTATCAGCAGAGTTCCAGTGTCTGTCGACAAACTCACCCAAGCCAGCAGTTCTGAAGCACGCGTGAATTGCTGTATTGCCGACTTGTGCACCGTCGTCCTCCATATGATACCAATCTGCGAGATTGTATCATTAACTACAACAAGCAGAATGCAGCTGCAAAAGTAAACCAGATTCTACAGCTTGAGCATATCCGAAGGTATGAGATTGCTTCTTGCTTCCACCGCCAGCATCACCACGGAGGATATCGTTGCTCTTAACCTTCATCAATGCCTTAAAGTACCAAGTAAGTGTCATGGTATCCCGTAGTTGAACACCAGCTAACATTACCCACAAGGAAGGAGCCAAAATCATTTTAGGCTCTTAGGCCAATTATGCAAATACATGGATTGTGAAGGAGATCTCTTTCCACAAATCCTATGTACTATACACACACATACTACTTGCTTGCCAAAATACCAACGCAACCACTAGACAAGCTCTTTCGATGTTGGCTCTTCCATCGAATTCCGAGGTAGGCATGGTAGTATTGCGATGAAGAAGGCTCTTCCCTCTTCCATAACGTTAGTCTAACCGTCACCTCCCGAGCCACAAATCCACTAAAATCTCCCAGTATTCCTTAACAAGATGTCCAATCCACTTGAACCACGACGAACCACATCCGAATCACCACTCAAACCACCACCGACCCCATCCAAGGCAGCACTCGAACCACAACTACCCCCATCTGAGTCAAAAGAGCGCTTTCGAATCTTGTTGCGCGTTCTTATTGAAGACAATAATATTGCTACCTTGCGACCTGTATTTGATTTTGCTTTTCAGATGATGATGCGAATACGAAGAAGGTGTTGAATAAAGTTAGTCAGTATAACCACTTCAATAAGTCGAAGCGATTGAGGTCCATGGTTGCTAGGAAGGCGATGAAGGATGCGATAGGTCGAGGTGGTGAGTGATGAGTGGGCAAGGAATTATTAGAGATCATATCTCTAATAGCTTCTAAGGAAGAAGTGGATGGAAAGCTATAAGGATCTGCAGAGAAAGGCAGCACACACACCAAACACGACCTCGAATGTCAGCGGGAGTCGAACAAAACCTTGCAGTGGAAGGAAACGACTTTCTTAACAGCACGGCATGTGGATTGTTAATCAAAGCGTTGGTTTCGTGGGAGACTCGGTGGAGCGTGCCAGATGAGGCCGGCGCCTAACAGATTCACTTTAGAAATGACAAGTGGAAAGGAACCCGAGAACGCAGACAACTCCGGATCCGGCGAGGAAGACAAGCGAAAGCCTCCTATGACGCGGGAGGAATACGAAGCGACTAACCTGGAAACCAGACAAGCCGCTCGAGCCGCGGCTGAAAAGAAGAAAGAGGGACAAGGCCTGTCGTACGACGAAGCCAAAAAACTTAAGAAAGCCGTTTATGAGGAGACGGACAAGCAAACTGCAGCCCTCCAGAAGGCGAAGGCATTGGGTTATACCAAGTAAAAGAAAATCAGGCAAGGGGAAGGCTAGGGAGCCTGAGGTCTGGAATATGAGACGAAGGACAAAGAGAAAGTCAAGAAAGAGCCCTTCAAACGGAAGAGGATGTTCAATCCAGGAACACTTCAAATATTCGGTCGGATAGAGTAGCAGTCAGAATCCGACATATCTCAGCAGGGATCATCTCGATAGCACCGTCAGTACCTATTCGAAAACTATTTCAAAGATACTGCGACGTGGTATCAATACAAGGAATCATAATCATACATCGAAAGTTTACTATACATCGGGTGAGAGTCTCTTATATGCCTCGAGTTACGGTCATTGCGGTCGATAAATCAGTAGGGGAGGAGAGCCTAGGGAGCGACCTGGCTTCACCAAAATGCTTCACCGGTCCCGGTGCATAGACAACTTGCACATCCAGGACGTGGCTCAACTTGCCTATCATCCCTTTGCCTTGCTGGCTCGAAGGACATGGACGATTATATCAAATCCTTTAGCAGGCTTCAAGCAGGGCTGAGTCCCCTCAAGTATGAGCGATGTTCTTGGCATGAGTTTGAAGCGGACTTTGACGTCCATCAAGAATTTGTCCAGCTTGTCGGGGCTGCCATCAAAAGGAGTTGGCCTGGGCGTAGTTCTCTCTTGGTCGTACGTTCACTGCAGGTGTTGGTCCTTCGGTTCTTGGCTCCTCTGGCGTTAATCTCCAAGGTTATCGGAGGTCTTGGGCAAGCTCTCAGTACATGGGACCAGGGATTCGAGATCCAACGAGAGACACCTCCATCACCTCCGTCTCCATCACTGCGACCTGAACATTTAGGGTGCTGGACACCTGCCAATAATGCACCTGAAAATCTTGCCGCCGTCGACTTGGATCGACCGGAGCTTCGTGATCTACCTGAGCGATACCTAGCGGTATTCTTGAACCATAAGAAGAAGCACGGTAAGGAATCCTACTTTCAACTGAATCGAGAGACTTTCGCTAGTTCCCCGGTCCAATTCGTGGAAGAGGCTCAGAGCCTCTACCGCGCTGTGGAGAATAAGATTCGTTGGGACTCTCAGCATAGCAAATTCGATCACTCGCCGGCCGAGAAACATCCCATCATCGACCCAAAGATGGGCTGTCGATCTTGTTCTCGGGATAGAGCTATGCTGTCAAATGGTACTTGTTTGCCAATCTATATCTTTCTAGTCATGGGAGCTACGAATTGTCGAAGACCCTCTAGAAGGACTGTTCATGTCTGAGAACGCAAGCAAGGTGTCGCCCACACCTGGAGAGTGGAGGATGTTCTGGAAGCGGTGGAAGGTCTGGCGACGAATTGAAGAAGTCGAAACCTTTTTTGCGCTTTGGGATCCTGGAACGAACAAAAATAGGAGATCTAACTTATCTCACACGAAGAGCTGTTGAACTCCTATTCAAGTTTCATACTAGTGCATTATTTAGAGCAGCTTGTCATTTTCTGTGCTCTCCCGAGATGCCGCGAGAACAATTCGAGCGCCTGATTCTGGAACATCTGGAGCACGACATGAACTTTGGAAACTACAACATCATCCGCATGGCTACGAAGGAACTCAAAAGAAATCCATTAGACTACATTGCTTCGAAGCTAGGTTTTGCTCCTCGGATGCAACCGTTGACACCAGAGCACCAGAGGTAACGAGCGCAGGGCGAATTCGGACAATAAAGACAAGAAGGGTGGTCTATGCGCTACACAAGCCTATTTGCTGTAGCTACTAAGCTTAGCAGACGCTTCCAGCAACTTGTTGTATGATTCCAACATGGATAGGACCTCCAGGGAACTTGATAATCCAATTGGATTAGCGACGACGAATAACTCATACAATGGGCCTGCGTGCACTGCAACAAAAGAGGGGCCTGGAGGAAATCCAGGTCAAACATCATCATCCCCAGAGTACCCAACCTCAACCTCAATTGTGTGCATTGGTGAAGCGCAGTCCATGCTCATAACTTCTCAGTCCCAATTCTGTCAGAGGCTTATGTAATCTCTTCCCGATAGGGAACTTGGCTTAGAGGCTAATGTACTGAGTTGATCGGATCTATCATCCTTGACTCGCTTTGGATTGTGTCTTTTCAAAGGCGCCTCGAACTTGCAAACTCCCAACATGGCAGATTCGATCACTCGCCACCCGAGAAACAGCTCATCATCGACCTGAGATGGGCTGTCCAAACTGTCATCGTGGAGCTGATCTTCGCTCGTCTTCCTCCAAACACATCTAGTACGCCGTATGATGTATTCTGCGGCTTAACTCATGCCCAGCAGCGCGTGTGGCTCGAGCCGCTTTTTGTAGTAATGTCCAGCATTTCACATCAGTAACACTTGGCATGAATCTCCATTATTATTGTTTCGTTTACAAACAACACAACGAAAACCACAGGCATCTACTTTCCATCATGTGTTCCTCTTCGGATTTGGCTTTTTTGTGTCCTATATACTTCGGTAAGAATAACCTCTTCATTATACTTTCCATGGAACCTTCACTAAAACCGCCCTCTTTAATAGAATCTAGCACCTCCCAATGTCGCAAAAAGTCAACACCTATAGAGTACTCAGTTTTTTCCATATCGACAAGCGAGTACAAGCGCTTAGTGGAGCAAACCTGGCATGCTATCGAGCAGCAAATTGTCTATGAGAAGTTGAATTGCAAGTTCTATGAAAGTTACGTCAGAAGATTAAAGATCTCCCAAGCGAACACCTCTGATCGTGGAACCACCAGGGAGACGGAAGACAGTGAAGTCCTTGGGCCACGAACGAACCCAACTTGTCACGACTGACAAAGAAAGGCTGAAGGTTTGGTTGTGAGGCCTAGCATGCCACTCAGCTGGCAGCCTTCATGGCCACTTATCAGAAGTGGCTCGTGTCAAGTGTCTTCGGCCTCACGCCATGGAGTGGTGCGCGGAACTTGAAGGTACCAACGATAGATTGATTCCAGATGATAGCGAAATTCTTTATTAATTGAGGAACGAAGTGTCGTCACTGAGGGGAGAATGTTTTGGTACTTTGAATGAGGTAGAAGATTCAGACGATGAGGACGAGTTGTAAGGTTATGGATGAGGCATTAGTGTTGGACATGCGGTTGATTGTGGGGTGGGCCATGGGTGGTGGGTGATGAGATAGCGCTGTGCAAGTGGTTGTCTCTAGAGCTCTACTATACCATTGACTCTAGCGACTTTGAGCACGTGGAAGAAGGAGAGAAGCAACTTTAAAAGCGAAGACTCTAGAGATGTCTGAACACATACTCACATCCGCATTCGTTGATGCTCCCAAGGTTTGGGATAAGCAGTTCCAACACCTCGGCTCGGCCCAGTGTGTGAAGTGGTCCGCAGACCGACTGCGCCTGGCGCACACTTGCATGAGCTTGGCTTATTCGGTTGGAGCATGATGGATGATGATAGACTCCATAGAGAGTAAGTACTCAACATAATGCCTACATGATAGACTCTTTAATACTTAAAGAGTACCATGTCATTATAACACCCGAGAAACGTACGGATTGCTTCCCGAGCACGATTATCTAGGGAGACTTTGTGTGAAACTATACGCCACCGCCCGTTAGATTGCTATCAAAGGACACTTTGTTAACATATTGGACGTTAACACCAGCTTGGGCTCAGGTCTAGTCACAGATCTAAGCCAGGCTATTGCTCCAGCCCAGAATCTAGCTCTAGCTCAGACTTTGGAGCCAACTTCGGAGCCAATTTCAGCAAGTCTAGCACTAGCTCCACATTCAGAGCCCTGTGCACCACAATCGAAGAAGCGAGCGACTGACTTGCTTCCAAAAAAAGAGTGTGGAGCAACCCTAACACATGATGCAGATATACACTCAGTCCAATCACTTTGGGATTGTTCGACTAATCACACGGCATTCGATAATCCTATAAATAGCAACATATTCAAGGACGCACGGCTCATGGACCGATCACTGAGGATACCACCAAGTGTGCCTTTACACTACGAACTCCATTTTTTTAGACAAACCAGCATCACACTTCTCAGAAACTTGAAAAGACGAAAACTTTCGATAGGAAGCTACTGCATCATGGAAGAAGGGAGAGAGTGTGTGTAGGAGAGGAATGTGAGGCAGCGCGTTAGGAAGAGAGCATCGGGTTGGAATCAGAATTCAGGAGCGAGATGAGAAGACAAACAACCTTGAGCAATCCCCAAACAACACTCTGAAGTACAGGAAGGCAGTAAGGATTCCAAGAAACTCAAGCGCCAAGGACCTGTTGCAAAGGATCAAGCTTCGCAAAGCCAACCGAAAGTCCACCTGTCAAGTTGGGATTGTTGGTGGGAAATGGCGTGCTCCAACGGAAAGGAGACCTCTCAAAACTATCTTTGGATCGACCGCGAGGAATAGCGACTCAATACTGCTAAGTATCACAATCTGGCTAGAAGGGGTGATCCAGCGGTCTTGACTGGCTCCTTGCCTTCAGGTGAAGCGACGGAGGTGCATCCATGCATTGAGTTTCGAGAGCTATGGGAAGAATTGGTCAAGGTCTGAAGAAACAAGTTTATCAAGGATGCAATATGGAGAACATGCGGAAAAGAAGATATCAGGACAACAGGCAAAAGGAAAGAAGCAGGTTGAAGCGTGAAAGATTGCACCATGCGACAAGAAGACGTTGATCTGTCGAGTACAAGGACCGAAAGACAGTGGAGGCTGAGCAGATTCAACCAGTCAGAACTTAAAGTCACTCGCACTAATGCAGTGGAAGAGGAGGATAAGTTGGTTGCAGAGAAAATCAGTTTCTTGAGTAAGCCGAAGAGCTTTGCGTTGTGCAACCGTTGGAAGGGAGGATACTATTTCGAAAGCACCACAGAGAAATGACAGAGAGCTGAATGGAATATTGCTCAATATGGATTCATATGCACTACCAATCTTTACATTCAATGAAGTCCATTGCTCGAGTTTATGGCCTTTTGTATGACTACGTGCTGTCTGTCTGTCCAGTGAATTCATTTCCAAGAGCTTTCACCATTCGTCATGACCTCGGGGCACTTCAGCTCAAGCCCTCAACTAAGACATCGTCATGGTAAAAGAATAAGTGACTCGATTGTTGCACTAGCCACAACTTACCAAGCCGACTACATGCCTCGAAATTCGTTCTCGCTTTTCAAAGTCGATCTTCTCTCTCCAGCAAGCTCCTATTGAGGTGTTCAGGGCGTGCAGATTGGATGCCAGCAAGATGTAAGGTCAGCTCCAAATCGCCAAGCAAGCTCTTCAACACATGTTGCGCGCCCTCCTCGCCTCCCATCACCAAGCCATAAATAAAAGGTCGACCGATCAAGCACATCTTCGCCCCCAACGCCATCGCTTTCGCAATATCAGCTCCAGCCCTGATGCCGGAATCAAAGAAAACATCCAGCTTGTCACCAACTGCATCGACGATCCGCGGAAGGACACCAAGGGAACTCACACCGCCATCCACCTGCCTTCCACCATGGTTGCTGACGACAATGCCCTGGAGGCCAAGCTCGACGCACTTTTCTGCGTCAGCTACGGTCTGGATACCTTTCAGTACGATCGGTCCGTCCCAGTGCTTTTTGAGGAATTCGATATCCTCCCATCCATGGCTGACGCCTGGAAAGACGATTCTGGTCCATTCGGCGGCAGCCGTGTGAACATCCTCTTCGATTTCGACGCCGTGTTTGGCTTTGAAGTGTGACCGAAAGATCGGATCTGAGAATCCAATGGCTACACCGATTTTATCGGACCGGAGGAATGGGTTGTATCTGAAAATATATTTAGTATCTTTTACCCATTGTTAACGAAGGATTCGTTACCCATTGTCCATATCACTTGGCCTCCAGCCGAGGATATATGTGTCAAGTGTGATGAATAAAGCCGAGAAACCAGCTTTTTTGGCCCTGGAGAGTAGTGATGCAGTGATTTCGTTATGGTCATTTGATGGCCAATAAAGTTGGTACCATCTAACACCATCCTCTTTATTGGCTTTGGCAACATCTTCAATGCTAGTGCTGCTCGCAGTGCTCATTCTGTACAGTTCCTCAGTCAATATACCTTCCTCAAGACGTGCTTGAAGATGAACACTTTCAAACTATAGAGTCTCTAGGGAGGACAGGAAAAATTGTCTCCTCTTTCCTCTAACAAGCGTAAGTGAACATGAAGATTCCATTGAGAACACTCACATGTATGGCACAGATTCCTTAGCCGCCGCAGCAGCCGTAGCAAGCTCTCCTTCCGGATTAAAAATGCGCTGAACGCCAACCGGCGCCGTAGCAATCGGAAACGGAAACTCCTTGCCAAACACTTTCATCCCAAGATGGGGTAATCCCGAGGTCTTGACCAATCGTCTAGGCACAATAGACCATTTGGCAAAGGCCTCACGATTCTTGCGTGCCGTCTCGCCGGTTCCTGCATTGCCAATGATGTAGCCTTTGGATTCGGCAGACATGCGCTGCTCGGCTTCAGATTCCCATTTGCTGGTTTGGAAGCTGAAGAGAGGTCGTTCGAATTGGAGGCCTTTCTGATAGATTGTTTTCTCGTACTCCACTGGGTTAACGGGAGCTGCAGCTGGTGCTTTGGTGCGGTGCGCTACGTCTCCAGAGACGTGAAAAGACATCTTGGGAATGTGTATAGAGTTGCAGTAGCGCGGGTATCAATTGTTGGTAGTATTTTTGTTACGCGACTTCAATTTATGCAAGTGTAGTTTTTGGGACTCTGCGGACGCTCTGTTAATTTATGGCTGAGCAGGTGACGAAAATAAAATTCCCCCATCAGAGAAGTTCAACTCAATATATGCGATTGTTGAGAACTGGGTACAAATGTATCCGCACATCCGTCACTCGAGGCGCCGCCATTCCTGTTTTACAGTAGCGCTCTATGACGACACAGATATGCAAAATAGGAATCATCACAACGAATGCAATACTCGACAAAGAGATACTGATCAAAGCAGCAATATTTCAAGAATGCAAGGCTCGGTTGAGGAATACTTCTCAAATAAGTTCCCACGGTACTTGTAAAGCTTCAAAACTTGTCTCTCACTTGAACGGTTGCAATGCTCGCTTAGCCCCACTAAGCCGAAAAGGGTAATGCATATAGCATGCCCCAATAGCTCATCAGCTCTGCACACTAGCATACAGGTACTGATTACTGACTATTGAGATGCCTTCTGGTAGATCGACCGTAGACGAAGGTAGCCGAGCCCAAAATCGCCCCTTGATCCAGGAGTCTGGACCGACCCGTTCCCTCGCGCAACTCTCGATGACGGCATGCTGCCGGAGAAAGAAGCCTCTCTGGACAGCGGTTGTCATAGCTGCTATTGGCTAGGGTTTATTCCGATTTCCAAATACGCTTTATGTAATCCCTCTCGGATATCCAATGCTGCGTCGACATAGTATAGAGGACCGCCCCCGTAGTTTTCTGAGTTCGCAATCCGATATAACTATCAAACAATATGGCGCCCGTATCTACTCTCTCATTCAAATGTGCTCTCATTACTGGCGGTGGCGGAGGGCTGGGAAGAGCTATGGCGGAGGCACTCATTGGCATGGGGAAGTCGGTGATCATCGCAGGCCGAACTGAAGAGAGTCTCAAGAAAACAGCAGGAGAGATTGGAGCAAAAGACTACGTCGTACTTGACGTGAGCGATATCCAAAGCATCAATAGATTCGTCAAGAACCTCGTGTCCAAACATCCAGAGTTGGACTGTGTCATCAACAACGCTGGCGTCCAGCGGCCATTTCAGATCCTGGGTCCAGACTACGGCTTTGATCTAGACAAAGCAGATCAGGAAATCGACACAAATATTCGTGGCCCGATGCACCTGTGCGTCTCCTTAGTACCACATTTCAACAGCCTCCCAAACGGCGGTGTTATCATGAATGTCTCGTCTGTGCTCGGATATAACCCGTTCAGTCTGGTCAACCCGGTATATAACGGTACGAAGGCGTGGGTGCATTTCTTCACCATGAACCTCCGAACGCAGCTCCGCCAGGCTGGGAGCAAGATCAAGGTTGTTGAGATTGTGCCTCCAACCGTCGAAACGGCTTTGCACCGGGAGAGGAAAGATCCAGATGACAACAAGAAAAGCCATGGTTCGGCGTCTGCGCTTAGTGTGCCTGAATTTATGGAGCAGATCTTAGAGGGTTGGAAGAAGGATGAAGACACTTGTGCTGCCGGCATGGGCCATGAGGTGGTCGAAAAGTGGTATGCTGCCTATGGAGAGGCTTATACCAAGGCAGGTGGATGAAGGTGTTGCGCAGAGTGGTTTACTGCGAAGAAAAGATTGTACAGTACAGTTCTTAGACAAATGTAGTTGATGAAGTATGAACGAAACCATAAATCGAGGAGTGAAAGAAAACTGGGCCAGGAAGTCGACAGCGAACTTCGGCTGACAGAAGAGAGCTTTGCACTGCATGCCACTTGGTAGTGAGAATGGTACGTGGACCATCCCAAAGAATATGGATATGGCAAAGAGACAGTGAACTATTTTCTATGACAGATTCGCATATAGCTCCCTCGGTATTTTTGTGTCTGATGCAATCGACTGCTCGAATTGTGACTCTTTCTACAACCCCCATGTATATGCCCATCCACTGAATGTATTCCTAAGTTCTCAAGACTCATTTCCCCAACGCCGTCCAGTCTATGCAATGGTATCAAATATGCCCAACCCTTTCCCAATGTCCCTATTTATATTCTATGCTTCGATCTTTTGCGCATCGCGGGATCGTATTTCGATTTCTCGTTCGGATTTCTTCCCCCCACTCTCGCTAGATGTCGCCATGCGCGCACCAGTTTCCGCCGCCATCTCAGCCCTTCTATTCAAAAAGCTAAGATATGTCTGCCATCCAATAGCGACGAATCCTGCAAATATAGAGCGGTATTGCGCATCAATAAAAGTGAAGCTGAATGCTGTGACTGCTGGCCAGAGTTTGCAACTGTTGATCACGGACGTTGGAACGGCTCTCTTTATTCGTTCCCAGACCTCAGGGAGTGTGTCGCCGGAGAGCAGCGATTGCATGCTAAAGAAATAAGTGTTGAATATCGGAGTGAAACATATCTGGTTCACGGTGACTTTTGTCGCAAGTGAGAGCGTCTTTGAGGCATAATTGAAGTTATTCCCGAGGAAAATGAACCTTTGGGCTCACATCAGCATGACATTTCCAACCCATTATGAATATACTCACCATTTATAGCTAGGAATAGAAGACCCCATACTGATAATCAACGCTCGCAGAGTCCGCTTGGAATCATATTCATCTCCGTTGATGTTTTGCGCCGAAAGATCTCCCAGGAAATAAATAACCAGCGAACTGCAAAATTGTGTAGCGTACGGCCTCTTTCTCTGACTTCTCCCATATGCTTGAAATGCTCTCGACAGAGGTCCTAACCGCTGCCATAATGGCAGCGTGGCAACAGTGTTAGGAACTGGAATAGAAGTTCCGTTTCCGTTCGCGGGGTTAATGTCGGGCTTGCTTTGCGTGGCATTGTGGCGTTTTGTGATGTTCGTGGGTTGGCGATGGGAAGGGAAATGGGCTCGTCGAACGACAGCGCGACTTGCTGTCTTGAGCGCAAATACAGCCATCTTGAAGTATTGTTACCGAGTAAACATGCTTGTGCGAAAAGATGCTGTTGGGAAGAAGTCCAAGTGAGCGATTTCTAAGAGTTTTGAGGGTCCTCGGTCGCCGACCGGGTTCGGAAGGGGCGTTTTTTAGCGTGCATGAAAGCGAACAGCCGGGACCGGAAAAGATTTTGAGAATCCCATCTTTTCTCTTCTGCATACTTTTCATCTCACAAGATCAGCAACAGATCTTTTGAGGGCGATGGGTTCTGATGTATGACATTGTCCGATGACTTACACGTCGCGACCTTGCACAACACATGCAACGTTTCTAGCGGGTTCAGAGCCAGTCTCACGTGACTGAGCATTGTCAAACTGGAACTTGTATATTATGCTTTTCTGAAACCGACAATGCTAGTACAAAACATACGGACGATACAATTACAGACATCGAGAGAAAACTTGCTATTTTGTCGACATACGAGATCCGTCGATTAGACGCTCCCACCATCAGGAACTTCTCTCACTCTATGCTTGAAAGGCAGCTTCTCCTTCATCCGCTCCAGGAGAGGAGCCTTGACCTCTTGAGGAGAGTATAGAGGCTTGTGCTCCTCGGTAATGTCGTGGATACCATCATAATCGACGTGGACGAAGGCTCTCTCAACATCAGCGAGGCCTGTCATGGTCAGCGTCCCTGTCTTTGTGTGAGCATTTCTGGGACGGACCTTCAAGCTTCCGCTGCAGGCGTTCTGCTACATCGTGTGTTGTCTTCAACTTCTCTTCTTGGCCCATAATGACGTCAACCTCGACATAGTATTTGTCACCTGCATGATATGCTCGTGCCTGTCTTCCATCAGTCCAGCTTGGTACAAAGTGGCACTAGGGGCTTACTGTATCGATCTTCAAGATCTTGGGATCGTGAGTTACCGACACGTACACCAGCTTGTTCAGAAAGTCTTGTGGTGCTGTCTTGCCAACCAAATACCACATATGTTCGAAGGCAGTCGAAGCCCATGAGAAGAGGATCAAGCATGCAATGCAAATGGCTCCTGCAGGATCTAAGAACCAAACCTTTTTGAAGTGCGTCCCGACGATTGACATGATCAAACCGAAGACGTTGACGACGATATCATTTCGATGATCTTGCTATGGAGAATGTCAGCGACAGTCAACTGGGGAACAGTGGGCTCTTTTACCATGAAGATAGCTGCTGCTGGATATCGACGAAGGAGGAAGCAATAAATGAACATGCATCCTTTGGAAAAGACTATCACCAACTGTCAACCAAGTACTTCAGGGCGACCATGCTTTGTCCTTACTGGCAATGCCAACGAAGATGAGAGGGATGATCTTGAGAGAGTCATCGTTCCGTGGACCATCACCCAAACTTCTCGCTGATTCGACCTGGCTTGGTCAGTACGGAATTTATCAAATGGCGAGAGCAACTCACTATAAGCTCCACAGCGACAGTGGTCATAAGTGCACAGAAGAGGATTATGCCTACAGTCTCAACTCTTTTACGACCCTACAGTGATAGCATGAAAGTCAGACCCGAGGCCAAGGTTGATGGAGGGACATAGGATACGAACCACGGGGAACTTTTTGATATTAGGCTTGGAAGCCAGCCTCGACGTGATGAGCATCACGATCGAGCTTACGAGATCCATCTGCGTGATAATGTCAGGAGAATGTCACTCATCGGATGACAATATGGGGGACTAACGAAAGCATCGGCTGCAGTACCAAACAGCGACAGTGAGCCAGTGCTAACAGCTGCATACAGCTGAATGATGAACAAGAAGAAGTTTACAGTCGATGATCCATAGATGGCAAATTTAACTTTGCCTCCATTCTTCAGAGCATCTTCATGCTCAAGAGCTTCCTCATCAGCACTCCCAAGGTAGGAGTCGATGAGTGCATTCTGCCGGTTGTAATATTTCTTGATCTTTCTGCTTTTTCCATGGGGATAGTCAATGAGAATCGATTTCCTTGTGACATCCGCTCTCTTGGAGTCTCGAAGAGCGTATGGGTCATCCAAGGCAGCTGTAATCGTATCATCGTCGTTCGATATGTTCCTTTGAGCTTCTGATGAGGTAATACTACCGCTCTGTGTAACTGTCGGAGCTCGACTCTCGACCATTGCTAGAGTAGAAGCCGGAAAGGTCGTTTCCGAAGATGGGTCCCTTGATGCTGCTTCAGTTGCTTGAGGGTGGTTGGATATTGATTGGGATAAATCAGTCTTGCCGATGTGACTGGACCTTGATGACATTTTCAATATTTGGAAGTATAAAAGATCGTCAGAATATGCGAAGGATACGATATCAAATCGCCGCCAAAGGATTATCTTGCGATTATAGAAGGCGCTTTGCGAAGAATTTCAAGTGAGATATCCTAAAAATAAAGTGTATAGGTATCCTTCAGTGTATTTCAACAGCGCAGCAAGTTTGCCACAGCGAGAAAGTCCGATTCAGCGTTTTCCACAATCTCTTGGCACATTGTATTGTTGAAGCACAAGCCGTATGGGGTACACAGATCATTGAGCAGGCATTGAACCGGAATCAGATCTACAGTTTCCTATTCCTCAAGCTGAACATCGAGTCCACAAATCTTTGACGTTCCGTAAAAGTTGGGGAAATCGTTCATCGACAGTTTCAGGGCAGTAAGAGGACCCTCAAAATGCACCGGCCTAGTGTTCAGTTCTTGCCAGAGGTGCACAGTGTCATGAGCATTTGCAAGCATGAAATCATGATTCGTTGGATAGTTCATGGGTCATGCAGGTTCACTAACGCGGCCCACTTATCGAGGTGTAACATTTATGCGAAAAAGTTTCTAATTCGGAGACTTCAAGGAAGTCCCCTTTCGGGCGTAGCCAATGAGAGAAACAAGCGAATAGAGGCGTACGAAACAAGAAACAATATGATGTGGCAAGTCGCGAGAGCCTCAAGAAAGTCTCCAACCAAGTGTGTTTATTAAAATAGTCCGTGGGCCACGGTATGATATTCGTCTTGGCTGTTCTCGCAACGAAAATAGCTACAGACTTGGATTACATCTTCGTCTCTCAGCTCCTTCATCTCCTGGAAGAACTCGCTAAAGTCATAAAATACCTATACTTCTCGGGCATTATTAAAGTGGGCTGAAGTAGAACATGTAGGGCTCAAGTGAAGAGCTACGGTTGTGCTTGCTGTCAGGCATCGTGTGATCGCTACAATTGATACGGTCACAGAAGCTTCTTTTGCTGCCGTGCTTGGCTTCTAGAACGCTGCACGGAGAAAAACTCCTGGCGTATGTTTTAGGGAAGAACAGATGAGAAGCTAGGGAAGAATTCTCCTTCGTTGCAGATCATGCTTAAAGCGAACATGCTTAAAAAGCCAAGGCAGATCAGACGCTGCAGGTTTTGAGGCTCGTTCGCCAACTGACCGGACACCCAAGAGATCAGCCGAAACTAGCGGGCCGAATGCAGGCCCTTGCAATTGCATTGCCGACACGTAGGGTCGGCTCGCCTCGTCGATGCTTCATTCAACGTCATGCTAGATCATCTACAGCAAACGGCGGTCACGGCACTTGAGATCGAGGCGATCTGGAAGGCGGACATAGCCCCAGCTTTGATGCTTTCATCTTGAGCCGCTTCTTAGCCTTGTGTCTGACAGATGTGCGACAATGAGTTGTAGCCATCTCTCATCTGAGATATTGTCTACCGGTAGTGGTCTTTTCCCGATTTAGTAGGAAGGCACGATGTTTTGAACAAGGGTACCCGGAGTACGGTACATCACTCGCAAGCAACAACCCGCAAGTCACCTATGTCGCACCAAAAATCTGCTGATTATTTTTGGTCAATCCAAGAACCATGCCTAGACCAGCTATATTCTTCGCCTTTATGCCGTGGCGCGCAGATCTTCTCCCCGGACCTCGATGTGAGGCAAAGCTGGGACCAAGTCTTCTACTGACAAGCACTCACGCGGTTGCGTGGCAGCATACTTGGTTACGACAAGCACTGGTTAGATCTCCAGAGCCGCTCGTCCTCCTTCTTGGCGCATGAGATGGGAATTCTGCTTTGGCCTTGCTATTGTCTACTTTCATTCGCTCCAATCCATCCCAAGTCCCAAGAGTCACGGGTATGTGTGATCTTCTCCGTATGAGATCACATTTTGTTTTGACCACCCCATTCACAGTTCCTTTTTCCTCTGCCAAGAAGTTTGCTAGTGGAGCAGGGCACGTTGGTCTGTTCGAGAAGAGCCTCAGAGGACATTGGCATTCTTGTTGGTTGTATTGTTTGTCACGATTAGTAGCACCAGAGCGATTTCATACACCTTGTCATTAGCATTCTTGTCACAATTATGATCGGCTATCGTTTCCGCTGAGCAGAACTAGTGCTCCAACCAGACATGTGGAGATATTTGCATCAGATGTCATATACCCGTGGAATCTGCTGTCATCCACCTCTCTCGGTATTGGTTTCTTTTCCTGCTTTCTGTCTTTTCTTTATTTAATGTATCTTGTTGTCTTTGTGTCACTACGCCTTACGCCGTTTTTTTCTTTGGTTCCTCGTCAATATGCCTTCCGTATGGCAAAGATTTAAGGCATCGTTCTTTCCTGCGAACGTGTCTACCTATGCGGCGGCACCTACGATCAAAGTTCGGCAAGAGGGACTCGCAGGTCGAGCTTCTCCACCTCCTGGATATGACGAAAAGAAGATCGTGGTGACCGAGGAGTCCACTCAAGCGGAGAGGACGACTCGCAGGAAGCCCAATGCTTTTGACAAAGTCACGAAGCTCGCTGGCTCGAGTGTTGTGGTCTTTGTCATGTTGGGCATACTTGTACTTTGGTTGGTAATGGGATTGGTATATGGGACGACAGACACATGGCAGATCATTCTGCAAAATGCATCTTCCATTCAGGTCTATGTCACAGACATTCTTCTCATCAGACAAGCTTCGAACGCCAATCAATCGCTCATGATCACCATCGCCGAGCTTCAGTCCCGCAACCAGACTTGCGAGCGCTTACTTGCAATGATTCCTGGTTGCCAGTGGATGGAGACACACAAGGAGGAGCCGAAGAAGCTTCTCCTCAATGGACGTCCAATCGAGGACGAGGTGGAGGAGAGTTTGTTCATGGTCACTGGCCGACAATCGCGCATCAGGACAGCCTGGAATAAGACATGCCATACTATTGCTATCGGAGTCGGCTCACTCTACGCATTCATCATCTACTGGATCGGTATCTGCGTCTGGATTGCCATTGGGCCCGCCTACCAATTCAGCGACACATGGCAACTATACATCAATACCGCCACTGCTCTGTCTCTTACAATCACTAGTGTCTTCCTCCAGAACATCCAGCAACAACAAGAAGACAAGCTCGAGAAGTGCCTTGAATACGCCCTCAAGATCGATGCCGAGGTCGAGTACAAACTTCGCGAGCTGACCGAAGACGAGAAGCCGAACCTGATCTTTGAGATCGCGGCACCAAAGCGCAACCGAAGTGAACGTGCCATCACTCGTTTCGCAGAGACCATGGGTTCTGGTCTCGGTGTTCTCATCTCTTTGGCCGCTACCGCAGCTTGGATCGCTATCGGCCCTCTCCTTGAGTTTAACGACAACTGGTGGCTCATCATCGGCACCTTCACTGGTCTCGTTGGTTTCATCGATGGTTTCGTACTTAGAAACCTGTACCACCGTGATGAGAAATATGCCAAGACTCAATTCCGCTTCTTGGAACTCTCCGACATGAAACTCCTCGAGAAGCTTAATGTCCCGCCGCCAAACAGACCACGCGATCAACGATCCCTCTCCACGCGCATCAGTATCGCCGTCGGTGATGCCTGCGGTCATCGGTTTACATCTATTGGTGCTGTCTTCATCGTTGTAGCTTTGTTGGTCATCGCTACGATTCTGAGGTGGTCGGAGACTGGACAGCTGCTTTGCAACACTCCTACCATGATTGCGGAAGGCTTCTTGCTGTTGGTGTTGATTCAGGCGCACAATATTGCGAATGTTGAGCGAGGAGAAGACTTTAATGGTGTTCTCAAGAGGAGACTTATGTTGAACAGTTATGTGCATGCGATTGATGCTTAGATAATTACTCTTGCAGAAGCAGACAAGCGGGACAGAAACCCTTCAACATATTTACAGACACCAATCTTTTGTTTTTTGTTATATATCACACACCAGGTGGGGTTAATCTGGGGTTAGGTGTTGCATAATACGGTGTATGGCTGGCTCGGTTTCGGCTTCAGGGCGCAATGGGGCAGGCGCAAAGAATACACAAGACTCTCTTTAACAGATCATCTTCGTCAATTTGACTTGATTATTATATGTGCAAGTTCACATTATTTCCTATAAGTATACATATTGCCTCTCATTCGATTTGTATGTATGATAGAAGTGGTGCTGGCACTCTCTTGGTTGTATGCAGAAAAAGATAAAACTGCTCAGTGACCTCGTGGATCGAGATGGCTGGTCCAGAGTCCGGGCATGTATGATTAACGATGAACTTTTCTTTCACCTCTCAATACATCGTATCAGTCTACTTTCCTCATGGTCGTTCTCTTGTGAAGTATTTCCTCGAGTGACAGATATATTTTCATCATAGCATAAAGGAGATCAAGTTCAGTAATTATTTGCACAAAACATCCTGCTTGTCGCAAATAGCCAAATCTCGACCAATAAGAGCAGGACAGTCAGCCGCTCATCCCACTTTCGATGTATTATCTCGCACGAGCTCCATTCCCAAGTCAAGTCAGAAAACCTAACTACCACGATGGCGACACTACCAACCGCAGCCTTCAAGCTTCACGGCGGTTGCTTCTGCAACGCAATCACCTACACAATCTCCGTCCCCGACCTCACCTCTCGACCCCTCAACCCCAGCAAGCCCAGCAAACCCCTCGGCCCCCGCAACGAAGTCAACGCCCGTCTCCCTTGCATAGCTCTCGACCACTGCACAACCTGTCGCCGCATCCCTGGCTCCATCTTACAAGTCTGGTTCATATGTCCTCAATCCTGGGCCGAATTCTCTCTTCAGCCTCGATCACATGACACCGCCACTACTCCAATCAAGATATCAACTAGCGAGTTTCTGCTTCCGGATAAGGACGTGCAGGAGAGGACGTGGGTAACTGGGTTCCAGAGCTCGGAATTCGCGCATAGGACGTTTTGTGGGAGGTGTGGGACGCATCTGTCGTTCTTTTATACGGGGCTCGATCAGAAGCTTGCCGAAGAGGCCAATTGGGGGCCGTATTTTGATCTTGTGTTGGGGAGCTTGAATAAGGAGAGTCTGGAGGTGGAGGGGTTGTGGCCGGATCGGCAGGTGTGGGTGGGGAGTGGGATTGAGTGGGTGAAGCAGTTGGTTGCGGAAGGGGAGGGGAGTCTTTGTTGATGTGTTAGAGTCAGTCTTTGGGATGGAGAAATGGTTGGCAGGTTGGATTTCCCCTTTCTTGGAACTTTTGGAGAACAAAGATAATGGTCCATGCAATCGCTCGTTCGTCTGCGGCAAAATCACAAGTTTAGGTCAATTGGGTCAGTCGAGTCGGTGAGTTGGCAGGTATCGTTTTGTAGGGCTGACCCTAACCTCTAAAGGAAGGACCAAGATAAGAGGTGAAATATTTGGTCTACGCTCAGTCTTAATTCCCTATGTCAAAGAATACAACCATACTATCACAAAGCTAACAACGCCAGAACGGAGTCAATACTTCGAAACACATCTCCAAACATAACTTCAACACCCAGCCTTCACCTAATGCCGTCGTCAATTTCCACGTCTCTTCTTTCTGGACCTCTGTGTAGATTTAGCGCAAGTCGATTTCAAAGAAGATGTAGCTTTTGCGTCTTCTTTTTTGTTTGCTGACATCGGAGAAGTATCAGGCACACTGGGAAACTCCGAGTCAGCTGGTCTTTTCTTATATGCTAGTCTCGCCGAGGTTCGAGCAACTGTCGGGAGGTCGATCGTGTTGACAGCGATTGCTGCCTTCGGCGATGTCTGAGGAACATCGGGGAAATCCTTCGTCTCCATACCTATAAATCTTGAAGCTCGAACCTCGAATACTGGACTTTGGCTGTTGTGAAAGGCTCTTAAGAAATAGAGATGTCAATAAATGACAGCTTGCGTCTCTTGTGTTTGATTGAAAGGTTAGAGGATAGACCTATTACACGCTATGCAAACACCATGGAATGAAAAGTAGCGCGCAAGTCTGTTCCGGACATTCCAATTTCTAGCGACACTGTCGAAAAGATTGATGCTGTTTCTACAGAGCTTGCCTCACTCAAGGCTAGCGTTGAAGCAAGTATTGCTTCGAACAGCGAGGGCTTTAGTGGTCTGGGCTTACAAATCAGCACCGTTCCTACCACTCTCGAAGGGCATGCCGGCACACTGGATGAGATCAAGGAGAGAGCCCTCCAAAGCTATGCATGTATTGACGCGAAAGCTTGATGTCAAGTGTGTTGAAGGTGGTCTCTCGATATTCTGGGCTATGAAAGCTTTTCCAACATGACTTAACATGGCCCAACATGGCCCAACATGACCAACGTGACCAACATGACCAACATGACCCAACAGTTTCAAACACTAGCCTAAATTCAAGTGGGAATTCAAGAGGGGGTAAAGGCAGGAGTGCAGAGAAGAAGCCAGATGTGGCGTTAGCAATGGTCAGTATTTGGAACGGTACCAAAACCAAAATGCGAATAATGATGTAGAAAAAGAATATATAGATAGAGCCCTTACATGATATCGATTCACGCAGAACATAGTAGTAAAATGCAGTTCAATATCTTGGTACCAAAGTAAAAAACACGATAGATCGAATTCGCTTTTCATAAGGAAGAGATCGCCTTCTGTCTGGATATGCTATTGATTTCCAAGCTCTATCGATATGAGAGATTGTGCCACGACCAGATTAACTCTCTACTCGATGATTTCCCCCTGCAGGTGGACGCCATTTCTTCGGCACATTCTTCGGCACATCGCAGCGTAGATGTACGAATATCTCCAGCACTTGGTCAATTCGTGTCCCATCCAACAACCGCAGTGCCATTCGAAGTTGTATCAACGCTTCTGCAAAAGCGCTGCCGTAGTAAGGTTAAGCATCTACTAGCACGCCGAAGTCAGCAATCCCTTCCGTCTCTCAGAAAAGGAAGACATACCTATTTAATCTTCGGAGTGTTTCAAAACGCAGTTGATTTCGTTGCTAGTGCTGATATACAACAAACCCGAATCATCCAACTGCAAGAACGGTGTACTGGGCGGGTATGCACCTTTCGGAATCTTGTGGCAGTTCGGGAGTCGGTTTGAGTCCCAGATCACTGTGGAAAGAGATCCAAGACCGTGATCCTTGTCGTCATCATCCTCTTCCGTATTGATGTTTTCGTCTATAAGTCGCAAAAGATCGGCCAAGGACTCATCGTCTCTCTTGCCCTTTGTCTGCATGACAGCTGATCGTCTCGCTCGTGAAGCTGGCTCGTTCGATGGCGACTCAGGAGTAGAAAGAGGCAGCTCGACATCGTAGTAAACAACGAATGTACCCCTACTCGAAAGTCTCGCATGCATAGCAGCACCCTCTGGAGCTGGCTCTCCTTCAAGTCCATGGACACCCCCAGCTGTCTGGCTGAATATAGTTGTGTTCTTCTTCAATCGTCGATCCTCGAAAAGAAGATGTCCGCCACTCTTCATGCTGAACGCGAATCTGCCAGACGCAGATTGCAATATCGTAGATTCGAAGGGTTCGCCAGCAGCCAAGAGAGATGCCCATCCATCGCCCCAGCCGGTGTAAATAGTTGGTTGGAATATGTGTTCTTCGACCATCTGCGAATTTTTGTCAAAGCGTGTTAAGGCCGTGTACATTAAGATCGTGATGATGAGAGAGAAAGCTGTGACTGCGCAGACGCGGCTCGCTGTGTCTTGCAGCATCTTTTGCACGTAAAAGAATTCTGGACCTCCAAGGCAGTCATTCAAAGAGTTTCGTCAATAATATGCAGGATTTTTTCATGTTGAAGTTGGAAGTGAAAGTATAACATGATGTCGTCAGCTCAGCCTCAGAGTTGGTTGAAACATATGCGCGCGGGTGCTTGTTTCATTGAGCGATTGGGATTCGCTAGTCAAGCGACGCGGATACGACTGTAACCCTTCAGATCGTCCCTCTCTAAGAATGACCAACACGAGCATGCGATGCTAGCTATCGACAGAAATGGATGTTGGACAGAAAATGGGTGAAGGCTAACTGAGCTACTCAGCCACGTTCGCTTAGCGCTTGGTGGAGACTAGGCCTCTTTTGTTCGTACATCTTTGTTTCTTCTTTCCGAAACTCTTCAATTGCAAGAATTATAGCAGAATTGATATTGTCACAGTCTAGTAGGCTACTGGAAGTCAGTATAAGTATACTACCTCAGAGGCTCTCATGTTTCTACTTCCACTCCTTCAAAGCAGATTGTTTTGCACACAAATTCCATTATGCCACATCTAGTCGTTCTCGTTCTCCGTGCAGGCCCCAAAACTGGCATCAATGTAGCCAAAGCCTTCGGTGCAAAGGGATAAAAAGTCGTTCTTGCATCTAGCTCCTTCGAGAATGCCATCAGTCCAAAGGGCTACCTCCAGGTTCGCGTCGACCTCTCGGGGCCCAAAACAATTCCTGAAATTTTCACTAAGACGAGGGACACATTCGGCATTCCAAGTGTCGTAGTTCACAATGATAATCGATGCCTTCTCACCGTCCCATATTTGCGTGCTTATGATTCCCACAGGCTACTCGGAGGACCTTACTTGACAACCAAGATCCACTTAGTGATTTGTCAGTGGACGAGGCAGAGCATGATTTCAGAGTCAATGCAACAAGTTTGCTTATCGCTGCTTAGCAAGCTGTTCTAGGCTTCCATGAGTTACCTTTTATCTACACAGGCAACAAGCTGAATGTAATGACGATGCCAAACACCATCACATTCGGCATGAGCAAGTCTGTTGTGGCACATCTAATCAAGACTGCTGTTCAAGCATATAGAGCGAAAGGATACAAGTCAATTATTCATTGTTTCCGTCATGAAAGGCGGGATTGCGCTGATAAAGCCAGGTTCTACTACACGGTCGAGAGATTGATCGATGGTACACATGCTGGAGTCAAATATGATGGACCAGCAAGGGGGAAAGAGTATGTTGACCTTGCTGGTGATAAAGAACAGCGAGAGTGGCATTATACGTTTGTGAAGGAGGTTGGATACGTCGATTTCAGTGACTTGGATAGCAAGTTTGTTTGAACACAAGGGGGGTGGACGTGAGCACGGCGTCGATTCTCGCCAGGCTCTATACATCGCATATCGTCACCTTCTTCTAGTGCACGAGAAGGACTCTTTGAGATCAATACCTGGGTCTTTACTGCATTGGTATCTCAACTTGATCATGTGACTTACCCCGCATGTTCGAGGCTGTGCCTCTTATTTCAACCAGCCCGGCTTCAGTTGCAAAGTAGGTTTTCACTATTCCCATTCATCGAGGCCACGCACAACACTGCAAGGTCCTGCTTTGAACAAAAAGATACATGACCTCTGCCACTTTCTCTGGTCTTCCCCCAGAAATCCGCTATGATATCTGTGAGTGACCTGGGAGCTATTTGGGTTTCTCATGAGTTCTGCTCGCTGCAGGCGTCAAGGCAATCCAACAACTCCTCCCATACTGTCACAAAGAAGTACACTAACCCGGCGATATTAATGCCTAGGGCAGCTCTCGTTCGAGCCTCGCCTGCTGTGTCTTCACATGCACCGACTGATTACACCGGAACCATCTGACCACTCTCCCAGTGGGCTTAGTAAAGACTCTCGGAAGGTGATCGCAGTTTCATTCACTTGCACTGCTCTGGACTCCAGAAGTGAAAGAACACCGAATGATGTTTTCGTTGAGTACTCGAATATAAGTCCTCCAGTGTCCGTCGACTTTCTCCGAAACATGCAAGTCGGGCCGCCTGGTCCAACAGCACTTGGCCCTGTGCAGCTATATGTTTGTCGCGAGAGTCGTGCTCTAGCAATGAGGAGATACGAACTTGCATTCGGAGGTACCGAACAAGACAATGAGAATCTTAATCCGAGACAGTATGCTGCATTGGAAGAATGGCACCGGAAGAAGCTGTGGGAAAAGAAAATATGGGTTGACTTCAACAGCGACGTGGTTCTTGTGGAAGTCATTCCGCGACGACTTGAGTTTCCAGCCCCTCCATTGAGACTTCCACAACCTCAACCTGGTTGGAGGGCGCTTCGGTGTTTGAATGTTTATGCTCCGGATGAAGCCAAGAAGATCAAGAGACTTGCCATTGGGGGAAAGTGGCCTCTCGAAAGCGATCTATGGAGAGAATTAGGACTAATAATATGCTTGAACACTTTGTTAACCTCTCATACAATGAGCATCGAGTTCTTCACGAATATGGAAAAACTGCTCGTGGACGATAGCTTTCAGAACCCAGAAGATGTTCAAGAGCAGGTCCAGACTGAAGAACAGGACAAGCTGGAAGACCCCAAGATGGTTGAAGAGGGAGTCCAGAAGTGGATCCGGGACTTGGTAGATTGTCAGCAGAGGAGGCTGAGGACAGACTTGGGACCAGAAAGGGTGATAACTCGTCCAGACAAGCCAGTATGGAAGGAGTTACCAGTGGTCAAAGTGGTTCATGGGAATGGTTGGAAGAGGCTCTTGCAGAATAGTAACCCAGAACAGCTGCAATGATGAGCTTACTGATTCTGCGTATGATCTTTCTAGCTGAATAAGCGATACCTAGGCTTCTATGGTAGCAAGGAGCCGAAGCAGTTTGTACTGATCAGATCTCCAGATCTCTTTAGAATAGCAAGCCTTGAGCAGCATCATTCGCCCAATCAGCGTAAATAGGATAGTCTATTAGTGCATCACTTAAAAACAGTTGATTGACTGGCAATAAGAAACAGATACCACGTGACGTATCGATCGTTCACATGGACCTGAGTCAATAGCAGAACACTGAGCCGAAAGAAGAGTTTCAAAAGCCTATATATCCCAAAGCTAAACTTAAATATTACACTCCAAAGCCAATGGAAAAGGTACCTAGGTACTTCCTTTCCCAGCTAGACACGTGATTGAAGTTACATCTGTTGCACATCGTAGAACAGGATTTTGCGCGATCAGCACACTCAGCGCACGCAGCGCAGCCAGCGCAGCCAGCGCAGCCAGCGGAAAAGCGCAACCAGCTTCTTTTTCAGAATAACGTCCTCCCATAAAATGTTGTTGTCAAATTTATTGCTTGGCTTGGCACAATTTCTCTATGCTAAGCTTTTTAATTTTCAAACCTTCCCAAAACTAGGTGTCACCATAATGCGAGACACAGCTATGAGGAACATAGAAGTGATCCAATATACTTTGTTCGAAGGACTTCTGGCGGAGTCTTCCTCCACAACCTACTGTGGCCCAGAGCTGCAACTGAACTCTCAGAGCGCAACTCGTAACAGCATCGAGCAGCTGCTATTGACTATTTAAGTAGGTAGATGAGCATCGATTCTGCGGCATCGTGAAAGTTGGTTTACGGAATTTTAACAAATAATATTAATTAATTTTCTCGCTTGTTGGGTGGTCCAGAATCTCCTGCCCCTTGAGGGTTGGCTGAAGTGGCTATGCTCAAAATTGGTATGCAGCATGCAAGGCGATGGGGGCCGATTAATAATACTTGCTGATGGTAGCCTGGGGCTGGAACCTCAACGAGGCTCTGCCTTCGAGACTTCTATCGATAAACATCATTTTTATTCACAAGCTCATTGTGTGCGTTGCAGCTGGTTGACGAGTATGGCGTCGTTTGGGTTCGGTATTGGCGATGTTATCCTCGCTTGCCAGGGGGTTATCTTCGTTTATCAGCGCTGTAAGAATGCGCCAAAGGAGATCGACGATGTCGCCGAGGATGTGAAAAGAATGGAGGCCACACTTGGACTCTTAGGAAGCGTCATTCGAGACGAGAAATCCTTTATCGAAGATCATACCGAAGATATGTGAGTTTTTCCTTGAATCATCTAAATACATTTGCTAATGTCCTGCAGCGTTTCTATGATAACAAACGAGATCCCACCATTGAAACACAACGTTAAAAGGATCAAAAGACTGATCAGAAAATGGACAAAATTCCTCGAGCGGCACTGCTTCCGCGGGCTAAATTTATCGTCATGGATCTCGGCGACGTCAAGGACTTGAAATCTGATCTCACGGATCACAGAGAAAACCTAGTGTATGCCATGCAGGTCATTAGTTTTAGCCATGATGCGGCTCAGAGCGCTCAAGCCAAACAACAAGCAGTTCAGAGACGCCTAGAAAGAGCGATTGAAGAGAATGCAAGAAAGTTGAGGGATGCCAGAGAAGAGTTGCATCGACGTCAAATCGAAAATTTCCAAAATCGAATTTATGAGGTGCTGAAGAAACAGGAGGAGAAAGAACCAAATTCTGTATCAGCAATTGCTAAAAGTGGAAATACAGTCCTTCTTGGAGCTCTTGAAAGGAATCTTATCGAGAGCGGGCTTCCAGCTCAAGACGTCAAGACGCATATGGGGAATTTCCTCGCTAGTCTGCGGCAAGACCTCACACCACAGCCAGCGCAAAACAAGCCTCTCTTGAATCATGGTGGATCACTCAAAGGTCGAACCGGCGTTGCTAGTCCAGTTCCAAAGCCGTCAACACGTCAACAACATAACTCCAACAATTCTCCAACTCAGTTTCCAGTTAGACCTATGCCCATTACGAGTTCCGAAGGAATCAAAATACTCTGTGTTGACAATTCCAATGGAGGTAAGTGATGTCTCAATCTTCAAACTCGATTAATATATCAACTAACCAGATTCACAGCTCGCTCGATACTAGCAGCAACATATCTTGAAGTCATGCGAGTTTGGACCAGCAACACGACCAACCGTTGGCTCTTCAAGCGTGTTGCCTCTGCCGGTCTCGCCGTAAGGAACAGCTACACAGAATCGTACTTCAGAATTCTCGACCCAGACTCAAGCAAACTCTACAATGCCGGTGTTCCCCCCGATACAAGAATAATGCCATCTCTCCTTGCCCCGAATCTCTACCCCTGGTCCAACGGTTACCCCTCAGAAACCTCTTCAATATCGCAGCGCATGCAATCTTTCAGTAGCACCGGTATCACCGAGGCTGACTTTGATTCTTATCATTACATCATCTGTTTTAACACTGCTGCTGAAGAAACACTAAAAGGAATGCTACGCGAATACCGAAAGAGAACAAATCAGGGTGCCTTCTCGCCTCAAATTCGAATTCTCCCCGGCTGCGATCCATTCGAGGTTGCCAGCTCGCTTGCCGATCCTACCAAGATGGCGGGAATGGTAAACTCCATCAAATCGGCGATCAAAGGCTTTTTGACGAACGAGTTCAGATGGGATATCGATGCTTGCGCTACTGGGACAAGCCGGTTAAGGACCCTACAGATTGTGCTACAGACTGAGCAGATGAGACATTTCTGCAGTGAGGAGAGCAGTAATCTCATAATCTTGAATCTTGAGGTAATGAAGAGGTGGAGGGAAATTACTATATGCAGTTTTTGGGTTGCGTTTAATAGGACATGGATTGGGAGGACCGAGTGGTTAGTTTCGATTATCGGGAGTCAGGCGACATTGAAGCAGGCTGAACAGCTTGTAAGGGGTGCGCAGTATCAATTGCCGAGGACTTAAGTCAATAGGCAAACCAACTTCACTCGTCGGCCTTGTTGTCAGGTACCCCGTCTTTTGACATTTGGTTCTGATGACTGCCATCAGTGGCCTGCTCCTTGCTAGGGATATTCAAGAAATTATCATTCTCCTTGGTCTTTGTAGTGCCGTTATACCCAATCCACGATCAAATCAATCAGTGGTATAACTTGTTGCCCTCAGCTTGGGGATAGTCCACATCACAGTAACGTGCATGTTGAGCAACGATGCGACCTCGACTGCGGCCTGCTTCAACATCAACAGCCCTCGGTATCATGAATTTTCGGAACAGCTTACTATTCACAAACCTCAATTTGAACTTGCATGGCACAATTTCCTCCACTCGAAGGTAGGTTGAATCGCACAGCAGTAGCGAACAAGAAATGCGCATACCAAAGCTTTGTATTGCCAGGAGCTGCTGACCATTTCGAAGAAGGCACATTTTTGGATATGACAAGAGACTCTGTCTATTTCATGTACCAGCGACATCGTGGAGCATAAAGCATGAAAAGAGATTCTCAAGGAGGACTGGCAATTTGACCTTGGTGATATTCTGCCTTGGCAAAAGTCTGCCCATACCCGCAGGGGTAGGTTTTCCCCACCTTTTGACATCGGCATGGGAGCAAGGGGACTCCTACCCGGACACTTGATCTGCATTCCGTTTGGGGCGAAGCTTCACTTTATCATGCGCGAGATCCAGCCACCTTTGATGTACATCAGAGATGCTTAGATGCCTATTGCTGTGGTTTCATGTACGATGAGACTTTTGACTTAAAAGATCAGGAGCTCAGATTTGGGGACTAACTTCTCTTCACCAGTGATTTATGCCTGCTCTGCGAAACTTGCTCATATGGACTGTCCAAACTGCCCAGGTGGATAAGATCTATGGTCATGTGACTGGCTCCACTTTTACAGCATCCTTTTTCTTAAGTCAAAGAAGCTTGAAAGTCTATTTCTTCATCATCGAAGTTCAAACGATCCTCCCTATATCATGTTCTCATTACGTTTATTATGGCAGGCCTTCATTCGTTGTCGAGGAGTTATCCATCTCTTACCGCGGCGCTGACCCCTTTCACGGCCTCGCTTAGCCCTGCCGAGACACAACCCCCTGGTAACGAAACCCTAAACGCAACAGACTCTCCCCCACAGACCATCTTCGTTCCACCATCACCGTTTCGAGACAAAATGAGGCGCTAAATCATGGATCAATTAGCGCAATCACGAAAGTTATCTGATTGCGATACAGGAGTTCGGTCAAGTAAGCGGCATCTGGTGCAGATCCTGTGTCGGGCATAACAGAGTTGCTCCATACACAACCCTCGGCGCGCTCCCGCGCTAGTATGTAGTAAACTGATCTGAAGTTTAGCCATCTTATCTTCAAACGTGGCTCAGCTCTCTACTTCAGATGGCATCCTTCAGCTCGGGTCAAAAGATCAGGACTGGGATGAAGTGCCGCGCATAATGATCGGACGATTGTTTTGGGCAACTCCTCCAGTTTCGGTCGATCCTGTTTACCAGCGTTCAGTTTCAACGGGATGATGATCCTCGTATTGACGATCATGGCATCATATAAGAACTACTCCCGTTTCTTGGAACTTTGTGTTTGTTCCTCACAAGCAAGTCTTTCCAAACATCTTCTCTTTGCATCTTCAGCATCAAGCCAGGCGCTTTCACATTCCTTGACAACGATTATTTACAGCTTCTTCACTTCGAAAGCTAGAAATCTTCAACAAATATTATACTTTAATCTTTTACAATTTCTCTCACAACCGCAAACATGAAAGCTTTCACCATCGCTGCTCTTTTCAACTGTCAGTATCTGCATCTTGTCAATGACTACAAGTACTAATATCTACTAGTCTCTCTCCTTGTCTCTGCCGTTCCTCCATTCGATCCAGCAGGAGCCAAGAATGTCGGCAACGGAGCAGGCGTTCAATTCATCGGCGGTCAGTGTCTCAGCGATGCAGACTGCCAAAGCGCCTGCTGCGCGAATCCTACAGGAATCTGTTCTGGTCCTGGAGCCTCAACACAAAACGGCAAGACTGGCTGTGGATTTGGAGGATCGTCCAGCTCAAGTGCTGTGGTCGCAGTGAGCAGTGCAGTTGCAGGAGCCAATATTGCTGCTGCTTCGGGAACCAGTGCAGCTTCAACTACTCCGGCGAACGGTGGACCAGCATTCGACCCCGCTGGAGCAAAGAACGTTGGCAATGGAGCTGGACAGCAATTTATCGGCGGTCAATGTCTGAGCGGTGCTGATTGCCAGTCCACGTGCTGTGCTGGCCCGTCGGGGATTTGCTCTGGACTTGGCGCGCAAACTCAGGCTGGAAAGACTGGATGCGGATTCGTTTCTGGCTCGGCATCGAACGCTGGTGCGGACACAGCTAGCAGTGCAAGTGCAGCGGCGCCTGTGGCTTCAAGCACAAGTGCCGCGAGCACGGCGTCAAAGGGAGGCCCAGCTTTTGATCCTGCGGGAGCCAAGAATGTGGGGAATGGACAGGGAACTCAGTTCATTGGTGGGCAATGCTTGAGTGGTGCGGACTGTCAGAGTACCTGCTGCGCGGGACCTTCTGGCATCTGCTCTGGGTTGGGAGCTCAGACTCAAGCGGGAAAGACAGGCTGTGGCTTTGTCTCTTCTGCCAAACTTCTCAGAGTCTGAGCACTTATCATATTCATCTTCTTGTATTACATATCTTTAGCATAACCTTGGCATCAAAAGTTGTGGGCTTAGGGAGATACCATTAAAAATTGAACATTTTATCAATTTAGAACTTGAATTGTCCTTTTGCTACTTGAAATTTTTCATCTATCACATGCTCAATGAGGCAGAAATTCACAATTTTTTTTATTACGCTTAATGATGTCATGCTGGTAACTCACTGCTGATCAGGTATGTCTCGCCTACCAAGTAATATATCGCAATGCTCCTGTATTCACCAACAACCAATTTGACTATCATCCGCCGATCTCTATCATCTCTGCTTACAGAAGCGCTATCGTACGTCATTCCTCCACCAGATTTCATGGAACTTTAAGTGGCTCGAATACAGATAAGATCAAATAGTTAGTGTATAGCAAAGAGGTGATGGTTGAAATCTCGAAAGCGGGTTTTAGCGTCGGGCTTTGTAAGTTGCGATGTGCAACAAAATGGGAGAACGAGTTTGTTAATCGGAGATTAACAGTATCAAGATTCACTCTTCGGACTCAACGATGAATCCTCAAGCGTTGAAACCCACTGAGATGCACGTGACCCAAGAGACTTTGAAAGTCCAGTCCTGGAAACAAGTAGCTGAAAGACAGAAGGGTATCAGTACTTGGCTGTGGCGCAGCATATGATTGGGCATCCTGTGCTGAAGAACCTTGCGACGATGAATAATGAGGGGTTCTTTGAGATGTATGATGCGATGCATGATTGGATGGAAGGCAAAGAGATCGATTTGCTTTGGGGAGAGAAGAAGCCGTAGCTTCGATTCTCGAAAGAGTGATGGCGATATCATGTGTTAATGAAAACTTAATTACTTCTCGTCTGTACTACACTCGCAAACCTTTGCTAACTGGTGTGGTAATGCTTATAGAACACAAAAGTATTGTGCTCTTATGACACCTGCTCAACCCTTCCAACACGTACCAAACACTACAAGACCATAAAATCAATCAACGCCAGCCCGAACCCTTCCCAGTACAAATGAAAGAAGCTGCCCGAAGCCTCAAGGTACCAATCTTGCATGGACCTTCCTAATATGTCTCGTCAAGTGATCCTTCCTCTTAAACCCGGTATGCTCATATCGGCATCCACTTACATCACACGTGAAACTCTGCGCTGACACTGGAGAACTCACAGCGTTGTCTCCAGCGTGATGGACAGCTACGTGTCGTCTCATATCTCGTTTCATGGCCGTGCGATGTTGGCATCTTGGTGCTAGTGGGCAGAGGATTGGCTTTGTATGCACTTGTTCATGTTTCCTACTTCACTGTTAGCGATCGTTATGGCTGAGGTGAGATTGATATGGATCATGGAAGACATGGTCTGGTGAGGATCAAATAGTGAACGTACGTTCGAAGGTATTTCTTGGTAAAGCTTCGGGCACAGTGTCTGCAAGTCCACTCCACGTCAGAGGAAGAGGCACCCAGAGACTGTCTCGGCGATTCTTCTGGAGAGATTGCAGTTTGGTCACTCCTAGATGGCGACGAGTCTGAAAGACTAGCACTGCTCACAGAAGGTTGTTGCTGTGATATAGCTGGCGAGGACTGAAGTCCAGGCGATGTAGATATTAATCGTTCCATGTCGATCAATGACATGGAGTCACTGGTAAAATCGTCATAGGTCATGAAGTTTGAACTTGAGTAAGGTTCGCAAGGTGAACAGTCTCTCTGTAAAGACATGCCCAAATTTCTGTCCATCTGGTTACCCCATAGGGAGAAATCATTGGTGTATAATAGGTCATCTGAGACCCGGTAGTTCTCAAAATGGTTTGTTGTTTGGTCGAAGGTGAGCGGTGTAGTGTATGAGTCAATAAAGTTGACAGGGTCAATAGGGTTCTGTTCGAGGAAGTCGAACGGATCAAAAGTGTTGTGTTCCATGCTGAGCGGATATCGTCAACAAGGGGACAATTCCGCTTGTTGAGAACTGTTTTTTCGTTTTCTGTTTTGCGTATTTTTTTGCTTGCTGTGTTTTGGTAAACCAAGTTAGCAGAAATTAGCAGTTTATCGACAGTACTCAGGTCATTTTTTGAAAGTAAGTAAAACAAAAACATCGTTGCGCGCCCCGAAGTTCCCGAAAGCAAGGAGACCAAGAAATCAAGACACATGAAACGCCATCGAGAACGAAACCGAGAATCCAACCAAGCCGATGCCCAACCTATCCAGGAGTAGCCAACGCCATAGTAACCAATCGCCACGACTCCATGAAAGCCAAATAGAGGATGAGGTCTGTTCATGATGAACACGAGACTAGGATCCATAGAAATGCAAATGAACCAACACCGACCCAACCGAACCGACAAAGCAAAGTACAGCCTAGATAATGCACAAAAATCTAAGGTAGTGACTCAAGAGCAATACGTGTTTTGCTCTCGGTACGAAACACTGAGAATATTGTAAAGAAAGTGCTGCGAAGCGCAGAAGTTGTTGTTTGGCAGGGGAGATGCTGTGAAGCAAATAGCAGTAATTCTTTGGAGAAATTTGTTGTCGCGCGGTTTCTCCAGATGGGGGGAGAGAGGTTGAAAGGGTGGAAGTGTAGCGAGGATGAAGCTGCGTGATTCGCTTTGCCATTGGTTGGCAAAGTGATTCGAACCCGGCACCGAAGCAATCAGCGGCCGTAGTCGGAAGAACAGCGATGGCCACATGTCCAAAGGTGGTGTTGGAAAGGTGGTTTTCTATTTCAACGAGATGAGAATTGAGCTCAAAATCATGGACGACCAAAACCTACTCAACCATCGTATCCGGATGATACTGCGACGGATCGAAGAGGGCAAATCTCATCTTAGAAGATGACATCGCGGTCTTCCTAAGACGAACTTAAATTAATTCTGGCACGCATAGGCTCGACGATATTATCTTGGACGTACATAGTACAGGCTCCTGTGTCAGGATTTCACTCGCTGATTGTGGCTGGTACAATATCGGTGGAAGTATCGTTTGGTTTGGCTGTGCTATGCTGTGATGAGACTTGTTATTGCGTAAGCTTATATGAAGTTTTAATTATGATAGGAAGCAGCAAGAAGCTGTCGATACTAGATGGGAACGGTCGTTTTTTTCGGGAGCCTCGACTGGGGAATTTGCTATATAGTGGCAGAAACGGCGGGCCTCACGGCACGTGTACAACATCATTTCGCAAAATTCCAGCCAACCACAGAGTTGAGAAACGAGGCAACAAGAGGCCCGCCGTGATTGCGCAAGGCGGCAATGCTGCGCCTCGTTAGGTCACCGATTACACGAGAGGCCCGCCAAAGAAGAGCCTGAGTCGAAGCCTAACTGATCAAAGAAAAGGCCGAACAATAATAAGAAAAGTGTTCAGTAAAGCGGCATTTTTGAGATGCCGACGTGCTCTGTCTGTGGGAAGGTTAAGGCTGATACAGGATGCTTGACTAGTATGACCGACTGAAATATATGAATGCGAAAGATTAAAACTCCTCAACTGATGGTCTTACAGAATCTGATAGCAATTTTATGCAATAGCTGGGATAGTCTTTGTTCTTTCAGTTGGGTCGAAGGCTGCAAGATTCAAATAATTACCCCGCTATTACCCCGCCATCGCCCACCTCACGCAAGAAAAAAGGTATAAAGAGCCAAAATTACTGCCTGCATTTGAATTGTTAATCTCACTGCTATCGAATAACTTATCTCGGCACTGATGCTTGAATCCTAACCTGCCTGTTGAAAGTTCATCGCCACAGCAACAACTTTGAATTACCTGAAGAACAAGCCAAGAATTCAACTACACTTCGGGCGCAAGTATGGCTACATTTAATCAACGAAACCATACTCTGAATTTTATGAAAAGACGGTATCAAAATAGCGAATATGTTATTTCAAGGCTTGTATTTACAAGAAATTTCGTCATGAATCGACCAACATTGGCCGGAAAGGAGCAACTTTCAAATTAGTTGCACCATCTAGGTCTCCTACCCTACTCAAACAAAGCAGCCAGCATACACCCTCCATCTCCACAGACACCTTCAACCACTCTCTAATTTCCCAGCTTAAATCCACCCCAATTCAACCTCTTAAACGTCCCCAACGGATCATACACATCCCTAATCTCCCTCATCTTCTGCACATTCTCCAACGGAAACCCGGCAAACGGATCCTGAAAGTCTCCCGCATCACCCATATAGACAAATTCGGACGCTAATTCCAACTCCTGGTTCTGTAGGTGCCAGTAATCAAGCATTTTGCTCGCCCAGTTCAACATGCGAAGATCGTCTGATGCGTTGGCCCAGCCCGTGGAGTATTGGAAGACTGGTTGAGACGTTAGCATGCAAAAACAAAGGGCAGAAGGAGAAAGAAGGACGCGTACTGATATAAGATTGAGTATCATCGAGACCCCACGTATTACCAACCCCGTTCGTCATCGCAACGCTCGCAGCGGACGCAGGCATAGTATTCATAACGAACGTCGGGACGAGTCCCTCGACATCACTAACGTCTTCCAAGGCGCTCTTCCAAGCCTCGTAAATTTGATAAAGTTGCGTCGAATTGGGCTTCATCGTCTTGCTAGCGAATTGTACACTGACTCCGTTAGCAGAATTCCTCCCGAGAAAAACAAGGGAGAGGCATTACCGAAACATCTGATTCGGCGGATCGAGCTGCGAATGCCACTCGATTGGCGTCAACACATTATTCAACGCCAACGTCGATGGGATAGCCGAGAAATTTGCAAATCGAGATGGGGGCGACTCAGTCCCCTCCTGCACACCCAACAAACTCGGCACAATCTCCCCAGTCGTCTGGTTGTACGTAATACTGATCACAGACCCAGCAGCTATATCCGGAGGATTATTCGCCGCAAAGTTAGCCGTGGCATCAATGAAAGCCGGAACAGCAGATTCGTTGAACGTCTGGATCGTGGTACTGATATACGGGATCGGGAGAGCTATAACCGTGAATTTCGTCACGATGCCATAGTTGTTAGCACCGCCTTTCAAGGCCCAGAAGAGGTCGGGGTTGGAAGTTGAGTTGACGACTACTTGGGTGCCGTTTCCGAGGACAACGTCGTAGGAGAGCACGTTGTCCATTGCATAGCCGTATTTGTTGATCAGGTAGTGGAAGCCGCCGATGAGCTCGAGACCTGGGACGCCAATGGTTTTGAGACGGCCGCCGATTGCGTACAAGCCGTAGGGAGTGAGAGCCTCGTAGACGTCGACCCAGCGGTTTCCGGGCGAAACGTCGAAGGTGCTGTTGTCAGCGGCGATTGTGATGGTGGTCATGTTGTTCAGGGCTAAGAGGACACCGCCATTGATGTTGGAGCCGGGGAACTGTGGGGGAGTCAAAATTTTGACTCTGGGTGGGGGTTAGAGACGTACATTCATGTGTCCTCCTCCTCTAACAGCAAACTGCGTACCACAGCTCACAAACGTCTTCACGCAACTTGGTCCGCATCGGTAGGCATGAAGATACAACCCGGCAGCAAATCAGCTCGGATATCCCAATAATCAGTCGCCTCAGCTGTATAAGTCGATGCATTCGACGTTATCACCAAATCGCCGTAGGTAGCCGCCAGTTCGGTACAGGCACAATTGGCGCCTGTAGTCAGATTTGCAACCGTGATGTTTTGCGCGGAGGCGAAAGTCGCTGCTGCGAGGACAAGGGCGAGTTTGGAGGGCATGATGAACAAGGAAATGGGGGTAATGAGAGACGGGAGCAAATGAAGCTGCTGAAGACCCAACCATGATGTAGGAATGTGAAGTCTTTATAGCAAAACTTAGAATTGTTGTTGGCAGCATCTGAACTGTGTTGTGCATAGCAATGATCGTCACCTTGTAGGGATGCGGGGTGTTTTTTGAGTGCGAGTCCGAATTGTGGAGTGCATGTTTCCGAGTTGCATGCGAGAAAAGCTTTCCTTAGTCCAGGGATAAAAGGCTCATGATTGGTGGGGCACGGGGAGGTTCGGAGAAACTTCCTCGCTTAGAATAGGGGGCGACCTGTTTGCTCGCTACCGCTCCGAGGTACCGTCTGAAAGAGGAGATTCTTGCTGAATATCATTCCAAATTACTGCATACCATGGATCATATGTCTGTACGTTGATGCAGTCAGAAGCTTAGTGATCGCACAACCAGGAAAGAGGATCTCTCGTATGTACGATTAAGTTTTACAGCCTTTAGCATACTTTCACATCAAATGCTTCATTTCAGATCTGTCATCGTTACTGGAGGCATTCCAGACCGTGATGGACCCTTAAAACCAGAATGCCGGTAATAAGATCTAGTACCGGTACCCCTACTGAGCCCTGGTAAAGCAGCCCCATGTAAGAACTGCCTTTGGTCCCTTTGCTTATCGTGGCTCCCAAAAGGCAAACCGTGGCGTTTCGATTCTTCATCAAGAGTGCCTGTCTCAATATTCTCCAGAACAACTTTCAGCACAACTTTGCTATTTCATCAACATCTATCTCGAAAAAAGCGTGGAATTGAAGTGGTAAGCGCACGTCACTGCCAAGGTTCAATTCAACTTCGTATTCGCATCTTCGCATTCGCTCCAATTAGGTACCGGTAGTCGATCCCGCTAGGTTCTTTCTCGCGGTGACCAAGAGGGGTCTTCTTTGCTTTAATTGGAGCTGTTGACATCAATTATATAGCTCTATGTAATATATAACACCTGTATAACGGAATTCCGTCCCATTTCTCCCTTGAACCCTTTACACAAAACAACACTCATCCCTTCCTCAAACATCTCTCCAATCATACCTCGGCATCTTCCAATCCATCCCCGAATCCTCTTTAAGCAGCTTATACAACTTCGTCTTACTCACAAACCACAACAACGTATCCCTAACCCATAATCCCCACGCCGTCTGCGGGAACGCAAGTTGCGGAAACCCCGGCGGAAGGTCTTCCATCGTCTTATACAGCTCTCTAAATACCCCTTCAAACTTCTCCAGAGCCCTTGGAACATCTTCACTACTCTCAATCTTCCCCAATTCTCCCGCCAACAAGTAAGCTCCTTCAATAGCAAGACTCGTCCCCACACCAAACGTCGCGTGCGCTGCATCTCCCAGCAGTACGGCGCGTCCGTTTGTCCATTTCGGCAGCTTGACTTGCGCAGCGCGGCTCATGTAGAAATCGTCTGCTGTATCCATCCCGTCCAGAACTCGCTTTGCTTCCCAACCTGTGTTCTCGAAGTACGAGTGTAGCATTTCCTTAGTTTCCTCCGTTCCGCTATCTAAAGCTTCCTCAACAACCTGATCCCGCTTCCCGCGGGCTGAAGTTGTGATGCATAGATATGCACCTATCGTCTTCGAAGTTCGATGCGGGCGCGTCATAATGGCAAGGCCTTTGGGGATGTTGTACCAATGCCACATCTTTGTATCGTTTGCTTGACTCGGGATACTGAAAAAAGCTATATATTGGCCAAGGAAGTTATAACTATCCCTCAACACATGCTCATCCAGGATCATCGATCGAGTCGGAGACGTTGAACCATCCGCTGCAACGACCAAATCAAATCTCTCCTTCGAACCTCCATTAAACGTCACGTCAACACCCTTCTCCCCCTGTTCCAGCGCTTGAACAGAATCCTCATAAACATACTTCACATTCCCCAACCTCTGCGTCGCCTCCAGAAAAAGCTGCGAAAGATCCGCCCTCAAAATCTCATACTCAGCCGTGAACGTCTCCCCGGTTTCAAATTGCGCAAAAGACCTCCCATCCGAACGCACCATCCGCGTCCCCTCTTCCGTGGTATGTCTCTCGCGAACGGCGTCTTCTAAGCCCATGCGCTTGACAATGTCGATGGCGGGGCCGCGGATATCGATTGATTGGCCTGTGAGGCGGGGAGAGGGTGAGCGTTCGACGATGGTGATGGAGGGGGAGAGATGGGTGCGAGAGAGCCAGTGGGCGAGGCACGGCCCGGCGATGCCGGCGCCGGAGATGAGGACTTTGAGGTTTGTGGGTGTGGACATTTTGATTTGGTTTTTGAGTGTATTCATCTTGGAGAGAGTCTCATGTTATAGAGATGAGGATGGTATATATAATATTGAATTTTGAAGCTCTCATCGTATGTGGAGAGAGGAATACGAAAGTGTTTCCGGAATCTCGTCATGACTTTTTCGTTGATCGTTTAGTTTCATCTTTGTTCATGTCTAAAGGATTTGAAGAAGAAAAATGCTTCTTGAGACTCGGAAATTCAACGTATGTCCGAAAAGGAAATACGAAATATATAGTGTGGCCTCAATGTCGTCATAGTCTGGCTCGGTTGCGGCTAGCTTCAGGGGTTCAAGTTCCCACCTCAGCAGCTCGCTTGTGCTTCGAAGTTCTTGTGTTTATTAGGTTGTCATTGTAACCTAATAGTTTCATTGCCATAAGGTCCGCCAGAAACGGCACGGTGGCACCACAGATCCAAATCGCAAAGGACAGCATCAAGCTCTCTCAATGTGGCAGCGATATTGGAAGTCTATAACACGGCTATCACTCTTCAAAGCCTCTCCGCGTTGTCATGTCGTATACTTGACTCTCATACACGAATCTCATACACCTCCCTCCCCCAACACTGAACCCCAATTCCTTCTCTCTCTTCACATCATCATCATTCTCAACCCCCCGCTGTATCCCTCTCAACTAATCCCTCCCCTTCTAAATCCTCTACCGAATCCAGTCTCAAAACACCAAAAAGCGGTATTTACTTACACATCCCTCATCCTTCCCAACATCATCATCATCGGCGTAACCTCAGCGCTTATCAAGCATCGAAGAGATTTTTCCCCCTCTTTTCAGAGACACGGAAACAAAACATCGCTCGAGAGCTACAACTCGCCCATCTCCCCGATAACTACCTACCTACCTACCTACCTACCTACTCTCCATCCCCTTCAGCAATACAATACATACCCACCCCCTGTCTATCTCGAAACACCTGTGTCTTTCTCTCTCTACAGAACTTCTCAACCCTACTACCTCCCCAACAATCTACATCATCCACCCAACCGCCCTTTCTTTCTTCCCCCTTATTCCCCCTCGCTCCTGCAAAGCCTCGTATCCCCAACTATATAGGGTAGATAGGGGACACTATATCCCTCCCTCCCTTCCTTCCAACCACGCAATCAAGATATATATCACCAAGCTTCATTCTCGGCTTTTTTCAAATGCTACCTAGCTATCCAAAATAAGCACCCCATTCCTCCGCATCAGAATCCAAAAAGGGACCAAGAGAAAACCAAAAAGGACTTACCGTACATACTATACATCGAAGCCTTGCTTCCACAAAAGCCTCACAACAACAACAACAACAACAAGAAAACCAAAGAAACCCCCAAAAAAAAGAAGAAGAAAAAAATCCCACTTAGGAAGGAAAACATTAACATCGGAAATATCTATGTGCGAACATAAACCCAAAGTGTTGCGTTGCATTTCATTTCATTTCATTTCGTTCCTATTTCCATTTCCAATTCTAATATACAAAACCCCGCCCTTCCCCCCCAGCCAGTCAGTCGTTCATGCAACCATGCATGCGTGCATGCATTCATATGTATGTATCTATAGTACAGTTTCTGCGTGAGTCATTCATTAAGTACGTTTCATACCATTCGCATCCCATGCCATCATGTACCCCGTCTCTCTGTCTCCGGCGCTCGCCTGTGTGCTCATAAACTCACCCGGGTATCAATCAATCAATCAATCAAATAAAAGCGCCCGCCCCTCCATCACGACCAGGCCCCTCATCAAACGGCGGCGGAGGCAGTCCTCTCCCTCTCCCTCTTCCCGCCTCGAACTTCCGCCTCTGCTCCTCATAATACCGCTCCTCTTGCTCTCTCCCTAACGCCATGCCGGCCTCTTCATCCTTCTCGTCTCTCCTCGGCGGTGTTAAATCTCTCTTCCCGCCCCGGTTTGGACTCCCTCGAGCTTTATCCTCCATATACCGCGCGTAATCCTCGTCTTCTTCCTCTTCTTCTTCCTCTTCGTCGTCGTAACTCTCCAACGCAACGGGTTGACGCCCTGAATTCGTGTCTCCTTTCACCAAACCCAGTCTCTCTTCCTCGGTAGCGCCTTTGACAGCCGAACTATGACTCCCTCTCCTCGCCGACAACCCCTTCCGGATCATCGGACTCCGGCTCTGCGGCTGATGAGCCGTCTCGTCGTGCGGTGGTACAGCCTGCGATTGACCCTTCCTAAACACGTTTTGGAACGAGAACTGACGACGAGCGGAATGAGGTGGTGGAGTTGGGCCCACGGACGAAGGATGCAGACTCGAGCCTCGGCTGCCGGTGCGTTGGTCGTTGATATCGTCGACGATGGTGATGTGGCGGTCTCGGTGGTCTGCTTCGGTCTTCAGCTGAGAGGGGAGACCGTATCGGTGGTCTCCGCCATCGGGTTCGTGGCCGTAATAAGCTGTGTCGTTGCCGTCTTGGCCGCCTTTGTAGGCTGGGATGGAGATCTCGGTTAAGGGGACGGGATGCATGGGGCTTTGGACTTGAGGCTGGTTTGTGCTGCGGCGGGAGCCTGGTCCGCCGATTATGGATTTAGCTCGACCAAAGAAGCCCATGGTGGAAGCGGTCCCTGGGCGGTCTTCTTCGTCATGATCTGAGTCTGAATCTGAGGGGAACCGGGACATGCCGAGAGGAGGATGCATTTGGGGTGATTGCATGGTCGTTGTGTGAGGAGTCTCGAACGGTGGGAATGGGGTTGTGTTTCCTCGAGAACGGATACTGGGGTTGGTACCAATTGTTGTTCTGCGTCTTCTTAGACCGTCCCATTCGATTTGCTCGTTCTCTCCAATGGGTTCGAGATCTGCTTGCTTCTCTTCGTGTAACCTCCTCGCTTCTGCCATCTCCATCTTCTGTCTGGTCTGGGAGAATCTTCTAACGATAGCTGCTGCTCCTCTGATAGCATCTGCCTTGGGTTCTGATTCTGGTTGCTCTTGTTCCGCAATGGTTCGAACTTGATCAAGGTCTCCTGCAAAGACGGCGGAATCAGGGACATCCTTTGCAGATTTCGAAAGCTGAAGGAGGACGACTCCAGCACAAATAATGAAGAACCCCATAACAACGGTAATGATGGATGTAACTGTTCCTTTGAAACCTCGGAACAGGATGGCGGAGGTAATAATCGTGCAACTCGTGAAGTAGACATAATACGTAGGCGTAACCAATGCTGCATTAAACAAATTGAGTGCTTTCTGTTTGGTCGTTAGTACATTATCTTTAAATTGAACAAGGCAACTTACGTTGAGATATATAATCTCTGTTACAAGTGTCGTGATAACAAATACGAATAAAACGTAAAGGAACCACTGATTAAACTGCGGTGTCCCTCCAATCTGAGCCACAATAGCAGCTCCAAGACCTTGCGTAGCCACCACACTCAGACCTCCAATGAAACTGCATATCGATAGATATACCAGCATGGACTTTTTTCCATATCGCGGCCCAGCCCACAGCGCCGTAAATACAGCTCCCACAATGATCAATCCAGCATAAACCAGAAAGCCAGGCGAAATAACAAAGTGCTGCATCTCCTGGATATTCGCCGCAGATGATTCCGACGGCGCATTCATAACGATCACCACCGATCCGACAATGCAGAGAAAGCATCCAACCTTACCCACCATACTCAATCGCTCCTTCAGGAAAATGGCAGAGAGAATCGTCGTGATGACCACCGACAAGGCTCCCAACGGCGTAACCAAAATGGCATCCACAAACGCATACGCCACGAAGTTGCATATCTCCCCAATAATCATAAGCGTCATGCCCGTCCACCAGAAGCTGTTCTTGAGGTATGAATACCCCTCTCCGGCCGCCTCGTTGTATTTCTCGTTGGCCTTCAACAACCCAATCTTCTTCAGCACGAACGATATCCCAATGAACACGCCCGAAGCAATTGCTAACGATATTCCAATGGCCTTGTAGACGGGCGGTCTCGAGGCCGTCGCGGGATTGGTGGTGGTGCCATTGGTGGTGTTGGCTCTGGCGTAGATCAGATTCGCAGCCAACAGCGCATGGCCAGCCTGATCCATTCTCGCGGATGATGTGGTGAGGCGGAGAGCAGCCGGCAGAGAGGAGGGAACGAGGAGAGGAGAGTTGTGAAGTGTCGCAACCGGTCAACAGCGCACACCCAACTCTTATCTCGTCGTTGGTTTTGTTTCGAGGAGGGGCGGAAGGATGTTGGTGTTGGGCGTAGTGGAGAAGGTGTGTGTGTGTGTGTGTGTTAATAGGATATTATCGTGAGGCCGGCATAAGATTCGCGCAGTTGTAATAGGAACAACAGCCCCAAGGGGTGGTATTGACAGGGAAAAGGGAAAAGGCAAGCTGATGTCGAGTTCAGATCGTGTGAGGCTCTCGGACGGTGAGTTCGCGGAGTTGTGTACCCTTTTTTTCGTGTCAGAGTGGTGGGAGGCTGGGTTGTCTTGAAACGGCTGTTGTGGGAGAGATGTTGGTATTTGTTTTGATTGTGGCCTTCCCACCCTTGCCTGTCAGGCCAAACAATCAGACGGAGCGAAGGAGGAATTGGCAGACGACACGAATAAGGATTATGTTCGATGTGCAGCGGCGAATATGGACATGTAATGTGTAAAATGTTCAAGGCTCTGATTGTGCGAATCTGTGTTCCTTTGGGGCGACTCTGGAGAAGCAAGCAAGATGTGTGAATGATGCAGGTAATGGGTAATGGGATGCAGCAGTGGCTTGGAAGGGCAATAATTGGACACGGAAACGTAGTGTAGTGAACCCTGGCTCGTCGGTTGGCTGGACGGACACTGGGCTGGGGACTGCGACTGGGGACTGGCGACGCAATCGGGGCAGCGAGGCTGTGCAGGAAGAAACACTCTCACTCACTCGCACTGAACAGTCGGGAGCAGTCTGGATCCGCGCAGAATCGAGCGTGGCGCCGTCTTATCGAAGCACGACGAGCTGAAGAGGTGCAGATGCGATGCAGCAGTTAGGTAGAATACAGAAGATACGGGAAGCTCTGAGCCGTGGACGAGGCAGAGAAGTGGGAGCAGTACCGTCCTCAGAATCAAGTGCGTGAGTGAGGCTATAGCATGTACTTCGTATCCCTCTCCGTCGCTATACAGACATGGAGGCGACTATTGCTACACCACTCCTCCGTACCTATGCGCACGCTGCAGAGTGATGAAATACTACTGTATTGAGGAGGTGTATCACTATTCTGGCCAGTGCATCGCGTTTCCCAGTTCTGCTGGACCAATACGGCGACCATGTCCCAACGCATCACATCCCCGAATCTTGGTTTGGGCACCCCCTGGCGGTGCACGCCGTTGACGACCGGACCGTCGCATCAAGGGCCAAAAATACACACGGCAGAGCCCTTGCTCTCTCTCTCTTGCGGAGAACTGAAGATGTCCCAGCAACCACCACACCCTATCGCGGCCCTCCTTCAATTCGCACACGACCATACAGTACAAAAATGAAGCGACACTCCGAATATCATCTTTGCCAAGAGCCTCTGTCGACCAAACAATCCGCTGCATCACAATCATTCACGTCTTCTCAGCCCCCCTGAGAACGACTTACCCGCCACCACATCTTCGTTTCCCTCCTCTCCTTCCTGCAACACTCCCCGTTCGAGAAACCCATCCATCACTACTTACCCCAACATCCCATTCATCCACGCGCCATCACCCATTGCCTCTCCACGTTTCAAGTGAACATCAAACCCGCCATCGATCGCATCCAAACATCAGGGACATCCATTCCATTCCTTTTTTGTCCTGGTGGCGGTTACTCGCCACCGACTGTCTGTCTGTCTGTCTTTCTTTCGTGCGTTGTCGCTACTACTGTGCTGCGAGATAGAGTTATCTGCTCAATCCTTCGGACCTTGATAAGCTTTTTCGCCCGCCTCTCAATACGAACGAGCGCAAAAAGAGCCTCTCGCAAGGCTTCGCTTCCTTCCTTCCTTCCTCCCCGCCTTCGTTCGTCCCTCGTGTCCAGAAATCCTGTCGTTACGCGTCGTTCTTCCTGCGCTTTTTGGGGTTCGTCCAATGGGATGGGGAGGACATCGCTTGGATTTTGATGTCGTATTTGGTCCCATCTTGGGTTGAAGAAGCTTGGCGTTGGGGTTTTATTTGATGGGTGTTGGTTTTTTGGCCCCCATGTGAGAGGGAGAGTGAGAGGGTTGTTGTGCTTATTCGTATGTTATTCGTCCTTGGATGCGAGGGGGCTGAAGTCAGACTCGTGATTGAGGTGGAGGTTGACACCGAGAGATCCGGAATTGGGCGGGCTGATTATGATTATGAAGTACATACGAGGTCATTTGTGTAGTTCACTGCATCTCATTATTCAACCTTAGATGGAGAAATAGTGTGAGACTCTTCATCTTTTTACCACTAAAGCAGTTCTCTCATCTCAGACCTGGAGCCGCACGCCTGTACCGGTGGAGGTCTTTTGCTGTAGGTATCCACAGAAGTTTTTGAGTGTTATTGGCTGTGTAAGTGCACTATGAAAATGCCGGGCGCAGAGCTCAAGAGTTGTTACATTTATGCTTTGTGTTTGAGGTGGATCGTACCTAGCTTTGTGGATGTTGGCATCGCTGACTAACGTGGGCTACAAAGGTACCTGTCCATCAGTACAGTCCTCCCCCGGACTATTGCTCGGTCCTCCGGTAAGATCTACTATTATTTCTGGTGCTATTTTATTGCTATGCTCTGAAACTCTTACAACAAATATAAATTGGAGCATAAATAAGTTCCAAGTGCATTTTTGCAATTGACATTCACGATAATCAAAGCCGGATTTGGTCGCATAATCCAAGTAGTTTCAAATATCCCGGTATTTTCCTAGGAAATTACTGTACCTTTTTGCCACAAGGGGAAAAAAAAAGCGAAGTTTACCATGTATTTTGTTTCAATCGCCGCCAGGTACCCTTGAAGAGCTGCCTTGAAATAGTATGATGTTGGTTTTCCGAAGGCAACACTGAGCGCTTGGACAGCCTTACGGAGGCTGAACCTCGTCAAACAACTATTTCGAACTTTGACAGAACTTTCTACGAACCACATCAATGAACTATTGCGAGCTTTGACACTCATTCCATCGGCGATACGGCGTATAACTCCAGTCCGGTTAATGGCCCGAGCCAATCAGTCAAGGCCATGAACTCGTTCAAAAGCAATTGTACATTACCCCCAGACGGAACAGCCTTCGTCGCATCACCTGACGTCCGAGGGACATTCGATGTCGTCTGGAGCTGTATTAGTGTGCTTCTCATCTGCACTTGGTCGATTCTCCATCTCAATATTCCGGTGCAATCGACTCCACGAACGAAAGTTCAGAAATATGTTCGAGCCTCATTCCGGACATGTACAAAAATAAAGTGGATGTTGATGAATGTAGTTGCCCCAGAGTGGGCCCTTGGAAAAGCTTGGAGCGATTATCGTTCAGTTGCTTCGCTCGAAGCCAGCTTTAAGCCTTATGAGTGGAGCCGTTCTCACATCTATCTCGCGAATATGGGTGGCTTTGCTATTTCCTTCCCTTCTTCAACTATGGCCGACTCTAAGGCAACTGAGCGTCCGACGTCAAGCCACATGGCCGAGGATTCCACTAGGCCTTCGAACCATACCCCAAAAGATATCACGCGCCAAGGACCTCCAAATCAGCCCTCTGGTATATGCGATTGCACGCCAGTCTCAGAACATACGAATGGCAACAACATGTATGAACCGGGAATCAAACGCTCAAAGTCGGCGTCAGTAAGAGTTTCAGCTCATAATCAAAAGCTGCCGGCTTCCCCTGTGACAATAGCAAGTCATCCGTCGAGCACAACTCCTGATCATCCACAAGACCTGTCAATACTAGAGTCCCAAGTTTCCGCCAAGGAGTATGTCGAATCTATCAAAGAAGACGAAACCCAGCCGTTCCCTATCTTGACCCAAAGAGATCTGGATCGCTACAAACGCTTCAAGCCTCTATCTGTGGAACGGATGCAAAGATCAGTAACAAGACAGTCACGCCACATCGGAGAGATCGCCTGGCATTCAGACGAGAGGAACTGTGCGCTGGCTACCACAGCATTCGAGACAATCAACCTGAAACATTTCCCCGACGATTGGGAAAAACGAAGAATTCTCATCTCGCACATAGACTGGCTTTACAACTTACGCGCGCTCCAAGGCGATATTTGGATTCTGGACGCGAGCCAGCTACTACTCGCCCTCAAGCTCGGAATCATCGCCGAGCTTCCTTACGTTTCAGAAGATGAGCTGAATGACCGGAGCAAGAGCGACGTTTTCGTGAAGCTTATAGCCGTTGGCCAAATTATCTGGTTTCTTATCCAACTTGTCTCGAGACTAGCGCGCCGCATCGCAACGAGCCAATTGGAAATCATGACTCTCGCCTTCGCAGCCTGCACCGTCGTCACATATGCCCTCTTGCTAGACAAACCGAAAGACGTCCAAACCACCATCACGATTCCCGCGAAACGATACGCAACAGCCGCAGAGATGAACCGGCTCGCGAACATGGGCCCGGCGTCCTATTTAACGAACCGAGGACGGAACGTCTGTATCCCAAACAACGCCATCCACGCCGAGGACGGCTCCTCCTCTGGCGGCGTCGTCGCTCTCTCCGCCGGCGCAGCATTCTCCGTGCTCATCTTCGGAGGCTTCCACTGCCTAGCGTGGAACTTCACCTTTCCCACCCCCGCGGAACGGGTGTTGTGGCAAGCGGCGTCGATCTTCACCGCTGCGTTCGTGCCGGCGTTCGTTCCGGCGTCGTGGGGTATCGCTACTGTTGTCATCCTCGCGTGGAAAAAGTTCCGCCCGCCGCCGCCGCGAGAGAAGAGTCCTAGCGGGGCGCGGTTCTCGGCGTCGGATACCGGGATGGGGGTTTCTACTACTCTGTTCGTGGGAGGAGTACTGCTGTTTTTTGCGGCGAGGGTGTTTATTGTTGTGGAGGTTCTGAGGACGATGGCGTTCTTGCCTCCGGGGGCGTTTGAGACGACGTGGTCGAGTGAGCTTTTGCATATTGGTTGATTGGGTGGCGATGGTGGATGGGGGGATGGCTTTGTTTATGTATTGGGGATGATATCTATAAACAGAGAGAGAGAGAGAGAGAGAGAGAGAGTTAGTGAAGGGATAGGAAGTTGTGATTGTATATTATGCTAAGTTGGAGGGAAGCGTGCCTTTGGGTTCGAGAAGAATAGTATACTTGAACAAAGGGTAAAAGAAAATTTCAGGACTTATTATGATTTTTGGCGAAAAAAGATTTTTGATGCCACAGCTTTCAATCATAAGATTCTAATACTATAAGAGGATCAAGGCTCGATATTTTGAGCCTCATCCTTAACCTCAAAGCTCGCATATTTTGAAGATTTTCCCCTGGTGGATGGATATCTCAGAACTTCAGGCCTTGCCTCTGTCTGAATGCCACCAGCTCCCACTGGATAAGTATCACGGGCGAGGCCGAGAAGGGAGAGGCTCAGGAAGGAGGATATGCGAGGTGCGAGAGAGAGGGGCAGAGACCTCGAGACAGCTTGTAAAGCGCGCGAAAGCTGGGGACGATGAGGTGCACGTGTCCTACGGTACCGTTGTTTTACTTGTGGATCGAGGAACGAGGCATTACTTTAGCACGTGTGAACAGCTTTATGTTTAAACTTGCACTTGGAAAAGTTGTCAATGTATCATATGGTAGACTAATCTTTGATACGGTGTCGAAATCTTGTCTGCCGCGAAATGATTCGGAGGTCTTGGTTTGATTGAGTTTCATGAATGTTTTATTTGTATGTTATTGCAACAACGATATACTTTCGTTCCCCTCATTTCAAATATCGTTAATGCGTCTCGAGATTTTATGAGTTGAGACAGCATTGCGATGTTTGGGGCGGGCTCTAGCACGGCGTCACTTGAAAGAGCGAGTTACCCTTCTCATAAACCATGCTTCATGTTGACAATGTGCTTTAGAAGTAATGCTGGAACGATAGCGCTTTGCTGTACCTTACTGCAATATATGCTCGATTATAGACCATCATTCGTTCGCTCGAAATTTCAAGTACTGAAAGCTAATCCCTGGGAGATGACGGTTGACAGTTAACGATTCTACTAAGTTTGCCAAGATGATCTTGGCCTTCGGAGATGGGCACCATATGTGCTGTCGCCGGCGAATACCCGGTATATGTACTGGACGCAGATATATTGCCGTTTGTCCCCACAGATAAATTTTGACTTTTTGAGATACGGTACTTGATGATGCACCAGGAAAGAAACTCTGAAGACGGACAAACAATTTTCCGTGCTCCGAGGCCACGACTAGGGGGTTGTTGATGGAACTGCCGTCAACTATGATTTACTGCCTGGTCCAAAGACGTCGAAATAACCGCATGTGAAAAGGGCAGACCATGGAACATTCAATACGAAGCAGTGACAGAGATTGGCGAGGCCTCACCAAGACTTGACAGAGACGATCTGCAGCGCTGGCCACCAGGTAAGCCGCCACCAGCTGAAGCAGCTGATATGCAATAGCCTGAGGCAGGTAACTCATGGTCCAATTGTCCGTAAGTTCCAAGAGGCACTGAGGGCTTGATACTTTGCTCTCGGATGCTTCATGACAAGGAGAATGGATGAAGCAATGGTGCAGCTAGTCAGTGACCGTTGAGAGATTGAAGGAGCAGAACTCCAAGGATTCACGTGATAGATTAAGTTCACCTCGGCTAGTCTGCCCCACCATTGTGGTCGCACAATTCGCCTCCTTCATTTACTCACCGCATATTCTCTCTCCTCTCCCTCACCATCCGCGTTTCGCATCATGGCATTCGGCATGTGCCTGACATCTTGAAACTCATTTATACTGTTCTGCATCCAATGCGATAAGGACAGAGTTTCGTGCGCTCTTCCTTTCTGCACTTCACCAACGGAGCAAAGCTGCTTGAAATGGAAGGAGCTTGGGCTGGGCTCGTGTGAATGATTGCTTCATCCCACCTCCGCCGAGTTCTCCTCCACTTTTGACCAGTTTTCTCGGCCATTGGCAGAGCTCACCGCACCACCCCCAGCCCGAGACGCACAACATGATTTGACTGAGTGTCCCGTCGATATGCAGCAAACACGATGAGGAATAGCTTCAGAACGCCACGAACCGAGCGGAACAGGGAACGGCCCAAGCTCTTCAACTCTACGGTGGTACAGTCGAGACAGTACAACAAGTCTTTCTCCTCACCTTGGTGATGATCGGTTGGCGCCCGCACCTGCAACCTGCGACGACCACCAGGACCTCACCAACGACGAGCCAGTCTACTGTAGGCGGCTACGTCTCCTCCTCCTCCATTGCTCCGTTATGCGTCTTTTGGCGAAGAGCGCTCTCACCCGCTTATCTCTCTGGTCCCCCACGCCAGCAAGCCACAAACTTGTTGGCCCTTTGGGCCGTGTTCATCAAGACAACGTTGCCAAGAGTGTACAGTATTCCGAGAATCATTATCCTCATCTCAGCTTTTAATATTGGGTACCTGAAGTAATGCCACAGCGCTTACGGGCAGACGTTGGTAACGTCTGAGAAAATGAATTGACAGCTGCAGCCCTTTAGAGATGCGTCCAGTGGCAGTCTTTACCACTCAAAGCTGAGCTGTCTCGCTGTACGCTCGTACAGTACGCTCAGGTGTGGCTCCCGCACTCCGCTCCGCTTAGCCCTGGCTTTCGCTTAGAACCACCCACATGGGTTCTCACGTTATCGCTCTGACATGGATGCTGATATTAATACGTACTGGCGTGCTTCCTGCCCTACATATCACCACGATCCCTCCATTTTGAGATGGCGAGTTGCCAAGACTCTTCTTCCAACGTATGCGCAAGCTTCAGATTTGATATGAAGTTCACGATTTGGTTCAAGACCAGAAGCCGGCCGTGAGCGATGCCGAACGATACTTCGTGTTCGCCGAGTGGTACTTGTGTGATTTTGACGGGGACGGTGACCAATGGTACAGACTTCGTTGCTCAGTATGATCCCAGTGCGGCGGCACCACATTGGCATTCACGGATGGAATTGGCGACGATCATCGTGTGCAATTCTTTGTCATGTAAGATTACTTTCATTGTCATTGACATGCTTTCGAAAGTGGAGTCTTGTTAAGATTATCTACAATTGTGTACGTCATCAGACAATTCTTGATTCTGACAAACTTCTAGTCATTGTGATTGTATCTCGAGTATGGTATCGATGGACCAAACTCAAGCGATTCCGTGGAGACGATAGATGGATGCTTTTTGCTGCTGTATGCGACATTGAAAGTTTAAAACGATTCCATATACTAACTTTTTGAAGCTCATTCTGCTTCCATTTACTGCCAGTCAAATTGGGACGAACGCCTATGGAAGCGGACTCTACATGAGGAATGTCCCGAAATCTTGGAGACCCATGCATTGGCATGTACGTTATCGGCCTCTCTACAATGACATTTCGCTGACATTGATAGTTCATGCTTGGCTGGGTCGGATACTATATCGTAGTAACCAGTATAAAGCTTTCCGTCTGCTTTTGCTTTCTCCAAATTTGTATGTCAATTCATCCTCGTTCGGTACAGCACGCTCATTGGCCTTAGTGACCATTCACCACAAATCCTCGACATATTGCGTCTATGGACTCTGTACCCTCATTGCTAGTCTGGGACTGACAATGTCCTTCTCATGGCTATTCGATTGTTCACCGTTCCTGAGCAATTTTGTCTGGAGTATTCAAACTAATACATGTATTAACTATGATATATTCCGCTACCGTAAGTGACCTATCAATACGTGTGGCTCTCTTGCTAACACCTTTCAGTATGGATTGGCGTCAGTATACCGATTGATCTCGCAATATTGAGCGTACCTGTCCAATTCTTGAAGCGACTGAAGCTGCGAACCCATGAGCGTCGGATCCTGAAGATGGTATTTGCTGCTACACTACTCGGCACGATTACCTGGTTAGTACAATTGTTCAATTAGACGTTGCAATGCTAATTCCCCTCAGTGCTATCGGAATATATGGCGCATTCGAGACTCGGACCGCGGAAGGCAACAATGCATTCTACCAAGAAACCGCATTTGTTATGATGTGCGATATTGAAATATTGATGTACACATTAGGTGCCTCGTTTCCAAGTATGTACTCCTGTTTGCCCTCGATCCCAGTCTTCGGCTCGCTGGCTGTATTCATAGATCCTGACAATTATAGTACTCTCCCGGTATATGGTGCAACGAGCAGACCCCGGTCCTGGTCAAACACACGAAAACTTCTCCTCATGGGCACGCTACGTTCCGAACTTCTTTTCTTCCCGTACCCTTTCCACGAATCACCACGTCACTCTCCCACGCTCTCGACATCCCGATACTCATACAGACGAGGCGGCACTGAAATCCCAGGCGATTGAGGAACAGAGTACTTGCAATACTCCTGATCTGCCGGAAAAGAGCTATGGTTCGGAGAGGAGTGGGTGTACAGAAAACACTGATGTGGAAAGGGCAGATGTGGTGACGGTCCGGAGAGAGGTTAGCGTGTCGAGGGAGGTCGGAGGAGAGACATTGGAGGAGTATATGAGAAGTCGTGTTATTGGGCAGGGATGGTAGATATACGGTTGGCATGGTTAAGGACATTGGGGATACGTGAGGTTGATTTTCTTTTCCTGCGATTCAGCGTGGCGTTGTGGCACTGGGGATGGGCGTTCTTGAGGCGTTGACATGTCTCATGTCTATCGATTTTGTGGCGTTGGGAAGGATACGGATCTCTGATGATGTTTCATCAGATGGGGTGCTGGATATGGTTGGGGGAGTGGGAGGGAATCTAGCTTTCAGCTATGATGGTCAATATCAAAATTCTCATGTCCTACTATCAGCTCAAATCAGGGTATCATATTTCTTTATCCATTTTGTCTCTTCGTTGTTCTTGTTCTCTCCAACTTCCGAAGCTCACTGAGGTCAACAAGTCCCTCATTATCTATGTCGTTCCAGCAAACCGTCCCAGTAGCGAGCTTTGCAGCCGATTGATTCTCGTTCCGAAACAACCAATAGTCGCCCACCAGATAGGAGTAAGTAAACAAAATCCCCCATAATCCCAAACCGCGGGGTCCCGCTAACCCCGCATCCAGCTGACAGTTCTAGTTCCATCATACCCGAGTCCCGCCATCACACCAGCGATTACTCAACATACTCCTCGGCCTCATCTCACAATATACAGTAGCTCGTCCGCTCTCCTCCTCAACTCCAACAACAAGTATCAACCAACCTATTTTCCAATCCACCCAACAAAATAAAAGCAACTCGGAAAAAAAATGATCCCCTCACCAACCCCCCTCTCTCCCCCAACGACCTACGAAACCCTTCCTTTAACACATATAAAAGTCACCCACTACCCGCCCGGATCTCCTACTGCGACGCAGGTGGTGGTCGTTAGCCTCAATAGGCCGGAGAAGCAGAATGCGTTTACGGTGGAGATGATGGGGGATTTTGAGACTGTATTGCCTTCCCTTTCCTTTTCGTTTTCCTATTTCCCTTGTTTTTGTGGTGGAGGTAATGTTATAAACAGATCTACCCACTATTAGACGTCGACGAGCGAGTAAAAGTAATCGTCCTAACAGGAGCCGGCAGGACGTTCTGCGCGGGCGCGGATCTGGAGAGGGGGTTCAAGGGGGGTGAGGAGAGGGCGGTGGATCATAGGGATGGGTATGTCTTTCTCCTTCCCTGACGAAGAAGAGAGATGTTAAGACAGAGATAGAGGAGGGAGGGTCGCGTTAGCGATCTACAGGTGCAGGAAGCCTACTGTTGCCGCTATGCAGGGGAGTGCTGTTGGTGTGGGTATGACGATGGTGTTACCTGCTGCTATCAGGTGTGTCTTTCCTTTCTTTCCTTTCTTCCTTCCTTTCTTTCTTGTACGAATAAATAAAGAAAGAAGGATGGAGACTAAAGAAGAACAAAAACAGAATTGCCCACGAAACCAGCAAATACGGCTTCGTATTCGCCCGCCGTGGCATCACAATGGAATCCGCATCCTCCTTCTTCCTACCTCGTCTGATCGGGTATTCGCGAGCCATGTACCTGATCACAACAGGCGCCGTCTTCCCGCCTACGTCGCCACACTTCGGACACCTGTTTCAAGAAACTGTTAAAGATGCGAACGAGGTGTTGCCCAGGGCAATCGAATTAGCGACAGAGATAGCCGAGCATACGAGTGGCTTGGCGGGGTTCCTGAATCGGAATCTGATGTGGAGGGGTCCTGGGAGTGCGGAGGAGAGTCATTTGGTGGATTCGGCGGTGCTTTATCATATGTTTTCTAATCGGTGAGTGAGCTTGATGACGGGGAAGGGAGGGGAGAGAAAGAGGGAAAGAGGCTGATGCGAAATTTAATTGTAGGGATCAGAGGGAGGGAGTGAGCAGCTTTTTGGAGAAGAGAAGGCCGAGGTTTGAGGCGACGGTGGAGGAGGATGCGCCGCCGACGTTTCCGTGGTGGGTGGAGGTTGATACGGGGAGTAGGGCGAAGGTTAGGAAGGGGCCGGCGAAGTTGTAGGGAGGGAGGGCCGTGGAAGGGTGGTTTTTGTGGGTTAGTTGGTTTGAGAGAGATTGGTTAGGGATGGGTAGGATGTCTTTGGGTGTGAATGTTTTATACTTCATGATAGAGAGATTCTGGAAGGAAGTTCTGCTCAATGATAGTCCTGTCTTGGAAAGCCTGGGACGCTTTCTTTGGGCTAGATGCGGACAGCATTTTTGTGTGAGACAGATGACAGGAGATTATCTGTGCTGAAGATAAAAGGAGAAGGAGTTGAGAGTCCGAGGCAACAACTGGAATTTCATGCTCACTAAGACATTGTAAGGAAGTGCTCGAGAAAGCTGATAATCAAGTAGACCAAAATGTGATGTCTGAAATTTGTCTACACCTATCATCTCTGCCTTTTTAGTTTTGCGTGAAGCTGTTTATCTCGTTCAATTCCAACCAGTGTTAACAGGATCTTGTAATTGGCTTCAATACTTACCTCGGTGTAGGTTCAGTAATCACCTCAGGTCGGCTATTCAAGTTGCGTGGACAAAGTACAAGATGTACAGCATCCAGCCAGCAGGCAAGTTCACCCACATCTCACAAGTCCCAAGAAATGTCCTCCCTCAAAGCAGACGTTTATGTCTCCCCTCCCATTCCCTGGAAGAAGCCCAATGGCACCGTCGGCGGACCTTGGTCACCTATCACTAGCACACTAATCCACTCACCTTCCTCCGCGATCCTAGTCGACACTCCCATCACCATCTCCCAAACAACGGACCTGATAACCTGGATCAAAGCAACCATACCTACCAAGAAACTGACCAAGATATACATAACGCACGGCCACGGCGACCATTTCTTCGGCCTGCCTCTCTTACTAAAAGAGTTTCCAGAAGCGGAAGCAATCGCAACGAAAGGAACCGTAGAGCACATGAAACAACAGATCACTCCTCAACTGCTCTCCAAAACATGGGAAATCCAATTCCCAGACCAAATCGCAAAGCCATTCATCCTCGCAACCCCCTTACCCGAAAACGGAGAAATAGATCTCGACGGACACACTTTGCACGCCATCGATGTCGGCCAAGCCGACACCCACTCCTCGACCATCCTCTGGGTACCGTCCCTCAAGCTCGCCGTGTGCGGCGACGTTGTGTACGGCACCGTGCACCAGATGCTGGGCGAGTGCGATACGCGCGCCAAACGCGATGCTTGGATAGCGTCTATCCGCAAGGTCGGGGCGTTGGGGCCGGAGATGGTGGTGCCGGGACACAAGAGGGCGAGTGAGATGGATGGGAGCTATCATCTTGCTGCTACAAGGGTTTATATCGAGACGTTTGAGGAGATGTTGGGGAGAGCAAAGGATGCGAGGGAGTTGGCGGGGTGGATGCTGGAGAGGTATCCGGAGAGGTTTAATGAGGGGGCGTTGATTGTGGGGTGTGTGAATGCTTTTAGGGCTTTGAAGAGGGAGAGGGAGGGGAAGTTGTGAGGGATGTTTGAAAAATATATGAAGGAATGAATCTTGAAAACGCTGTGCTGCAGAACGAAGTATATGTGCAAGAATAGAAAGTGCAAGTGGTTGTAATGTGACCTGTCAAAGCCACAGAACCCCATGAACCAATCGGTACTGTAGCTGGAAGATTTCATTTGAAACAGCCACATTCTATTGATCATCCTCAAGTCTCCAGTTCCCAAACTTGCAAGATGCATCGAAAATCTTCACAGCACGGTTAAACAACATGCACAAACTACACCGCACTCGCTTGAAGATAGGGGCTCGCTCAATCACCGCCATCACGTGTAGCTCGCCCGTGAGGAAGCGGATCTCAACCGCCCGATTTTTCACCCGCCCGAGTTCTCAAACGCCCGAACTTTCACCATGCAGATCCGAAGTGACTCTTCTGAAACACAAACACATTCACAGTCACACTCTCAACAGTCAACACTGGTCCGGGGCTTGTTATATACCACATAATCACAACACTGCTCAGCCCAAACAACTTCTCAGATCCGCACATTCCCCTCCAAAGCTGGCAAATCAAATGGAGTATGCAAAAGAACTACATATTGCTTCAATAGCAGTGCACCATGCTAGTATCCTGACGAACTCGGTACAATCTATTATTCAACAGAAAGGGAACTCGCTCGAGAAAGATGAATTTGGAGACCCGGTCACGATCGCGGATTTTGCTTCCCAGGCGATGATCATTAATGCCATCCATCACCACTTCCCCGACGACACTTTCGTGGGAGAAGAAGATGAATCTATGCTTCGGTCTTCACCAGAGCTTCTTGAGCGGGTGTGGGCCCTTGTTGATGGGATGGAGATTGAGGGTGATGAGGTGCCGAGGTTGGGGAGTAGGGAGGATTTATTGAGGGTTATTGGGTTAGGTGGGAAGGAGGAGACAGCAAAGGGGAGAGTGTGGATGTTGGATCCTATTGATGGGACGAAGAGCTTCTTGACGGGGAATCAGTATGCGGTTTCTTTGGCGCTGGTAGTGGATGGGAGTCAGAAGGTTGGAGTGTTGGGATGTCCGAATATCAAATCGGGGAGTAGCGAAGTGAGAGAAGATGTTGTGGATCGGGATGGACTTGGCGTTTTGCTGTCGGCTGTGGAGGGTCAAGGTGCTTATCAGAGAATCATGACTCAGGATGATTTGGGCGAGCCGAGGAAAATGGAGAAGTTGGGAGACGTTGAAGATCTGAGCGAGTTGAAGTATGTGAACTCGATGGCGAGCGATCATCTCTCGAAACCAATCTATCTGGTGGTCAAGGATGCTTGTGGGCTCAAGACTTCCGATGAGGTAGATTTGTGGTCGACGCACGTCAAGTACGCTGCGCTTACCTTCGGAGGTGTGAATTGCATGGTGAGGATACCGCCGAAGAGGAGCTATCGCGGCTTTGTTTGGGATCATGCTGGAGGTCAATTGATCTACGAGGAAGTTGGTGGGAAGTTGACGGACATCAATGGTACAAGGTTTGACTTTGGGGTTGGAAGGAAATTAGAGAGGAATTGGGGAGTGGTGGCTGCTCCACCGAGCGTTCACGGAAAGCTGCTGGAGGTCGTGGAGCGTGTGTTGGAAGAGAATCCAATTTACTGATACCCTAGGTTTCAAGGGCAAGGTTGGGATGAACTAGCGGAGGTCTTTTCCTGCTGCCCTCTCTGTGTCAATTGAGTTGGCTAAGTGGCGGGCGCATGTATGAGTATGGAGAACATAACGTCGCAACTCCCAGTATGATTTTATCAGAGTATATCTCTCGATAGACAAAACAAAAGCAAATTCTCAGCTTCGGAACCGTATGATCCGAACACAAGGCAAGTTGCAGAAAGCCTCACGGCAAGGCACAGACCATTCTGATCGCCATTGGATAAGACTGTCGAGTTCACGTCCATTTTGAGTTTTCTGCATTCTGAAAACCGACTTCGTATCCAACGGGTCCCATTGTCCAACTTCAAATGGCAGACGGCAACGGTTATGCATGGCAGAGATTGGCTGCTACACGACAGGAAGTTGGAGTCTAAGTACGCCCAAAGCTCCTCGAACTTGTGTTTTCGTACCACAGAACCTCATTAAACCATGCATGGAACTCCTTTAGAACAATTCTCGGGCTACCATAGCCTCCTGTGTAAAAACCTCGATTCTGAAGTATGCATGTGAAGTTTCCAAATTGCGTGTGCTAAGAGTGGAAGGAACGTTTCTTGGTAGGAGATAAATTGACCAGTCGTGGAACCATGTGATGAATAGGGGCGTGTGACTTGTGACTTGTGACTCAAAGAAAGCAAAGCTGCGATTTCGCTTGAGTTCTTTCTTTTCTTGGATGGCATTCGCTAAGTCTGTATTCATCTCGCTTAAGTGAATTGAACCGCTTTCGCTCCTCGTCTTCGGTCTATAAAAGAACCTTCGCTCTCATTCTTTTCTTTTTCTTTTCCTCACCGCGATCAATTACTTTCAAGCTTCTTCATTCACAAACTGAACACTTCTACCTCAGCCAAGACCTCAACTCCACCTTGACCAACTACTTCAAGCTCTCCATCTCCTCAAGAACCTATTCCGAGAAATCTTCGACCTTCCAATAACAACAATTCATCAATCAACTGTCAACATGTTCTTCAACGTAAGTCCTCATCCTAGAAATCGCTTTCCGAACTCAAAACTCGTCTTCACTACTCCTCTGAAGTTCAAACCTAACTCACCCAGACTCTCCTTACTACCCTCCTCTTCATCTTCACCTTCATCACCTCCGGTCTCGCCATCCCCGCCGCTGGTTACCAAGCCTCCGCCAATCTTCTCTTCAAGCGTGATGTCACCATGGAGTGCACTGCCGGAACCACTGACTACTGCGCATCGATCGGCTGTTATTGCGATTCCAATGGCAATATCTACGCTCCTGGTTCTCCGGATGGAAGACAGTGCACGAGTTCGGAATGCTTCTGTGTTAAAAGCTAGAGGGCTGGTGGGAAGTTTGCTTTGGGTGTGGGCTGGTACCTACGTTGCTTTGCTGGATACTTTGGGATTGGGCTGAATCGTGGTCTCATCGATATGGGTATGGGGACTTAATCATGCGTGATGACTTGCATGGCTTTGCTTTGAGGGTGGGTAGTTGAACAATGCATATGGATTGTCCCTCTCGATTAGCTTTGTGCAGTGCTTTGATTAATGCTTGTGACCCTTGAATTTGGCTGCGAGAAAGATTATAGGCTGGTGGGTTACCAGAAGTTAAATTAAGATCACGACTTGTACTGAACAGATGTTCTCATGACTGGACAGACTCTGGACAGACTTTGAAAGTGTGAGCCAACACTCTAGCCACTCATCCGAAACTTGTTTTTCCAAGAACCAGACTTAGATAGAATATTCAACTTCTCGATACCGGAACCAAACACTCACTATGTTTTGGCGTGGATACCAACGCTGCTCCAAACATCACAAAATCAACAAAGAGTTGACAATAAAAGCAACAAAACAATCCCGTTTAAGTAAAACGACAACCCATGAGGTGTATTCCACTCATGTGTTTCCTAACTCTCTGGTTCTTTACTGCATGGTGTCAGGGCCCAAACAAGAACGGAGGTACTCAAGGACTTATATGGGATAGAAGCTGAATAATGATTTAGAAATTATTTAGAAATTAGCAATACTTAATAAAGGCCACAGAAGGGAGATCAGCGAACAGAAAAGCTCAGTGAAAGAAAAAGGCAAGAAAAATGCTTGGAAGGGAAACTGCAGATGACAATCTCGCTTACAGCACTGAATGCACTTTGAGCGCATATCGCGCGTTTTGCGCAGTTTACGCAGAAGGCGTCATCAAAATATTTGGATTTTAGGACGGCCATTATTTTATTTACTCCACTGAAAGTATATCTTTTGACTTTGGAGACTTTGAAATGTCATCTTGTGAAGGAGTCGAGGGAAGAAATGCGATGTATGATGGTTCGTAGTTTTCAAAAACTGCAATGTTCTACGACTGATGTTATGCGGTGAAATATGGATGTTCGAGAGCCTGTAGATATTCTGATTAGCAGATGATTAAGTGTATGAATGTTTGGTTTCTAGATCCCAGAATTTGGAGGGAGACTGTTCGCGCTGACATAGGAATCACATACCTCAGCAGCAGTCAACCGCTTCCCACTTTCATACACAACCATTTTCCGAACCAAGTCCTTCTCTACCTCTCCCACTCCACGGAGCAACTCATCCCAAGACTTTCCCGGAAATTCTTGATACCACTTGAAAGGTGGGGTAGTGAAGTTCACCGCTTCAGGCCAAGTCTCTTCAGTCGGAGTACCTAAAGTCTTGAACATACTTAGAATCAGACCAAGCTGATTGCCATCCTCGCTCGTCTCTCGACTCTCGAAAAGTGGGTCTCTACTTTCTCTCAAGCATTCAGCTAACATTGTTCCTGCAGCCCACATGTCGAGACTTGTGCCATAGGCACGGTTGCCGAATAGTGTTTCTGGGGCTCTATAGCACGTCGTGCCGACTTCGAGGACTTTGTGCTCTGGAGGTTCAGGAAGTGAGGAGAGAGGTGAGATTGAAGGGTGCCAGGTAGTGCCGAAGTCTGACAGCTGTGATGGTCCAGTAGGTGAAGACAGGAGGAGGTTGGAGGGTTTGATGTCTCGGTGTATAATGCCTTGCTCATGCAGATAGACTAGAGCGGAGAAGAGATCGTGGAAGCATGTTTTGGTGACAGCTGGAGGTACTGGGCCATTGGCGATGATTTTGGCGAGGTTGAGAGGCATGTATGGGAACACGAGGACTAGTCGTCTTTCTTGGTCTCTGAACGTCGAGTTCAGCTTGATGATTGAAGGGTGCGAGAGCGATTTCAGGATCTTGATCTCGACATCGGAATTGTGAGGCTCGACGTTTCGGGTCTCGGTGATGACTTTTAGGGCGAGAGTTTTGTTTCTGTATACTTCTGAGACGAGGCCAACGGCGATGGGGTGGCAATGAGGATATGGTCCAATCGATATCCCGGGCGTAGTTGGCTCTTCATCGATTATATTCAGAGTAGCAGAAGTCGCTTCGATGAGGGCTTTGCAGGCTACATCGTATTCTTTCTATCAATTGTCAGCTCTGATTTGGAAATAGCTAGTAGATTGTGTTGCAGAAGTTTGATGGTATGGTGTTAATCACTTGATGAGTGTGATAAATCGTACCAAGAGTGGGCTATCTTGATAAGTTCTGGCGTCAAAAAGGCAACGTCGTACATCGGCGAGACTCTATAATCATGCATGCATGGACTCATGAGCCTTCTTGACCTTGAGTAGGAGCGATGGGAGGGAAAAAAATAGGCAGCACGTGACAGTATATATGTTTCAAGATCTCTTACTCTCGTTTTAGATGTATTATAAGCCTCGGTCTCTGCTTCAAAGGCTGCTTTATGACTAGCACCTGTTGCACTTAGCCCTTGAGCTTCAATGCTCTGTCTACTGTAGTCATGATTTGAGTCAGAACTGTGTTGTCCATGCTGACCTCATCACTTACAGTCTGTCAATATTGTCATATCGCTCCGTCGCCTTCAAATCAGATCTCCAATTAGCTGCCGAGGTCATCTCTGCCACCTCAGATCCATTCCGGATATGCCGGGATAGTCCTCGTCGGATGATGACTTGTTCTCTTTAGGTCGTGTCGTCCTTGCGATCATCAAAACAATGAAGTTACTGCGGTTGACCAAACGGTAAAGAGTAGAGCAAAGTACAAAGCATCACCAGCAGTGAGACAGATTGATTAGATAAGTTCGATTGAGGTTATCAAAAGAAAAACCGTCCACGCTGAAATGCTTTTGTTGTGGCCGTTGTGAAAAATTGTGCTATTTTATGCATGATTCCAATAATGGCAGGGATGTCTCCAGACCGGAGATCCGCTTGGCTTGGAAAGAGCCGCTTGCTCAGTCAACTCTCTCGCTCGTGCAGCACTTGAATTGAAGCTCGCGGTCGATGTCATTCCTTGTGCATTCCACGACAACAACGACATCGCGTCTATTGTATATTATCTATTATTATGCGCAATTACCTCTGACGCTCAATAGTGTCGTGAAACACAGCTATCATGGAAGCGCTGTCGCGGCAGGAATATCCAGCCATGCTGGTAAGCACCCTGTCGCAAAATACCTCGGATTGTCGAGGCTCGGTGCCACTGCTAACTGCTGCGAAGGAGCGGCTGCAACCTGCCGGTGCCGTTACGAAATTCAATGAACGCGTAAAGAGGATAGGGAAGGTCAATTCGGAGATCGCAGATTGGTTGCTCGTTGGTGGCCCTACAATGGAAGGCTCCGAAATATCGTGTTTACAGATTGCTAGGAACGTCGCAAGGTCGAAGAGCTATACGTGTCCGGTCTCAAGAAACTCGCGCGGAAGCCATTGCAAGAAGTTGGCGGAGAATTGGGGTACGATACACTATGTGGGCATTATATGGATCAGGCTAAGAGTGACATAGCGTTTTTGAATCACCATGGCGAAGGATTGTCCAGTCCACGGAGGAGATCGCAAAATCGCACGCATTGCTATCCGATCGAATAGACAAAGATGTCGAACAGCCACTACGAAGTTTCTCATCTACAAATAGGGAGATGCAAGGGATAACGACAATACAAGGAAACCTATATTCGATGGCGAAAGAGTTAGAAGATGCCCAGGATAAGTCCGAAAAGTTGAACAAGAAGGGAGGCAAAGCCAATGCCCAGAAAGTAGAAGTTGCTACCTCGAGACTTCAAACGGCTACTCAACAGTGGGAATCGCAAGCACCATTTATCATGGAGAACCTACAAGCACTGGACGAGCGACGGTTAAATCATCTTCGAGATGTCCTCACTCAGTACGAGACTCACGAAGCGGACCTGGTTGAGCGGAACCGGAAAACGATTGAAGAAACCTTGACTTCACTGCTGGAAATTGATACAAGTCAAGAGATCCGAAATTGGGCTGCAGCCAGTGTGTCAGGGTTGCCTATCACAGAACGAAGGGCAAGACAATTGTCGTCTGTTGGAACTGAGAACACTGGCAATGCAAGCCTCCCTCCGCCGCCTATGACTCCTAGATCCACGCATACAGATAACCAGAGTGAGCACTCCCAGACAGCTCGACAAGACACCATGGAATCGAAAGAAGGGAAGGAGAAAGAGTCGAAACTAAAGAGCAGATTTGGGACAATGCTTGGACGGCGTCGGCAGAGTATCCATGGTGGCTTTGGACGTGCACCGTCACCAAATAAAGGATTTGTGCCTTTCGGTCGTGGAACATCTAGCCGAGACGGGCGTCCAAGTCCATCCCCTCGAACATCTTCAAACAATCTTCGAGAGTCTCCTCCTCGTGACAATCGCCTATCCTCCCTCGCAGAATCTCCAACTGCCACCAGTCCAACGAAACAGACGAATGGCACAGCACCCGACAGCCACGCAGGGTCATCGTTTATTGCGGATTCTGTCGCTGGAAGATCCTCTGCCAATGGTCCTTCGGCAGCTGACATCTTTGATATGTCAGATGTGCAGCCGCCTCCAGGTCCACCGCCATCTCATTTGAAGGCAGTACCTGAGCTGCAGAAGGACTCTGAAGGGTTCAGTGTCCCAGCTCCCATGAACGATCCAATATCGCAAGCAGAAAGTGATGCAGCATTAGAGAACGACCAACCCCAATTCAAGCTTGACATTCGAAAAGAGCCAATTCCAGAACAAGACGCTGATGCTCAGGCAGCTTTGTCCAACGTCGCGAATACCTTGAGGTCTGCTTCCATACAAACACCCAATCGCAAAGCGGGCACTGTTAGGGGCCGGAGAGATGTACGGAATACTATGTACCTCCCATCAGCTTCGAATTCTCTTGACGTTGCGAGCCCAGACAGCAATATACCACCATCTCCTGGAATCACAGCAGGAAGGGCGGCAGCATTAGCAGCATTATCAGAAAACCACGGGGCCCCAAGTGTTTCCGACACGACTTCAATTCGTTCAGGGCATTCTCTTACCAACCATGCAACCATGAAACATGCGGACATGCATGAACCAGGACTCAATGCCTCTATAATTGAGACTGTGAGTGCTTCGTTTGAAAACGGAGAGACAAAGTCAATGAAGATCAGTGGTGAAATCGCATTAAGTCACAACCCATCTGATGACTTGACACCTTCTTGTAAGTTGCATCTGTATTGAGCGCGTTGATCTTGCTACTGACTGCACCGTAGCGATTGAGACAATTAGGATAGACAATTTTCCAAATCTGGAGGCTATTGGGCCTAACAGGACTTTCATTAACGCAGTATCTGAGGAAAAGCCAGACGAATTTGCGATTGATATTTCTTCCCTTTCATCAAAACCATCAGCAGCCTTCACTTACCGAGTCCACATTGATGACGCGGACATCACTACTCATGGTCCTCTCTTTCTCAAAGTTGCTTGGAGAAAGCAAGGAGCCGATAAATTGGGTCTTGTTCTAGAGTACAGCCTCAATCCAGCATGTGGCACAGGGCCTATTACTTTCAACAATCTTGTTCTTGTTGCAATGTACGAAGGCGCGCGTGCTTCTGCCTGCCAAACGAAGCCTACAGGTACTCACCTCAAGGAGAAATCTCTTGTATACTGGCGTCTTGGAGACGTGACCCTTACGAACGAATGGCACAAGATTATCTGTCGATTAGTGGGTACTGAGGGAGCCGTCCCTGAAGCAGGCCACATCGAAGCGAGATGGGAGATCAACAGCCCCACAGCATCAGGACTTGGTAGCGGGATCAGCTTATCGAGACTCGAAGCCTCGAAGGGCAAAGATAAGGAAGAGGACGATCCGTTCGCGGATGAGACGATGAGTCCAACTACCGTGTCACCGACAGGGACGTGGAAGGAGGTCGCCACGCATAAGAAGTTCGTTAGTGGAAAGTATGAGGCCAAGCAGGTATAACTGAATGCTTCCCTTGGAATATTAGTACGAAAGAGGGGAAAATTGAGTTCAAGCTGTGTTTTCGTGGGGCTACGGCTTCTGTAATTGAGGATTGTACAGATGAAATGATAGGTTACATAGGTCTTCTCGATCGATTCTTGATAGCAACTACCCCAATTTTTTGACTTGGCTCCACGTTCCTCGCATGTGATATTCTGGAATTGCTAAAGTTCCCCCGATCTTCAGGGTCTTTGCCTTAGTACCACTAAAGCCTATCAGACCAATGTCTCGGATAGTGGAAGACCCTGCCAAGTTTTCTTCCCCTGCAAGACATGCCGCTATCAGAAATCTTGGCACCCGTTTTTTTGTATCGTATGTTCTTTTTTTCTGATTATTCCTAGTATTGTGGCTTTTATTTGGGTGGTGATGTCATTTACAGGGGAGCTGAGGTGGGTATGCGGCTCAGAAACAAGAGTTTTGGAACGTGGATGTTTTGCATGGCTGTGGGGATCGAAGGGACGGACGGGCTTTTGGTAGTTTACCACATGTGAGATTCGTTGGTTCTTGGTTTGAAGATGGATGTTAGGTTGGTGGACTCTGTTTTGAGGGGATACTTGGTTTGAAATGGTAGGTGGGGTTTTGTGGCGTTGCCATCTTGGATGAAAGCTGGCTTCAACCATTGAACATACGAAGAGAAGCTTGCTTTGTGAAGAGTTGAGCTGAAAGGAGGGAGGGACTCCGAGCTGCTTCGAGATATCAATGGCTTGTCAAGCTGAGGATTTGTTTTAATCCGGCAGGTGGGGGTTTCTCGCCACTTGCACATGCGACGTTCTCGGACGAGAAGCTTGCTTTGAGACCCCTCTTCAGCTTGTATGGAACCGAATAAGCCTTCAAAGACAAAGGCTGGATCAAAAGAAGTAAGTGGGGCTTGTTGCGTTGGACGAGAAAGCTTGGTTTGTGGAGTGAGCTCGAGATGGAGCTTGCTTTTGTGGTGTGTCTTGGTATTGGATACAGGTTTTGAGACGTGAGAAAGGCCGTAACAGACGGGATTTTAGAGGTCAAGGGATAATTTATTTGTCCGGTGGCTCCAAAAGAGGGGTAAGATGCGCGGGGTCATGACGAGGTTTGAGGGCGAGGCTTTTAGATTCTAGAGAGCTTGTGTGTTACCTGGGTTTGAGTTTGGAGCTTATGAGCGATATATAAGAGTGCTGTCTTGAGGCTTTGGTCTATTATAATCATTCATCAACATCATTACTCAACTCAATCAATCTCAATATTAAAGTTCATCCTCAACGCTCCCCGAAGAACCTCTACACAACCGTCATAATGGATAACAACAACCAACAGCAGGGTGGTAGCTACGGCTCAAGCGATAACTCCATGGGAGGAGGAAACAGTGGAATGGGTGACGATTCAAGCAACCAGCAAAGCTCAGGAGGCTATGGAGGAGGACAAGGAAATGACAACTCGTCCAGCGGTGGTGGATATGGAGGGGGACAAAGCAACGATAACTCGTCCGGTGGTGGATATGGAGGACAGAGCAACGACAACTCTTCAGGCGGAGGTGGATATGGAGGCAACAGCAACAGCGATAGCAGCATGGGGCAAAGTGGTGGTATGGGAGGACAGGGACAAGGACAAAACCAAAGCTCCGGTGGTATGGGAGGGTCTTCAGGAGGATCGGGAGGGATCGAGGGAAAGCTTGAGCAGGGTGGGATGCAGGCTGCTCAAGGCTTTGCCAAGAAGGAAGGATGGTAAAGCAATCGTGATTTCTGTCACGATTATCTCCATTGATAAAATGTGGAAGCTTTTGGACTTCTGGTAATGGGTTATTATATGATAGGACTTTTAGTAATATGCTCCTGCATCAACTTTGGTTACTCGAGGAGAGTTTGTGTGAAATGATGAGAATATGATCGCAGAAGATAACAGAGCGACCGTGAAACTCAAACTCTCTTTTGATTGCTGGGGATTCTGCTTGACAAACATAACGAAGATTGAAGAGTTAAAGGCACTGGACTGAGAATACAAAATGGATTTGAGAACCGTTTGGAAATCGGTACACGTGACACGACACGCCTTTCTAGCCGTGCGTGTAGACAAAGTCAAGACATAACTTGAGGCTGATATCAAAGCCAGCCACGCAATACTCTTTTCCCCGGATCATCGGGGCGGGATACTCGCCGAGAATCTATATTTATCGCAGACCACGTGTACTCTCACGGCATCAACTTATTCAGTTGTCAAAGCAAGGTGTCCGGCCGACAACCGATAGTTGACCATCAGCTGTAAACAACAATGCGTAATACACATCATCAGCACTCGAATTCTCGAACCTCATGTCGAGCATCTGCTTCCGCAGAAGCGAGAAGTGATGCACCTGGACTTACTTCTATGATTAGCATCTGAACAACAAGAACAAGTCTGAACGAGATCAATCCGTTCTTAACGCGCAAGTTCCACAGAGCACCTCATTGGAGATGATCTAGATCGTGAGCATTGACATCACCCCGGCCAGGACTTTGTGCCAAGGCGGATTTGATTGACCGAGACTTCAGTTTCTCCAAGGACGGATGTCCTCCGAAACGTTACAGCTTTGTCTGTCGTTCAGTTGGAGGATCGTGCGTGCTGGAAATATCCATGATGCTTTCAATAAAGAAGTGAGCGTGACTTCGATGCCAAGGACAAAACTAGTCGGGAGTTCATCTGAAATTATATTGACACCAACAATAGCTCTCGCCGCGTCGTCTAATCATATGATTTCATCATATAGCTTCCTCCCGGACAGTCCGACGTAGTTCTGTTGCGCGACTGTGGGGCAGCAGGGCGGCATCTCTCACAACCACTAGGCCATGAGAAAGATCGGAGAGAAACCAGGACAAGGAACGGGATGTCATGAAAGATGCGACGAAAGTCATAGAAACACATGAGGCGTTCTCCGAACGTTGCTTAAAATAGAACGCTTGTTCCAAGAACCAAGACTGCAGGCTGAACATGTAATTCACCCTGAGCCATCGCAACACTCTAGCCCGTACTGATCAAGCCCAGTTGGACCGTTCCTGGCAGTCTCGCACTTTGTGGCTGGGTTTGATAATGACCTACTGGGCCAACAAAACCAATGTGGTGTCGAGATACAATGTGTCGGGTTGAAAATGCAGCTTAGGCAAATATTTGTAGATTGCCGGAAGATTGGCGTCGCAGGATGGTGACAGCCCAGCCCTGCTCATTCCCCACAAGGACCAGGCGGACGCCATTCTTGTTTCGGCCTAGCCTTCCTCTAACCTTTACCTTAATTCATCCCAGCTCAGCTCAATCTATGTCGAATATCAAAAATGCCAATTCCGGAGCGTTCCAGCTGCATACAATCAATTTCTTCGGACCTTTCGCCTATCCCCTGGAAAAGTGCAGACGAGAGCTTGTTCAACGGCTTCAAGCCGAGGATGACAAGAAAGTATATTCGGCCTCACCGCTCATGCAATTGCCACTACCATGGACGCGAGGAGGCCAGTCCGTTGGATGATTGACTTTACACAGGAGACCTAGATCTTCCGCAAAGATTTGACAAACAGCGCTTTTGAAACTAGTCGGCAATTTGTTTCGGTCTTTGGAGGTCCTGTCATCTCCCCCAACCCCTCGTTGGCGGGGTACCTGCCCGCGAGGTGGAACTCCTGCGAGGGTGGGTACCCTGAGATCAAGCCACATACCTTAATCTGATCACAGAAGAATATGGTCATATGAAAGACGTGCCAATTAGAAAATTACTTGGTCAATTCACATAGCTAAAGTTTATGCCATTGTTCATAGCGTATGATTATATTGAACGAGCATAGGAGATTTAACATTATTCACAATTGTCCTTCATTCCAGTGGTCTCGATCCGATTCCTGGTTCCTGAGGTCTTTCTTTTCGCTCATTTCAACTCGCCCGTTCCGGATGTACAGTATACTTTCTGCCGCACTGGATCAGAATTTCATTGGTCTTCCCAACCACACCATCCTTTAAGCTTACTCTGATTCTATACATAGAACTATTCCAATCTAGAACACTATACTCACCATATCAAACTCAGTCACAAGAACTTCTCAAGCCACGTTTTTACGCCTTTGAAGCCGCAGAGACAAGGATTTCTCTGTGCCGAAGTCTTCACTTCGCATCTCGACTCAGCTCCATCGTGCTTCAATACAGAACGTTACTACATTCTCTCCCTCGCCTGCATTTTATCCGATCCGTTCCAGCATCTCGCATCTCGTATCTACCTGTCAGCCCATGCGTCTCTTGCCACCACGATCTTTCACCATATTGCTGCGGGGCAACCGAGCAGCTGTTTTCTCATGGGAATGCGGAGATGAGCATGGGTATAGGCACAATGCTAGTCGAAGATCCACTTACACATCAGGAGAGACTTCTCGACCTAGTCTGCAGTACTGACACGGGTGGCAATCGTCCGTTCTTCACAGTCAGGTCTGCAGCTCCGGAAACATATATAAAGACCCACAGATATCCCCATAATGAATTCTCACACCACCATCAACACATCTTCTTCTTAGCTTCCCAAGTTTCCTATACTTCTTCAAACATACACTCTAAACCGTCAACATGTACACAATCTTCTCCGTTCTTATCCTCGCCGCTACTGCACTTGCTGCACCTGCAGCGAGAGCTGAAGCCGATCCTCCTACCTTGGGTATCAACCTCGGTGTTCCTACGCAAAATAGCACTGGCCCAGACCCATCTCAAGTAACGATCAATTCAATTTCTTATGGCGGAACTGGATGCCCGCAAGGCTCTGTGGGTTCGTTCATCTCAACAGACCGTACAACGTTCGTCTCTCTCTCGACGGGCAATGCTTTTTGGCCAAGTTACTAAGTGATGTATAGCTTCACTATCATTTTCGACACCTTTGTCGCTTCTCTCGGTACCGGTGTTGCTGTAACAGAAAACCGAAAGAACTGCCAACTGAACGTCAACCTTCAGTACCCATCTGGTTTCCAATACAGCGTCCTTGGCACGACCTTCCGTGGCTACGCCGACCTCACGGCTGGAGTCAATGGTGTGCAATCTGCTACTTACTATTTCTCTGGATGTATGTTTCCTCCTTGAGATCTCACCAGACCAATAACTGACTCGAGTAGCCTCAACTCAAGCATCATCCTCGACAACCTTCAAGGGGCCAACCAGCGGTGATTATGAAGTGTCCGACAGCATTCCATTCGCATCCACCATCTGGTCTCCTTGCGGCGCTGCACTACCCCTGAACATTAACTCCCAAGTTCGCTTGACGGGCCCAAGTAGCGGAAGCGGTCTTCTGACTGAAGACTCTGTTGATGGCAAGGTGGAATTCGTCGTTGGTGTCCAATGGCAGAAGTGTTAGTGACAGTACAGCCTTGTATATAGGTGATAATGCTTACGGTAGGCTAGGCACCAAGTGAGCTTTCGGAGGGTTGAGAGCTTGGCTACGCTCGTTCAAAATCTTGCATTTTTTGCCCGGCATAGGTGAAGGCATGTTGAAAGTGGAATGTGGTCTGATTTTGGAGTACATTGCATAGTTGCTTTCTGCATAGGATAAGAATTATATCAAACTTTTGGTATATGTTAACGGATCGAATGAAATTTTTAACGTGAATGATCATGTGATATCCAATATTTTTCTCTCTCAAATGACGAATAAGTTTTAGGGTCTAAATAGAGGTTCGATAGTTTGAAACCCAGAGGAAATCGATATGCATATATCGTCCCTACTTAGTGCACCAGGTACCAAGATATTGTCTGGGAGCAATAACAATAAAGTCACGTGGATAAGTATGCTTTATCAAGGCGGTGTACCACGGCAGATACAATGTCAACAAACCCACCACGCGATTGCAACCTTCGAACACTCCCCAGCTCAACACACTACAACTTTGCGCATTCTTCTCAGCCTTCGACATCGAGCCTCCTGAGCATAAGCTAATGCAGTGATTCAAAGGAAGTATTGCCACATTAACACAAAATCGGTCCTCCAAGAGCGCGACCCGCTGCGAGATTCAAATCACAAGCTTCATGTCTCAGTAGCATTGATAGCTCAGACGACAAGATCCTCATAATCATCAAATTACAACCGGCGGGCTTCAAAATGGGTTCTTCCGCAATCGCAGATCAATACTTTACATACGATAGTCGGCTGTCATCGTTCCAGACCGCGCATCAATTAGCAAAGAGACGTGCTTCGAATGCGAGTACAAAGGGTTCGAAATCTATTAAATGGCCGCACAAGTTTATGACTGGAGAAGAAGTGCGTGTTACCTGTTTCCACTGCACTTTATCAAGAGCTGACACGCGTTCAGCTTGCTAGAGCAGGCTTCTTCTACCATCCCACTCAAAGCAATCCCGATAACGTTGCCTGCTTTCTTTGTCATAAAAACCTCGATGGATGGGAAGAGGACGATGATCCCCTGGCCGAACATCTCAAACTCTCTCCAAACTGTGGATGGGCTATTGTCGCGTCGATCGAGAAGGGTGACGAGGAATTGAGTCTGCAATACCCTGCCAGCAGCTCTATGATCGAAGCCCGAAAAGCTACTTTCGCAGACCATTGGCCACACGAGGGAAAGAAGGGATGGAAATGCAAGACAAAACAGGTAAGATGTCCAGAGCACCAACATCGAGGCATGAATTAATCATGCGTCAGATGGTGGATTCGGGGTGGAAATATACTCCAACATCAGATTCAGATGACATGGCCACGTGCGTGTATTGTTCCCTCGCTTTAGATGGGTGGGAACCGGCGGATAAGCCAATGTAAGTTTTCCAGGTCGCACTTTCTTCACCTCTAACTTTCGCAGGGACGAACATTTTAAACGCTCCAGCGACTGTGCCTTCTTTACTCTCATCAGCAATCACAAACAAAGTCCAGCAGTTAAGAGGACAAAAGGCAAGGGTCGAGCATCCAAGGTCTCTCGATTATCGACCCAATCTGCTCTCACTGTGGCATCGGAAGCACCTTCAGTATCGGAACTTGCGGCCGAAGACGACGACAGTATCCTCACGACCGCGACAAACGCGACGGCAACTACTCGAGGCAAGAAGATGGGCAAAGCTAAAAAAGCTGCCCCAGCAAAGAGGACCCGGGCGAAGAAGGGTGAACCGGTCGAGGTGGTGGCTGCAATGGAGCCGGAGGATGATAACCTCGAAGTAAAGGTAGAGGTAGCACCGAAGCCAACTCGAGGTAGAAAGAGGAAGAGTGACGAAGATACTGAGTCTGTACCTCCATTGGAGGACATGGCACCTCCCCCAAAACGAAGAGCGACGCGGACAAGAGCAAGCACGGCCATGGACGATTCTGTCATAAGGCAGGCTGAACTCCCAAAGCCTGCAGGCAGGAAGGGTCGAGCATCTCGTAAGACATCAGCCGCCTCTGTAGCATCCATGAGAGCGCCTGTTCCCGATGACGATGAGATAGATAGAGCTCTCGAGGCAGGTCTTGCTCGATCACTAACTGATGATGAAGAGGAACCCGCAGAGATGTCTACGACAAGCCACATTCAGAATACCAATCATGCCTTGTTCGACACCGAACCAGTGCGGATTGATGAGGCTGTCATCGATGCAGAGTTGGAGGCTATGGAGACGGAATCGAAGCCATTGCCCAAAGCAAAGGGTGCCAAAGCAAAGCAGCCTCGAAAGGTGTCTGCTAAGCAACGTGCTGCAGCTAAGAAAGCAGAAGCAGAAGCGGAAGCAGAACGTCTTGCAGCTGAAGAAGCATCGCAACAGATTGCAGCTGAACTTGAGCACAGCATTTCAATGCAGCAATCTTCTCCAGTGGTTGTTCCCAAGAAACAAAGAGCCTCAACACGCCAACCAACAAAACAACTTCCTGGGCGAGCTACAAGGGCCTCTGTGATGGATAATGCTGACAATGATACTGTTATGGATGACGAGACTGCACAAGATGAGAATGATTCTGGCAACGAGACCGACGCAAGCATGGCTAGCCAATCTACCGTTGTAAGAGGTGGCTCTACTAGGCGAGGCAGTACCATGAAAAAGGGAACAGGTGGTAAGAAAGACTCAAGCAGGAACATCGAAGAAATTGTCCACAAAGGTTCGGAATCTGAAGCTCCTCATTTTGAGGAAGCACCTCGTTCAGCTAGGGGCATGAAGATAAACCACGCAGAGGAAATCACTGTCACGGAGGAAGTTTATTATGCTCAACCTGATGCAGCACAGCCCGAACAGAAGGAAGAGGAGCCGGCTCCAGAGCCTACAAAAGCCAAAGCGACCAAAGCGAGAGGCAGGCCACGGAAGATTTCTGCTCAGAGAGAGCCACTTCCACTGATGTTGACGAAGTCAGTCAACACCAAGCCTGCGGAGGAGCCAACTCCAGTTGAAGCGACGACTTCAATGCCCGGAGCAATGCCCTCGTCATCGCCTCGATCACCTACTCCACCGCCCAAAGAGATGACTCCGTCTCAGTCCCCTCAATCTTCTGACGCCGAGAACCATCCTCCGTCGTCCAAACCGTCGGCTGCGACTAAGAAGACCGTGACACCTCACTCCTCTGCTAGACGTATCCCACTCGCAGATGCGACACCCGGAATGCTATCGCCCTCAAAACGCAATATCATTGCCGGTCTCCAATCCAATGTTCCTTGGACAGCCGTTGATCTGGATGCCGTCTTCATGAAATCCCCTAGCGGCGAGAACACTGGAAATATTTTCGGTGGTGCGATAGAAAAGGCTAAAAATGGAGTGTTGACCAGTCCAGAGAAGAAGATGACTGTTGAAGAGTGGATTAAGTATAATGCCGAAGTAGCCGAGGAGAAGCTGAAAGGAGAGTGTGAGAGAATGGTAGGGTTGTTTGAGACGGAGGGGACAAGAGCCATGCAGGCCTTAGAAGGCGTTGAATATCTTGAATGATTAATATGGGTTTGTTGGTGACGAGCAGTATATAAATACGTAGTGAACTTTATGGCGTCTGGGAGTTTAGATGCACGGCTTGTGGATTGTGGTATTGCAATTCAATTCATGAGAATATGAGATCTTTTCATTTGCTCAGCTTAGCAATGGTGAGCTAGTGATTACTGTGCTTCAAAATATCCACCGCCCCAAATTCCGCCAAACGCCATGCGAATGCAGTCATTAGCAAGTACAAGCAATATACATAGCAACCCTGTGTCACATCCTCATCTCTTCATACTCAAATAGGCCCCATATGACCAAGGCTAGTCAACCCTCAAAGTCCCATCATTATTCGCCTCCTCCCAGAACTCCAACGTCAACGCCGCCAGGAACCCAGGAATACATCCTCTCTCCTTGACCCAGAACTTAATCTGATCGCTAATCTTGACCGCAAACGCGCTTTCGGGGCCACCGCTGATCTTCATCGTCCCCTTTTCGCCGTCAAAGACGATGCTATTCTCATCGTCGCCTTTGCTGGGGTAGAAGAAGCTTGTTACGCGCATCTTGCCGTCTTTCATGAATACGACGTCCCAGCCGAGGAGGGATATGACTAGGTTGCGGAACTCAGTGGATTTTGCTCCCCAGACCTTCATCAGACGGTCATTTCGCTTCTTCTCGGAGGCCAAGGCAGCTTTAGCGTCGTCGACGTCGCGTTGCGAGGCCTTTAGGGTTGAAAGGGGCACGGATTCGATGTTTGCATCGGGGGATAGGAGGCGAGCGAGAAGATCGGCATTTTCTTGGCGCAGGGCATTCAAGGTAGAGAGTTTGATGGCTTCGAAATCCGAGGTTGGATTCGAGCGAAGTGAGAGAATGCGAGTTTTGGATTGTTGTGATGCAGCGGTCAAACGTTCTTTGGTGACAGAGAGCTCTTTCTGGAGCAGCTTGGTTGAGTTTTGAAGAGTGGAAAACTCGTCTTCAAGCTTACGTTTCTTTCGTAAGAGCTGGCCTACACGTTCGTTGTCTTCCGAGTCGTCGTGAGGACGTTTGGCAGGAGACTGAGGTGCGAGTGGCAAGGGCTCCCGAGTTGAGAGCTCAGTATTAAGGGTTTGGACTTCTCCACGGTACTGTTCTACCATGTCCTCAAGCTCCTGAATTCGCTTGATCTTAGCTTCATCAACGGTCTCTGGTTGGAATGTTGTGTCTTCTGTATCGTAGGTCTTCAGTTGCGCACGAAGGTACTCTGCTTCCTTGATAGCTAGAGCTTTCTGTCGCTCAAGACGCATATGCGTCTTGCTATTGGTAACTGTACCATTGGTCGACTTCACCTTCTCGAGCTGCTCGCTGAATTTTGATTTCTCTTCCTCAAGACTCTGGATGGTGCTATCCTTCGTAGACAGCTCAGCTTCAATAGCTCCAACTCTCTCGACTAATGAAGCAGTCTGTAACCTCTCTGCGACAAGAGCTCGCGCAATAGCTTCGGGCGAATCGAACTCGAGTTGGCCATCAGAACCAGCCTGGCTCTCAAGAAACCCAGTCCAAGCCAGCTGTTCGTCCTCCAATCTTTGTCTTTGGATTCGCGCTTCACCAAGCTCGTTCTCGAGACCTTCGACAGCATCAAGCTTTCTTTGCAGTGTCCGCTTCTCTTCTTCGACTACTTCAACGGCCTTGTGTAGTCGCTTGAAGTGCTTCAGTTCTGCGGCTTGCTCTCGATTGTTGACCTCAAGCTTTCGGATATGAGTGACTTGCTCACTTAGCTCCCTCTTGATGATTGCCAAGGTGTCTGCATCTCCGGTCTGTGCCTTTAATCGTATATTTTCTGCTTCCAACGAGCCATATGCATTCTCTTTCTCTGATAGCTGTTGTTGTGCATCTTGGAGTAGCGCCTCTCTTCGGTCTGAGTCTTGTTGCAACTCCTCGACTGTTCGTTGCAAAGTCTCGTTTCTCGACTCAATCTCGGCGATTTTCCTCTCAATGGTTCGTAAGGTCTCTTCTTTTTCTGACCTGACATCTTCGATTTCTTCTTCCAAGAGCCGTTTGCCGTCTTCGATTTCGTGCAAACGCCGCTCCAAAGCAGCTTTCTCGTTACTAGCAGCGTCCCGGACCTCGGTGACTTCCTTCAGCAACAATTCATGCTGCCTGACTGCTTTTGCCTTCTCCGAATCCGCCGCTTGCATTTTCTTAAAATCTTCCTCTGCTTTTCGTCGTACATCTCGAAGCTCACTCTCTTGTCTAAGCTTGGAAAGCTCCTCTTCTTGTTTGTGATTGTCAATTGTGTATTTCAACGTCTTGACCTCCGCCTTCAGCTCCTCTAACTCCTTATGCCGCTTTTCCCTCTCGGTTTCGGTCTCAAACAGAGGGAGATCCTTGTTGCCTCCAGAAACTACTCGTGCAGATTGTCGAAAAGGTTCACCGCGCGACCCAGGTCTCAGTTCCGCACCTGTAAGGAAGTCGAAGGTAGGCTGATTGCTGGAAGCAGCGCGTCCAGCAGCAATCTTGCGTTATGGTCAGCTTCGACTCCTGTACTGAAGTGCGACAGAGGTCTGCTCGTGCAGAGTGTAACTGGCTTACCCTAGATTGTACTCTCGGAATACTGCTGCCCATACTCGTTCTGTGGGCGCTCGTAATAGAGCTTCTCCGACGAGAGGCATCATTCCCCTGCTGAGGGGTGTGCGCCCTCATCTCGTCACTTTCCGAGGCGTCTTCCACGCCTTAGTTGTTGTTGGTGTTGCGGTTGTCGCAAGAAAATATCTCGATACAATTCGCGGTTGAAGGGGTGTCACGTGCGCGATGACAACAGATTTCTTTGTTGGCGGGGTGAAGCGTTTTCAGCAGTCTCATTTACAGTGCGAGTACCGTAGCAGGAGATTTTGCATCCAGTTCCTGCAAAACAGCGTTGAATTTTTGATCTTTTAAAGTTCATCCCGAGCTGGCAGTCACTATCGATTGCAAGGATCGTAAATCTCGTCTTAGAAGGTGCGGTCTCAAAACACGTTAAAGAAAGGATTCTAGATATATACTGTGGAGTTCGATATTCCATAATCTATAATAGTCACACGGCCATCGATCAAGATCCTTGACGTATGCAAAGACTTGTGCGTCAAGAACTGGCCGTGTAGTAAAATTATTATGACTCTTCCTTTCTTCACTTTTCTGACCCGTCATATGTCTAGTTTCAAAGCTCAATTGTATGTATTTCTCTTGCACAATTGAGTACTATATCAGTCAACACATCATAGGATTCTCAAAGAGCTAGACCAATATTTTAAAGCATAAACTTTACAGAGTGACAGTCTTGGTAGCATTAAGAGCGGTTGTCATTGGACAGATTTCAGCTAAGTGTCCAAAGTGACAATGAGATTGTTGGCCATGAAACGAGAATAATTGCTCGATGATTAGAAACAGACAAGAGGGATTCTCAACTTAGCCCATGTTTCTCATCTATAAAAGTCGCATTCACAGAGGCTATCGATTGAGAAAGTTTGCTCTTGCCCCAACACGGGCCGTACCTTGCGGACCGAGTTGACAGTCAAAATCAACACGCCGAGAATTACAACATACACTCCTCGCTCATAAATTTTCCGGACAGTGAAGCTCAAACCATCCTCGAATATAATGCATCATGTCAGAAGAAAAAACAACCAAGGAGAACTTGACAGGCATTTATCATGCAGTTGTTTCGGGGTTTGCGGTTCCTGGATCCGGGGCTAAGAAGCCACCGCGGGGATTAAAATAGGCTTAGCGAATGTTGACAACTGCTCTGCAAAATCCAGCTTTCACTTCAACAACTGCAACAGACACATGGCTCTTGACTACCGGTGACAATTTTGCAGCATCTGCTGCCAATACGGAACTATCAAACACGCTCAGATGGGATAGATATCCCAACAAGACCGGACAATGGCCTTGCGACACCTTACTGTAAGCATTCAGCGCATTCCTCTATAGTCTATCACATGCCATAGCTAACAACTTCATGGCAGACTACCTTGAGGTCTTCTGGCCGTCCGTACCATATATTGCCCTCAAAATCAACCTCCTTCCGACCCATCCGATCCACCTACCCCTCACCGAGACGATTTCTGGCATCCCAAGCACCCAAGGAATCTGCTACAACGAGCTCACAAGAAATCTCAGCAAAGGAATCTGCATCGGATTCAGCTTCATCAAAACCGTCTGTACCGTCAAAGCCGAGTCCTACGGCAACTCCGCCTCCTGATTGGGAAGACAACCCTAATTACGATATTTCACAATTCTCCGAGCTGCCACATTCTAACTTCGGCGTCAACCAGCATATTGTGATCAACGATGAGTTCAAGGAAGCACTTAGACAAATACTGTGGCAGTTTCGAGCACCCATTCGATATGCGTTTGCCTATGGATCTGGCGTGTTTCCTCAATCCAAGCCAGTACGTTCAACCATTCCCAGCCTGGCTTCTTTCTTCCATCCAGGTCTTTTCATCCCAATGTGCAAATACAGCAATGCTAACAGCACTTTCTTCTAAAGTCTGCGATAACGCCATCGAGCGCTACCTCGATCCACCCGAAAGCTCCACTGGCGGTGCAAAAAGCGCAGGGCGGTACCCCGAAGATGATCGATTTTATATTTGGTGTTTCTTATACCCAGCATTGGCATTCTCTGAACCTCACACAACATCGAAATCACTATTCTGCTCTTGGGTCTCTTGGGTCGGGCGCAGTATCAGCAGTACAGGAGAAATGGGGAGCTGGCGTATATTTCAACCCTTATGTGACGGTCAACGGGACACTTATAAAGTATGGAGTTGTGAATTTGGATACGTTGTGTACAGATTTGTCGGAATGGACTACATTATACCTTGCAGGACGATTGCAGAAACCAGTCAAAATCTTAAGGGATGACCCCAGAGTGCGTCTTGCAAATCAAGTCAATCTGATTTCTGCATTACGGACAGCGTTATTACTGCTACCTCCAACATTTACGGAATTGGAATTATATGGAACAATCGCCAGCATCAGCTACATGGGAGATCCCAGAATGGCTCTACCGACTGAGGACCCATCCAAAGTCGCGAATATCGTCGGTAACAACCTTCACAATTTCCGAAGACTGTATGCTCCACTAGTCGACAACCTTCCCAACGTTAAATTTAACGACTCGAAATGCTCGAATCCAGACTGGGCGGACGATCCATCTGCAAATGTGCAACTTGCCCAAGACATGGATCCTGTGAAGAGAGGTAATATGGTGAGACGATTACCGAAAGCTTTCCGATCAAAGTTATATTTCCAGTATCAGAAGAAGTTTCAAATTCCTCAATTGGAGTTCAACAAAATGCTTGAGGCTTCTGCTGATGAAGATGCAACAAGAATCAATAGGAGAGAAGGCGGTGGATTCGAAAGAAGGATCGCAAGCGAACCTCCGGAGGACTTGCGAGCTGAAGTCCGAGGAGTTATCAAAAGTACTATCAGTTGGCCCAGTACCAGCCAGAGCTTAAAAAGCGGGATAACCGCAGGTTTCTCGAGAACGTGGAGATATGTGGGAGAAAAGATGGAGAAGTATCGGGCTGGTAAAAGAAAAGCAGCTGAAGCTGCCGCGCAAGCGAGAGAAGAGCAAAAGCAGGAAAAAGAGAAGAAGTCATGAGTGAGGAGATGCATATCAGTGTCCGGGGAGGATTAAGGCCAATGAGACGAGTTTCTTTCATGTAATTACGCATGTGTACATAGATTTGGGACTTTGGTCCCAGTACGCGTCAGGCTAAGGCTAGACTACAGCACTTTCATTTGTTGGATGGATGCATAGCGAGAGAAGCCAATGAGTAAAATCATATCAATCAGATTGATTGAAATTTCAATTGAATATCCTCATCAAGAATAGCAAAAGCTTTCTCCTGGCAAGTGCCAAGCAATTGGCCTCGGTAAAAGTAGCCGGTTCCTGCATTTTAGCAGCTATGGTGATCTTCGCGTCCAAACCATCTCCCGAGCCTCACGCGCAACGTTACACATTTCATGGAGAACAATCCAAACCGATTGATATGGCAGCTTGGAATTAAAGCTCGCAAATAATATACCTCAGAAATCATTCTAGGCGGGGCAGCTGTCCCAGTGCACCCCGCTATGAAGGACAACGTTCAGTCACCCCACTTTAGTGAATGACGGTACCTGAACCTTGAGACGACATGCTCTCCATATCATCAACGTCAGATTTATACTGCATAACATGAACCGTATCGAGCTGGATGCTTCTGATGTATTTTCTACTTCTGCGTTGCTACAATGCTTTTTAATCCCTCGAGCTGGCTACCAGCTCTGCAGCTCACTGGCATCGTTGAATATACGCAGAGTCTGGTGGGCTCACCACATGTCGCTCAAGGGAGCCTCAATGGGTTTCCTGAGGTTAGGAGTACTACGAATATCCAGCGGGATGCATTTCTTGATTCTTTGGTTGCTAATATGAGCATTCCCGAACTCGGTGCGTCTCCTCTTGAATATTGTCCAATTACCATTCCGCTTCACTTAATACTCCTTTGGAATATTGTACTGATGTACCTAGTTCTCCAACTCCATCTCATGTCTGCAGATAATATCGTGGGCCAATACTCTAACAATTCTCTGTATGATTTTGCTGTGCGTTCTGCGCCAGGTGCGGCAGTTGGAGTCATTCATGATCTCTATGTGACGAATTCGTCACAATATAACTCAATCCAGGCTCTCAACTCCGAGAAAGCGCGTCTGAATGTTCCATTTCTGCAGTTTGGAGAATGCTTGCATGGTGTGGGATCGTTCAAGCAATCGATGTTCCCTCAGTCCATTGGTATGGCAGCTTCTTTCGATACAGATCTAGTTCACCGAGTTGGAAGCGCAATTGGTGCCGAAGCGAGGAGTATTGGCATTCATGCTTGCCTCTCTCCGGTCTTGGACTTAGGCCTCGAGCCGAGGTGGGGTAGAGGTGCGTGTCTTGCTCCTTATTCGAAGGAGAACTTGGCTCATTACGGACAGTCCAGGAAGCATGGGGAGAAGACATGCTACTAACGAGCTACATGGGCGTCGCTATAGCATCCGGAATGTCCAAAAACGGATCTTGGAATCGTCCTGATGCTGTCGCTCCTGTAGTCAAACGTAACCATCGTTCTACCCTATGAAACGCTTTCGCTAAGCGTTTTAATAGATTTTGCAGCCCATGGCAGCGGCCAAGGAGGTATCAATGGAGCGCCCTCTACGCTCCTCGGAACACGTCAAGTATGGCAGTCCATGCTTCGGCCTTTCAAAGCAGTAGTTGATCTTGGAGGAGCCAAGGGTGTGATGATGGCCTACTCTGAGCTAGACGAAGTACCATCCCACGTCCACCCCATGCTTTACAAAGCGCTCGATGATTGGGGCTTTGACGGTTTCGTGACTGCTGATGATACCGGTATGGCTATGTTGCAAGGACGACATAAAGTGGCAGGGTCTCCTGCTTCAGCTATTCAGCAATGGTTCAATGCAGGTGAGTTACGTGCTCGGGAATACTTTCAGAACTGACATGGTTAGGGGGCATGATTCAGTACTATGACTATCCTCTAGATGTCTATCTTAACGCGACGATTGACTTGGTTGCCAATGGCTCGGTTGCACTCTCGACCCTGCAATCTCACGTGCGAAAGATTCTGTCTGTGAAGCATGACCTGGGACTTTTCGAAAGCCCATATATACCTCAAAATGTCAACTCGCAATCTTTGACAGCGAGTCATGTTCCCTTGACGCTCGAGGCAGCACAAAAGAGTATAGTCTTGCTTGAAAACCGGAACGCAACACTGCCGATCCAACCAGCATCTCAGAACATAAGCAAGATAGCTCTCATTGGACCCTTTTCGGACGTACTCAATTATGTATGTTCATCGTTCACAGGTACTACATCTTTTACTTACTGTTCCAGGGTGACTACTCAGGCCAATTCGGCGCCTACCCCACAGCAAGCTCTAGCACAATTCGTCAAGGAATGCTTTCTTATCTCGCAGCAAATGCCTCAAACGTGGAGCTTGTCTCAAGTTGGGGCGTCAACGATTGGTATATCAATGCTCAACGGAACATCCCAAACTACCTCCTATCAACACCCGACGGTAAAGCGGGAGGGCTTGAAGCCACATATTATGCAGATGTGAACTTCACGCAACCTATGTTATGGCAACAAGAGACACCAAATCGAGACTGGGGATTATTTCCACCCAACGGTCTTCCGTCGAACAATTTCAGTGTTATCTGGGAAGGACTTCTAACTGTCCCTGTGGACAGCGAGTTGAATGGGTGGATCGGAGTTGCGACTAGTGCCAATTGCACAGCAAGACTCTATATCGACAACGTTTTAGTAAAAGACTCCCCGTTTTCCAGTCAGAGCACCATTCAGTCCAACATCCCTGGGCTTGCTTTTACTCAGGTGAACTCGACTGCGCCGCCTGCTGGTGGAGTACCATTCACGTTCCAGAAAGGGGAGGTTCACAAGATTCGTCTTCAGTTTCAGGCTTTCAACTTGTATCAGAAGTTTGAAAATATACAGTCCGTCAATTCCGAAGTGGAATTGTTTTGGAATTTGGTGGATAGAAATGATTCAATTCAGAAGGTTCTGTCACTCTTCTTGTCAAAAACAATCTCGCTAATCATTTTCAGGCGGTAGCCATTGCTTCAGATGCAGACGTGATAGTCTTAGCTGTAGGTGCCAACTGGGATTCCGATGGGGAAGGAGGAGACCGCTCTACTCTATCACTCTCAGTCAATCAAACACAGCTCACAGATGCCATCTTCGCACTCAACAAGCCCGTTATCCTCGTCCTTCAAGGTGGTCGTCCGTTCGCAATCCCGGAATACTATTCGAAGGCTGCAGCTGTGATCAGTGCTTTCTTTCCAGGCCAATCAGGTGGCCAAGCAATTTCAGATATTGTGTTCGGAGTGGTGAACCCGGGTGGTAGGGTACCAATCACCGTGCCGAGAAGTGTTGGAACTCTGCCAGTGTTCTATCATTACAAGCAGACAGCAAGAGCGAACATTTACGTAGATGCGGATTGGACTCCTTGCTATAGCTTCGGATACGGACTTTCTTACACCACTTTTGCGACGAGTAACTTCAAAGTCTGGAGCTCGAGTAGCGCGGAAAATTTCACTGATGGAGATACGATCTATTTCGAGGTCGAAATTAAAAATGAAGGGAATAGAGAGGGAAGTTATGTGCCGCAAGTATATCTGTTGCAGAGGGTCTCGACCATAACACAACCTGTGAAGCAATTGATGGCATTTAAGAGGGTATATTTGGAAGCTGGAGAGACTAGAGTGGTGAAGATGGAGTTGGAAGTTGATAGGTATTTACCGATCTTGAATAGGGTTTGGGAGTGGGAGCTTGAAAGAGGTGGATATACTTTTGCGTTGGCTGATGATTCGAGTGTGAACGCGGATCTGAGTGTCAATGCCACAATGACATGTGTCTGAAGGGAAATGGGTGAGGAACTCCAGGAATGTGTCGTACTTGCAAGCATATAGAGATAGTGACGATCCAGAAAAGTTTCTACGTGCAAGAACCTGTCTAGGTAGACGCCATAGCAATATCTCATGCTGTTGATTTGCGTCCGCCAAGTGGCACATCCCAAATTTCTGGTTGAGTCACAGATCTCCACAGGTCAAGCATCTCTGACACTGGTTTGGACATTCGTCTTTCAGCTTTCGGTGGGAAAATTAGGCTGGGCAATTAGGGTATTCGTAGTTAGAAACAGCATCTTAGTCTTTACTTCCCTCCCAAACATTTTGTTATCTCTCCCATCATTGCAACTACCTTCTCCTCTTCGAGTCGACGAGCAATCACTGCCAATCCTACCAACGCATTCTCATGATTCTTTGGGTGACCGTCTGAGGATTGTTAGAAACAGCGTTCAGATATACCCGATTACTCACAGTATTTCGTGACCTTTTCGTCAAGATCAGAAATTGGCTTCCAGTCATTCGGTACGACATCTTTTTCTAGGTCTACTTTTGTCACTGGGAACACTCCTGTCGTCAGATCCAGCAGAGGGGATATAGCTCCCCAGTGATGCTTTATCAATGTCAACGTCAGCTTCAATTTCTAAAACCGTCTGCTTTCAACTTACTGGATAGCCGCCATCATGTCTGATAGCTGGAAATGGTGTGCTTGGCATAATGAGCCCATCGATAGGTCGTCCGGTTCCAGTCAACTCTTTTGTCGCTTGCCAGCGCTCCAGCCATTTCATCTGTAGTACAGTACGGCGCTGCTGATTCTGCCATGTCTCAAAGACAGTCATCGGTTTGCACTCGGCACTATGTCCAAGCCATGCTTCAAGCTGAGGATGCAACGGTTCTCCTGATGCGTCCGTATCACGCTGAAATTCCTCTCCTCCATCCGCTGACCACATCTTGCTAATGATCTCCATGGCTTCAATATGCTCAGTCGGTATGAAATCGATGACTTCATGCCCTGCAGCCAACAATGCGGCTTTCGTCATCTCCATCGCTCTCCTCAATGGCGGAGTGGGATTCACTCTACCATCACCCATCCCAAACCCAAAACACAGTTTCTCAGGCAACTTCTCTAACTCTTCTCTCCAGGGCACAGGTACAGCCTGTGGATCATACAACCAAGGCTCCGTACTCGCCAGACTTTTCATAAACAAGCGGGTATCGTCCACACTCCGAGTCATTGGTCCTGCACAAGACCTCACTGCTTCCTGCCCAAGAAACGTATTTGCTACCTTCTGATAGCTGACTCGTCCATGACTAGGTCTCAATCCATACAGCCCTGTGAATGATCACGGGTGTCGAATGCTCCCGCCAATATCTGTACCTATCCCAATAAATGATCCTCTGAAAGTCACAAGAGCTGATTCACCTCCCGACGATCCACCCGTTGTCAGGTCTCGATTCCTCGGATTTCGAGTCCGTCCGAAGACGTTGTTGACCGATTCACCCATCATGAGTGTCGCCGGAATGTTTGTCTTGACGAATGGTACCGCGCCAGCTTTCATGAGTAGCTCGACAAGTGTCGAGTCCTCGGCTGCGGGTTTGTTGCACCAGGATATATATCCGACCGAGGTGTCGACACCTTTGAGGTTGAATTGGTCTTTGAAACTTATTGGAAGTCCATGCAAAGGCCCTACGACTTTTCCTTCTTTTTTGAAGTACTCGTCAAGGGATTTTGCTCGAGATAGAGCTTCGTCAAAATATATTTCGGTGAGGCAGTTGATGAGTTGTTGTGCAATGGAAGCACGTTTGGATGTTGCTAGAAGGACTTGAACGGCTGTCCATTCTCCTGATGCGATCTTTGAAACTACTATTGATGCAGTAGATTCTGTAATCTCAAGCTCTTCTGCGGTGAAGAGCCCAGATGTGTGAGGAAAGTCCTGGACATCGCGTACTTCCTCGCTTGGCAGGAGATGGGAGGGGATGATCCATTCTTTCGGTATCTTGGAAACTCTTTCTTCTTGCTTTGCTTCTGCAACTTTCTTCCACGCCGGTTCACTCATGTTGTTATTGTTTATTTCGTTTACTTCACAAGTAAGTGTAGTCACCAGCTTCTCGAAGGACTCGGGCGTGGTCCACGTGACTGCCGAATCAAAAGTGGGAGGCTCCCAAGAACTTCTTATCCACTAGCTTCATTCGATTCCTCCCCTGACATCGGGAATACTTCCGACGGAAATCTTCCTCCCTTCCTATCACAATATTGGCTCGGCAGATAATTCTGTCGTGGCCTGCGGACCGAAGAGATGGGATATCTTCAAGCGACTCGTCCCACCATTCTGGTTTCTGGGACATCGACTCCAGATCGTTGGGACACTCGACGTAAACATATATCTGATAATCATTGAGTGGATCTTTATTGAGCACTGTTTCTGCTACCTACAGCTGTTATGGCTTCTACTGCTGTGTTTGAGCCACCTTTGTCCCAAGGTGTAGCATAGTAAGTGATTCTCAGTTTCCTCGTCTTGAATCTCAACGTACTCTGAACTAAACTAACATTTCTAAGTGGCATTGCCTTAGGTATGCCTAGATGATTTCACTCCCCATCAAGAGACGGAAATTGACAACTTTCGTTGTAGGATTCGGGGTGGTATTCGCCCTAACCATGAATGCAATTACATGGCTAAGCAGAAGATATCTCCATGAATCCAATGTAAACCACAACCCCCAAAGCAATTACTGTTCAAGATAGCTGATCTTCTTCAGGATACCCAAATGCTCATGACAGCCAAGAAAAGTGTGAAGACCGGACTTGTGGCTTCTGCTGTGGTATCTTCATGTAAGCCTCTTCCAAATGAGCTCCAAGATTAAGACGAAGCTGATTATGTTAGGGTGCTATGCTGCAACCATTCTTAACTCTGTCCGTCTGACATACTTGTATGGATTTGCGGGTCTCTGGTGGTTTTGCTCGGGGGCTACGTGCCAGATCGTCTGCTATGCCATCATGGCCATTGAGTTGAAGCGTCGTGCTCCTCGAGCAGTAAGCATTCCGTTCTGTTATTGTATTCCAATACTGACATTCCGTACAGAACACCATCCTTGAAGCCATCAGAATTCGTTTCGGCACCAGCTCCCACCTCGTCTTCTTCGCATATGGAGTCTCTGTCCAAATCCTCATCACTGCTGCTCTTCTCCTTGGAGGATCAGCTGCACTAAACGTCACAACTGGTGCTTCGACAATTGCTATGAACTATCTCATCCCTTTCGGTGTTGTCATCTACACGTATCTTGGTGGATTGAAAAGTACTTTCTTGTCGGACTATGTTCAGTAAGTTGTCGTAATCCGACTTTCGTTTCAATTATTGACAGATATAAAGCACCGTTGTTATCTTTGTTATCCTCTTGATTACGATGTTCAAAGTGATGGCATCAAGCAGTGTCCCAATTCTGGGAACTCCCGGAAAGTTATGGGATCTTCTCCAGCCAGCTGCAACAGCTAGTCCTGCGATTGGCGCCAAAGATGGTTCATACTTGACCATGGACTCAGGGGAGGGTCTCTTACTTGCTGGTGTTATTCTTGTCTCTGGCTTCGGATCAGTTTTCGTTGATCCTTCGTATGGACAGAAAGCAATTGCTGGTGAAGCGAGTGCAGTGGTGAAAGGGTACTTCTATGGAGGTGAGGATATTCCCAATATCCTACGCTGAGTGGTTACTGATACGGTTAGCTTTTGCTTGGTTTTCAATTCCACTTGGCCTCTGCGCTACAATGAGCTTTGTTGCTGTTGTTCTTCAAGATACCGAGTACTGGCCTGCGTCTGGCGGGGTAACAGCATACCAGATTAACAATGCTTTGATCCTACCTTTGGCCGCACAAGCTATTATGGGAATTGGAGGCGTGGTTGCTATTATCCTGATGGTATGTGATCCCGAGTCTCTTATTAGTTGCTGTTGCTAAATCTCGCAGGTGTTCATGGCTGTGACCTCCTCGTTCAGCGCGGAAATTGTTGCTCACGCATCGATCGTGACATATGACATTTACCAGCCGTGTAAGAGTACCAGCTACGATCTTTCTCTTCAGTTGCTGATTGTGCCATGATAGACATCAACCCAAAAGCCACTGACAAACAACTCAGACTCGTATCACATCTCAGTCTAGCAGGCTTCGCAATTTTCTCTTCATCATTCGCCACAGCTTTGAACGTAAGATTTGTTTCCTAATATCCTCATGCCTACCCTTTACTAACGTACTTTCAGTCATCCGGCGTCTCCATGGGCTGGATCCTCGAATTCCTTGGCGTCGTTCTCGGACCCGCAGTCTTCCCCATCACTCTCGGTGTAACGAGCTCCCACGTCTCTCCCATCTTCATGACCTACGCTCCCCCGATAGGAACAGTATGTGCCCTCGCCGCTTGGCTCGGTTGCACAAAAGGGATGTACGGCACCATAAACGTCACAACCACTTTCGAAAATTGGCCCATGTTCGCAGGCTGTCTAGTCGGACTCATGATCCCGCTTCTAATTTGGCTTGCTATGCGACCATTCACAAAAGCTTATGATTGGGACCTGCTCTTCCTTATGGTGCCGAGACAGCCGAGGCTGGTGACAGGAGCTTCACGCTTGAGGATGATGAGAGTTTGGGCTTGGATTGGAATCCGCAGGAACTTGCTCGTGCTTCGTTCTTGGCGAAGACTGTCTCGGCAGTGTTGTGCTTGATCTTCTTGGTTCTGATTCCGTTCCCGATGTATGGGACTGGATATATTATGTCGAGGAAGTTCTTTACAGGGTGGACTGTTGTAGTCTTTATTTGGAGTTGGAGTGCGGCGTTGTTGATTTGGTGTTTGCCGATATGGCAATCTAGAGCAGCTTTTGGAAGAATACTTGCTGGTATGCTGGGTAGGAAGAAGATAGTTAGTGAGGGTGTAGAGACACCTGTTGTCGAGATTGTTCATGGTTCAGAGAAGTACTGAGGGTACGATTGTGACGGGAAGGGATTCAGATAGTCTATGCATCAACTCTGGAAATGTGTACTTGAATTATCTAAGATTCCGATCACCCATCTTAGGAAAAAGAAGCCAGTCAAAATTCTGATTCCAAGGGAAAATAACTGTCCGGCCGTTGCCTTTCTCCTCACATGTGCTCCAGTATTCCACTCTGTGAAGACGCTGAGATTAAGTGTTTCCCCGCTCATCCAACGAGACTTAATCGTTGTCATCCTCAGTAGTCGAACGGTATCTTTCAACGAAGTCCGTACAGATACAACCAACAAAACCTATTATGCCTTTGCATTGCCACGCCTGTCGCTCTAAAAGCTTCATGGAAAACTTGCTAGCTCTCCATAACGTAGGCAATGACTTTTCGAAAGCTATGGAATGGAGAAACGTGGTCCTACTGAGTTCTATGAATAAGTCTGGATGTGTGGCTGACTGCACGAAAAGTGCTTCAGTGAAGATTGATGGTTTGGAGTCGTATTTTACTTGGACGACTTCGATCTGGAATGTGATGTTCGCTGTTGCGAGACTCTCGTAGTCCGATGGTGACGATATCTCGTCGTTGTGGGTGCTGAGGAATTCCCGGAATGTGTCAAGCCTAGGATCCGGAATTGGCAAGAGATGAGATGGTGATGGGATCCTGGTGTATTTGCACACCGATGGATGACAATTTGCCGTAGGGCAAGAGGCGGGGTACGATCGGAACATGTTGCTGGGTTTTCTGGGGAATCGTTGCCTCGAGATTTGAAGTAAAGTTTCTGGGAATCATTCTTGTTTATAATGGAGCGAATTTCAGGCAGCTTAAACAGACGGAATTGTTTTTAACTTCCGGACGTTTGGAGAAGAGGCTCGGTTGGTATTGAGACGCTTGGGAGTTTCTCGACCGCCAACGCTATGTTCGCGCATATATTGGAGCCTGGTGCACAAAGGACTAGTTTCAGATATGGGTCACATGAACAGTTCCTAGTTGGGTCGGTAATACGAATCAATGTTGTTGTTGATGATACTATACTGATGTCTGTGAACTCTGGACTTCTTTGAAATTAATACAAACCAAGGAAACCGGAAAGCTCTACCCAACATGCAACGACCTCCTGTCTCTTTCAGAGTACCAAGGCAAGCTCAGAAGCTTTGCTCGACTTCTGCGGCCTCCTGAACCATATCTTCAAAGTAACCATCCAAAGTTGTATGTTCAAGCTTAAGATGAAGCTTAGCAGGCATCGCCATCACCTTGTCCAAATTTCTATCTCCAAACGTGCCCCATTCTGGTTTGCCAGCTTTATCGGTGATCCAATCTGCATCATACACTCCAATCCGATATTGCCGCTGATCCGAATGTTCTCCTTCACAAGTGACTGACATATATCGGTCCACAGAGCTGAAGGGTTGAAGTGTCTCGCAATACATAAAAGCATAGAATGTACCGTTTCTAGCCTTAGCATAGAGCCAAGTCGAGTGTGGATCGAAAGGTGCCAGAGGACCATAGAGGTTGACTTTGTAGACTGTCTTTATAGTTCTAAGTGCATTTTCGGAGACTTCACCAAGATATAGTTGGACTTTGTCGAGAATGTTGAGCGCTTCTAGAAGATCGTTGACGAGGACGAACTTCGGATCTGATTCACTCATCGTCGATCGCCGTGCATTGAATCTGAGATCGCCGCAACAAAATGGCCCATCATCCACATCTATCTTTGTTCGGTTTTTGGTCTGATGTTCATTAGCAAGCTAGAAAATCGAAAGTGCATCGCCCAGCATGATGGATAGCTTTGGTACCTCCTTCGAGCGTTTCTTGGCGTCTTCTTGATTCAGCACCAGCTGCGGCTCATACTTCTGATATTTCGTCTGCTCAAATTTGTGTAGATCTGCGATGAGTTCTTTGTCCCAACGCTTGCTATCCTGGAAGGATTGTTAAGAGTTGACGTCTCATTCGGGCGATATACCCGACAATTACGTAACTCACGGGTAGAAGATGTACCGGAACATTGCTACAAACAGCCACCGGACCGCAGCGATGGCAGCCATATGATTATTGGTAGGAAGACATGATTGAGATCGTCTGCCACTTGGAAGCTTCGAGCCATCGAGCCGATTGAGAAGAGAAAGTGAGGAACCTAGTGGACTGATGACTGTCATTGTAGCGTCGCAGATCCAGCGTAGCAATGAGATAATTTTGAATTCAGTAGCAGTGATGTCTATTCGTTCCGTCAGACTGAAAAACGCCAAGGATGGGCAGTTTCTCTCTTAATTAGGGAGGTGCGATCCTGTAATCCTCGGCAAGAGTGGCAGCGTCCTCGTTATAGGAGGCAGGAACGATGCGTTACTTTCTTGTTTCTATTTTTTTTTCAATAAGTAGGAATTTGGTTAGATAGAACTGAGAAGCTTGCAGGAAAGTAGAAAAGGCAGGCACTTGCGTATGGGTCAGGGAAGAAAGAGGTTCGGAAAAACCATGTTGAATTGAGAAAGCAAGTCATACTACAAGTGCTAGAAGAGGACCTCAACGTTGAGGAACTTAGTCAGATTCTGGCCTCCCACTGCCCCTTTCTACTTTTCCGTTTCAAGTTTGTCGCTCAACTACTTTCCTAGAGCGTCACAATCAATATCCATCACTGCTTTTGAGGCAAAACTTTAACAGCACTTATCCACGTCTCTTCCTTGCTCGAGCCAACTCTTGAATTCACTAGCTGAACGTGTTCTTGCTTTTGTCTTTCAGCGTCGGATGGTTGCTGAGGCCGGCTTGCGAGGAGCTTGGTGGTGGCTCGGCCCTGCTGTATTACTACCTGGATTAGGTCTAATTTGATTGACTGACGCTGGTTTCGATTTCGAAGTGACAGTTTCATTCCCAGAGAAATAATAATCCCTTGAACCCTGGGCGTGCGCGGCTGGAGTGAAAGTGATTGGGTTTGTGTTCGGAGAGGCTGGTGATGCATCTGTTGAAAGCTCGTGCCGATAACCTTCGCCAACCAGACGTTCTAGTCTTTTAATTTCTTTCTCTTCTGGCGTCTTAGAAGAGCAATTCCCCATTTTGCAGATTGTGTTGAGACAGGTCGAGAGTTCAAAGTGAGCGAAGCTCAAGTAGGACAGAACCGGCGCTCCATTTGTGATTGCTCGCGATGATTCAGAGAACTTGGCAGGTTATATGAACCTGCGGATCGCTGGACTATTCCCAGTCATGCTCAACTCTCCACTCATCTCCAGCCTTGCGATTGTACTTGAGAAGATCACAAGTCTGGTGGCCCCACTTTTCAGCATAGATATCGCGACCAGCTTGTGTGATGATTCCAACTGCTCTATCAAACCCTTCCGGGTCACGATAGTATGGCTCTCCTTGCCCGCCGGTCTGTAGTCTCTGCCATGTGTTGCGACCACCACCTCCATTCTTATTCTTGTGCTTTGTCATCTGTTCCATCACCTCGAGCAATCTCTTGTACGCAGCAGATCCAGGTACGTCGGAGATCCATTTTTCTCCAGTGTCAAGGACTTCAGCGCGGTTGTCCAGATCCTTGACCGCTTTCTCTTCCTCCTCTTTTCTTGCTTCTTCAGGATCCCATTCCATCGTAAAATTCGCCTGAACAGTATTTTTCTTACGGTACAACACGATTAGATCATCTAACGTGCCTGCAACATCTGTAAAGTTCCCAATCGAAACATCGCCAGGAGGAAAATCGAATCCATTCATCGGAATTCTCTCATGCATATCACAATCGGTGAAGTAGTATGGGATTGAAGTATCCCATCCCCCAATCTTTTCGAATGCTTCCCGATTCACTAATGCTAGCCGATCATAGCTGAAGAAACGTATAGCCCATGGCCGCGTTGGATCGATTGCATTGACGTCGGGTGCTGAGGATGTAGCATTTCGTAAAGCTTCTACTGCAAGCTTATATGGCGATTTGAAACTCTCAAAACGTCCAACATCGGCACCCGTAGCGTTTCCTGACCGTCCATCGTACTTGGCCTCAAAGGGTAGAGCAATGACATCCATGTGTCCCCAAAAGTACGTTGTGAAATTCTTCTCAATCGCGGTATATATGTAGAAGTTCTGCAGTTGAGAAAATGTAAGAAGTGTTGGGGTCGTTATGATGTTAACTCCAAACATGTGCAAGCGGGTATGATTGAGGAAGAACGGATTCTGCAGAGAAAGCAGGCCCCGTTCGTTGGAGTTCATGGTTCCAGTATTCTCGAACACATATATATCCTCCGCTGGCCATCCTGCTGTGATGTGACTTACAACAGTCTGCTGTAACAACAGCCAATTTCTTGTAAAGCCGATGAACAGTGGTGTTTTCTCTGGTACGTGAGGGCTTGGTGGTAGATTCCCTATGTAACATGGAAGTCAGCGATTGCTCGAAGGTGATCTATAGAAAGGTCGAGAAATGATTTCGTAGACCATCTTCTCACTATGATACACCTCTCTCGGAAACTTACAAGGCGGTATACTGGGAAGATCCGCTGCAGAGTGAGCAGCAGCCGCAATTGGGAAGTTGTCAACGACTTCTGGAGGCGGAGGACGGTCCGGTTTGTATTTCGGATGATCCGGTATCACCTTGGCAGGTGGCTCTGGCGGAGGTGGAGCTTCCGAGACCTTCTCCTTTGTTTCAGGTTCTGCTTGTGGAGTTGAGGATGGTGTTGAACTTGGCTCTGCTGAGGTCGTTGTTGTTGCCTTGCTAAAGTCAAGCGGTACCTCGACATCTGAAATAGAAATCGCACTGCGCCATGAGTAGGACATAAACAGCATAAGAAACAAGGTGATCCCCAGAAGATAGACTGAACGTGTGCGTAAGCTCGCCATTCTCATTGAATGAGCTGTTGGAGGACTGATGGAGTCGAGAAGGTACACGAGGCTCTTCGTGGCTGCCTCGGCTGATAAAGCAAGATGCGAAATTGCAATGCCAACAGGAATCAATCAGAGAAAACGAGTCGCTTCAGGAAAAGGAAACCTCACAATCAGGCATCGTGCGATGTTGGACCGTACAGGATGATCCAACTAGAAGAATTGGGGATAACGATGCAATAGGGGTCCTACAGGGATTGCTAGGACCACATCTTGGATCTTTGGCATGATTTGAGACTTCAACATCATGACCGACATTTCACAAGATCAGATGTGATCGAGGAAAAGGATGTTCTTGGTGAGTCTTTTTTTCTGTTTTCACCAAAGACAAGCTACCTATATTAGCTGCCGGCCTTAAGGTATTACTTTACCCCTTACTTCGGCTATTTGAAAGGTGCTTAAGTTCTTAGAATATGACACCAAGTTATGCCAATCGGCTAAGAGCCAGGTCGATCACTGACTCGACATCTCCATAGTGATAGGTTTTATTTTGGGCCTACTACGGTCATCAAGGGTGGAAACACATTCACAACCGAGATGGCAGGTAGAAAAGAGGTAGTAATTGTTGCTCTACTTCCGTCCTCTATCCCTCCTGCCTCCATCAAGGGTCTTGAGCCTCTTCTGCATGCCTTGACCAAATTCAGCACCACCGCTACCTCTTGGACCGTCGTCCGTAGGTCTCTTTCTGCTCTTCTCTACCGCGCTTCTTGGTGCATCTTTGCGTTTTGTCAACCGCTCAATGCGATCAATACCCTCACCAAGACCCCTCCACTCCTCCCCACCGTATCCAGCATCCTTTCTCCCGCCATTCTTGGCACGCTCTTTCTTGGTCTCCTTCGGCAAACGCACATAGTTGCGTTCTTCGTATTCTCGCCTCTCTTGCTCTTCCTTCTTCTCTTTCTCACTCTTGCTTCTCCTACCTCCACTCACGATGGTTGAACCTATACTAGGCTCTGCCAATGGGGCACTCGACAATTCGGTATTGACAAACTCGTCCAATGTGGCAGACTTGTTGGGCCTTCTTGCTTCCTTCTCTCGCGGACCGGTTGTAGGCATCGCTGTCGCCTGGATGCGCGGAGGCTTATATACACCGTTCCCTGATCTGCCATTGGCTTCTGTTTCCGTAGTACCAGCTGGACGAACGAAGGATGATGGATTCGGTCGGTATTGCAAGTCATCGATCTCGGTTGCTTTTAGACTACTGCCTTCCAAGGATTCTGCATCACTATCGCCATCCTCGTCTTCCTCGCTGCTCCCATCTTCGACCCCAGGACGCCTAGTTCCATTCTTCTGCACAAGCGTAGCATCTTCGATGCGTTTGGCGTCATCTGCCGCACGTAGAACTTTGTCGATTTGGTACTTCAATTTGCTTTCTAAAGGTCGCACACCTTTCTCCAGGTGAACTTGCAATTCGACCAATTTTTTGACAACTGAATCATCCAATCCCTCGTCTTGTTCTTCAATGTCGCCTTTGTGATGCCGTAGCTTCAGGATTATCAAAAAGACGAGGTTCTGCAGATAGGATAAGAAAAGTTCGTTTTTGACGTCGAGGAGAGAAATGCCATCTTTTGGGGGAATTGGCGTTCGGATTCTCTCTGTAGATTCTGATGCAGAGACCAATGCCTGCTGCAGATTGTCCAACAATGCTGGAATTGACGTTTTCGTAGACATGGTCAAAATTCACAAATTGACAAATGCGCAAATGTGGAACGGCTCCTTCGAAAATAAAAAAAGTTTAATGTTTTTCGGGTTGGCGAAACATTTTGCCGAAGGCGCAAGGCGGGAAGCCAGATAGCCCTGTCCAAGCTCCCCTGATTCACTGCGCGCCGAAGTGCTCTTTGTTACGAATAGCAAATCTTCTGTTCTAGACAGCTGTTGATATCTTCTTCATATTCTAGCAGCGTATGCTTGTATCATTGAAGTGGGCAAGATCTGCGTGGCTCCTAATGCTATTTTGAAGGATCCCTCGAAATATACGTAAGCTCCATGACCCGAATCCTAAACAATAACAACCACCAACAATCATTCCCTCAACCACTTGGCTGACAGTCATCTGTGAAGCACATACGATCGAACATGCGTTTAAGGGATCTCTCGCCATCTGCGGCGCTTCTCGCGACCCTCCTCGCAGCTCCAGAGCTATCTGCTGCCTTCTACCTGCCTGGAGTTGCGCCAACAACATACAAGCAGGGTGATACAGTTCCTTTGAACGTCAATCGTCTTACTCCTGTGGGTTCAAATACAGATGGACAGCTACGATCAGTGGTCTCGTTTGACTACTACCATCCAGCGTTCCATTTCTGCCGACCAGACCCTCAACCGGAATATGTGTCAGAAAGTCTGGGTAGTATATTATTCGGCGATCGAATCATGACATCTCCGTTCAAGCTGGAGATGATGAAAAACGACACTTGTAAACGACTATGCGATCCGGTGAAATTTGACCAGAGCTCGGCGCATTTCGTGAACAGAAGGATAGCACAGGGGTTTGCCTTGAACTGGCTGGTGGATGGATTGCCCGCTGGGCAACTGATCGAGGATGAGGTTACGAATACCAAGTTCTATTCTCAGGGATTTGCGTTGGGAAGCAGCGACGACAAAGAGATGCACATGAATAATCATTACGATATCCTGGTCGATTACCATGAGTTGACTGGGGACCAATATCGTGTAGTTGGAGTGATTGTGCAACCAAGCTCGAGGAAGACACAGCAAGAGGGTAATGGAGAGGGCGTCAATTATCAAAATCATTGTGGAACAGGAGGACCGCCATTGACCTTGGACGAGAATGGAGAAACAGAGGTCACTTTCACCTATAGCGTTTACTGGATGCCTTCTACTACTGCCTGGGCCACGAGATGGGACAAGTACCTACATGTTTTCGACCCCAAGATCCACTGGTTCTCCCTTATCAACTCGGCAGTCATTGTGGTCTTCTTGACCATTACAGTTGTTTCCATATTGCTGCGAGCATTGAGAAAAGACATCGCGAGATACAACCGTCTTGACTCGATCAACCTCGATGACTTATCAGGGACATCTGCAGCTATTGAAGACGGAGTGCAAGAGGATTCTGGATGGAAGCTGGTTCATGGAGACGTCTTCCGTACGCCAGGCTCTCCTCTTATCCTAAGTGTCTTCCTTGGCAATGGTGCCCAGCTGTTCGTTATGACTGGCTTCACAATTGCATTTGCTCTCCTGGGTTTCTTGTCACCATCCAACCGCGGCTCCCTCGGAACGATTATGGTCCTCCTCTACACTGTTCTAGGATTCATTGGCGGATATGTTTCGGCACGAGTCTACAAGTCGTTTGGCGGCGAACGTTGGAAGCTCAATATTGCTCTCACACCTCTTCTGGTTCCAGGCATTGTTTTCTCCACATTCTTCCTGCTCAACCTCTTCCTCTGGGCGAAGGAGTCCTCCGGCGCTGTTCCGTTCACCACAATGCTCGTTATAGTCGGTATTTGGTTCTTGATATCCGTTCCCTTATCCTTCGCCGGAAGCTGGGTTGGTTTCCGTCAACCACCTATTGCAGCCCCTGTTCGCACCAACCAGATCCCTCGTCAAATTCCACCGAGCACTACCTACATGAGACCAATTCCATCCATGCTTCTCGTGGGAATCCTTCCTTTCGGGGCTATCTTTGTCGAGCTTTACTTCATCATGTCGTCCATTTGGTTCAGCAAGGTGTATTACATGTTCGGATTCCTTTTCCTTTGCTATGGGCTTATGATCATCACGTGCGCGGCTGTCACCGTCTTGATGGTCTACTTCCTGCTTTGCAGTGAGAATTATCATTGGCACTGGAGAGCATTCTCGACTGCTGGTGCATCGGCAGGATATGTCTTCTTGAATGCACTTATCTATTGGGTCACAAAGTTGCAACTTGGGGGGCTTGCTGGTAGTGTACTGTACATTGGATACAGTGCGCTGATCTCTTTCCTCTTCTTCATTCTTACTGGTGAGTTCTCTATGAATTTTTTTGTGTTACCATGCCGACCACAAATACTAACACTACCTAGGCTCCATCGGCTTTTTCGCCAGTTGGGCTTTCGTGCAAAAGATCTACGGATCTATCAAAATTGACTAGATAATATGGTAGGAAAAGGCGAAGCCATGAGGATCTAGATGCAGAGAAGCGTCGATTCAAGTTTGGGGGAAAATGTTTATGTACAATACTATGGATTGCGGCTTTCAAAGAGCATTTTTGCGTGCACGGTGTGCGAGGCGTCTGCTGGCACTTTCGATATGTATGTTAGGCAAGGCAGCATGTTATTGACGATACAACTATGCGAAGCTCTTGATTCCCTAAGAAGTGCGTGCCAATCGATATTTTGACACTCAAAGTTCTCTATCAATGGACAAGCGTCCACTTCCCACACTCAGGAGATCCTTCTTTTGCCTTAACCGCGCTTACACGGTTTGTTGCTCTTGAAAACGCTCCGTCTCGGTCACAGCATCTCATTTGGCGTCTCGTCCCTGTTTGCTCGGTTCTGCATTTCCAAGTCTTCATATCCGCGGTTTCTTTCAGATCTAGATTTTAGATGACGGGCGGCTTGGAAAGGCCAGCAACACTCCTTCGGCCTGTGTGCTCCAAGGGTACATCTACAAGGTAATGATTTCGGTAAACCATCACTTGTTCGTCGTCCTACAAAGCGTGAAGAAGCAGCAACATACTCCAAATCTGGCTACTCGCGGTAAGACTGTGGTAGTATTAAAAATAAGATGCAAGAAAGAGCGTCAACGATCTCATGCTGGATAGATCAAGCTCCTGAAAAAGCCCTCCTAACACTCGCCATCCTTTGCACAAGCCAATGTTTCTTAAGGATGCCACTCCAATCTCCCTCCATCCACGGAATATCGAGCGTCTGTTCACGTGAATGCTCTGAGAGCTTTGTTGCACATCGCATTAAGAATTCTCTTCACAGCCAGCCTCGTTGAAGAAAGTCTTTTCCCACCACAAACATTAAATGATTTCGATTATTTTTAGTACGCAAAAGCGTCGCAGGTATATCAGGTATCGTTTCCCGTCTCGGTTTTATCTATTTCGATATTTGGTTGATTGGATAACTGAGGTTGGAGTTCAGGTGTGGCTGCAAGAATATTTGAACGAGGGATTGGACCTAGCGTAGAGGACTTCACTTTCACGATGGTGCAAGGGCGAAGGTCTCAAGTTTCCGTAGATAGTAAAATCTTTATTTTATTTTCACTGAATGGCATTAGGACCGCTTCACTCTCACTTCCAAGAGCCCCGTCGTGGTTCCATACATATGCTTATATGGGGCAGGTACACTCCCCATTTTGGTCCTTGTAGTGCTGGCTTAGTGTGCTTACTTTTGCTGCATATCACCCCTATCCCCGTCTTGATATCCAGAATCGCTATTCACCAAACTATACTTGCATAGTGGCTGGTGACTCAATCGAGCTGCAAACCAGAAATACAAAACGCAGATCAAAGTCATGAATGCTGACAGAGGGAAAGTAGTTCCTCTTTCCTAAACAAAATCTAGTAAACAGAATACCTAGAACGACTCGAGCTCCTCCTCCTCGAACGAGACCGTGATCGAGGGCGCCATCCCGTAGTACTATGCCTACTATCATAAGAATCAAACGCCCGTTCCTCAACCACCTCCCACCTCCCCGGTCTCTCAACCTCATAATAAGAAGGTCGTCCCCTACTCTCCACAACCGTATACTCCGGCTCTCTCGCTCGCCTCCGCACAACTACCCGCTCCTCAACTTGCGGCGGCAACGCCTCTCTCTGCGAATACTCGACCGGTCGTCTAGTAGCCATCTCATACCCATCCTGCAACGCCCTCGCGAACGGAGCAGCGCTCAAAATCCTCTGATACTGCGACCCGAGCGCCCAGACAGCGTCCCGGCGCCCTTGTTCAGATAATTCGTGTACGTCCCCGAACGCGGCGTTCCTGCCGTCCAGGACGTGGTACACGGATTTCAGGAGGTTGGATTGTAGCATGAAGGCTACATTGCGGAGTTCTTGTCTTGCTTGTTCTGAGTTTCTCGTGTCAATGATAGGGAGGTGCTAGCAATGGAGTTACAGCCTTACCATCACCTCTCTCGAATCTTCGTCCTAGTCGAGAAACGTAGCGATTGAAGTCATTTTGGACTTTTTCTGAGCCGTGATCGAGGGATTTGCCTACGTGGTGATACTTGAGACGCTTGTCTCGCGGAACTCTTTTGAGGAGATTGGCGCTTCCGGTGAAGGCGCTGATGATGGCGCATACCAGTGCTGCGATTGGGATTGCTTCTAGTCCTGACATATCTTCTTGCTTCTAGCACAGACCTTTAGACTGGAGGTATTAAAGATTGAGAATCGCGAGGCTGTGATAGAGATGAGACCTGGGGATGTTGAGGGAATTTATGGGTACATGGGGAATGAGAGAGATAACCTCAGCAGACCAATTGGTCTGCAGCTGCACTTGGTGCTTATTCTAGACGAGTACGAAGCCCGTTGATGTGGTATTCAGCATGCAGTTGAGCTGCAATACAAATACCTGACGAATGAGATTTGCCCGTGTTCTTCGTTGTGCATATGCAACCGAAGCACTGTCACCAGAGCCTTACTACTGGCCCTGGCCGCCGCCCTGAGATGCGAGGCACTGCGTCTGTCCACCCGACGTAGGACATTTGGGATAGAATAGACAGCCACCAAGCCACTGACATTTTGGTGAATAACATCAACCGAGCCAGTATTAAACTGTCTCCTGTTGTAACCAGGTAAATGACTTGAATGCAAGGGAATCGAGCGCTGCCAGACAAACAATGCAGACAGACCCTTTGAGTTGCATGTTCTTCATTCATATGTGATCCATTCTCCGAAAGCAGTGATCTAGGATTTTGCACATCCGCCCAGCGTGAAAAATGGAATCAGTTCGTCAACTCATCGCATCGCATCGCAACCATAATACACATGAGCCCACGCTCTGCAGATAAAAAACGCCAATAGAAAACTCAAACCAGGCCATCGTAGAGAGACAGAGCAGATACGATGGTCTCATCCCGCTTGCTGCCTTCCTTGAACTCCTCCATGTCTAGACTGCCGTTCTCGTCTTTGTCCATCATTCGGAAGATCTTCTTGACACGCTTCTCTGGTGTGTCTTCGTCGGCGGGGAGCTTGACCATGGATCCGACCTTGATGAACGTTAGTACTTGGCCTCCTTTTGATTGAGAAACTGCAAGAGACATGCGGCACGTGCCGCTATTGAGCCTCACTGGTTTACATACCATCTTGTAAATAGCCTCAACAATTGCCAGCATCTCATCATAGCTTATCTTTCCATCGCCATCGATGTCATAGAGTTGGAATGCCCAATCCAACTTATCTTCCATCTTTCCTCTGCTGGTAACGCTCAATGCGCAAATGAACTCCTTGAAATCGATCGAGCCTGACTTATCGCTATCGAAGACATTGAAGACGTAATCGGCAAAGGATGAGGGGTCTCCGAAAGGGAAGAATTGCCGGTAGATCTTTTGAAATTCCTCCTTGGTGAGCATTCCCGAAGGACAATCCTTCAAGAAGCCTGCGCAGCCTGCTTAGCACGAGATATCGCTGTCTAGAGTGTATCCCTACCTTTATACCATTGCTGCAACTCCTTCTTGTCGAAATGGGTTGAGCGCTGTAACTCGTTGAGTTGCTCTTGCGAAAGCTTTGATTGCCTGTTGTCCTTTGTCAACCCCGCGTTCGCATAGCCTTGGCCTAGTACCAGGCTTCTAGCATTCTTGCTTACGATTTTCCCATCTTGACTATCACTCCAAAACTACTCGAGGGTGGTTGCTTGTGGTCGACCGGAGAGCCTTGATTCTATCGGTTTCGGGATATGCCAGCAATTTGATTGTGATGGGCAGGATAATAGTTCCTGCGATACCCGAAGAGTCAGCCTCATTTTCACGCGCGCGAATGATTGTCTTCAACTCCACATACAGATGATCGCTAGTGCTCCGATCGTCTTAATCTTAGAATTCAACAATTCAGGATGACCTTTCTCAAACACCGTCAACCTGGTTCTCTGAATAGAATGATGATATTCGTACGGCTCTATTCCTTTCCGCTTTGTCACAATCTGTCTTTGCTTTGCAATCGTTTCGTCGGTGTATTCGGGAGGCTCAATGAAACCTGCACACGACACGGCTGTTAGCAACTGTCTCTCGATTCGACTGTGAGCCTAGAGCCTACTAGGAACAATCTATGCTTCTATTCTCTCTGCCACTTTCCTATGAATCTCGAGGCTTCAATCGAAGACGATACAGGTACAAACAAATCAGCGGATCAAGAAGACGGAGGTCGTCGTGGCTAAGACAGTTGGGGGATCGCGCAAACACGTCGTCACACCTTTCCCGGGAGATGCCTCAGTCGCAATGGTCCTGTCGCAAAGAGGGAGCAGCTTGAAGTCGCAGTCAGGTCAATCTCTGGGCCGAGCAGGCTGCGTTTTTGGTCGTCCAGGTGGAAGATTCTCGCCGTCGCTATGTCATGAAGTGGAGTGAGGCGAACAGGCTCCCCGCCAGAGTTTGTGCTGTGCTTGGGAATGGCAGTGTTGGTGCTCATTGAAGCAAGCGGGGTGTTGCTCCTTTCGGTTAGGCTGGGCATTGGGGCTGTGCAAAATGCAGCTGGGCGGCTATGAGGTCTGGCCATCTTCCCTGCCAATGAAACATTGTGTTCATCTCATCCATTTTGTTCTGAAATACCGAGAGATCTCGAGATCTTCGTGTAGGGCTGTTGTATGATGTTTTAGATGTTATGCAGGATATCATCTTGGACAGGTCTTGGTCAGAGGTTGCATGGGGACCCCGCCAAGCCATCTCTTAGCTTAGTGGCGATCGGGGTCTTGGAGAAGAGCCGCAATACGAATGACAAGAGAGGAGATCCCTGTTGAGAAATGCTGTCATTTGGACGAGTGAATTAAGATCAATGCTACTTCAAGAGCTAGACATTAATATTTCTGTCATCAAAGAAGGAAGTTAATCATCCTAAGAATTTTCCCGAATCTCGTTTTACCTCCTCGAGCAACAATAAGCAGATAAGGTTATTGGTCTTCGTCCTCGTCCTCGTCCTCGTCCACGTACCAAGCACCAGTCAAAGATATAATTGCCTAGAAAGTACCAAGAAAGGTAGACAGATGCTCTTGACCCAGCACTATACTACTATACTACTATACATACAAGTGGCAGGACGCTTGACGCCATGCCTTTCTCCGACGCACACATTGTTCCCTTCAAAGGCCAAGTATCATTAGACCGCTAATCAACAAACTCCAATTCCTTTGGATACCCGTGTGTATCGCAGCACGAGAACCTCCAAGCACCCTTATGTCTGGGAATATATATCCATCGAAATATCAACGAGACATGCCACGGGATGGCAGGCCAAACAGCTTGATGGTACGGTTCCTCGAATGGAACATCGAAGTTCGTTATTACTACTGGAATTTCATAGTTCTTCGACAAGAGTCAGTTCCTCAAAACCGAACAGGTTTGCGGAAAACTCACCACATCCGCGGTCTTTAATGCGATATCTTGTAACATCTTGTTCCAGACTTTCCAATCAATCTTACTCTCATACTGAGCCAGATCGACAAAAGTCTGAACCTCATCCTTCAAATGATCTGTCAATGTCGTCCCAAATCCATCGATCAACGCAATGACCTTCTCTCCATCGTACTTTTCCTTCTTCGCCATCAACGCATCAACATACGCCTCAAACTTATCCAGCCCAGGATTAAAAGCATGATGTTGATCTACATTCTTCTCCATGAATCCTTCCACCCCAATCGTTTTCTCCATCCAAGGAAAGAAGTACTTCTCTTCATTGCCATGATGTTCGTGGATTGTGACACACAAGGCGTGCATGAAGATTGCAAAGTCGGCGACATCCTTGTCATTCTTGACATTCCGTGCTTGCAGGTAGATACAGTTTATGATGCGAATGAAGACGTTGTGTATCAAGCACATCTCTGTTGCTGCATTCATGGATCCTGGCTCTGTCTTCAGGTTTGTGATCTATGTCTTGTGAGAGAATGTACGTCATGGAAATAATACGCCATACGTTACGAAGCTTTCGAGGAGTCTCGAGAAGCTGAAAAGGGCCATCTGCCCATTGCTTGGTTATTTTCGTGGGTGATTGCCCCATACCGATGGAAAATGCAATAGAAAATCGACCAGCAGAAATCGCACAATAGAACAAGAGCAAGCCAGAACGAAAGAAGGTACGGTAGAATCAAAATCAAAAGTAGGAGACCCCATATCTAATAAGTACGTGTATTCGATACTAGCACCCACGGCCATCTACAATCCAAACCCAAGGAAGTGGGTTAGTGCTTATGCACGTCCGTTGGCACCTCTTGGGGGCTCTTCAGCCGCACCGTGTTCTGGTGCCAATCGACAGCAGTAATTTAGGAATTGCGACGGTCAATTAGACGAATACGGTCTGGAAATGCACATTCGAGGCGCGGCCCTTGATGAAAACATTCAATCTTGGTCAAAAAGGGGGCGAGATGTGAAGATAAGGAACTAGTGATATGATAAGACTAATTACTTCACATTTCGGTTGTTTTTGCGAGCTCGAAAGGACGGGTGCTTTCGTGTGAAAGTCTATGGTGCTTCCAAGCATTTTAACATCATCGAGTTCTCTTCTTCTCTTATAAGACCAGAAACGCAGAGAAGTCTTTGCAATAACCTTCATCAATCAGTATATTGATGTACTGCTCCAGAATATCGTCATGGGAAGATCCTGCCACGGTGCCACCCAACGACTTGATCCGTGCATCGCGAGAGATGTCAGTGATATCAAATCTTTGCTGTATCCTGCTTCCTTTCCTTTGGCTGCCAACAATATGTATTGAAGGTCCACGGAAAAGCTTCTTCTTATCAATCTCGGAGATGTTGCGGTCAGGAAGTCTCTTGATTTGAAAGTAGCAAATGTTGTTGCTCAGCAATAACAATCTCTTCTGCTCATTGTGGGACTTGATCGCAAAGTGGCCAATCAGATCGCGAAAACGAATTGCACAGCAGTTTCTCGCAGGGGGCGTATTCGCTTCCAAACACATTTCGGTAGATAACTTCATGCTTGTCTGGGTACTTCTTGGATACTTTCAAAGCAAGATCTGTGAGCTTGGATCTTCAAGTGAACAATCACATATGTGGTTGATGTTATAATTCATATCTGAGCGGAAAAGCTCGACATTCTCCCTCCATCATGAGAAGTCTCAACATGTATATAAGTACTCTCGAGTGCTGCTTTCAATAACAATAATCGTACACAAGAGCCTTCAGAGTCTTACTTCCATACCCATTCTCAATCCCAGGACACCAAATTACCAAAGCACTTCAACCACGATGCATACAACCATCTCTCCCGCAATCCTCTACTGGGGAAGCATCGTCGTCCTCATCACGACCGAAAACGAAGACGGCACCCCAAACATTGCCCCCATGTCCTCAGCCTGGTGGCTCGGTCACCGCTGCATGATCGGACTCGACGCCTCCTCCAAAACCACCGAGAATCTCCTACGCACCAAGCAATGCGTCCTCAACCTAGCCACTGACTCCATGGGAGCTAACATCAATGCTCTTTCCCACACCACCGGGACCGAGATTGTCAACCCTAGCAAGTTGACTCGCGGGTATCGTCACGTCAAAGACAAGTTCGGAGTTTCTGGCCTGACTCCTACAACGTCAGATTTGGTCACTCCCCCCGGCATCAAGGAGTGTCCGGTGCAGATGGAGTCTGAGTTGGCTGGTGTGCATAAGATGATGCAAGATGTATCGGATCTTTCAGGTGCTATTCTTGCCATTGAGCTCAAGATTCTGCGGGTCCATGTTGAGGAAAGTCTGAAGCTGGAGGGGCACGAGAATCGGGTTGACCCTGATAAGTGGCATCCAATTATTTCGAATTTTCAGGATCTTTATGGGTTGAACGAGGATAAGGCGGTGGTTTCGAAGTTGGCGACGATTCAAGAAGAGTTGTATAGACCTTTCACTGCTTGATATCGAGGTTGAGGAGTTGGTGTAGAGGGCATGGTGGCTTAGGATCAGGATGAGGTGTCTGATGGAGACTTTAAAGATGGTCAGTGAAAGTAGTTAGAGCTAAATCTAGATCTTAGGATACTGGGAGAGATAATTGTTGGTTCTTGACTTAAATTGGGAGTTCTGAGCATCAAGAGAGGTTATAGAGCAATGAGAGGTGTTCCTTTTGACAAACCGTATGGTTTCAAATCGAGATATGACACGTGTGCTTCGTATAGTATTGGCTAATGTCCATAATCAAAAAAAAAAAACACTTTCATTAAAGTCTGTTAAATTAGCTGGACACTATCCCTTGCATGAGCAAGCAGTAGTGGAGAGGGACGTAGAATCCACGGTCAGCGGAGAGGGCAGAGCTTCAAGACAAATGATTCTCACACCAAATTACACCGAGAGTTCAACTCGTAAGATGATATAATCTTTGATCGAGTCTCTCTTGCACAAATGTGTAACCTTAACATGATAGTACATACACGTGATGGCGTCTTGAGACAGGGGAGCAATTGGAAATCACGCTAAGCCTCGCCAGTTCATTTCGCGATTCAGCGTTCTTGTTGACCTGGACAACTACAGCTCAGAACATCTGCAAACCCATGGATGCCATTATTGACAAGCACTTCGAGCGCGTGGAAAAAGCTTTGGCAACTCTGATCAACTCGATTTCAACCTACAATCCGAACCCATCTCTTGCCAATGATCTTGTCACCGCGGACGCAGAGCTTAGCCAAGGCTTAGAGCAATGTGAGCTTCTCCCATGAATGGCCCATGACCCTACTAACCAGCGCAAAGTAACCACCCATCAAAACAATCATTCGAAGCTCCTGGCCCTTCGCGCGACATCCAGCGCCCTTGATACCCAAATCCGCGAGACGTTGACCCTCCTTGTCACCACCCGACGCGACCTCATCGCAACACCCGCCTCTTCATTTCCTACAAACACAAACCCTGTAACTACCACCGAACTTCTATCATACGCCCGCCGCATCAGCAAATTCACTCTCCCACCTACAACTCGGCAGACGGACCACCAAGCAACATCTGGCGATGCCGGAGACAATACCCCCAAAGAGCCACAATCGCAGACACAAACAAATGGGACGACGACTCCCGTGGTAGCTACAAACGGCGTTATCAGCGGAGAACAAACGCAAGCCACGCAATCCCAGGCAGCGCCTAGCTCGGCGATGGATATTGATCAATCGCAACCAGTAGCAGGGGATACGCAAACCACGGACACAACAGGCGTAGCTACCAACTCGCAAATATGGGGGAGCTTCTTTGATGCCGCAAGAGAGGGGATGTGGGTCCCGTGGCCGACGGAGGAGACTATTAGGAGGGGTAACTTGGCTAGTATCCAGGTCTTGCTTGATCAGGGAGTTGATCCTTGGACGTTTGATCCGGAGAAGAGTGCTGAGTTGGAGGCGGATAGGAAGAGGATTGCGGAGGAGGAAGATATGGCTAGAGAGGTGGATAAAGCTAGAGTGGATGAGGAGAGGAGACGAGAGATGGAGAGGAGGATGAGTTCTAGTGGTGGTGCTGGGATGGAGAGGAGGGAGGAGGCACCGAAGGTGTTTCAGTTGGAGACTTTTGACGATGATGAAGATGATGACTGATGGGTCAGTCTGTACTTGGAGAGCAGAATGTATTTCTTTCTTCTGCGGGCAATTCCAGAGTTGGGCTTAGCAATTGGATCAACTTGCTAGTCAGAACTGGATTTCATGCAGCTCAGGTGCTTAGATTCCTGCAACACATTTCGAGGGCAGAGCCTTCATAGACTTAGTGGGACAATGTAGCAAATTGATTCCAGTATCTTCGCATACTACTCTATTATTTACCCAACATAGCAGAAGCATGTGCTCTGATTACATTTACTCTAACTGCGTTACCATTCGATTGACCAGACATTGAGTCTCTCCACGATGTTCATCCTCAAACGTTTACTTAGCCTCCAAGAACACCTGAATAGACGCGAATTACTGAACCACCCAACAATGTCTGTCATACTTATCATACTTACCCCACTTTAGCGACGCGGTCTCAAAGTCCAGTTCAATTCCAGAAAATACACCAACCAAAATCAAGGTCTCTATAACAAGAAACACGGTCACAAAAAGTCTCAAACCCAGTCAAGACAACGAAATGTACTATTCTGAAACCTAACCAAGCAAGCTACACGCCACATCTACTCTACTACACACGCATCATCATCTAAACAAATTTTGTATATACAACTCCCCCATTGTCCACTCCACCTGTGTATATAGAACTTACGGAATTCGTCATGGTCTCAATAAAATATCACAAAGAAGATTCGTCAACCCCTAAACCGCAATCAAGCTTTACCGCAATCAAGCATGAAGCGAAGACAAAAACTCCAAATCCATATCAAAGCCGCCGGCGCCGATGGTCTTCTGCCCAAGTACTTCTTCATACGAGGCATCATCAAAATGGAAATCAAAGTCCAACGCCTTGACGTGGTCGTGGTCGGGGACCAGGAGTTCGGGGGGAGAAGAGGCGCTGTGGGAGGGGGAGGAGGACGAGGCATCTGTACGAACGAGTTAAGTCTAGGACGAACAGAGTTCTACGGACATGAACGAGTGGGGAGGGGGAAGGGGTAGCTTGCCGAGTGGAGAGATGGAGGCTGAGATGGGGGAGAAGAGGCCACTGAATTCGAGGCTAGGTTGGTGGGTGCCGGCTGTTGATGCAGTGGCGCGCGTATCGGGTGCTGTTGGATCGGATCAATCTAGGATCAAAAAGTTCTTTGATGGGTGGGAGAGTGGGAGGGAACGAGAATACTTGCCGAGAGAAAGCTTGCCTTGGAGATGAGGGAAGCTTTGGTGATGTGTAGAGAATTGAGGGTTGATCCTCGCGTGCTTGTGGACACGTGCTGTGCTTGGAGAGTAGTGTCTTGAGTGTCTGCTGGCAAAAGACTGGCTTGGTGCTTGGACGGGATGAAAGTCCATGTTTGGTCCAGCATAGGATTCAGTGGTATGACAGCAGCAACGAGAGTGAGATCCCATTCTGTGTGACTTGTGTTGCGCATCAAGGCCGCTATGTTTTCTCTTCATAGATGATCCATCACTATGCACACGTTTGCTTGGGAGTCTTGGTGGGAACTCGAGAGTCCTGTTCAGCTCTGCATTCACGTCGATACCTGATCCAATGTTAGCCTGCATCAATGGTACAAGTTATCAATGTGGTTGACCTTTCTCAAGCAGTATCCTTTCGAGCAAGGAGTTCTTATATTTCAACATCAGACATTCATCCTTTGAGCTTATTTGAGCAGCCTCAGAGGTCTGCAATTTCTCCTTCTGCTCTTGAACAATCTTCTCAAGTTCTGTTATGTACTCTCTTCTTCGTTCCCTGAAGGCCGCTTGGGAGTCACGATTCCGTTGCTTCTTTTGCTCTAGTGAAGTATAGATCTGAAGAAGCAGTCAGCACCACATCAACATCAGGCTGAGAAAGGGGAACGAACGGGCTTGCGTCCTCCTTTGGACTTCGCTACAGGAGTTCCAGGATCCGCACTGGCAGATTGTTCCGTAGTCTTGTTGTGCATGCCGTATGCACCCACACGATCTTTCGCCCCTGGTACAGCCAGAGTACGCGATATCTCACCCCGCACAGAGGTCACGATATCATCTCGAGCCATCTTGTTCGAGGGTGGGGTCGAGTTTTGAAAAAGTTTTCAACGGCACACAATTGATGGTCTTGAGAAGTCCAACGTACGCAATTGATACGTGAAAATGTTGTGCAACGAAGAGAGAAGAGATTGAGAAATTTTGTGAAGATAAAATTTGGAATTCGTTATCGGTATGGGCACGGCCAACTGTCAAGGGCCAAGTTCCTGGTACGTAATATATTTTGGACTCCAACAGTGGCTGACTAAGCCCCGCTGGTCGAGTATCGGGCTCTTGTACCACAGAGATCCTTGAAGATGAAGCAGAATAGCATGTTCAACGCTCATAGGTCCTCAGAATCTTCAGTTTCGTGCTCTTGCTTGTGATTCAGAAGGATGCATGCATGGGTTGGGCTTGCCCCTTTCCACATTCGGTTGTGAACAGATCACGTGCACCACCCAAAACATCCTTGTATGAACAACACTTTTTGGAAACTTGGTGGAACACAATATATCAGACATAGAGGCACCGTTCAAGCCACAACGGTCTTGTTTACATGCGTGTTTTGAATTTTGGCGTGTATAAGTCTCTCACGCGTTTATGCATCCGCACTTGTCTCCCGAAAGCTGCCAAGATTTACAGCGGTCTTTGAAGGGTTTTATCGGAATTAATACCATGTCCTCAGCAACGGTTCCCTTTCTCATTCGTGCGCGTATCCAGATCTAAGGCAAGACTTGTCCAACAGTCTCATAGTGAAGAGATCTCGGATGACGGACGTCACTATCCCCCGCAGACAGAGCTTGGTGAGGAGATGATCGGCTTCATTATTGCCAGTTCGGGTAACCCGTCGCGATCAGGGCAGGTTGCCCGAGAACGATGGGCTCATTTTTTGACATATTACTTCTCGTTGTGGGGTTCTGGGGTGCGGAGAGTGTTTTTGCTCTCACGAGCAACAATTCTCTACTAGTCTCGTCAAAAATTTTGCTTTTATAGATTTCTATCATCCCATTCTTTCTGTTTTTGCCTTCAAAGTGCTCTTTCCAAATCGTGATTTCTGTCTGGAGCTTGCTCAGCCATTTCAAAGATGGGCAACCAAATCAAGAAATGGAATGTCGCTCATTCCTTGCAAAAACGCAACTTGCTCATAGCCATCAACTGTGTTGCTGGTCTTTCCATCTTCTTCTTTGGATATGACCAAGGCATGATGGGTGGAGTTAACAATGCCAAAGACTACATCGAGTTGATGGGATTTGGTCATGTGGAGACCATCGATGGCTCACCAAATACACCAGTAATCACCAACAGCTTATTGCAAGGCGGTATTGTCTCTGTATATTATCTGGGTACCTTGTTTGGTGCTCTGGTCGGTGGCTGGGTTGGCGAGAAGATTGGCAGGATAAAGACTATTGCTCTAGGTGCTGCTTGGGGCGTTCTCGGAGCAAGTTTGCAATGTTCTGCACAGAATCACATTTGGATGATCTTTGGTGAGTCTTGGCAATTTTGGAAAAGATGACAAGATACTAATCTATCTGGGTAGCGCGACTTATAAATGGTTGGGGAACGGGCATCTTGAATGCCATTGTCCCAGTTTGGGCAACCGAAAGTGTTCCGCATACTGGCCGAGGACAATTCATTGCTATTGAGTTTACTCTCAATATTTTTGGTGTTGTCGTAGCGTATTGGCTCGAATTGTACGTTCCTCATTCTCGAACTTCAGTTGTATCTCTAACATATGATAGCGGTCTCTCATTCGTTGACCAAGGCGCTTCACCTGTTCGCTGGAGGTTCCCAATTGGTTTCCAAATTATCCCCTTGCTGTTCCTTTTTACCGTCGTCTGGTGGTTCCCTGAGTCACCCCGATGGCTTGTAAAAGTGGGTCGCGAAGATGAAGCTCGATTCATCCTAGGACGACTACGAGGAGACGAAGGCGAAGACAAGATCCTTGCAGAAGCAGAATTTCAAGACATCCGAAGCGTATCACAACTCGAAAAGGAGGCTGGCAACAGAACGTCCTATTTATCGATGCTAACGGGCAGAGGGTCTGGAGATTTGCACACAGGCCGAAGAGTGCAACTTGTCATTTGGCTTCAAATTATGCAAGAATGGGTGGGAATAGCCGGGGTTACAATTTGTAAGTCTTGCACAATTTTCAAAGCCATACCATACTGAAGATTGAAGATGCTCCGACCATTTTCCGAATTGCAGGATTCAATACCGAAAAATCACAATGGATCTCAGGTCTCAATAACATCTTCTACATGGTATAACTCACATGTCCGAGGTGCAAATATATGCTAAAGCTAAATTCAGTTCTCAACACTTATCTGCGTCTTTACACTTGACCGTATCGGACGCCGTTGGACAATGTATTGGGGATCCATCGGCCAAGGGATAGCTATGTTCCTAGCAGGAGGCCTATCGCGACTAGGCATTAACGCAACGGACGCTGGTGAAGCCGCGAAAGCCTCTCAATACGGAGCAGCAGCTGCATCCATGATCTTCATCTTCACTTTTGTCTTTGGCGCTACATGGCTCACTGTACCATGGCTCTATCCAGCCGAGATCTTCCCACTGGAAGTTCGTGCCAAAGGCAATGCTTGGGGCGTGGTCGGATGGAGTATTGGAAATGGATGGCTTGTAAACAGTTCCTTACCTCGCATTCCATGCACAGCTAACAAAGACTAGACACTTCTCTGCCCCGTAATGTTTGACAGCATCGGCGAGAAAACACTCTACATCTTCGCTATTAGTAATGTAATTACCCTTCCCATGGTCTGGGCACTGTACCCTGAATCGAATCAACGCACGCTCGAAGAAATGGATCTGCTGTTCGTGGCGAAATCACCTTGGGTCTGGGATGCGGAGAAGAATTTCGCGAGGTTAAAGGAAGAGCATCCGGAGATTGCGCATGCGGCTCATCAAGGGAATTTGGTGCATGATGTTGAGACGGGGAAGGTTGGTGGGTCGGTACATGGATCTTCGGAGACGAAGATTGATGAGGTTGAGAAGAAGCATGTTGAAGGATGAAGAGGGAAGATGTGAGAAATGGGCCTTCTGTCAGATAATATAGAAGCGCTGCATACCAATAATGGTACAAACTCTTCACGCCTGAGTCTAGAGTCAGGCTCCCAAGGGCTTCTCCCTTCACAAGTGCTTATTAAAATCTATAGATGTTTTTCTTTGAAAGCCACGTCGTAGATAGCTCGGTCAGTTAAGCGAGGGAAGGAAGGGGGTAGACGGACTTTTAGCCTAGTTAAGGATTGCCAATTACATGTTAAGAAATTTTCTTCCAAAAGATCTTCTAATTCTTATGCGGAATTTGGATATAGAATTGTCTTATTGGATTATTTGTTGTCCAACTCTTCCTTGAGATCTTGAATTTTCTCGGTCATAACCCCGCAAGTGCGGCGTAGCTCTTTGATCTCAGCCAGGCTCAAAATTGACTATACATTACTCGTACAACAATGATCCAATTGCTCTCTACCGTCCAAGTACCGACCTCAAAACAAGGTTTGTTATTCGATCATATTAGTCTTGCGAGCTGTTTCAGGTCTCGCACATTCACATGCAAAAGACGCTTGCGGGATCGACGTCATCGTCAGGAACCGCCGGAGAAAACTCCGTTTCCAACACAATAATTCGTTTTTTGTAACTTGCGTTCTCTGCCATCGATTGAAACTTTCATAGTTTCGTCAATTTCTATCTCCTTTCTCTCACTGATCACAATATCGCACAAATGGAGAACCCACTTCTCCACCCTTTCGTTTTTCTTTACCAGCTTATGCAATGGTTTCTAGACAAGCTTCTATCCCCTGAACCTCCCAACCCCGGAGCTAAGCTTGGAAGACCTAAGATTGCTATTATCGGTGCTGGATTAACTGGTGTTTCTGCTGCCAGTCATTGTGTTGGTCATGGATTCGATGTGCAGATTTTCGAGGCCGGACCGAGGAAACAGCTTGGTGGAATTTGGAGCGTAAGTTTTATCTCTCCTTTCAGTACTATGACATCCAGTGAAGCTAATTGAATTTTGCAGAGAGTGAACAATACCTCAGGACTTCAGATCCATTCTATCATGTATCGTTTCCATCCCTCCATTCGCTGGGATGGAGGCTACCCCAATCGACAACAAATCGTATCCCAAATCACTGAGCTATGGAAAAGATATGGGCTCGAGGAAAAGACTAAGTTCGATACGAAAGTCGATAAAGTATATCAAGACGAGAAAGGACGATGGGTCATCAACAACCCTTCTCTCGGTCGATTCGATGGAATCATCGCTGCGGTCGGAACTTGCGGAGACTCGAAAATGCCGCACATACCTGGACAGGAAAAGTTCAAGGGCGAGATATACCATAGCAGTGATCTCACTGGTAAAGAAGCTAAAGGCAAGAAGATGATTGTCATTGGTGGTGGTGCATCTGCTGTTGAGGCTCTCGAATTTGCTAGCCATGAGGAGGCAGCTAAGACGTACATCCTGGCTCGAAGCGATAAATGGATCATTCCCAGGAATCCGGTCGTTGATATCATTTTGAGCTTTAATATCTTTGGAGGCGAGACGCCGTTTTCATTTATCCCAGAATTCCTCCTGAAGAAGTTCTTCTACAGAGACTTAGAAGATTTGGCTCCGACTGACAAGGGACTGTTCACTGGAACGCCAATGGTCAACTCGGATGTCATGGATAAGATTCGTTCGGGACAGGCAGAGTGGTTGAGAGGTGACATCAAGGGTTTCACTGAAGAGGGTATCATGTTCAGCCAACGTGGAAAGGGTGTACCGGCTGGTGGACCTGGAAGAGAAAGGTTGATCAAGGGCGACATGGTCGTGATGGCTACTGGATTTGATCGTCCAAGCTTGAGTTTCTTGCCAGAAGACAGCTTTGGAGAACCTTACAACCCACCCAACTGGTACTTACAAACATTCCCTCCTACGCACCCGTCGATTTGTGCAAATAATTGCACCGTAAGTCCCCTATCCTACCTCCTCTAGCTTCAACACTGATTATAAACAGTATATCAACGCAATCGGCTCCGTCGGGAACTGGCACATTGGAATCTACACCCGCATCCTCCTCATGTTCCTCTCCGACCCTCTAACACGTCCCCGACCCTTCTGGATGGAGCGCTGGATCGACATGACTCGCTTTGTAAAGAACTTCGCGCCAACAGGAGCATTCGATTTCTTCACATATCTTGAACTTGTCTGGTGGTTCACGTTCTGCATTGCGATTAATCCGTTTAGATGGAAGTGGGCGTTTTTTGTCTTCTTCGGTCTAGGACATGGATTGCCGAGGAAGGTTGTGGATGCGGAGGATAGGATTCGGAATGGACTTGGTGTGAAGAATGGGGAGAATTATGATGCTGGGAAGAGTTTTTGAGGGATGTAAGGGGCGTTGGAGTTATGGAGGTGGAGGGAAAGCGCTTCTTAACCTCGATGGAAGACATTTGTCACAATGAAGTGGAAGTCGCTGAGGAGGTCTATATCGGCCTATGGGAGGTTTTGTACCTACAACACCAAACATATTCCAAGAGATAGTTGAGACTTACCAGTTTTAGAGCTCATCCGATGAATTTGTCCCTTCCATATCTCTCGTAATTTCATATAAGCCTGCTTTCTTTGGCTCATACATTTAATCAATCCAAAATTTCTATCTCGCTTAAACCCTCTCTCATTTCTCAAGATATCGAGCATTTTGCGCATTTTGCGCAAATCGCGCAAACCGCGCGAATAGTGCGAGTAGCGCTGATACCGCATCACCTGCAACACACTCTCAGTTGAAATGCTAAATGAATTGTTATTCCGAAAGTTCTTTGCCTTTCTCTAAGACATTGCTTCGAGATCTCTATTATGTTACAGGGGAAACTTGGGACATAAAAAGCACACGCATGATAGTATGATGATATGAAGAATTTGAAGTGCAAAAAAAGTCTTAAATTACTATGATATTATCGCCTGCACTTTCTCTCAGCTCATTCAGCCAGCTCTTGCACTTGCACCTGCTCTTTGAATGCACCAGCTTTCTGAATGTATTAGCTCTCTGAATGTATTAACTCTCTGAATATACTAGCTTGAATATACTAGCTTTCAGTAGAGTAAAAGTGATAGAGAATTAAAAAAAAAAAGGAGAAGTGAGGAAAAGCAAAATCTTATAATTCTCAAAAGTTAAGCTACCTCTGGCCTAATGAGAGAGCGCTTGGGTACTCGAGTTTCAGAAAATGTTCTGTGAGCAAGGAAAGCTGAGAGCAAGCTATCATGAGGCTTTTTTGATAGTTCTGAGCAGCTATTTCTATAGCAATTTACTACGTTTTGAACTCCATCTTATCATATTATCATGCCTTTGCCCTATATATCCGAAGTTCCCCCCTATTATATACGCGAATTATAAATACCTAATTTCAATCACTCGTTCCCTAATACTATTCTAACGTGTCAGGCTGCAATTGATAATATGGTTCTAATGTGTAAATCTTCGCAACAAGCAAGTTGAATGAATCCCAGAATGTGATATTTTGCTAACAATTCCTTCACTCGAGCACCACTGAGATGATAGCATGGCAGAATGCTTCAGGTGAGAGTCTACGTAGAGAAGTGTCGAATCATGAGTGAAACTGCAAATCGAGAAGCTGAGCTTCGCTACAATATGTAGATCAAGAAGGTCCCTTATGCCAAGTAGATGATTCTGACGAGCCTTTGATTTTCCCAGCTAAGCTCTAAGCAGAGTCTTGAAAGATCATGACTTGTGAAATATCTAAAGTACAGACTGGTGATGTCCAGCATTCTCCAACAGGATCCCCATCTCACAGCCCGGCATCTTGATCATGGCCATCCTCCTTGAAATTGCCTCTTTTGTTTCTGCTCTCTAAACGGCATCTTGCATCTCCTCGTCCCCATCTCCTGCCTCGCTCTCGTAATCCGCATCCTGCATCTCCTCATCCCCATCTAAGCCATCATCTTCTGCCCCAGCCTCATCGTTGACTCGTTTTGATGGTCGAGCACTCAACACAACAGGCACATCGACACCGTCGTCCTTCAGAAGGGCACACATCATGGCATCTTTAGTATGCCATGTATGAACCTTAACGTCTCTCCTAGCGGCCTGTTTTCGCTTCAGCTCGTCTATGAGTTGAGCTTTGCTCATTCCAGAGTATGCGTGGGTGGAAGGAAATGTGTATGTAGCCTTCATCTCCTTCTTGTACGGCTTCTTGCCCGTGGTCTCCTTGGTAATTTTCGTCGGAGCGAATCTGTAGTAGTCTCTTGAGAAACGCTGTACATGATGTTGCTTTCTGCAGGAGAAAGCTCTCCAGGGCTTCTTCGACAATGGTGCGTCAAAATCTCTGACCCAAGAACCGCACTTCGTGTTAGCAGAAAGTCCGAAGTAAAGAGAGAACATGGATGGCGCATACCTGATGAGCAGATCCCGGACTTCTTGGTTGGTTATTGTTGTTATGCTCGTGATCTCGTAGGCTGGATTTGAATATTGTCGAGACTGGACAAGTCCACGCTTGCACTTTTGGCTTTTTCCTTTGTGAGCTTCCTATCCACTGGTCATATCTGGTGGAGTAATGTAGGGAGGTTTCGAAGGTGCTTGAATACGTGCCAATGTCCTCGATTGGCCGGCTTTTTTCACTCGGATATGAGGCACAAGCTGGGAAAGGTTGAAGAATAGGTCTGAATGGCCTTGGCACTTCTTCCTTCCGCTTCTCTTGCAGTACGCTCTTGCCTATGAGCGGAGTCTTCATCGTACTATTATTGGATCGCCTGTACACTAGGAAACCTGATTTGTGGGTATCATCTACTTACCAATAGGATGTTTGGCTTTCAAATCTTTGTTATCGATCCCTGGCATTAGGGCTATGTATGGTCTGCATATATCGATTGGAACCTGTAATTGGGATCCAGATTCCCAAGGTTGTTCTTCGTCTTGCTCTGGCTCCTCATCAGTGTCTACCAACGAGCCGCTACTTGTTTCGAATCGACATGTGATAATGGTGACAACCTATTCGACACGACCGGCTCTTTCACATATGAACCGTTTTGGTTTTGGTAATTGACTTGTAGCGGTAGCCATGGGACCCGGAGAAAATCTCGTAGTGTTTGCGGACAGCTTTCTTCTCACCAATTTGCTTGGACATGAAATTCTGACCTAAAAGAACTTTTAGTTAGTAGAAAGTCCAGAATGAATGGAGAATGGTTAGAGAGCATACTCTGTTGGCTAAGCGTTTGCTTTCATGATCTGTCGTTTCTTGGTTATCTGCATCGCTTGACGCCATAAGAATGCGAGTGCTCGGAATGCTGCCGTTGGTTGGCGAAGATGGCTGTTTCAGAGCTTAGCTAGGTATGTTCCTCATAAACAGATGCCCGAATAAACTCACGGTACACCCTTCAGACGTAAGATAACTTCTGGATATGATAGTTGTAGGCGAAGGGGAGTATTTGGGCAATTCATATGGTAGAAGAAGCTCATCTCGAGATATTCCACGCGGTCTTCATCTGTATCCGTAACCTTGGCAGCGAATTGATTGGGGAATTTGTCCTGTGTACCATTATTCCACACCACTCCTCCCGTGCCCATTTGAGGTGCGCCCTCAAGTAGAGCCTTCGCTACAATGGCGTGGACCTGGGTTGGCATATCTCTTATCCCGGACACCAATTATTGCAGGGGCAATCTGGCAACTGAGATTATAGACGGCATTCACGGCAGTCTTTCGCCGCAGGACCTCCTTGGGAACGTTGGCATGGTCAAGAGTAACTCGCTTGTCCTCTCTTGGAAGGGTCGTGGGGATTTGATAGTATCTCCGAATTGTGGTCTTCGTTGTATTGCTGTGTTGAAGTTGTAATAGTGAATTTTCTTTCTTTTGAAAAAGTTGTAGCTGAGTTTGTTTTTGTTGATGTTGGTAATGTCGTTTTTGGACTATATATATACGTATTCACTCGAGCAATGCCATCGGTTCTCCCATACAAAGTTGAAACTTAGCAGTACGTCCCAATAAAATATTCACTACAGATAACCCCAACAATAACAAACATTCTCCAGCTCCTAATCACAAACCATCTAACTCAATATCTTCCAAGCAATCGAATTTTCCATCACACGAAACCCACACAACAACCATGCTTAGCACAAACCGCAAGCCAACTATTCACTCACACCCATTCTTCCGTTCAACACTGCAGCACAAAAACTCTTTTTCCTGCAAAACGCTGCATTCCGGCGTAAGCGAGTTAAGCGAGCCCCTTTCGGACTACCATCCGCGGGTATCAAGACAAGCAAGCAAATTCACGGCGACGAACCAAAATGGAACAGCTCTGATAATATTTTACAACCAATCTGCTTAATAAGACAAAAACGGAATGACAGCCAGCCAGCTTATCACAGAATCTCCCCTCCATCTCCGAACCTTGCGGACAACGCAAAGAAGACATAGAACTGCCGGCACTGACTCAAAACAGAGGAGCTGGGGGGAAGGCCCTCTTTAACCATTGCCCATTTGCACGAAGCTGGACTATGAGAACGTTGCAGTTGTCACAGATGTATAAAGTCAAGTTACAATCAGTCTTTCGCAATGTCTCAAACAGACAACAAAGGTTCTGGAATACAAGCCGCCCAGCATTAAACACCTAAACAACAACTTCCTATTTACTATCCACAACAGAATCCGTAAAACCTCCTCAATTACACCTCAATCTTCGCCGTGGACAAGCTTTCTTCTAGTCCCTTTGCTTCGCTTGCTGCGTTGACTTTCGACGAAGATGGGTGGATGACGCCACAGATGCAAAATCTAGATTAGTCCAAAAACAACCACCCGCAAGCAGAAGAACACAACTAAGGTCAGAGAGTACAGACCTTCTTGTAGGAAACACTTACTTCATCCTTGGCATCAGGACCCGTTACTCTTTCCTTGAAAACAGAGTAATTTCAGCGCACCATCCACCATCCTAACGCCAAGAACGATTCACAACAGAAAACACACACACCCATGATGATTTGATTGACAATAAGAGCCACCTTCCATTCATTCATTCCTGATTGTACTGATCTGCACCATCTCTCTCTCTTTGGGTATTTTAATCTAACAAAAATCTCATGCACACCACAACAAGCCACAAGCCACCGCCCAAGCAAAAGCTACCCCCAATTCCCCCTTCGATCTCTGAAAGTATCTACACTTCTTTCCTCCCACCTCTCACTCCGCGCCCGTAGAAACAGTCCTCTTTCCCCATCCCGTCCAGAATCCACCACCACTCGTAGGTGTAGCTGTTGGCGGCGTCTGCGCGCTGACTGATCTCTCGACGACTGTTTGGCTTGGATTGGATTTGTGGCCTAACTTGCTTAGCTCGCTATTTGCGGTGCCCATGCTCATCATCTTCTTCAGGCTTTCAAGCTTGCTCTTTGCTTCCTCTGCTTCTTGTTTGGCGATTGCTTCGGCTGTTTTGGCTTGTACCAGCTCTAGGACGAGGGCATCTGTGTCGACATCTTGTTTTGTAGGCGAGCCGTCGTTTGATGGTGGAGTCATGTTCGGGTCTCGGTTCTCTTTTGCCTGAATGGCGCCCATGTTCAGACTCGAAGTGCGTTTGTTGAAGACAGGAGCTGCTGGCGCAGATGCTGATTTCTGGGACTTGTTCGAGTTCGTACGGCCAAGTCTGAATTCTCGAAGACCACCATTATTTCCTGATGTCCTCTTTGGCCATTCCAACTCATTGTCTCGGCTACCATCAGGTGTTGTGGCTGCGCTCTTGGACTTCGTTCTGAGATCATGAATCTGTCTCTCCAATCGTTGCTTCTCTTGGTGAGCGTTCCGAATATGCGTGTGACCCTCCTTGACTTGATCCTTGAGGTTCGAAATCTCTTGTTGATGCTCTGAGAGTTGTCTGCTGAAGTCTTGTGCTCTGGAAGTCTCGATGATGAGTTGCTCCTTGGCCCGAACAAGATCTTCCCGTAGCTGTGACTTGGTTTGTAGCATTGAAGATCGACGGTTGTCAGTCGGAGCAGAGAATCGGTCCTCCACAATATCGAGCAAGCGTGAAAGCTGATCAGCAGTGACTTCGGGCGTAGGTGTGAGATCGTCGGTTTCAGAGCCTTGTCCTTCAATTGACTCCTCCGAATCCTGGGCTGGCTTCACAGTCTCAACACTGTCATCACTCTTCTCTGATTCAACCGTCTCCACACTCGCCTTCTTCCTCAAGCCATCAAGCAATGATCGAACAGCAATTTTGTCTTCCTCGCGCTCTTCTCTCTCCTTCTGCAATTCCGTAGCAAGTATAGCATGACCTCTTTGCAACTCGCTCAATGCCGTGAGAAGATCTTCGATCTGGCCGTGCAAATTCTTGTCCTCCTTAGATTTCATATTGTTGAAGCTGACAGATTGGCCTCGGACTGACGATCCATCCGTATTTGACGAATCTCGAGAGATCGAGGTGGCGTCCGTGGTTGCGCTGAGCAAGCTGTCCGATCCTCCACCTTCGACGGAGTTGAGCGTTGAAGCAATACTTTGTCTCGAAGGTGTTCTTCGAAGAAAGCTAACTGGGCGATTTGGAGCAATGAATCCTGGACTTAGGTTCATAGATTTTGTAGACGAATTCGATCCAGTCCATAAGCGACCCAAAAATCGGGCCGCAACCGAGCCGACGTTCTCTGAAGGTGAGACGGCATCGGCCATTTGAGCCTCCTTATAGCTAACCTCCAATGCCTGCAAACTTTCTCTTGTAACCGCTCCAGTCATGCTGACGAAATCGTTCACAAATTGGTCAGCGTTCTGGTGATAGACATCCCATAATACTCGTGAAAGAAGTAATTGCATAGCATCTTCCATTTCCGAACATGCCATGATCTTCTCTTCGTTCTTTCTCATCAGTGATAAGGCAACCCTCATAATCGTCTCGGAAGCACCTTCTGCAAATATGACATCGTATATCCGGAATAGCATCGGCAGAGGACATGTGACGGCGAAGAAGGACAAAAACCATTGAGAGACATATGCCGGGTCGATTTGGAGGTGGTCAAGATGTGCAGAGAGTTTAGGTAGGTGTAGTTTAAGAAGTTGCCGGAACTGGAAGATTCGTACATGAAGACCTGAAAGATCTGGAAGGAAGCATGCTCGTAAATCGTAATGTTCCATCAATCTACCGGACATTAGTGACTATCATCCATCGGTGGGAAGTATACATACCGGACGAGAACACAAAAGGCTTGCTTGTCGCCCATATGCATAAGCAGAGGGCCAACAAGAAAGCCTAGGCCTTGACAGTACCCAATCTTATGATCGTATAAGCTGAAGCATTTCAGCACTCTGCCCAACATTCGTTGTCCGTCACCTTCTGGATCACGGAACATTTCTACGCCTGGGAAGCTTCGTCCGAGATCCTTCCCAATGATACCTTCGTACGGACTCGACTCGCCGCATAACCTATCGAATTGATCTTCTAGGAAATTGTCTCGAGCTCCAGACATACTCTGCCAAACCACACCTCGTAGAGGAGGCGGAATACCACTTCGAATCTTCTTCGACAATAGTGTAGGCAAACATTGTGCCGTCCTGGTATAATCTTGTACCAACGCAGCATAGAACTCGAGATCCGTCATGGGAGGAGCAGGTATCATAGAGTACCGTAAAGCAGGAGGCGTAGGACGATTAACCATCCTCTTCAACTGTTGTATCGAAGGCGGTCTCGACTGCCGACTCGGTCGCTGTCTCTCTATTGTAACTTTCGTGATTCCCGATTTCGGATTCGTAGCCAGCAGGTTATTCTCCTGCTCGAGTCGTGCAAGTAATAACGCCGTAGACTACTCGATTAGCATGATTCACTCCAAGATTGTAAGCAGATACGCACATCATCCGAATTCTCATTCCGTGGTTCCTGCTCCTCCGTCTTCTCCAACTCCTCCCAATTGACACCACCGCCCTCCATTGAAGCTTCAGAGCTATCGCTCCCTCGCCGTGAAAACTCGTCTTGCCGCGAAGCAGGCGATTCGGACCCAGAGGGACTCAGGACTTCATTCCCATTCGGATCTACTGTCGTAATCCGCGGACTATCCTCATCGACACCCTTCTCGTCTGTCTCTTCTAGCAGAATATCTGGTGTGTCCAATTCCTCCTTTTGAAGCTCGCTATTCTCGTTCTGCTGCACGCTGGTATCGACATGTAATGCAGGCGGCGGTTCCGACAATCGAACCGTGACCATAGAATCGTGGGGTATATGCTTCGAAATGTGCGGCTGTGGTGGCAATTGCACCTTCTCTTCCGGTCGTTGCTCTTGCTCAACCGGGACCTCGATAAACTTTTCGATTTCGGCCACCTCAACCTCGACGTCAGCATCACGACGCGTCTCCGATACCTCCATCTCGTTCTCGGATCGCTGCTGCACGGCGGGAAGGCTAGATAGAACCCAGGAATGTTTATTATCCTCCCTCCCTTTCCCTTCCCTTCCTTCGTATCGGATCGGTTCGCTTTCCCCTATTGAACGTTCCCAAACCTTTCCTTCCAATCGAGCACCTTGGCACAAAGCAACGCACAGAAGAATCTGCCTCTGTTCCCCAATCAACAGTCCCAGAGCCCCGTCGCAGAAGCCTTCCGAGCTTGTTTCAACGGCGGGGACGCTCGTTTCGATCTCTCCCCCAGCCGGTCAGGACGCGACCAAGACAAAAAGCAGTTCACTTCAGTTCAAAGAGAGTGTGGATGCCTGCCGAACAAGCAAATACAAATACAAAAATAAAAACAACAACAACGACAACACAAACGAGTGTGAATTGTACGGAGCATCAACCAAAGGAATAAAGAAAGACGTGGGTAGGAAGGCGGTGAAATTGGGGACTCCAGCCCATAATCTCGGATGAAGATGGGATAGCTCAGGGGTGCTTTTCGCGTGCCGGGCCACCAATCAGCGCTGTTAGCCTACCGTTATCGAACCCCCTTTTCTTTTTCGCGACGATCTACAAGTTCTCTACAGCGAATACATTTATTTCATGCACATATCAATCACCAGATGAACTTCTTTCCTTCCTTCCTTTCTCTGCTGTACTAACAATGAATGATGATCATAAACATGTAACCACAGCATCAAATCAGCTCATATGCAGTTCCGCATCTGCTTGATTAGCGTTCCATCACGGTGGGCTCAAAGCATTTATCCGCCGCCGTCCAGAACGGGAAGTTTGTTGCTTGCCCCACCCATATCAATGCTACCCTCGCTCAGCTATTACATTCACATACAAAAAACATACCAGCAACTTTCTGTTCTCTCTTTTCCAATACCAGTTCAGGAACGAACTTGGTACACACATACATGTTTAGAACGCACATAAAGCTTAAAATCTTAATCACAAATCGGGAAATTCATCACATCGCTCGAGCATGGACCCCTTTTCCATCACCTGATTCAGCATAAAGTCACTCACCAGCACCGAGTTTCAACCATTGAATCGCTTTCGGGTGAGCGCGGAGACGTCAAAAGATACATAATATTCATTCCTCGTGTGCTTTCGCGCGGGCATATAAGATCCACGAGAATCAATAACTACTCCTACAAGTTTGCTGATCACGCAAAATAATGAGTACTCAAAACTAACCAGACTTCGTGAACTATGACACACTTGGTGGCTCAAAGCTATCATATAATCATGCGTCCCTCCCTCGAGCACAAACCAACGAAGAAAAGACTGAATCAATGTTCATGAACCCCCCCAATGGCTACCCAACCCAGAACTCCCCGATATAATTTTTCTCCGTTTACTCGCTAGCATCAAAGTCGTCCTCGCTGGCGTCTTCAACCAGAGCAGACTCGTCATTATCATCAACGTCCATTTCGTCTTCGTCATCATCAGAGTCGATGTAGACAGGTTGCTTCGGCTTGGCAGCGGCAGCAGCACGTGCGGGTCGGCCTCGACCACGAGCGGCCGGCTTGGGGGGCGGCGAGTCTTCCATGATCTCATCCTCCTCCTCTTCGTCGTCGTCACTGATCACCATCTTCTTCGAAGTAAGCTTCATCTTGCTTTGCTTAGCAGCGTATGCCTTAGCAGCTGGTGAGAGTGCTGTGGGCTTCGGTTGGGAAGACTCGGCAGTTTTCTTGGGTGCGGGAGCCTTCTTTGGCTTCGGTGCAGGCTTGGCAGCAGCTTTAGGGACAGGAGCCTTTACTGGAGCCTTCTTCGGAATTGGCACAAGGTCCTCATCGTCGGACAGAAAGCTGTCAAGGTTGTCCTTGGGCGCCGGAGCAGCCTTGTGCGGGGACGAGCGAGCCAGCATTTCGTAGTTGGTTTCGTCGTTGTCATCGCTCAAGTCGAATGTTCTGCTGGGCTTCGCCTTGAGTTTAGGCAGATCATTGCTGGTTGATCGACCGTGACTGCTCCCAGGACGAGACATAGCGAATAGAGAGACTCGTCCATTGGCAGCTGTAGTCTCATTGTTGTCTCCACCACCAATTCCCTTGACCATAGCGCCGACGTCTCCTAAAAGCTTGTCATCATCATCCTCAGACTCCTCATCATCGTCGATGACCCATTTCTTCGGTGCAGCAGCAGCAGCGCGCTTCGTACGACCATTGGGAAGAGCTCTCTGCTCGCTGGAATCTCGAGATATTTGTGGAGCGGCACTGGATGCCTTCAGGACGCTGAAGTCATCATCCTCCAGTCCAGATGCTTCTTCCGGTTCTTCAGTGCCATCTGAACCGAAAGTGTTTGGCTTCGGCTTGGGTTTCGGCTTCTGATCAAACATACTCAAGAAACGTTGATGAGTCTTCTGCTCGACCTTAACAATGCCCTTGTTAGGATTGGCCTTCAGAGGCTTGGGGTTGTATTCAGTATCTGCTGCCGCCTTCGCAGGTCGTCCTCGACCATTAGCATTCTTGCCAGCACCAATCTTCTTGGATGTGCGGCGGTTGGTGTTGCGAATCGACTTCTGATAGTCTGCTTCTTCGTTCAATTGGACTTCCCACTCGTGAACGAAGTCATCAAGATCCTGGCACCAGAGATCCTTCTCGCTGAGCTTTTCCATCGCATCATGCTCTTCCTTCTTGCCTTCCATCTGTGCCTTCAGCTTGTCGACACGCTCCTGTGTCAGAGACCAGATAGGTAGCTTTGTTAATGTCAGTGGTTTGATCAGCTTCATCGTGAGAAATGACTTACACCGAGAAGATAATCAAAGTCTCTAGCTCCAGAGTCCTCATCAACTGAGGCTTCATCCTCGTTCTCCACGACGTCGTCTGTCTCACCAGCATGCTGGGCATCTTTAATCTTGGGGAAAGCCTCGTAGTCACGCTTACGCAGTTCTGCAACAAGGACTGGCTTCTTCTTCTTCGAGACTACAAGCTTGTTCTCAATGATCTCCATGACAAAGCGAGCTTGATTCTTCAGCTTGCGGAATTCGGTGTTAAGTTTAGCCAACCAATAAGTCTACTGACCGTTAATATAGGAAATTAAATTTTCATGGGCAACATTACCTTTCGCTTCGTGTACATGGCAAGACGGTAGACGTAGTACTCTTCAAGAATATCTTCCACAATCTCATACTTGCGGATCTGACCTCTGGAATCGAAGGCAACCAGATTGGATGTAGCAACAGTCTTATTAAGTTTGAATCGTTCGTGAAGACCGTCGGACACAGCTGCCTTGAAGTGATTGGGATCCATCTGGATTACGAAGTGAACGCTGTTGTGGTCGTTGTACTCTTTGTAATCCTTGATGAATGATGGAGCCTTCTCACCCTTGATGATATCTTCGAGCTTTCCCTTGAAGTCGTCGGTCCACAATCTGATAGGTAGCTCGGTGATCTCCACTTCGTTGTCTCCGCTTTCCTTGATGATACCGTTGAAATTGTATCGCATAGGTCCGCCAACTTCGGGAGTGCCTTTCCACCCTTTGAACCATGGCATCATAGTTTCAAAGGGTTTCTCTTCTCCACTGCCGTCCAGGCGACCCATGCGGCGCTTCAGATTGTTAACGACGTCGACGGGATGATAATTCGGAATGGTGGTACTCCAGCCCGTGCCGATACCATCAGCTCCGTTGATCAATATCATCGGGACAACGGGACAATAGACTGTGGGTTCGATGGACTTGCCGTCATCTACATTATGTTCGTAGAGGGGCTCATCCAAAGGCGAGAACACACGTCTTGCAAATGGTGAAAGTCTAGTGAAGATATAACGAGGGCTAGCAGCATCGCTACCTCCAGCAAGTCTGCTACCGAAATTTCCGCTGGGTTCCAAGCAGTTGACGTTGTTTGAGCCAACAAAATTTTGAGCAAGACCAATGATAGTCATATGCATAGAAGCTTCACCGTGATGGTAGGCGGTATTCTCCCCAACGTAACCGGCCAATTCAACCACCTTCATGTCACGGACAAGATTACGCTTGAAGCAAGCAAACATGACCTTTCTCTGTCCAGGCTTGAAACCATCAAGGACAGACGGAATGGATCGAAGATTGTCAGCCATGCTGAAGAGAATCAGTTCCTTATTGACGAAATTGTCGTAGGTCAAGGTCTTTGTAGAATGATCGAGGTAGGTTCCAGGAAGGAAATTGCCTAGCCAGGCTTTTCGTTGATCAGCCTTCTTCTTTGAGAATGCAAGGTCAATCAGCTCTTCTTCTTCGGGTTTCATGACCTCGAATTCTCTCAAGTGATCATCAAGGTTGCTGAAGTAGACCTGTGCATCCTCTGGCAAACTGGTACCCAGACCCTTGTAGTACTTGTGCTTCCAGCCCTTGTCATTTACATGTTTTTCCTTCCATTCCTCATATTGCGGCATGGTGAAGAATGCCTTCTGACCAATAGGTTTCTTAGGATTTGGACCCTTCCACACCTTGATAATAGGGGTGATGAATTCCTGGAAGAAGTCTGGTAACTTGAGCAGACTGGGGAACTGCACTTGAAGGAAGTTAATCAGAAGACCTTTGATGTGAGAACCATCATGATCTTGATCGGCCATAATCATGAGATGTCCATATCGAAGGCCGTGTGTGTTATGATAAACTTGCTTATGCTTTAGGCCAAGGAATTGCTTGATGTTCTGGATTTCGGCATTCTTGGAAATCTGATCGACCGAAGCATCACGCACATTGAGCAATTTACCTCTCAATGGAAAGACGCCAATACGGTCAGGGTCCAAGATAGCTCGACCAGCAACAGCGAGACCTTTGGCGGAATCTCCTTCAGTTAAGATCAAGGTGCATTCATGACCGTGCTTCGTACCAGCCAAGTTGGCATCAACGAGCTTGGGGTTGTTCATGCGTGAGCGTTTGTTGCCATCACTCTTCGTCAGCATCTGGTCAGCCTTGGCTTGTGCGAAACTCAAGATGTTCTGAACTGCGTCTGTCTTGCCGATCTTCTTGAGAAATTCTTCCGTAAGAGCGCATTTGCTCCCGAATTGCTTGACTTTAGTAGTAAGCTGCTCCTTGGTCTGCGACGTAAAGGCGGGGTTGACAATCAAGCAATTTACGAAGAGAAATATGTGGTTCCGAATTTGGTTGGACTTCAGTGCAGCTCCCTTAGTATTCTTCTTCTTGACCACTTCCAGCAATTTGTCGCAGATTTGGTCTGCAATATAGTTGACATGTGTACCGCCAGATGTCGTAGCGATGGAGTTGACGAAGGAGACCTGTTGGAATGACCCATCGGAAACAGCGAATCCAATCTCCCATTTATGATCATGCGCCTTGGGATCTTCGATAATGACTGACGCAGATGGCGGTCCTTCAGCGCCCTCTTCAGCTCCACGCTCCTTTTGGATTGCCTTGGCATACATCTCGATATATTTCTTGAAGTCCAGCTTGATGAGGGTACCATTGAGGGATACCTTGACACCTTTGACTGTACCTGCCATGTCATAGACTCGGCGCTTGACTAGAGCTTCGAAGTCGTCGTCAATGCCTTGCATCTTGAATTTTCGATAATCCGGAGTAAACGTGACTCTGGTGAAGTCCGAAGACTTGCTTGACGAGATCTTGGCTTTGCCCATGTTGGTCATGTTATCGGTCCATGTCTGTTTATATCTCTTGCCAGTGTTCGAATCTTGCGTCTCCAGTGTGAATTCTGTACTGAAGACGTTACAAAGCTTAGCTCCGTAACCGTTTCGACCTCCAGTCGTCTTTGCCTCGTCATCGTCGTAATTGGATCCGGTAAGAAGGTGACCAAAGATCATTTCGGGGATGTAGATTTTCTCTTTCTGCATGGAGGTCAGTAAAGACTCTACCTACTATACGCTGTAGAATAGACTGACCTTGTGGATTTCAATGGGAATACCAGCACCATCGTTCTCGATACTAATCTCACCTTTTTCGCGATCCACAACCACCTTGATCTGTTTCATGGAAGGATCACGTTGCTTGTTGTCTGCAGCATTGACCAGAATCTCGTCGAAAATCTTGTAAAGACCAGGGATAAATGAGACAGGTCGAGACTCCATCTGTGAGGTCTCCGAGTTGAAAACCCACATCTTCTCTGTAGTCCGCTCGGTGGAGCCAATATATGTGTCCGGACGCTTGATGATGTGCTCTAGTTGTGTCAATTTTTGATACTGCTCCGTCGCATCCTTCTTCTTCATGGGTTTCGAAGCAGGAGCGTCGTCCAGATTCATGCTCTCGTTGGCAATATCTTGTAGAGGCTTTCCACCGCTCTTCTTCGCCGCAGGTGCCTTCTTCTGCTTCTTGGCACTGGGTGGGGTATTGGACAATAGAGATGCATCTTGCATGGAATCGACATCCGAAGGCTGGTCTTCATCGTCGCTCTCAGGCTTGGGTCTCTTCTTCGAGGCAGCCTTCAGAGTCGTCTGAACCATCTTCTTTGGTGCAGCTTTTGTGGTAGCTTTGGGAGCTTTCGGTGCGGCGCCCTTCTTAGGCCCTGGCTTTGCTTTGGTTTTCTGCATATTCAAAGTCAGACTCGAAACAATCGAACGAGTTGCGCAATATATAACACGAGTTGATTCTGTGAATAAGTTGGAATATCGTGGGGAAACGTACAGGAGCCGCAGCGGGGGAGAAAACGTCAGAATCGCTCTGGACATCAAAGGCCGAGGACTCGTCCAGCAAAGAGTCCTCCATGGTTGAAAGCCTGGTCGGCGCGATTGAATGGACAGATTAAGGAAAGAGGGCGTCGCAAAGACGAAGTACCGGAGACCACTTCAGGGCTCCAATACTAAAAGAAACGAACGTGAAGTAGACGTGAATTGACCGTGATGTGGGGAGTTGTTGTGGTTGTCCAAGTTCTACATGGAGTCCTCGAGATTTGGTGTTTGTTTACTGGAAGTCGCGTTTTGGGACGCTAGTGCGTATTAAGCTAGTGTGCAAAACCTGGGAGCCTCGCTTGAAACCTGAGGGCCTTAGGCGTCACGTTCAATCTGAATTGCATCGCTCCCCCATCTCAGATGTTGCACCGCATCTTCACGAACATGGCCCAGACTCCCTCGCCGTTGAGATGTAACGATTGAGGGACATTGTTTTCGCCCTCGCGAACTTTCCGATGGGGGACATGCATCAGCCCGCACCCGATATTTCCGCACCGTCTACCATGACCAGATCTGGATCTCCTCTTCCTTTTCCCAAGATTATCTCTTCTGTGCTCCTGGTACTCCACGCGTTCAAGCGATTTGAAACCCAACGGCAGTCAGAGAAGCATGCCGGCGCTAGATGTCCGGCTTTTACTCCTTGTGTAACTCCAAGCAGGCTTGGAAGTATGGCTACACAAAGACAACAACCTTCTGTCGGATGACGCCTTTTACTTCGATCTTGTTTTCTTCATTCTCATGATACCTTCAGATTTGACAGCTCGCTCACTCCCTCTATTGAAAGTCATACTTGATCACGATACACAAATACCATTCAACTCACTCTCCCTATACGATTCCAAATCCCGCAAATACCCCTGAACGAAGCATTCTTCGAGTCTCCTGAGAAGCATTTACCCTGCTCTTGTGCATACTGTCGTGTAGCCAAGATGTGCCAGCCAATGGCTTGAGATAGAGCCTTTTGGTTCTGCTTCGTTTGTCCTGGTGCATTGACGACAACGTGGTTGGCCTCAAAACATGAGTTGCCGCATGGGGTCAACGGGAGGGTGCATTTTGGGCTGATTTCTGTTCCGTGCACAGACTCATTCTTCAGACTATGACTCGAGGTTTTTTGATGAGCAGCACAATAGCCATGCTGTAGCTTGTACTTCATGACATGAATCAGAAGTTGGAATTCTCGTGGAGGTTTGCGGGTCTTTCCTTTCTCCTCTTCATCTACCTTCATTCAAGCGATATATTATCTGCAGACAGTCGGCAAGGCTGTTACAGGCTCAGGAAGCGATGTCTCTGAGATATGTCTGAGGCACATGTTAGGCTTCTCAAAGCCAGCCTCCAACCATATATTCCGTAGTGCGCTTGCTTGCATAAGTCCCGTGTATTTACCATGATCTTCAAGTGACATCTGCAGCTTCGCAGTAGTTGCGGACAGGGAAGGTTCGCATCTTATTCTCGAAGAGCAAAGGAAGCTCTTTGAGGAGCAAGAGGAGAAATATGTAATGATACGGATAGGGGCATGAAGCTTAATCGCAGGGTTCTAGATCTTTCAACAGTTTCTGAATTTCCCCGAGACACAGGTTCTGATGTGTGCTATGAGCAACATCCGATCCTTTGACGGGGGACTCATGATGGTTTGGAGAATTGCTGTCCACGTGCATCGAGTCAAGCAAGCGGTCTCTGGTATGCGCGCTAATTGCTACGATTTCTTTGTCTGTCTGAAGAAATTGGCTGTTCACCATGGTAGCTCATCCGCGACTTCTGCAGCCTCCCGGCCCAGGACTCTTCGCCAACATGTAGGCCCAGCATTCTCCCTTCCCACTTTCAAACAAGCTCTGTCCCGATCGGGTTGTGGCACAAAAGTTGTTGGTGTCAAACTGCCAATATGAGCCTGGAAAGACACACAACTCTGTCACGCTGCCGGATGTTGGTTGCTATCTCTCCCCATTCGGCAATTCCACTGCTTTGGGCTTCTAGTGAAACATACTTCCCTCGATCTTGCTCTAAGATGAGTATGCATATTGCTCGGTAGGCCAGTTGGCTCCATGGTTACGGGCGCGGGAGCGGAGAACTTCTACAGAAGCTTTCTACAGGTTGTTTGAATCACTATTTCATCATCTCGGGACTTGTCCTTTCAAAGTATCGACACCGCGCAGAAAGAAAGGCATAAGGATAGTCCCTCACCCTCAAAGGTTGCCGGGGTATCAAGGACCTAGAGTACGTTTTCCCTGGACGCTACGACTGCATCGTTGATTCCCACCCTCGACCCCACGAATGAGCGGTGGAGACGTGCAAACGGACCATCAATCTACCCCAGGTCGGTTCCTAGACATTGACAACAAAGAGAACTTCCACACCGAACTTGCTGATAGTGGCTGAAGACACGACTGGCAAAACTTAGACTGCAGGACGCTGCACCGCTAGCTGAGGTCGAAGGAGCACTGAATCTCAACCCCGTTATCCCACTCCTCATAAAGACCCACGAACGGACTTTTCCTGGAGCTCTGTTTGCCTTCCTCAATTCAGTGGTTCTCTTAAGCTGCTTACCAGTGCATTCGTTGCCTGGGCTGGCTGCTTTACGCCGTTGAAAATCTGTTCGTCATCGAAGGACGATATCTACCTTGCAGAATTAGAGGCCCACCCAATCGAACTTTCAGCTCTCACCGCTATGCTATCCGTAGCATCACTCCTCAACCCTGTCAAAACAGAACCACGAGGCACTCGACTGCCATCAAGTCCCTCATCGTCGCTGCGTACATCGTCTTCAATTCATGGTAGCCCTCAGCTAACGACTCAGTCTTCCTTCAAGAAGCAGAAGATGACTAAGGACGGGGCCATCTTTGCTAAGGGTAAGATTAAGGGCGAGGTCAATTTCCCTCCGTTTGAACGGTTGGATGAGGAAACCATGCGTGAGGTTCAGAAATTCCAAGTGTATCCGCTTGGTAAGATCCAAGAGTACTCTCGCCACATTCCTTATAACAGCGAGAAGAAAAGCTTCCTCGAGAAGACTGGTCGAGAAAGTTTCGAAGGTGACGAGCTGACTGGACGTCCTGTGACCCTTGCTAATCTCTGATTGCAGTCTTCCAATACGTCTTCAAGGTTCCCGGAGACGATAAGGAGTACACGGTGATGTGGGACTACAATATTGGACTCGTTCGCATTACCCCCTTCTTCAAATGTTGCAAGTATTCCAAGGTCAGCACACTTTTCGAACTAATTTCTAGATTTCCAGCTGACATCCCTCAGACTACGCCCGCCAAAATGCTCAACATGAATCCTGGACTGAAAGAAATCACCCACAGCATCACAGGAGGAGCTCTCGCAGCCCAAGGTAACTCTGGCGCTGACAATAGCGATATGAATTCTAACAACACTCAGGCTACTGGATGCCCTACGCCTGTGCGCTTGCAGTCTGTACAACCTTCTGCTCTCACATAGCAGGCGCCCTAATCCCCATCTTCGGCCCAACCTTCCCCTCGCAATGCGTCCCCCCCGAAGCCCCCGAACACGGCCGAATGATCATCGACCCGCAGACCGTCCTCGCCGCCACCGCCGAAGCCGAAGCCTACCGCATCCAATACAGCAGCAGCAGCTTCACGCCCAAGCGCGACAGCTACTCGCCCCAACACCCCATGATGCGAAACAACAATAACGACTCCATGCGCACCACGCCCCCGAACCTGGGTCGACGTCTACGGCTCAAGCGCGCATTTACGGGCGAGGTTCCCTACGGATTGAACACGGACACGGATCTCGACACGAATGGCAGCGAGGCGAGCAGTGGCGATGGGTACTACTGTTCGCCTGGAACGCCCGTGAGTGCGAACAGCCTCTCGCAACCGCACATCTGGCATGCGCACAACATGGTTTCGCACAGCGCGAACTCGTCTCTGAACGTCTCGCCGCCGTTCAAGACGCCGAATCCTATTCTGAGCGCTATTCCGCGATCTACGGGGCTGGCGGAGATGCATATGGGGAGTGTTTGGCGGGGAGTGGCGAAACGGAGGGTGGATGAGGTGGATGCGGATGATGAGTATGATGGCGAGGAGAGTGCTACGAGTGTCACGGATGATAAGGGGAGTGCTGACGAGAAGGGCAGTGATCGGGAGATGGAGGATGTCAGCAGCAATGGGGTTGGAGGTGCAGAGAAGAAGGCCGCTTGGCTTCTGATGAAGCTTAGTGTCAAAGATGGAGAGTGTGGCGTCGAAGCCGCAAAGGAAAAGGAGGACGAGGGTCCACGGATCAAGAGAAGACGAGCTACATCGATGTGAGCGTAGTTTGTCGTCACGAGGGAGGCATGGAGTTTGGGTATTAGGACGGGGTTTGTAAGGAGTTCATTGGTAAGGCTGGATGGAGTGGGGTGTTCAGGCTCACTGACGGCTGTTCACGAGGAGAATAATCTGCATGGAGGTATTTTAGGATGGGAGTTTGTGTCGGAAGCATCTATGTCCCCATACCAATTGGAATTTTGTAGCATATGTCTCAATGCGATGATTTTGTTGCGATCGCTACCATTTCCTACTTTGAGCCTCAATCCCTTCCCATTAGACTTGTCAGGTTTTCCCCACGCGGAAGGAAACGGCTGTCATATTTCCCACACAACGTGCTGCCAAACGTGACACAATTGTCTCTCCATTCCTCGGGGTCGCCGGTTTTTGTCACACCTATCATGTCCGTTGGGAATATTGAGCACAACGCGGAAGAAGATCCGAGCCGTCAGAATTTGGCGAACAAACGCTTCTGTCTTTCTCAGGAACCAACTCCCGGAACCATCCAGCCTATCGCTATGTCTCAACCAGTAGTTTTCTCCACAAGTTTCTTGCTCTTGAATTCCTGTACCCAGGCGTCGGAATTGGCTTTCGGTAGCACGAAGATCTTCACCACCTCGTCTACAACCTCGACGTTGCCAGACGTGAGAACCTTTAGCAACGATACTTTTCTCCCGACCTTGATCAACCCTCCAGTAACGGTCTCCATGTAACAATCCACTCCACTCGTGGTATACACGCCCTGTTTATCCCAGGGAAGCGGCAGAATGTAGCTCAGATGGTCCCCCACGGACTCCATCTCATTAAAAGCCTTGACGAAATCGCTCTCCAGATGCAGGGGATACAGCAGGACCGTCGGGAAGCTGACGCTCGACTGGGGATCTATCGGATTTGGGACGAGCTCGATCCTCGCGTCCTCCATCTCGGGAGGTTGACTCGTCTTCCTCGTCTTGATGCCCCTGGCCTTCAATGCAGCCGTGAGCGTAACTCCCTCTAGCCTCCTCCTATTCTCCCTCTCCAACTCCCGCTTCCGTCTCTTCTCGACCTCCTCATTTCGCTTGATGATCTCATTTGCGACCTCAAGCAAATCCCGATTCCCCGGGTCAACAGCCAAACCCCTCGCGCATGCGTCGTCCGCTTCGGCAATCTTGTCCAGCTGCAGTAACGCTTTCGAGCTCCTGTAAAACGCCTTGACGTTCTTCGAATTAATCCGTAGCGCGCTCCCGCAATCCTGCACGCAGCTCCGGTAATTCTTCAGCCTTAAATGACAAGCAGCTCTGTTGACCAGACACTGTTCCAGGATCCCGACTTCCTTCTTAATTTCCTCCTGGTCGTTCGCCTCCCCTTCCCCCTTCTGTCTCTTTCTAACTTCGAGAAGCAGAACTTGTATTCCCTTCCCGTAGAATTCCTTAGCGTCCTTCCATCCCTTCTCTTTGAAGCTCTCGTTGCCACGCTCCTTGAACCCTGCAGCTACCTCAAAGGGTGTACCTTCGTATGCCAACGCCTTCAAGGCTTCCAAGTCGTCATTTTCTTCTAATGAGGTCATGAACAAGGGTGTCTTGTTCAATTCAGCCAATATCTCTTCTCCGCTCTTATTCCGTAAAGCTGCCATGGCGGGAGGAAGGGCAGGACCCGTGCTGCCATCTTCGTTCGTGGTCTGAGTAGAGGAAGATGCAAACGCATTCATAGCCTGCGTGAGGAGGTCTGCCTGTGGCGGAGGAGGTTGCGAGGCATTTTGCTGAGCATCGGACACCTTGACAGTATCTGCAAACTCGTCTGAAAGCTCTTCTATCTTCATAACTGCTCGTGGTCGTAATTCGAAAGCTGTTTATTTTCAGTTCGTGATGCCAAAATTTTATTTTGGCGGGGTATATACGGCGGAGACTAGAGGGGTGGAGCGGATTCTTATCGCACCACTCGGCCCTCCGCTAAGTCTCGGGCTCGGTCTTGGCACGGAGATAAACGAAGTCCGGATGGATAAACCCCGCTTAGAAATCCAAGGAGGGGTTCATTCTCTTCGGGGCCGGTCTTGGATCACATCATTTGCTGCACTCCTTGCATGAAGTTATAATCCATGTACGATATCATGGATGATTGGCGATCATCTGAATGCCGTGGTTAAGAGTGCATACTGTCTCAAACTTAGCCATACTCTCGAGTCAAGTAAATATAGATATAAACATCTCCACCATCCTCAAATCGTCCCCCATCATTCTACATATCAACTATCATAAAGTGGATCGACACGTGATACAGACCACCTTATCAACCATCAAAGCAAGCTCTCTCCATCACAAACCAAACATAAACAACATCACCTCCAAAAGATACCTCACAATGGGTTCCACATCCCCCAGCATAATCCTCTACACCAACCACAACTGCCCCTGGGCCCACCGCGCGCACATCGCCCTCGCCGAACTCTCCCTCCCCTTCACCGAAGAAATCATCGACCTCTCCGTGCCCCGCACCGCCGAATACCTCAAAGTAAACCCGCGCGGCCTCGTCCCCTCCATCAACTACAACGGCGCCATCATCACCGAGTCAGCCATTGTGTCCCAATTCCTCGCCGACGCGCACCCTTCGCACCTGGTCAAGAAGAGCGACGAGGAAGGCGGCGCGCTGCAGCGTGCTCGAATCAGTTATTTCGTCGATGCGTATTTTAGCAAAGTGAATTCGAACTTCTACCCGATTTTGAAGGCGCAGTCGGAGCAAGAGAAGGAAGTCGAGGCGCAGAAATTCGTTGATGCCGTTGTTAAGGAACTCGAACCGCAGCTCCAGAACGCGGGACCGTTCTTCGGGGGCTCAAGCAAATTGACTTTGGCTGAAGTAAATCCCCCTCCCCTCCCTATCCCTATTTCCAACCCATTCCTCGAAACTAACCAGAAAAAATAAAGGTCCTAACAGGCTCATTCCTGCTCCGCGCCCTGACCATCCCCAAATACGAGCACCTGAACCTCTTCCCCAAGAGCTTCCTCCCGAATCTCGAGGCCAAGGCCCCGGCGTTCTGGAAGTGGGCCCATGCTGTGATTCAAGAGAAGAGCGTTAACCACATCTATGATGAGCAGGGAGTTGCGGAGAGGACGGCGGAGAGAGTTAAGAAGATGATTGCGTCTAAGTGAAGAGCCTTATTTGTTGAAGAAGGAGCTGATGTGATCTGATGCTTGGCAGGATTTGATGGTATCCAATGAATGCGATGGTTTTGGCAAAGATGTGTGCACTTGTGATGTGAAGATCTTCTGTTGAATTGAGCTTTGTGGTGTTCATCGTGTATGCCCTCAGAAGTTTTCTGCGCCTGCCTTGGGCCATTAAAAAGTTTCTTTGATAATTCAAGATGAAATGTCTCATTGTCCTTGCCGAGAAATTATAATTTCATCCTTTATTAGTTACTACTTGGTAACCAGTATCTGCGCGTTTTGCGCGTTTCGCGCAATGAGCGCTCTTGGCGGGATTTGCGCATTCTGCGGGATACGCGCATTTTGCGGGTAGGTCTAACTCGTCAAAGTATCACAAAATAACAATGAGGTGGGACTTTTAAGGCATCATTCCTAATGTCCTGAAGGCTAGCTTAGACTTCAGAGTCCATATCCTCTATGTTGGAGCTTCGGAGAGCCCGGGAACTTGGTGGATGACGTGTGTGAGTAGTACCTAGAAAATTGGTTGTTGATGTTAGAGTGCCTATTGAATATTGAATAAATCTTAGATACAAATCTTCGGCTGCTTGTCATGAAATGGAAGCTTCTACATCATCACTCCTGTACTCACTTCCTCAATTTGGATAAAACGCTCGGTACAGTGTCTTTGGACGCTGAGCCTTTGGTATAAGACATATTATGATTAGCGCTGAGAATTAACGCTGAGACTACAGTATCGCTATTCTTACAAGATGCTCTCCCACCGCAATGCTATTACTGACAACTCCATCTTCATGCCAATACTAACAACTTCGCCGCTGAAAGTGTAATAACAAGAAGGAAAACTTGAACTCCCACGATGCGACAAACCCCGACAATCATGCCCTTACCCATCTTGGATTTCAATTCAGTATGTATCCGCGCTTTGGTATACCTCACGGATTTCTTCCTCGAACATAGGATATATCTTTCTCCTTTGAAGCTTCTGAGCTGGAGTGAGGAGGCCCTGCAACTCGTCAGTATATTATTCTTCTCAGGTTGTTTTGACCCAGGCATACATTTTCGGTTGTCCATTCGTGTTCTGTGAGGATTGGCCATTTGATAATTTCTGAGCCTTCCAGCTTGCCTTTAAATCCTACCTCTCGCAACTGGTCGCGAACGAATTGTCTAATTTGTTTGTCTTTCAGCAACTCGCTACACATCAGAAAGCCCGTGTCAGCAGATATTCTTACAAAAGACTTGTGAACAGTAGCTAGTAACATGAGAAAGGTATACATACCTGTAACTCATGCCTGCAAGGATCGACGTCCTATGACAACTTCTTGCAAACTGTAGGATGACGTCCTTTCTCGGTACTACAATAGCTAGGATGGTTCTCTGCTCTCCTGAAACATATATACAGACATTCGAGACCACGCTCGATGTCCGATAGATCGATTCGAGCTGTCCCTGGGTCAGTTAATTTTATGAGATTGCTGTGTCATTTCTTACCTTCTCTAGAGCAATGTATTCTCCCAGACTTGTCTTGACAAGGTTCTTCTTTCGATCCAGCAATTTCAGATGGCCGTTGGCATCCCATGCCCCTATATCACCTGTCTTGAACCAACCATCGGGTCTCATCGCTTTTCGTGTCTCGCTCTCATTTTCATAGTAGCCATCCATTACGGCATCTCCTCGGATCCAAATCTCTCCAACGTTGTTTTTGGCAAAGTACTCTGCCTCCCTAAAATCAACGAGCTTGATCTCGATACACGCAGGAATGTCACCGAGAGTATTGTCAGTCCACTCCTGTTTGTCGCAAATAAGTAGTTAGCATATTTCTCGATAATGGTTCGAGAGGAGGTTTCGCAGTGTGAACGAGCCTGAAGAACAAGAAGTGACTGAAAGTAACATGGCTCGGAAATGGCAAGCCATGGAGAACAATCTCAGAAAGGTAGTCTTACAAGAGGATCTTGAAGAGCACCCATCCTATCAATGTCCATTAGTGGTGGAAATAATCTTGTGGACGATCACTTACGCAGTGGTTTCCGTCAGCCCATAACCGCTGATCATGGAGGCTACTGTATAGGAAAGAAATCTGCGGTCCTCTTTACTGAGCGGTCCGGCACCATTGAAACATGCCCGAAGTCTGCCACCAAACTGTTCTCTCACAGGTTTGAACACAAACTTGTCCAGTATTTTCGCCCCGGGTAGCCTTTTATCGCAGAGCCATGTTTTCCACTTGATAGCATGAGAGAACACCCACCGGGAGAGTCGTCCCTTTCTGTCCACAGTTTCTTGAATCCCCTTCTTGACTTGATCCCACACTGCAGGAACACCAACCATGATTGTTGGCCTTAACTCTCTGATATCTCCTTTGCAATTTCGCATTGACTTGTCCAGCATAGTTCGTGGACTACCGTAGCCCATTTTCATACCCCAGAAGAGGCACGCGTTCTCGAAAGCATATTCGAAACTGTGTGCTAGGGGCAAGTAGGAGAGAACGGAGTCTTCTGTCCCGACGTAGTCCTTAAAAATGGAATTAAGCCCTGCGATGGCTGCAACCACGTTCCTGTGCTTCAATGGCACACCCTTCGGCGTTCCTGTCGTACCAGACGTATACATAATGCAGCAAAGATCTTCAGGTAAGGGGGGAACGGGTGGCAATCCACCAACCTTGCCCAGCTCAAGGAAATCGCTGAAGCTCAAGATTGTCAGAGATGGATGCAGTGATTGGAGTCTATCAATATCCCCTTCTTTAGGATCATGATCGTCATTATATATGACGAGCTTGACATCTGTTGCTCGAACTAGAGGTTGTCCGAGCTTGGAAAGGAGATCCGAATCAACCTAGATAGCACGATGAGTGAGTATGATTCTTTTCTGACTTGATCTGGACATGAAGAGGGATCTTTAGACTCCGAGCTGACGTCTATAGTTCCAAAAAAGGAGCAAACAAGGCAAGCAACATACAAAGATGGCCTTCGCATGAGTCTGCACAAGAGAAGTCTCCAGTCCTGATTCACCCAAAGTGGCATAGGAAGTGACGATTGGCATGGATTGAGTTGTAGCGCCATGAGACATGGCGAGCCAACGCATACTGCAGAGCTCAAATCAGCTCTTCTTCGTAGACATTATGCCCGAAGTACTCACCTCGTAGCAGCAAAAACGTGCACCCGAGACCCAGGCTCCAACCCAGCATTTCTGAGCGACTGTCCGATTCTTATTGCAAGATTAAAGTAGTCTTGATAGGTGGTCCATTTGTATTCGCTCATCTCGTAGTATATCCACTGCTTGTTGTTCAGTTCTTTCCTACCATTCACTTCTCTCTCACTCTCAACTTTCAACTCCTTATGCGTCGAAAGCAAAGTTCTTGATCCTAGTGCAGCCGCTGACCCAAAAGTATCTCGAGCGTGTTGTAAGACATTGTACAGTGTAGCGATTTCTGGCCTGGGCCTGGATACAAGTCCGTCGATATATTTGGCATTGCGACGAGGAATGGTTTCTCCGTCTTTTTTGGCAACGCCAGGAACTTCGAGACTGAATGGAGGCTCATGAAACATGCCCGGTTGGACGATGGCCTTCTTCAAGTTCTTCTCGTGGGGAGCCATTGTTGGTCGTGATTCGGGAGATTCTGGGGCGAGCAGGGGTGTTGATTCAAGCGAAGTCGATGTATTGATAGTCGGAGTAGTAATGGATGTTGTTGGATATATGTGTTTTCGATTCCGGATTATCGTATGATTCTGAGATGCATCTGCAACTTCGGATTCGAATGAAGAAGCCATCGTTGTGGGGAGATTTGGAAAGTGCACCTTGGGAAAGTGGTGTGACTGGAAGGTGCGTTCGACCTCTGATGCTGTCACGTGAGCGATTGGCAAGGAACCTTTTGCAGGTTGTGACAGAGTAATTGCTTTCTGCGATGTTACAATATGGGAATCTTTCTTTTAAGAGAGGGAACTATTCGAAAAGTGTTGGGGCATTGATGACTGCTGGCATTGTTGGGTCATGAGGGCCTCGGCAGCGCAAACGAGGACGGAAAAGGGGGTCGGAAAACTGATATATGTCTCTTCTTTTAGTAGGCGACACCTCGGTCAAACATCCGCCGAGTAAGCAGGACATCCCAAGTTCTCACCCGTATCCACAACCATCCAAGCCCAAGCTCTTCCCGGCTCACCAAACAATAAGCCATAACGATGGTCATTCGCCTCGATGACGGAGCCATCCTTGATGCCTTGCTGAACTCGTTCCCAAGTAGCATAGCTCATAAAATGTTCCCTCTCATCCTTCTCGAACACTAGCATATTTCCCGAGATTCCATGACATAGACACGGCTCCTTGACCAGAAGACCCTTCTCCCAGACATTCTTCCGTCCCTTTTCGATAGCCATATCAAGTTTCTCCTTCAGACGCGGAAAACGATCTCTGATAGGAAGCAGCGAGACCAGCACTCCAGGACTTCCGTGGCACCATTGCACGTATCCTCCTTTGTCGCTTGACCCCATCATGATATACCAATTCCCATCTTCCTCCTGCTGATCCAACAACTCTTCCACCGAACTCTCAAGCTTCTCCTCAAAACCCAGATCGCAAAGCACAATCTGCAACACAATCCCAGCCAACCCGTGAGCCGCACCCAAAAACTCCGATCCTTTATGCCAAGTCCAAGGCCTCCTCGGAATGATATGTTCACACAACATCCTCATCACCTCATTTACCCTCTCCTTACTCTCAGGAACCCAGAACCTCACCGTCCTCAACAAAACCAGCGTCCCTGCCCTCCCATCGAATAGCTCATTTTCTCCCTCTCCAATAACTTCATGCATTTTCCTCACGCCCGCAAGCACTTCGTCCACAACCGACATATCCTTCGTGATAGCAGCTCTCACCGCCCGACTCGCCACATACTCATTCTTGAAACCCATCTTGATTCCCTCGGGAATCAAAGCAATTTGATCAGAGCCACAATCCAGATACTCTAAACACCATTCTTTCCCACTTTTTCCCTCGATGACCAAATCTGGATGTGTTTTGCTCAGCCAGAGAAAGACGTAAGCGATTGATGTGGGGCCGGTGAACAGCCCCTTATATTGGCCATTCCATGGATTTTGCGGTGGCGCACCTAGGATGATGGTTGTGAGCGAGTGGATAAGCTCTGATCGAGGATCGGAGACTTTGGCAAGTGTAGGTGAGTCGTTGGGAAAGTATCGAGGTTTGTCGGACATTTTGGCTGAATCTTGATGAAGACAGTTAGAGGTGAGGTTGAGGAGGTTCGCGCTAAATATGATATCAGCCCCACTGGGGTAGATCCGAGGGAAGTCATGCTATTGGTGAGCTCGTAACGTGGAATATAGATTGACTCTTAAGGAGATGGACCACTTGGTCGAAAGGTTTGAAGATAATAGATTTTTTCTGTTGACCTAAATGTGAGCTACCCAAATTGATATTGCGGAAGAGCTTTTGTATTATGCAAAGTGATCTATATGTATGTTTATACAGAATTACCTATCTGGCCTTCAACTCCACCAGTGCCATTCAATTGCTGCTCTGGACCACCGGTATCCTCGCCCTTGTTGATCTTATCAGCCTTGACATCCGTATGGCCACCTGTCTTAGGCTCCGCAACAATGCTAGAGTAAGGACCTGGTTTAACAATTCCATCCAATGGACGCTCGTTGACAGGCGCAGCTGACTCGATGGCCATGTTTGTATCGACTTTGATCTCCCCATTTTCGACTTTGAAGCCTGGCGCGACGTCCTGCATTGCTTCGTCTTCATCCTTTACTGCTAGCTCATCGTCCTCATCCTCCGATTTGACAACTGGTTTCTCTTCGTCTTCTTCCTTGACTTCTTCTCGTTTCTTTGATGCGCCTTGGTTGTTGACTAGAGGTGTGGTGTCGTTGAATAGTCGTAGTAACATAGCCGTGCGATCCTCCTTGGCGAGCATAAGGTTGAGCGAATGTAAACTTCGCCATAGTGGCAAGACTATGCGCTCATCGAATCCATCTTTCTCGTTGCTGGGCTCAACTCGGAGCACGCAGCATCCCATCCCAATATCTCGGACGCGCTCGCCGATCTCATCTAGGTCTTTCCAAGCCCCTTCAGAGAGTTTCGGGAACATCTCGATGAGAAGTTTCCTCAGGGTCGATCTCTTGTAGAGTCTCACTATTCGTTCTTCGCCAACATAGCCTTCCAGGATTGGCATGCCTTCTGACTGTATCCTCCATTTGCACACGCCTTCCTTCTGCACATCTTGCCTCATGAACATCTTAACACCTCCATGGATGAACTTAATACCCTTGCCCTCGTTCTCAGTCAAGATTTCTCGAATAAGAGTGGATGTGTAATAGATCGTCTTTGTTGGTTCACCCATGGCGTTTCGCACCATGAACCGATCTCGGGGGAAGCGCGGAGATAATTTATAGAACTCCTCGACAACCTTGACTTCTGGATGCTCCCCAGAGATATACTTAAACGGCTCCTCGAATTGCTGCCCAGCTCGGTTTCTGAGTGCAGGTCGCGCTTCTGCTTCAGCTCTAAAGTCGCCAGGTCTTTTCGTGAGGTCAAGCTGAGCACCTGGTGGTGGAGGTCGGCGAACTTCCACATTCTCGACTCCTGGCTCCAGGACATCGACCTCGTTCTTTGTCTTCAATTTTTTCGTTTGCATGACAGCGTCGACCTGAGCATCTTCTACTTCATCAACAGATCGTTTCCTCGCGTGTAGCGTAGAACTAGGCGTAGTATTTTCTTGGTTTTGTCGAGCTACAGGCGCAACCTCAGCATTCGAAGGCTCGGATGGTTGTATGAGAGCGTCAGCAGCCTCAATCTTCCGTAGAACACTGTCACCATTTTCAGGTGTTGCCCGAGACATGATCTCATCCACGATTGAGGTGATGGGTGCTTCTGTTTGTACATTCTTTGCTGGACTTTCAGGCTTGGCTCTGAACTCAGTAACTTTCTCCAAAATGGCAATGAAGAAACCACCGGTATCTTGAAGATGTGCGTATACTCTCATACAGTTCTCAAGTGGAACTTGGGATATTTCGGAACCGTCGATAGGGGGAAACATGCCTGGAACGAGCCTTTCGGTGTGGGGAGTGACACCATGCTCATCCTGGTATTTCTCGACATCTTTATGAGAGAACCACATAATGCCACCTTTGTCGATGACACTCCAGCTCTTGAGGCCCGGTCGTCTCTTCAAAAGAGGGAGTTTGTCGTCGCTTGGTAGCAACTTGACTTTGTCGAGACCACCACATCGTTCGATCGCAGAGGCTACGACAGCTTCATTTTCAACCGGATTCATGCTGCAAGTAGAATATACCACGCGCCCACCAGGCTTCAACATTTGCAAGGCTCGAACAAGAATCCGAACTTGAGTAACATAAAGGCCCAGAGCATTACCAGGGTTCCAATCCTGCCACAAATTGACGTTCTTTCTTGTCGTACCGTCACCCGAGCATGGCACATCTGCCAATATCCGATCGAACTTTAGGTATCGATTTACTGCAGGATTCTTTGCTGAAGGAGGAAGCTTAATGGATGGAAACATCGTAGCATCGTGGTTGGTAACGATAAGATTTGGTGAGGAGAGACGCTTCAGTTGATGGATCAACATGTGGCTTCGTTTATAGTCGGAATCGTTCGCAATGAGAAGTCCTGTGGCTCGTCCATTGTCCGTCCAATCATTACCAACATCAGCTTCATCCATGCTTACACTGAGGTCCGGGCTAACTTCACGGCCATCTTCCTTGGCGTGGCTTCTGAGAGATTGACGCATTCGAGCCTCTTCTCCCATATGGACCATCTCTAGCAATTGAGCAGCTTTGCTGCCAGGAGCCGCACACATGTCGAGGACAGTCATGCTTGGTTGGAGGTCCATAACCAACGGAGGGATCATGCTAACAACTTCTTGTCTGCTAATGTTTCCCACACTAGTTTCGGAGACGAGGTATTTCTGGAAGGCCGCAAAAGGAGGGAATCGACGAACAACATTTTTCGGGGTTGTCATCCACCAGGCAAGGTCGTCAGGGTACCATGGTACAACTTTAGGAGGCTCGACGAGTGTACCATCGTAGTGAGAGATTTTCGAGATTTCGGGGATATAACGGCTGATGAGGAGCTTCTGTACTGCAAGCGCATGACTGGAATTGTGGTCAGCATATGAGCAAAGATGTTAGAATTCAATAGCTGGACTCGGCATACCCTTTAGACCCCGCAAAACGAAAGCTGTTAGGCAATTCACGCTTCAATGCGTCCCAGAAATCATCCTTCTCCTCAACGGAAAGTCGCAAGACACTGTTATAATATTTCTCGAGTTTTTCGTTCTGCTTGGGGACTCTATCGAAGCTGACTCGATTATCCTCCCCACCTCGACGACTTCCCCCGCCACGCCCTCTTCCTCCACGACCTCCACCACGACCGCCCTACAGTAAGTTAGCAGGCGCACAGAACTTCAAGGTCGCAGGACGTACTCTTTTGTTCCCTCGGCCCATTTATTACGACTATGTTGTGGCCGTAGAGAAATTGTGGAAGAGAGCTATCTTCCTATCGATGATGTCTCAAGATCGCACAAAAATTAAGCTCGAAGCTCAAAAATCGACAGGGGTCTTTTCGCGCTAAAATTGATCCGGTGAAGAAACACGTGATCGGGTGTATTCAACTTCAAAACATCTTCTTCTTTTCTTGAAAAGGAAAATAAAATCCAGACAGGAATTAATCTTTCAGCCATATATATAACTGTGTGAAATGTGCCATTTCGAAGTTTTCTTTCGTTCCACCCAAAATCTTTTGAGGTTTCTGATCAGACATGATTTGAAACGCCAATCTCTACGTCGATATTCACAACGCTATTTTGAGAGTACCGGTTGGATATACGCAGCAGATGGCGGGAACGAGATGCCATGATAAGATTGAGATTAACACCGAAGAACGACAAACACTGAAGGACCATTGCATTTGTCACATGAAGATATTGGTTGTCCGCGAGTTATATTACAATTGGACACTCCATTACTCCTCCACAATATATTAGAATTGATTTTGTATATACAAGTGCAAGGCACAAAAATCGATCTTCTACTTGGGAATCTGGATTCTTGGACTCAAATACAACCTAGAAAATGCGAAATCTCTACTACCCGTCTTGTCAATTTTCCACCTCGCAAATGTCACCGTTCTCTTTCAGCTTGGGAAGTTTGGCAATAAGATATCATGTTGCGTTTGTACTCAGATGAGCAGCTGATGGCGCATTCTGGCTTTCAGAGGATGCAAGTGCAAGCCTCCTAACGAATCTCCAAGCTGGTCTATATTTTGATTTTCCCTCGCCCTTCTCTTCTCCCTCTTCCTTTCTGTTTTCTCCTTGTCTCGTCTGATCTTTTCTGCTTGTTCTTGCTCATTTGCGCTCAACGGCACCTGCATATTACCAATCCTTTCGAATTGCACGAGAAGACTCTCCTCGGCCTCTTTCAAAAGAGGATGATCAAGCGCATCGATCCTGGCGATAAGCAAGAGGCTGCAAACGTTAAAGTTCGCCTTGTTACCTGCGACGTAGAAACCATGTAGATTGCATGCATCCTAAGAGTTTGAGCATTTCCTCCAGTTTGATTCGATAAGATAGATCAAGTAGGTGTTGGGCGACTTTAAGTACGTCTAGGATGAACAGAGGCCGTAGTCGAATGCCAGCTATCTCAAGAAACGGGATAGTGTATCCTGCACCATAAACAACAAGAAGTATATCTCGTCCAGCGACTGCATCCCCGATCTCTTTATTGAGATCTTGAAAACTGACATGCTTCGATTGACCGAAACAGATAGCTTTGGAGGCTTCCTTGAAGTACTTCGGACTTCCAACGATGAATTGATATGTTCTAAGGAGATCTCCATCCGAAGTATTGCGTTGTAAATGTCGAGTGTCCAATATGGAGAGTGCTATTTGGAATTGCGTGGGAAGTTGTCCAAGGGAATTGTTTTCGCAATCAAGGCCGACTATCAGCAAATCTTTCACAGCAGACCCTGGCAGACTCTGTCCCAGATTCAGCATTTGTATGCACTCTTGAGCTTGAATTTCCCGTCCAAAAGAGAGGCCAAATATGTGACGGGCCACGAGTAGTTCTATTCGTAGCAGACCTTTGTGAGGTGGCGGGGTCGTTTGAAGGTGGTTGCCATGTTGTCAGCTGAATGAGACAAGTTATTTGAAGATTCGGAGCATGAAACCTGGCAAAGCTTAGTCATATACTTGTGGGAGCATCTAGGTTCGTCCCGTTCCGTCGGTACCATTCTAGATTCGGTGGCTCAAACACGTGACACTTTGAGAAGTGTCTGCATACTTTACGAATGAAACAGGACGGGAAACTATCTCCCTAGAGTATGAAGCCATTTTGGAAAGTTCATATGGAACTTCTATACCAGTCTACAGCCCTGCGCCATCGGAGTGAAGTTATGCGATTCTTCGTCACGTGTTGCTCCGATTTCACAAAGAACCTTGAAAGCATGATGCATATTTTGTAATTCATTGTCGCTTTGCTAGTTCACCTGAATTCTCTCATACTGCTATTAGAAGCGATTCGCGGTTTATGACGTCAAGTGTATAGTTAAAACGAACCTACTAAGTACCCCTAGACTCAGGATTTATTTTCCCTTTCGCTGGTTCCGTTTTAGTCTGCGGACGTGAGCAACTGCTGCTTTAACCTGAGCAGAGCTAGAGCCTGAGCAGAGCCTGAGCAGAGCCTGAGCCTGAGCAGAGCCTGAGCCTGAGCAGAGCCTGAGCCTGAGCAGAGCCTGAGCAAGCCGAAATATGCCGGAGTACGCCGTGAGTCCGCCACATCATAATGTGGAATTTATTTTGTGCCCCGGCTATAGTTTCCTGGCCGAACGAATTTGCCAAGGTCCGGTTCTGCTCCCGCGCAGCGTTTCTGCCCGAGCTGATTTTGGAGCATTCTTGTCAAACAGCACGTAATTAGTAATTCAGCCTCACAATTTGCCGGTGTAATCTCGACAGACGAAACGCCATCCCTTTCCAAGTTCAACATCCAGCTGGGTAGTTCACCCTTTAAGACCCTGATCTCGACTAAGCCCCAGCACCCCTAGCAGATCTTCTTTAGTCGCCGATAAGAGAACATTGAACACTTGGAGGAATGAACTTCAAGTTCACTTGCTACTAACCACACTCGAGACCTCGTCGAGTTTTAGAATCAAAGGCTAGGAAAGGCTGGGACAAACACCTTTCAAAGAAGTGACGTAGGGCTACCACGAGACTAAGGTGGACTTCATTCATTCTCACTAAGAACTTCTGATTCCTTGCCTAGCTCTATAAACCCGATCTTCTGTTGTCGCTTCTACTCTCGAATCGCAAGCATCATGCCGCCGAGCCTTTCTGGCGCACTGGGATATATTGGCTTTTTGAGGGAGCAGATACAGGATAGCCTGGTCACCTCAATCTCCGAGCGCCTTTTCCTGCCCACCGACAAGCTTCACAAGATATTCACTCTCGCGACGATCAAAGCCGCCGTCGAAGAACTGATTTGCGGTCCAGATGATCGCATTAAGCTGGCGGACACGATACACGACGAAGGCCAGAGGCTGTTTGCCATGCTCATTTACAATGGTTGGCAAGATCTCATCATTAATTTCCGCAAACATGGTGCTCTCGACAGTCGACTCCCGCTGAGTGAAGATGATGCGGTGAAAATTGCGGGTCACTCCATCGGCCGCCGGCTCGCCCAAGAGGTTCAATGGGTGTTTTATCCTTACACCTTCCCAGAGAGTATGTGGAAGTGTTATCGTGAGGTGGAAAGGAAAATAATTCTTCCCTTCACTGCCGAAGAGCAGCTCGGTACTGGGGCATTTAGTGATGTAAACAAGATGAATATCTCGCCGTCTCAACAGAATTTTGTTGACAAAGGAGTGAGTGCTTCCAAATTGACCCTATTGACTGGTATGGAAACCCCCACACTGACGCCATGCTTTCCAGGTGGAAAAGGTGCAAGTGGTGCGGAAACAACTCAAAGTCAAAGGTATGACGGAGGAGTTCAAGAGGGAAGACAGCTGTTTGCGACTTTTGAACCAGCTGCAACATCCCAACATCATTCCTCTATGGGGCTCTTACACGTACCGTGGGAAACAGAACTTCCTCTTCCCATATGTAGACATGGATCTCGGCAAATTCTTGATGGCTAAAACCCGCTACCGAGATTTTCAATGGGACTTCACTTTCTACTCTGCCCTCACAGGACTGGCGTCAGCGCTGTCGAAGACACATCGCCTTCATCTCGACCAAGTCAATCACGACGTTGACTTCGAGGCCATCGGCTACCATCATGATCTCCGGCCTCCCAATGTCCTGGTTTCTCCCGATACCTTCATCCTAGCTGACTTCGGGCTGGGCCACCTAAAGTCGGCGGAGGCCCTGTCGCATACGCCGTACAAGTCGATCAGTGGGGATTATATTGCCCCCGAGTGCACTGACATGGGTGAGAACCCGCAAACCGTCAATCGAGCCATCGATGTCTGGGCTTTTGGTTGTCTTATCGCCGAGGTTGTCACCTACATGCTGAAAGGGGCAGATGGTGTCGAGGAGTTCCGCACGAAGCGACTCACACCAGGGCGGCTTCCTCAGTGGAAAGACGCTGGCTTCTATCAACCTCATGGCGACGTCAAGCAAGAAGTGTTTGACTGGATGGAGGCGCTGAAACACGATAACCCCCACCCAGACTTGGTTCTCCAGCTTGTTGAGCTATCTCTTCACGCTCTTCGAGCTGACCCGCGAAGTCGGCCTGACGTGAACAACATGCATCACCGCTTGGCAGTTTTGAGTCTGCAAAAACACTTCCAATCTGTTCAAGACATGTTCTGTAAGGTCTGCGGGAGCAGAGAAATATCTGCACCCCTTGCTGAGCACCACCTAGAAAGTCTTCGATTCGCGCAGGAACGGTTCAAAGTATGGGGCCACGCTTTGAGCTTGTTTGACAAAAGTGTTTCCAGCTACGCCTGTGTGCAATCAGAGGGTTCGGTCAAAATTATGAAGAAGATAATCCATGCATTAAGAGAAGAACCAGAGAGGCGGCCCCCGGGAGATAGATCTGCTATGTTTTCCCTTGAACGCGTGATAGTCCAAAGTGTCGAGGACCTGTGGACATTGTTGCCAGAAAATCTCCTTCAATCGGCCGAGAATCAATGGCAAGAGGCACTTCCTAGAAGTGAAGTTGTTGAAAAGATGCATTGTTCACGTTATGTAACTCTCGGCGAGTTAATCTTACCATCTGCTAGTATGGCTACTCCCATCAATGCCCTCCAATGCGAGTTCGAAGAAACGGCACGAGTGTTCAAGGACAGCCTTCCCGATTCTATACCCTTGGACGAGATCCTCAAAGTAACTTCCAGCAACGATGTTTACGACATCACAGACAAAATCCAGCAGACAGGCGGTGGGCTTCGGAACCTACCGAAAATGCGGCTATATCTGGAGCGCTTGAAGGGGTATACTGGCGTTATTAATGATATTATTGATGGAAGTCGTGATGTTCTGGCACTCCTCTGGGGACCGATCGCACTTCTTTTGCAGTGGTCAAGAACGCCGAGCACGGCCTACGACTCAATCATAAATGTCGCGGCCGAGATAGGGCAAGCACTGCCCGATTTTCAAGCCTCGGCAGCAATATTCGACCAAAACATGGAGGCCAAAGAGATTCTGATGCTGTTTTTTAAGGACATTCTCAACTTCTATCGTGAAGCCTTGGAGCCTTTCAGTCGCCCGAGTAAGTACCATCGCAAAATGTGCCTTTTGCCATAATTTACCTAGCTATCTATTGTTGACCATTACCATAGGCTGGATGCATGTCTTTGATCGCATGTGGCCGAAGCATAACGCGCATATCTTGGAAGTTGCACGTCATATTGGGCGACTCACTCGACTGATGAGGACAGAGATACGCCTAGAGCACATCAAACAAGAATACGAGTTTCGAAAGGATGCATTGGAGGGTTTCAAAGCGCAGAAGAGGGAGGCTCGTCGGCAAGAATTCCACCGCATCATGACATTTCTTAGTCCGTGTAGATATGATGACACCCTACATCGCCTTCGCGACCGTCGCTGTGAGAAAACTGGAGGTTGGCTCTTTATGGACGAGACTTTCACGAAATGGCTCAACAATTCGCAGGAGGAGAACCGAATCCTGTGGTTGAAAGGGATCCCAGGGGCAGGTAGGCATATATCTTTTTAGCGCTGTTTCCAGTCCCGTGAACGGTTCAAATGTTCCAATAATTTCTTTGGAACAAGCTTGAAAATTGCACGGCACCTTGGTCAAAACCATGTCTAACGTTGGGTCATTCAAACACAGGCAAGACAGTTCTCTCTAGTGCAATTGTCGACAAGTTGAGATGTACCCAAGGGACCACGACAGCTTTTGCATTCCTGACTTACCAGGAAGCCAAAACTTCAGCGTTGTCGATAACCCACTCTCTTATCTTTCAGCTGGCTGGAAGAGATGAAGACCTCATGGCTATTATTTGCGACTCGATGGTGGATGACCTTAAGAACGATCTCACCGCCGCAATCAACCTTCTGTCCCCTCTTATTCAATATGTTGGCTCCGTCTATCTCGTTATTGACGGTATTGACGAGATTAGTGAAACAGAGCGTAGGAGACTTGTTATAGAACTTCTTAGGCTGGCCAAGATATGCGAAAGGCTGAGGATCATCCTTAGTAGCCGGTCCGAAGCCGATATAATGCGACTGCTGGATGAGACAGCAGTCGTGATCCCGGTTCATGACCATAATGAAGAAAGCATCAAAGACTACATTCACGAACGTAGTCAATATATCTTCCATACTCGCAAAATTTTCCCAAAGGCACAAGTCGAGATCAGGAAGCTGTTGGTGCCGTTAGCAAATCGTGCAAAAGGCATGTTCCTCTATGCTCGGCTCATTATGGACACGATCGCAACTATGCACGACATGTCAGAAATACTGAAAGAGTTGGCGGTTCTCCCAGAGAGTCTTGATCATGCGTAGGAGTGCCCCAAAACTCAAGAGGATGGACTGCAACTGACCAACTATCATGTAGTTACCATCGTATAATTGTACGCTTGGGAGACCACAAGGACAAGCGCAAGTCAGAGCAGGCTCGGAGACTCTTGGGATGGGTTGCCTGTACTTCGACGCCACTTACTATCGAGGACGCACAACAAGCCTTAGTTGTAAGGCCTGGCAACCGGGATCAGGTCTTCGATATAGTCGCAAAGCTCGATGTTATCGAGGTCCTTGGTCCAATCGTTGAGACTGTGGACACTTACATACGCTTTGTTCACTTCACGGCAAAAGAGTAACTAGTGTATGCTGGAACCTATCGATCTACTGCTAACTGTCTTGCAGATATATCTCCAGCCCTCATCTTGGAGCACAGCTGATTGACATGAACCAAGCCACCCTGGATTTGGCTATGCGCTGCATCGAATATATATGCCAGCGCCATCATGATCCCGGTTTGACAGCTAAGGAGCGCTCCGAGAACGTCTCTACGGGTCAATACAGCTTCCACGCGTTTTCAACACGAATGTGGTTCGATCTGGTCTGTCAGTATCTTCGGTCCATCAAGTCAGCGAGTCCGTCAGCCAATCTAATTGATGTCATTCAAATGCTGTGGGAGGCTAGGAAGATACAAGACTTTGATAGCACTGTCAGGGGTGGAAGTGAGGATGAGAGTGACAATGAAGCTACTTTGGGAACGCTGGATGTAAAACATCCTCTCCTACATCAGCTGCTCTGCAGAACCTCACGGTTTCGCAACTCGTCTTTCCAATTCACCGGCAAGACAAACAGAGGTGCGACAACACCCTTCATGCCTATGAACCCCTTAGGAGTTGAATGGTCAAGCTGATATTCCCAGACTCTCAGAAGGAAAAACGTGATCCCCTTACGATATCAGCCACATCTCAACGCATCCGTCAAGCCCTAGACGACGCGCTCTGTAATTCCCCAACGGGCTGGCTCATTTCCGGTGAACCCGGATGCCATGAGAATTGCGCCTATATCCTACAGTACTACGGACCACGACCATTTAAATGCCGATTCCCACAGTGTGAATTTTGGCAACACGGCTTCCAAAAGCGTGTCTCCAGAAACCGGCATGAGCATTCGCATGATAATCCTTTGACATGCCCTGTTCCCGGCTGCGAATCTGGACTGATTGGCTTTTTGTCCGAGAGAATGCTGCAAAGTCATTTCAAGCAAGCGCATCAAAGCGATCCGCCACAAGTCAGCTTTGACGGCCAGGATCTCGCTCAGGACGGAGTTGAGGCTCTGCTCTCTGACTTGGTCCAAGAAGACCAAGTGGGAGTTGTCCAGAAAGTCCTGTCGACTTTCCCAAACGCCCTCCAGGTCAATGACAGTCGACATAAGCTCCGAATGCTCGCCGCCTTCGCAGCTTCGGATGCCATGCTCGAGCTGTTGGAAGAGCCGGCTGATTACGATGAGGCCAAGCTAGTATCCGAGGCTTGGGCAGACTGTATCGCAGAGTCAATAAAGGGTCGCAATGGGAGTACTCTGAGATATCTTCTGTCTCGAGCTAAACCTTTTTTTGACAGCAAGTTAAAAATTGCTTACGGATCCGCAGATTTCTTCCGTGTACCAGAAGGGAAGGACCACTCTCGCCGGGTCCTGCTCATTTCTCAACTTGTATCGAATGATTGGCTTGAAGGGATGAAAATATGCGCCAAGTGGCTTCGAAGCGGACTGAATATCTTTCCCAGTCGGGGTCCAAATTTGACCCTGATAAAAAGGTTGTTGGGGGGCAACAAAACAATTCTGGCAGCTGCGTCACACTCGCTGGGGGACCAGCAGCTGCTCTGTCTGTGGAGGGACTCTGGGATCGTCGCCATTTTGGATCAAAAGTGGGCCAGCCAAACTCTGAGAAGTGTAGCAGAGTTCGGCTGTTCAATCACTCTGGCAACGTATCTGCTTGGGCATGGCGCCAATATCAATGCCCGTCCAGGTAGCACGCGGAAAACTGCACTTCACTGCGCGGCATGCAACACATCTGCCGAGGGAGCTGAAATGATCAGATTTCTCCTCCTAAATGGTGCTGACCCAGAAGCAGACCAGAAGACAGCCGACTCCGCAGGGAAACGCCGAGGAAAGAAGATACGGGATGAAGAGGGCGCAAATGGCATTCATCGATGGCTGGGGAAGACCTGGGATGAGCTTATCGAAGAGACCAAGCGAATCCGGCATGACAGGGAGGCTGGAAAGGAATTGATATCTACAATTGGCGAGGGGAAGGAAATTGGCTGTTCAGACCGAGAGCATATAGCTAAATAACTCAAGGTAGTTGATTCTTTTATATGAATCATTCCACACACATCGATCATGGCAGATCTCCACAATATTTCGTGCAGCTTTTCTTCTTTTTTCTCTAAATCCCCTCCCCCTGACTGAAAAGTTTCATGGTATTACTCCTGTCTGAAATGCCTTATTCCAGTTTTTCAATAGGAAAGACCTTGGTAGAGTTTAGCTAAGTACTAGCTACGATGAAGAATCTATATATGCAGTTGGCAGCATAACCGCAATTTACATATACACTAAGGTCTGTAGCAAGCCGGCTGATGCAAGCGGTGGATTTAACGAGTGGGTCGCCGACTTATCTATGCTAGCATCTCTTTCATTCTCTATAATCTGTCAGTAAAGAAGCCCCTTAAGAAGCAGTGATCACGATTGGACATTACCTTCCATCTTTCGGATTCTAAATCGGCCCCTGTTACTCCCTTCATATTTATAGCCTGATTGATGATTTGCATCTTTTCCTGCTGCACCTGCTGGACATACTAAATGGGACAATGAGTATTGATATGAGAGTAATTGGACAGTAGTCCAGAAAAGTCTACTTACTGTTTCGACAGAGTTGGGAACGATATATCGGATGATTGTAACTTCTTGCGTCTGCCCTATGCGATATACTCGATCAACGGCTTGTGCCTCTACCATTGGGTTCCACTGAGGTTCTATCAGATGCACAATACTGGCCGCTGTAAGATTAACCCTAAACAAAGGCACAGTTAGTTGAATAAAGTTCGACAACCCATAACAGGTTAAAATTGGTACCCTTCTGCGGAACTGCCGATACTAGCTAGCATCACTGTGCAGTCGGGACTGTCATTGAATTCCTGCACGGCTTTTCGCCGTCCTTCGAGGCTGGTATGTCCATCGATACGTCGGACGCCAAACCGCGCCTCATAGAGCGCTTTCTCAATCAGATCAAGCATTTTGACCCAACAACTGAATACCACGCTGCATTTAGTCAGCTAGATATTATCTTCTCCAGCAATGAGGGTATTGTGACATGCCTTTTTCTTGGTCTGTGGTTAGCCCCTGCTGCACTTCGCTCCTGTTCTAGGTTCCCCAACAATGCCAGTACTTTGGCTGAGGGTCGATGACATAATTTGGCTGAACCAGAGCTGGTTGATTGGGAAGCTGACAAGCCTTTTCTGCCCAGGAAATCGGCTTGCAGGTTCGTGTTTGACGATCCTTGCTCTGAAATTGCACAATTGACGCATATGGAATCTTGGCCATCTGCCGGAGCGACACTGCCGTCAAGCTCCCCCTCGCAGACGGAGCACCTAACATGGTAGACTTGTTGCATTTCAGAAGCAAAAGAAGCAATGGAAACAATGGAGCTTTCCTCCATTCTTCTTTTTATTGCTTCGGGTAGAAGCTGCTTTCCGTGGTCGCAGATAAGTCGCAGGGAGTTGATAAGGAGTAATATGTTCTTTTCCTTGCCTTTGGGGATGGAGTCTTTTTCTGGCTGCTTCTCCGCACACGTAGCTATTTCTGCATTATACTTCCTAACAGTATCATACAACACCTGATCATCCCAATGGAGGTGAACTTCGTGAATTCTTTCAGAACGTGGAGGAAGTTTTAGCTGGTCGGAGGACAAGGTTTTCTGCTTCGTTCTCCGAAGACAGGTTGCCCGAATAAGGCCCTGCAAGCGTTCAACGCCTAGCTTGTGCTCCTCTTCCACGGGTTTAACGATCCAATACATGAAGTTGGACCTTTCTACAAACGGAAAGACGCGTATAAAACTGAGCAAGGCGCCGTAGTCGTCAAGGGAGTTGTGGATTGGTGTTCCTGTCAAACACCATCGATACCGGGATGTGAGCTCACAAACAGACTGAAAAGCCTGTTTTGAACGGTTTCGAATGTGGTGAGCTGCAGTGAGATTAGTAAGGATAAGAAAGGTCCTGCTATGCACCAGAGTTTGTTTACCTTCATCCAAGACAACCCGAAGCCAGTTCCAGGAATAGAGGGGACTCGTTCTCTTTGACGCTGCCCACTCGGAACGAAGTGTTTCATATGTCGTGATGACAATGTCCGCGTCCCGGAACTGGTTGGCATGACTTTCTCGACCGGAGCCGTGATATATGTATACTCGTATTTGTTCTTTGTGGATGTGTCTAAATGCCACCACGTTATTAGTCCTCGTGCCATATGACTTCAAAGTAGTGCTTACTCTGAGATCTGGTCCACCCAGCCGTATATAGCTATCCTTCTCGTTAGTGACTTATAGGTATCTTGTCTCTTAGCTCGGACTCACTGGACTTTGGTGCAATAATAAGCGTGCCCTGATACATTGCGTTCTTAGAATGACTAATGGTTGTAGAATCAAAGTCTACAGAGGAACAGATCAGCGCCAACACGCTCAATGTCTTCCCAAGGCCCATATCCTTGATAGAGACTGTCAGTATCCCCACTGTACAGGTATAGGGGGAACCTACATCAGCAAGTATTCCTCCCATAGCTGGGATAGGCCTAGGCTCAAGGGACCTCGTAACGGTATGGCGATAACTAAAATTTAAGGTAAGATACTAAATCATACTGCTAGTACGGTTCCTTGAAATTACTTACTACATGATCTTGCTGTTCTCGCTAAGTTCCTTTCTCCAAAGCGACGGGAACATCGGCTGCTCAACATAGCCACTCTCCTTCTCCAGCATCATAGCTAGCGCTGTGATTTGATGACTGATTCAAAATATTAGTCATCGTTCACAATGGGTCGTACTGTCTCGTACCTCATGAGTGGTGAGCGAAGCCGCGGACTCAGTGACATGTTCGGTGCAGTCACTGTCCCCCAATCCGCTCCCGCGGTTTCGAAAATTTTTAGAAAGCGACTCTTGCTTATTTCATTCCCTGGTTCAGTCTGGGCGGAACTATGGTCTACGATGTCTAGATGCAAATGCTCGAGTTCTGGCATTTCTGCGCCGGGACGAAGAAGGTAATGGGGATTGTCATATTGGACTTCGGATATGATTTCAGTGGCATAAGGATGCTGCAGAAAGAAGCCGGCGTCTGAAAGAAGGCTCCCCATGGCCACCTTGTCATCCCGAAGACCGTACAGGATGATGCGTATACTGTACTCTCGGGCTGCTGTCGCAGGGGCAAATTTCTTCATCTTTGGCTTGCCTGATTCTCTGATGCCCTTGATCTCGGAGATGCGAACCGTGGCATCCAGTTTGAGGCGAAGCTGCCGAAGTGCGTTGACGAGCCCAGAGTTACTTAGAATACCGACGTGTGCACCAGAGTTCTGACTCTGAAGCATGAAGATTCCTCCGAATGGTTTCAGATTCACAGGCACAGAATGAGTCCCATTCTCCAGCGCAAAGGAAGAGGTGAGTTCTGTTATTACCTAGCGGCCTGTCAGAAGACCGCGAGGATAGCAGGGTAGACGTGACTTACAACTCCAAAACAAGTATCATAGTCGCAGCAGACATCCATGGACTCAGCCGAGAGTAACGCAGTTGGAATCTGTGAGAACGGTTGATTGACTGGGGACTCACTGAATACCAGCTGGCCATTTCGTGATACATCGACTCTGGAGAGCACATCCGGGGTGTGTGTGTGTCCTTGCGAGTAACTTCCACTTAAACCCTCCAGGCCACTGAAGCCTATGAGAGGTAGTGTTTCCTCAAAAGGTCTACTTGTAGTCGAAATGCCGTGCATAGTGTTACCCATAGAGATATCGAGTCGGTCTGATGATCGAAGGAAGGAATTGATAGGGGTTAGCTGGTTTGGCAAATTTCCAGGCCATGGCTCGGCGATCGACGGTAATTCCAAGTGTGACCGGTCAAGGAGCTCAGACACCCCTAAATTCGAGGTTGGGAGCCCTCCACCGGTGCACGGTACGGAGTCGTAGGTATTTGCCAGCATGTGCTGTCCCCTTTCCATTGAATGGAACGATACGTTTGAAACTTCGCCGCTAGTGAAGTTGTCGAACTGGCTTCCAGAGCCATTATTAAACTCATTTTCATATTCGTGATAGAGATCTTGTGATGGGAAAGAGAAATCATCGTAAGAAGCGAATGGCAACTCATTGTTGAGAATGTTGTGGTCTGGGCCGTTGATATAAGGCTGTGTACGGGATTTTTTGACTTCTCGATCTTCGTCAGCCGGAGAGGGGCTAGGTCGCTTGCTGCCCACAGGTGTTTGCAAATGCTGAAGCCAATCGTCGTGATTCATGGTGGGTTTGAGTAAGAGATTCTCCCGGGGATATTATATATACGGCCAGCGCACCTTGACCAGACCGCCAGGCATTTCCGGGTAGCTGGCGCTGCTTTAGAAGGGTCAGGTCATTTGCTGCAGAACTCCCCAAAGGCGGCGACAATGTCTGCATCTCTCTCGGGCGCTGTGGGCCTCCAGGCAGCAGCCACGCACGGCCTTGAGAGGCGCTCTGGTAGGCGTTCCTGGTGAACCTCGCCTCACTCATCACCTGCTCCCTCTGCTCCCTCTACTCCCTCACCTCCACTGTATTTTGTGTGCTGCAGTACTTTGCCTCATCCCAGGATTCTAGAGACCCGCTCTCAGCAGAAACGAGACGATCAATAACGAGAATGGTCACTACCTATCTCGAAACGCGTTACGTGGACCGCGCAAAGCTGAATGAGTTGCTGCAGGCTCTATTTGGACAGAGCTACACGGTGGTGGTGAGTGCTGCGTTATAAGGCATGACCCAGGTACAGTATCGTTTGCTAATATCTCCAGGTCGCCGGAGATACAATCTCGGTGGAGGCGTCTAGAGAGCTCACAGAGGTGAGACCATCGATCCCCGGAAGGTTCTTGACTTGGAAAGGATTGCTTCTGAACGAGTCTGACCAGGTCGAGAAGAACTCCCTGTCACGGAATAAATGAATGGCTGAAGGAGATGGACGTGGGAAGCCTGACAGGCCGCTGCGGGTTGGCAAAATCACTATGAAAGAGATACGGAAATAGATACGAGACCATATTGAGGACTGACTAGATAGATGCGCATAGCTTAGAAGAAACAGTGGAAAGGCTATTAAGACTGCTAAATGGTGATACGGCTGTATAAGTATAATCGGAGGCTGTGTTCGATTTTGAGACCTCTTAATTGTTGTTGATGTGGCCCGTGCGCAAATTGACCCAATAGCCTAGCCACAGTTATTAGCTCCCAAGGCAGAAAGCCTGAAAGTTAACTTGAGGCTCGCAGAACCATGGATCCTGTTCATCTACTGTCTAATTGTGCAAGTGAGTGGATATATATAAAACTTCTCAATTAAATCACGGAATGCTGTCTATGCAAGTCCCCGCGACCGGAACGTCTAGCCCAAGGACGATTCCCTGTCGTACAGCCGGCCTAGATCGCTTAGGCCGAACGGCCTACCAACATGGCCTCGGGTATCTGTGGAGGAATTTCGAATCCAAAGTTCCGGGCCTGTTCGTCGATGATGCAACCGAGAACAGGATCGGTGTAGTCAAGGCAGGTAGAGATCAGCTCCATTGGGTATCAACTCCGGAAGAGTTATACACTACTCTGAGTGAAAGAATGTCAACGTTATTGTATGAGCCTCTTTCACCGTCAAATTGAACGGGTTGCTTTATGGTTAACGAGAACCTTGCTCAGAATACTCAACCGGTATAATTCATGGAGCAGGATAGGTATCACCATCCATGCCTTCTCCGTGGTATGCGATTTCGCTGCTATCACGCCGTTCTTTTTGCACTTCTTAGTTGGGATGGGTAGAAAGTTCTCGTCGAAGGATGAAGACTTTATGTCATGCTACAGCACATTTGTATCCGAGAACACTCCCCTGGTCTCTAGCCTTGGCAGCGGGATGGAGAAACACAGTGATTCACTTTGGGGTGAGTCTTGCGAAGATACCTCCTTCTGGTAATTACTTGCTGATGGTTTGATATCCCCAGGGATATGCTACAACATTCGCTACTTCGAACAGCATACTCGGGACCTAGAAGATCCATGGTCTTGTCGCCAATCTGCTCTTCACCACAGCTTCTTGGCGGTTTCCAAGCAGTCCACTTGGGTCGTCATACAGCCACCTAAAGCTTTCGACCTAACTGTAAGCTCGACACAGCATCCGATGTCCTTACACCTTCGATATCTTCATGCATGTCTTGCAAATTGGAGAGAATATCTTGACTCCTTTGCTCAGAGACTTAAGCCTCTTGTGAGCAGATTCATTCTAAAAAGGCCTTGTGCCGATCTCGCTGGGCTGTACTGACTTTAACGGCTGCGCTTGCCGTCGCTATCTGAAGAATCAACAGATTGCAATACCAAATCCGTATGAGAGCTTCAAGATTAACTTCTCGCACGAGCAATACCTCCACCATCTCAGAGGAAAGCTTCATTATGCTCGAAGCATTCTCAACAACACGATGAACACTTTCCGTGTTATCGCCGAACATGAATCTGCTGTAGCACAGGAGCAGAGCCTCTGCCAAGCCGTTCACCATGAATTCCAACGCGAATTGCGTAATCTTTCTCGGGAGGTCGATAACTACATCGACACATCGCAAAGATTTCTTCGTATGGCAGACGACCTAAAGTCGATGGTAAGGCCTGATAGTCCAACTCGTACCCTGCGATGACAAGTTCATGTAGCATGTCTGACCTTGCTATTGTACAGTATGACAATATCCTCACATTTCATGGCCAAGAGCTACAGCACGACACGAGCCTGAAGCTTGCACATCTGGCGCAAGCCGATGCGTCCGGGAATAGAGACATGGCGGTCTTAGCCGACCTCACACAAAAGGATTCACGATCGATGCGTATCGCGACGGCCATTGCCATGTTCTATCTCCCGGTGAATCTGGTCATGGTGCGTATCCTAGCTTTCTTAAAATTCCTATACCTCATAGATCCCCTGGGAACCAGGGGTTGTAGGATCTGCCGCCTTGTTCAAGGTTTGCTTTACCGCTCAACTAACTTCCGGGTCACCAACATTAGTCATTCTTCAGCACTACACTTGTCTGGTATGGAACGGATGCGACAGAAAGCCAGAGTTCAAGGATGCAATTGCGCAGCGAGGTATGGATCGCGACCGTGGCGGCTATTGTGCTTGCCAGCAGTACTGCATGCTGGTCTTGGTGGTGGAATTGGAAGGACCAGAAGAAGCCATATAAGAAGGCTATTCAAGAGACTGCTCACCCATAATCAGATATCCCAAATAATTGAAGGGGTTCCTAGTTTCCTCTCGATAGATGAGTTGGTATACGCAAAAAGCGAGGTCCTCCGGGAAGTTGCTTTAGAAGTTTGAAATGACAAAAACGCCTTTTCACTTGAGGGGCTTTATTATAAAGGAGAATTATGACTACCTATGTGTAACCATTAGTACCCGTAGAAAGACTAGATGTCCTTTCTCAACCCGATGGTTCTATCGACTTGCTCTCCGCTAAAGTTATCGTTGCAATGCGCAAAAAGGATATAGCTGTCATCTGTGAAACATTGGCCTCTGTCGATTTGCCGCAACAGGACCCTTCCATGCTTCTAAGCCCACTGGCTTCGACTGCTCCCTCCTCTAACCGATGTGAACTGCAATGGAATTGATCAGCCTGAGCGAAGCGAATATGCTGTGCATGAAGTAACCAGGCTTGGGCACGATATAAGCGCTTAAATATCGTGTCATTTTAAAAAAAAAGTTATCGGAAAATTAATCGTTAATCGATTGAGTAATCGAGTAAGCGCAAACGTGACCGCAGTATAGTTCTTCCGACTCCGAGCCACTTATATTGCTGCCACCAAAGGAAGCGGGCCTTAATAACCGGAGATTTCAAGCTCCGATTCAAAATCTTGGCTCGAAAACATGAAATCCGATAATAATCGGAAATAATATGCTTAATTTAAGCGATATTATATCGTCGAAATAAAAAGTGAAAAGTCAAAACGCGTGATGATGTGGTCAATCTTGCTTGGGCCAGGATGATCAGGTGACCTGCTCAGGGTGCTCAGGTTACTCAAGCGAGTCGACTGAGCCGAGGGTGATTAGCGCACGGGACACAAGAATGGGGAAATTGAGGTACCAAGTACGTCACAAAGGCAGAAAGCTACACTCCCAATTTCGGGTTCCTCATCGCAAAAAACCAATTATATTGGAATCTCTTTGAGTAGACAAACACCATTCGTACACACTGCCACGAATTTCGAGTGTAAAAACAAGATGTCATTGTTCGATCAGCCATGGATGGAAGACATTCCAAACGACGATGTTACACATATGACGGGGCTTGGACTGGAGAGCAATTTCAGCACCTTGGGGCGTGATCGGATATTTTATTACCAGCGAGGAATCTATGGGGAGATATCGAGGCCGATTTTAGTTTTGCTTCATGGGTATCCTCAAACGTAAGCCAAATTTACAGCATATTTTGAAGAAAGTGCTAACCCCGCTCCAGAAACTTCACGTAAGTCAAATCTAGTTGTTCTGTTTTGATCAAGCTCTGCAGTTCATTTTTGCTTCTTGGTTGCCATGTTTGCTGGCTGCTCTCTTTGAACCTAAGCATTGCTCCGAGCTATAATTTCTATGAACTTCGATAATTCCCAATGTTACAATTCTCACTAATTTAATCTAGGTGGAGACACGTAAGCAAGAACCCCTTCTTATCACCAGTCTCATGCCGCTGACCGTTCACCAGATAATCCCCCTCCTACCCAAGGACATCCCCCTATTCATTCCAGATGTAAGCGACAACTATCCCCTCTCTACATGTTAAACTCACTCAAACCCAAGGTCTACGGCTATGGCCGCTCAATGGGTCTCCTCACCCCCCACGACAACTCCCTCACCTGCGCAAACCTCCTCAACACCCTCTCCCTCCACCTCCACCCCGCCCTCGCCTCCCGCGTTCCCATTATCTTCGTGGGCCACGACCGCGGCGCCCGCATCTGCCACCGCCTCGCCGTCGACGCAACCCGCACCTCCTCCCTCAACATCGTCGGCACCATCTTACTGGACATCGTCCCCACTCTAGTCCAGTTCCAAAGCTTCAGCACGCCTTCGTCTTCTGTGAGTACTTTTCACTGGCCATTCTTGGCGAATGTGGAGCTGGCTTCGGAGATGATTGGCGCGTTTGGTGGCGATAACTGGGTTAGGATGTGTATTGATCGGTGGGCGGGGAAGGACAAGAAGTCTCTTGCGAGTTTGAAGTCTGATAAGGCTGTGGATGTTTATGCGCAGTTTTTCAAGAAGCCTAGCGTGATTCATCATTCTTGTGATGATTATCGAGCAGGCTCGAATGAGGATGTTAAGAAGCAGGAGAAGGATCAGAAAGCGGGGAGGAAGATCGATATCGACGTTTTGGTGCTGTATTCTGCTGATTATTTGGGGAAGAGGTATGACGTGAAGAAAGTGTGGGAGGAGTGGATGGGGAAGGGTGATTTGCAGGTGCAGAATGTGGGAGATGGGTGTGGGCATTTTATTGCAGAGGAGAAACCCCAGGAGTGTGCGGCTGCTGTTGTGAAGTTTTACGAAAGTTTTTGAGATTAGTCACAGCCATCCACCGAACCCCGAACCACCTGTTATTTGCTCGATCTTAAAATGGAATCAGTCGGCTTTTCAAGCCCAGGAAAATGATCCAGAGGTTGGCGAAGATGATGATCCGCACTGCACCGGTCGCAGCAACGCCGACGATCTTGCCTCCGAACTCTTCGCGGCGCTGTCCAAGTTCTACCATGGCTATGCCAAAGTCCGCATAGTTCATCGATGCCGTCGTCTTGCCGCGCTGGATGAACTTATGCCCAGTGGCCTCCATCTTATTGTCCATCAATCCGGGTGGGTCCGCGGTAATGCACGTGAGCAGTCCATCCTTCTCAGCTTCAGCGTACACCTCACCGGCATTCAGAAGATCCTCGTAGATAGCCCAGATTGCGAAGACCATGAACCTCTTCGCAAAACCTGGGATAGGCAGCTGGACATCTGAATTCAGAGCCACGGATCGAGTGAACAGAACGACCGGTGTCTCGTACTCGGATCCCTGGTCTTTGCGGAGTTGACCGAGAGCTGCGACGATACGTGCTGCCGTCGTAAGAGCAATGTCGACCTTACGACTTGCGTGGTTGGTGGGGACGCAGCCATATATAGTTGAGGCGCCCTTAATACAGGCTTTGAGGGTATTTTCGTTCGAGATAGGGGCTTCGAAGATAGTGATAGTGGCCGATGAGGTTGACTTAAGTTGTGGGAAAGCTTGGAAGAGCTTGCTCTTCGAGCGTACTAGTATGTTGATACGAAGGTCGGGTATCTGCGAGGAGAGAAGACATCTCAGAATTGCCGAGCCTGTACCACCAGTTGCGCCGAGGACAGCGTGGACAGGCATGATGTATGAGCTCGTGCAGTCTAGGCTTGAGTCGAAAGCGTTGTTGGCCCTCCACTTTCCATGGCGAAAGCGATGTATTTGACCAAGGAACCGATATCGCCTAACTGTTACACTACCGCAACCTTCTCTTTGCTGAATCAATGTTTTAGCTTAGTAACCAATACAATAACTTGGTAAGCTTCAGCTTAACACCGATGATTCGATTCCAAACGAAGCCATTGCTTCAACACTGTCACAAATATCAGTCTTAGCGCACGCTTTACCACTCGTTTGATGCGTGTCCCAGGACCAATGAAGAAGCTAGTTATGGGCTGTTTAGGCACCACAAGTGTGTACGTACCGTCTCGTCGCGACGTAGCTGCTTTGTAATAGTTTTGGCTGAGAATGCTTTCGACCGACTTTGACCGAATCAGCCCGAGCTCATCGGCCTACCTCACTCCTCCCAGAGAAGTCACAGGTTTTGATCATACTCATTATTTTATAACTGCATGTAATGGTGGAAAACAAGTTGCAAAGGTTCATGCTTCCTTCCTTATTCTATGATGGCCATGAAAGATAAAGTAGTATGTGACTAGACTACGGTGTCATTAATCTTGCGACCTCCTTTCGACTTCTTTGAGACAAGCACGAAATCCCGCTCAAGCAACCAGAACCCCCGACTCTTCTCGCTGCCCATGATTCTCTCAATAGGAGAAATTCCGTAAGTTTTGGCGAGAGCTTCATCTTGAGTCCAAACGAAATCAACTACAAGGCTCTTCTTCGTGCCGAAAACAGGATCTTCGATGATATATTTGCTCTCCCTCGAATATACCGCGGTTACCAATTTCTCGTACTCCGGGTGCATGATCATATAGTGCTAAGAAAAATCATCAGTTATATTGAAATTTTTCTGCGGAAATCGAAGTGGTGTGCTTACTACGTGAGCCGGTCGATACCAATCTCGATTAAATAGCTGCAAGATCTCCCCTACCGGACCATCGTTTGGGATAGGATAGTCGACCGGCTTTACTCCCTTAAGGTAGAACTTACCACTAGTATCGGTGAAGAACTTCCCTCGGCAATCTGGCTCATTATATTCAACATCCTGCATATCGTAGAATCCATTGCCGTCCGTCTCCCAAATATCTACCAGGGCCCTCGGGATCGGCTTCCCAGCAGTGTCTAGCACAGCGCCCCGGATAAGCATCGGCTCGCCTGCAATGCTATTTGATGTAATGGACTCTCCGTTCTCGAATACCTTTGCAGTATCGCTGAAGAAAGGCCCAAGCACTGATGACTCGGTAGCTCCTGAGGTCTGCTTGCTGTTGATTGCATCCACGAGAGCTGAAACCCCCAACACGTCAGAGAGGAGTACGAACTCCTGCCTTTCCGGAGTACATGTTTGACCAATCTGGAAAGTAAGTCAGTAGGGGCACTCAGGGCATGAATGAAGGGTGTGAAGAAGGAATATTATGCGGAGAGACTAAGCACCCTTGTCAAGAACTGCCAAGCAACTTCCCACTCATCTGTCTGTAATTCGACGTCGCGAACAAAATCGTGAAGGTGCTGGATGAGCTTCGCGGTCAAGTACTTCACCCGGGAGTCTTCACCCTTCGTGCTCATTTGGATAACATGAGCGGTGAGGTTTCCGATGGTCAGATCCTCGATGTTTGACGATGACTCGCCAGTCTTAAGAGACATGATCGCTAGTAGCCTCGTCAATTTGTGAAGGCCCGCTTCTGGTTATATTTGAGGCTGGTTCTAACATTCAAGATGTTGTCGAATGGATATATGAAGTAGAAAACAAAGAGATCCAGGTGAATATGAAAGTATGCATCTCGTGATCAATGTATTTTCCATTCGCTATAACAAAGTCGGAATACTGCCGAGCCTTTCCGTCGCTCTTCAGGAGATCAACGTTTTGCTACGGAACAATGATCGTCAAACGTTAATCGCTAGCTCAATGGCTCAAAAGAACCACCGGGATCGCCGGATCGTTCACTTATACCCAGTTCTTGCATTTTAATCAGCTGCACCTCATGCTGAATACTGTATCTGTCATGCTTTCAAATGCTTGAAATCGGAACTTAATTCCGTGCCGAACAACTGGACCTAAGTTTCCTTATGCACTACATCTCGGAAACGGAATGATAGAGATCTGAAAAGTGGCTCACCTAAGGTTCAATCGGCTGAGAACGAAAATATGACCTTTATTGCTGTTGGGCGGAGTCGCCGCACATTTCCGGTAATCCCCTATTATATCCCTACCCCACATATTGTATCGTAGCCTAAAGCTGCGGTACTCAACCCCTAAATCCCAGATGAGCTCCAAAATACCAGACACTAATACAAAATTCTTGTTTATTACCGTATTTGTACAGATAGGAACGGAATGCTATGAGCAATTCCAATATTTGAATTATATCTGCGGTCGTATTGAAGAGCCCAATCGGATCGGATAGGGCCCTTCATCTCGATAGTGGGGGACTTTGCTGCCATAGAGGCCAAAACAACGGATTCAAAGGACCGCTTTTACCGTAGTACATAAAGCCATATTGTAAATATATACCTCTCTGACAAGCAGGTTTCATTATATTCTTCGAGATCATATCATAGATAAAGGCAAATTCATATAGATAACTCAGCTCTGTCATCTTCGAATCGTGTGTAATGCTACAAGCAGCATGGCTACATCGAACGCAAATAAAATGCACGTCATCATCATTGGCTCGGGATGCACCGGTCTTCTCTTAGCCCAAGCACTCAAGAAGGTACGCAGGTCCGCTTCATACCCTGTTCAATAGCTTCGACCACTTGCAATTGCTGACATCTCCACTTGATGTGACAACAGAGAGGAGTATCCTACAGTATTCATGACAAGACAGATCCTGCCTTTCGCCACCGAAACTGGAGCATGACCTTGTTCTGGTCTTTCCGATATTTTCCCCATCTGCTCGGTGAGAGTCTCCAGGCCCGTATGCACGAGGCGCAGACTCGACCTCATTATGAGGCGACGGAAACCGAGGAGCTAGTGCTTAGAAATGCTGCAACTGGTGACGTTCTGAAGAGAGTGAACTCTCCTTATGCTATCAGGGTACACAGACAAGGGCTGAGGAGGCTGTTGCTTGATGAAATTAATGTAAATGTATGGTAGCATGACATCGTTAACATTCGCGGCTCGAAGACTAATAACCGTGCAGTACAACCACGAACTCTGCGATGTCAAATTTACGGACGATGGGGTGATTGCTCATTTCACCGATGGGACAACTGAGGTGGGTACTAACATCGTTGGGGCAGATGGCGGGCAGTCATTTGTTCGACGCTTCTTGCTCGGAAAGCGCGCCGAGCCCGAGGTGTTTCCCCAATACGAGATGGCTAATCTGAGTGTGGCCTACACTCACGAACAAGGCAAATATATCGCCGAGACCATGGCACCTCATGTGGACTATGGGGTTCATCCAAAGGGGATATTCTTCATTATGCTCTGTAAGATCACCAAGCAATTGAATCTGAACTTGTATCTCAAAAGCTAAACACCTCGGTACCGTAGATAGAACGGTCGTCGAGGAAAAAGACTACTCTACTTGGACGTTCCATTATGTGATCACGTTTCCTAAAGAGCTCCCAGGTATGCCCTTCGGATGCGAAAGCAACGCTGAGCGCCTCCGCGTCCTTAAATCTTTTGCGGACGACTTTGCCGAACCCAGGCGATCAGCCTTGAAATGGATGCCAGAAGATCAGGAAATCCCAAATGATTCCATCAAGGTTTGGATACCAACTCAGTGGGATAACCATGGCGGTCGAATTACATTGGCAGGGGATGCAGCGCACGCAATATCTTTCCGTATGGCTAAATACACTCTAACATGTTGAACAACGAAGGGCTAATTATACTTTCAGATCGTGGCCAGGGAATGAATAACGCGACGGTCGACTGCGCGCACTTTGCAACAGCTGTAGACAAGATCAGGGCAGGGAAAGAGCCAATTGCCACGGCAATAACGAAGTACGAGGAAGAGGTCATCAATCGAGGCATCTACGAGTCAACTCTGTCTCGGAACCTAACCCTCACTATTCATCACTGGGATCGCTTCCTCGAGAGCCCAATCATGAAGTATGGGGGCAACCTTGCGCGCGAAATCAAGGAGACTGAGCGTTTGAGTATTGACGCTTCCACCACGGCGGTCCTTGAGTGCGCTGCTGTACAAAGTTGAATTGTGCCTATGGCAACCGCATCTTAGCTGTTGGAATTACAAATCAGTCACATGAAAATCCCGTGTAGAAGGCTCTAGAAGCTTTTCCAAGTGTATATAGTCTTGCTTTCAGCTATAGATTTGAAAAAAATGAGAGCTTCTCTAGTCTTAAAACCTTGGATCCCTCGTCGTACTACTGAAGAGTAAATTCAACAAGTATCTGTCGCTGTTCTAAATTCCTGTCTCTACTATAAGCTAGGTAGATCTAGACCAACCCAGAATGACTCGGAGTCGACTCCTGGAAAAATTAAACCTGGGAAATTTTCGGTATTAGCAAACGAATCTTGGACCGGGAGGCCGAAGGCCATATCATTCGATGTGGGTATTTGGTCGTTCGAAAGGGCCATAGGGAGAAGGCCAAGTCGGTAACATAGGGCAGACGCTCTGAGGGATTGACGTCTTGATGCGATCGAGAACACCGCAAGGGTCTGAAGAAGATCCAGCGCGGTTGATAAGGACTTGCGCGCCTCGTTGAGTGTGATCTGCTCTATTTGTACATCCTGTAAAACTTTCGACGGAGACGATTGAGACTCTCGAGCCAATACCACCAGTAGAACTCCCAGCGCTGTTACGAGGAAGTAGTTGTATTGGGTCTCTTGCAGTTGGTATATGTCAGTCGTAGTATTTAGCTCGATCAAAATTTGAGTCGTTTCACAGGCGATATTTACTGCCATTGTCCACGATGGTGCGTCGGCCACAATATAAAGATTTGAGCAGCAAAGCACTGGGCGCATCATGAGAAGCCGGAGATGATTAGCCCGCAAGTAGAGCAGGGTACGAATGTGGCGAATCCTCCAAACACTGGGATTTTCATGGACGAAGTGTAGTTCCTGAGGGATATGTCTCTCTTGCCATTGGTTCAGACGATACTGAAAGAAATCCAGAGATTCCTTCCATTCGGCTACACCACGCGGCTGGCCACTCAGAGCATTAGAGAGCGAGTCACATATCCTGGCCCCAAGACGACAATACTCGACCATGGCTTTTAAGTAAGGCGCAGTTTCCTAGAAAGAGCCGCTCACATTAATGCTGGTTCTGCACCGTACAATGTATGCTACTCACCGGTAGCGGGAAATCACTGTCAATATCCACGTCTTGAAGATTCTTAGGTAGACCTAAAGCGTAGCTGAACTGCCGGTCGAGCACAAAGATGGTCCAAAATGTATTAACAGCTTTCGTGGCTTCCTCGGGGTCGTCAAATATGCGCAGAACCACTTTTCGTCGGTGTAGTCCGAACTCAAGGATAATGCGTGTGAGGGTACCAGTAACGCGCCAGGCAAGTCGCCAATCGCCTTTAATGAAATGGTACAAGCTCTGTCCAAGGTTAAAACGGTCTTAATAAGGTGGGAAACACGAAATACGTACGACCAGTATCAGCAGATCTAAATCGTTGACTTCTATTGCCATGCTCCACATCTTCGATTCCACGTCACCTCGCAGGCTCTCGTACAGTTTCGTTGCCAAGCTACTTTGGCCCTTTCCCTCCATAAGTAACGCAATTGAGAGCACCATCTTAATGATGTTGACGTCGCCTTGAGTCATTTGCATTTTGGCAGATTCAGAGTCTGTAGGACCAGTAATACGCGGGTCCTGTACCAGTCCGGTGCAGAGGCCTCTGACAATTCGGATCTGGTCATCAGCATTTATAAAGGGGTGTATTACTCCGACCAGATCATCGTAAAGCTGTACGAGATGGACAGCTCTTCCTGTATCGAATTCTTGTAGAGGATCTAGAAGTAGACCATTACCGCTAGCCGTAAGTAAAGCCAAGGAGGTGTACAAGCCCTGATCCGTCGGCTCCTTTTCAACAGTCTCATCTTCACGATCAACAATGATCTCACCATCCAAGATCGAGAGGGTCTCACGACCTCGGGTTGACGCTGCATATTCCCAATTGCCTTCTGTCTCATTAAGACTCATGCTTATCACGTTGATACAAAAGGACGGGTTAGTAGGGCCACAAAATAATGGGAGCAATGGCTTCGAGCGCCGGGCAACCAAATTATCTGATGCCAAATTTAAATTTTCAAAGCGGAGGCTAGAACCCCCCTCGTTCTCAGTTGGCAGGTGAGCTATAGTTGGAAGCTGATCGGCTACTTGTTGCTCGCCCCCTCCCGATCCCGGTCCCTCCACAAGCGTTCCATCATCCATCTTTGCCTTCTCGAGGAGAAAGTCAAGTTTTTCCGATTGCAATTGTATCATGCGGGTCAAATTCGAGGAGAGACTGCCATTCCTATGCATCTTCAGATATGGAGTACGCGGCAAAGTACGGCTGCGCCTAACTAGAAGACGAAGCAGGCATGATGATAAACTTACCGTAAAGTAGAGGTTTCTCTGTAGCCACATTCATCACATCGTCTCTTTTTACATTGATTGCATGGCTTTCCACCATTGCAACGGATTTTCTGCCTCCTGCATCGGTCGCATGCTTGGATCACGTAGCGGGAGCGCTTGCGAGGCTGCTGGCCATGGTGGGCAGAGTGATGTCCCTGGGTTGGTTCTACAGGCTCAGCCATGAGAACGTATTGCAAGAAATATAATAGGTAGTCAAGACACCGTTGTATATAATGTACTATACGGGGGAATAACACCTGTTTGAATGGCATATCGGACATTCGTGTAAGTAACGGGATCTCCATACCCCGCATGCTTAGTTAGCACTGCCATCGCTGAGAAATGCTTTACAATCAAATATTCTAGCTCCACTTATATACCTACTACTGTAAGCATTTTTTCGGCTAGTGAGACATTGGCAACGCTAGCAGGGGTAAATGCGCAGAGGGCTTCGATTAGTGTATTTTAAATAAATAAAACCTTCTATATTAAAATTCGCCATAATATCGAGAGTTTAATATCGAATTATTTGTTATACGTTAATCGAGAAAATCTGCTATTAAGCAGATGGTGTAAGATCAAGGATGGGTGCTTTAGCTTCGTATAGAATATGTTGAAGCGGTTGACTCTGTGACAGCACTGTGACGATGGTGTGAGGTGGCGACGCAACGTCGGGCTATTCATTTAGAATCTAAAGCTAAGGAGAGAAGAAAGGAGAGGAGGAGAGATCTATATACATATATATGTTAGAAGTAAGGGGATGTCATGTGAGGAGCTAAGCCCTAGTAGGCTTAAAGCTCGGGAACGCCACCATTCCCGGCCTGGCCTCTGTCGCAGGCGATTGGCTCAGGCGATTGGTAACAGCTGGCGCTGTGACAGACTCTGAACAGACTGAAACGAAAACCCTCCACATCGAAATGAGCCCCGTCGAATAGCCTCTCCCAGTCGGACAGATCATAGGGAGAATATAATCAGCACTGACCCACGAAAGAGATGAATGTGATTTTGTCGGGAATTTTGATAGTACCCTTGGGCTGGAAAAAGATTTGACGAATTAGGAATCCATCCGCCGTGAATCGTCCAAAAGATGCTTTGTTCTCCCTCTTTAATGCTTCAACTAGGCTATCGGCCTCTTTTTCTATCAATCTCTTCATAGTCATCCTAGGTCTGGGATCAAAGGGGCAGTTTCGTTCCTTCAAAGTACACGTGACTGGCAGCCTCCTCCCTCGAACCCTCCTTTGGTGAGTACTGCGTTACGAGGGCATTTCCAAGCCTGCTCTTCATTTCATGACGTAAGTTCATGAATGTTCCCTGTGTGAGGCCAAATCTGATTGCTTTTGTTCCAGTGCGGCTAGCTGCTGGTTTTGTGAATACGGAATTCACGTGCATGTCGAACGGGGTCTGTTCCGTGGCCATGGAAATGAGCGTTCTCTTCACCAGATGGGTTATCTCCTCGGACCTATCGCAAAACTCGACATGGATATTCGTTCCATGTGGTTGGGAAATTCTTATATTTCGACCTGATGGCGAGAGGGGGTACAGTTGGAGAAGGTGAGATTCGCAGGAGGATACTGAAGACCATAATTACGGAAGCTTGGTGTTTTGCTCGAGGGAGAAGGTCGAATTGGGGTGGAAGTTGCTCAAGAGTACAGAGGAAAGAGATGGAATGATGTTGGAAATTGTCGTGATGCAGCTGCCCTGTGGCTGAATTTGACCTCTCACTTGTGGCTGTCCATTCTCCCTTGCTTCCCAACATTCGCTTCTGCGCCCGCAAAATTAGGTATAATTGATAGGGATGAACATCATGACTAGAGCACGTAAGTATCTGAAAGATACCATGCGCTGGACAATTCGTCAATCCAATGATTCTATTGAAGGGTGAAGTCTAATAGCCTCCTTGATTATGAGACAAATGGACTTCCACCTCTCGTATGAATCTTTTATGACACTGGACAACAAGCGAAGAATAGCCAAAGGTGGATAATCCAAAGTAAACTAGCAAAGTCAATCTTCCCCGACACCCCAGAATGCAGGACACGAGAATAAGCTCTGCCCTTGCCAGCTTGGCATACACTAGCGTTCACTTGAATATCGTGGCAAATCAACAAAATTTCCATAGCACACTATTCATTTATCCCAGATACGAATGGCTGAGTTTTAATAAACACTAAGATGGACACAGACTTTGTTCGTGGTGCTCTTGTCGCCTCGACGCATAGATCTGGCAGTCACCTCCAGCGTACCTTCCCCTCTCATACAACAACACGTTCATTCCGGACCAAGAATTCCCTCCCACATAAGTCAAAATAAGCATTTCTTGCTTCACTCCATTCTCAAGCCAAGCCATCATTCATTTTCCACTTCATCTTTAAAAAGTTCACTTTGATAATCGAGTGCTAATATTGGTCATAGTGTATTGCTTACCTAGTGGCGCGGGTCCGATGGACTCTGCGAAGGCGACTCATGACACTCGTAAGTCAAAATCTCTTCTTCCTCCTGTTCTTCGAATTCCGTGAATGATGGCTTGGTTTGAGATCGTCTTTCTGTGCTGCTGAAAGCAACCTTGATGGTAGTTGCACCCCCTCTTTTTTGGTCCCCTCACATTCGAGTGCACTCAAGCAAGCTCCTCCCAAAATGAGCATGACGCGCAAGTGTATGATGAAGTTTCAAATCAGAAGAGGAAAGCGTTACAATATAGTGTCCAGAACCATTCAGCATTCAGAAAATGGAGTTTCACCCTGCTTTCACTGTCTTCTCGCCTCACAACGCGTGTTACCCGCTACGCATGTTCACGATAAGTTACGTTTTGTTTCTTGTATCAAGAAACATATATCACCGAGCTATCGAGGCAGTTCTGCGTGGAACAGTGCTCCAGCAAACGCGCAGGGATACTTCACTGGTCGCATTTACAAGCCTTGAGCATCCATCTCTGCAGTTCTGATCGAAGGGTTCTGAGAACGTCCTGGCGGCAGTGTGAATGGAAGATGCTGGCTCTGACGACCAATTAGGTTAAGATCGAGTAGGTGAAGAAAGCTCTCAGAGATGCCGAAAAGAAAATTGTCTGCTTGGATGAGTGCTCGAGGAGATGAGGCGCGGACAACGCGTTCGCGAAATTCAGCGGAAAGAAATGAGTGCAGCTGAAAAAAAAAAAAGTAGAAAAAGATGAGGCCAAACTTTAGCGGAATTATCAAGCCAAGTCATCACTCAATGTTGGTAGGGAACGCAGGATAGAGGAGATTTGTACTTACAATACACATCGTGCATTTCTGCCCGCCACCAAGGTCAAGCATCAAGTATCCAGTCGTCACGATCTGGAAAAACCGAATCTACAAAATTTCAGTAACTGAATAACATAATTCAGTATCGGAGCTTCACGCTTCCAATATACTGTGATGCGTTAGCATTGGACGTTAGAATGAATGAAAGAAAGAAAGTAAGTGAGTGATGGCTTGGCTTGGCTTGGCTTGGCTTGTGTGATGTGAAAATCCTTATTAGAGTTCATACCGGATGTGGTGGAGAGGTGGTTTGTGATTGGGTGGGCAGATGCAGGGGAGAGATGCGTCGTGAGGTGATGTGAGGTGAGTATAACACCGTATTGTGACTGCTGAGTGAAGTTTTATGCCATTTTGTAGTCAATATTTGTTATCTTTTGGAATTTCCAGATAGGGTCCTCCGCGCCGTCCTCATTTTGAAGAATTATTGCTTCGGCGTGTTCCACAGCGAACGTGTGTTGACAGGGGCTTGGAGCATACCCAGGTACGGCTCGTCTGTAACAGCTCGAGTAGCCGCGATGTTACCTCATAGTGCAATGAAAGTAAGGTTCACCCCTGTAAACTCCTCTTGGAAGCATGTAAACAATGAATGAAGAGTTGCTTCGATATGATCCGCCTTGCTTAAACATTCACCTTCACTACATATGGCATGATTCATCTAAATGCCTCATTAGAACTTACCTTCATGACTATCTTATGACCCAAAATAAGCATTTATCCCCTCACAAAAGTCTTAGGCCAAGCCACTCACTTAATAGCCACTTCTTTCATTTCATCACTAACATATGCCGTTTCAATGGTTAACCTCGCCAACGCTTTACAGAAGAGCAGTTGAACTGCACCAACCAATATCCAACTCAGAGAGCTGCATATTGAATAGATAGAATACCCATGATTAATCGACCATAATTGGAAGCTGACACTCATCTCGGAGAGTTGCGTGTTAGATAGATAGAGAGTGCCCACGGGTTCATTGACTAGTGGAAGCCAACACTTTCCTCGGAGAGTTGAATGTTGGGGGATAATGTCGACGTCCCTGCGTCGTTGTACGCTGCCCTTCGTGGCTGTTGCCCCTTATGGGTATGCGTTGTAAGTACCAAATCCTCTCCCTTGTGATGTGATGAATAAGTGTGGCAATTTTGTGAGCTGACTTGGCTTGAGAAAGATACTTGACATTTAGACATTGAACATCAATGTCTCGATCTTTGAGAACTCTCGAAGAAATTCTTTTTTACTCCCTCTTACCTCCGTTTTCACAGCATGTGCTAACCTCTCACTCTAAAATACCTGTGCTTCTCACCTTCATCTCTCTAGCGACGCATCTCCAACTCGCTTTCAAATCTTGCCCGCTAGCATTTTTTCGTACCTATCCAGTTAGAGCCTAGCTCCACCCACTACCTACATAGATTCTAATAAGCATTTCCTTTCCAACCAATCTCTCAGCCATGCCATTCATTTACTAACCACTTCAATTTCATTTCTAATACCAAAAAATTCACAAGTTCGCTAACGAATCACGGTATGACAGCGCTGGCGCCCGGCGCTAGTCATAAACACTACCTGCGAGTGAAGCACTTGCGGGTAGTGCCAGTGCCCCGCTCGGAGATGGGCATTGGTGTCTGCAAAGACCCCCACGCACTTGTCAGATCCTATGGTCTGAAAAGACACAGGTACTGCAAGTGACGCCAACACTCTGCTCGGAGAGTACGAGTGTTGGGACGAACGAACACGAAACGAGCCTCACGAGGCATTGTCTGAGCACATATTGTAAGTACCAAATTCCCTTCTGTGATTATGAAATGTGTAAGTGAATGAGCTGGCTTAGCTTGAGAGATATTGTACATGTGAGTTTGAAACACCGGACCTTCGGGTTCAAGTTCAAAATGCTCAAAGATTTTTTTTGCACTATGTGGAGTCAAGCTATGCTTTGCTACGCTCATCATCTATCTCAAATCTCATACACATGTCAACTCTTATTTTCACACAACGAGGAGCAACCAGCTAAGTTACAAATCAACGCATTTCCCCGACCTTGATGCCAAGGCATTCCAAAAACCTCGCCTTCGTTTTATTATCTTCAGTTGTCTCAAAACCCGATCTGACAGACATCTCAAAACAATCTTAACGTCTGGATCCACAGACTTGCGTTCGGACTTTTTGTTTCTGGAACTTCGACGTCAATCGAGCTGTATATATGTATCACATTGGCGATTCACTCTACAAATTGCTCATGCTAATCTCTGGTGAATGGGTTCAAGTCTAGCCATACATACCACTTCCCATTCATAATAGTGAATGACCCTGCTACATTCTCCACAACCTCAACCCTCTTCAAACACAAAGCAAAAAGTGAATCGCACTCCTCCAGCTCACATCATGCCAATGACTCAACCCTCGACACTCAACCCTCACGTCCTTCGCCTGCTGGTCTAAAAACCCAGTCCCAACCACGAGAAAAAACACAATTTGAATGAAGAAAAGCCTTCTGGGATATTACACTGGACGGTTCAGAGGTGACCTTCAACCCGGTGTTATCAAAGGTCCTTTTGGTTCTTGATGATTTTCTAGCCTGGCATGTGATCCCTTTTTTTAAAAAAAAATAAGCAGAAGAAAGTAGAAGTTATGACAATAATCATAAGGTTGACAGCAATTGCACATAACTAGAACACTTCCATCTCAACAAAAAAGTGAATCCACAGCCTCACGAGCAGGTTGTAACTCAGCCCTCAAATCTTAAACCTCCTCTAATCCTCCCAACAGTAAATATAAACCAGCTCCAATCCCCAGGAAACCATAATTTCATGAAAGATCGCTTCACGAACCCCGTAAATCCCGTGTGTAACCGTTCCAGAGAGACGCCGTGATCCCAGATATAACTCCCTTTGATCATTGCTGATATTCTGGTCCGGCAGACTATCCTCCACACCAGGCTCAAGGTTAGAAGGGAAGAGTAGGAATTATGACACCAAGCGTAATGCTGACAGAAATTGCACATGACTAGAACCCTTCGTTCTCAAAAGTATGCGAAAAAGTGAATCCACAGCCTCACCAGCACACCCCTGACTCAGCCCTCGAATCCAAACCCTCCCGCCCTCAACCTAGCAGTATATAAACACATACCAAACTACAAAACAAATCATACTTTACTGAACAAGAAGTTTCGGGGGTACCAAGCCGGGCAGAGCAAAAGTGCTCTTAAGATTCCGTTGTCATGCCAGGAAAGGCTTTGTTTGATTTTTGAAGATGTTCTAATCTAGCAGGCTAGCCTTCCCGGCTCCAAAGGCATAAAGAAAAGGAAAGAAGAACGATAATGATTATTATGATAACAACGATAGCCGTGACTTCAATCCTTCCCCATTGACCATTCAAAAGGGAAAGCAAAGAGTGAATCGCACCCCGTCCGTGCCATCAACACACCCCTGACCCATTTCTTGTTCCTCAAGCCCTCACCGACAGTATATAAACCCGTCCCCAACCCCAGAAAAAACATAACTGTACTGAAGGACACGCTGTCGAGCAACCTAATTTGATATGTGTGTGACTTCTCCAAAATACGCCGTTATCCCGGGCAAAATCCGCTTGATTTTTGAAGGTTCTCGTCAAGTATAAAATCTTCCTCTATTCCAAGGTTAAAGAAAATTGGATAGAAAAATGATAGTAGTTATAAAGTTGGCAGCAATAAACTATGGTTACTCCTAAAACCCTTTCCAGAGGCATATCAGTTGCAAAGAGTGCAAAGAGTGAACATGAAACGCAAGCCTCCACAGCCCTCCCAGCGCATCCTTGACTCAACTCTCAATCCTCGTTCCCTCAACCCAAAATTATATAAACCCCGACTCCACACCAAAGTACATAGAAAACAAAGGAAAACAACTTTGCTTAACCTATGATGGTGGACCGAGTGTGTTAGTTGCCTAAATCCAAAGCATACCACGACTTATCTAATTATTAGCGGTAGATTTTTCTTTTGATCAAGAAAATATCGAAAGCCGTACACAAAAAGAAGAAGATGAGCAACTTGATAGCAATTGTAAAATTGGCAGCAGGTAGATATGACTACCGCCTTTCTCAAAGGCATACCAATTGGCAATTGCAAAACGTGAATCCACAGACCTAATCCACCACTCGACTCTTGACTCAATTCCCAATCCTCACGCCTTCAACCCAAAAGTATATAAATCTCCACCCTCCTCCCAATTTCCAAAGCAAATAAAGAAGACCAAGACAAGGTCAAGATGAGGGTTCGATGTCTTTTGGTTCCCCGCGACGAAAGTATACCGGTACCAGTGATCTTCTATCTTTTCAAGGCAAAACTTTTTTTTCGATCAAAGAGAGGACTTGGGCACCTTGGGGGAGAAGAAAATGAAAAATAATAACAGTAACTATAACATTGACAACAATTAGATGCGACTGCCGCCTTTCTCAAACGTATATGAAAAGGTGAATCCACAGCCCCAGCCCTTCTCAATCATAGATCAAAAGGTGAATCAACAGCCATTACTCACCAGCACACTCTTGACTCATCCCTCAACCCTCGACCCTCAAGCTCTCAAAACAACAGTATATAAACCCCCACCCTCATACTAATTTCCAACACAAACACAATGATGCACTCCTGGAAAAGTACTGCGGAACAACGACGTGCGTACCCCGGCCCAAAAATATCTCCCGCCTCAGACAAATCCTTCCTTGATCGAATTGAGCAACGAGAGGCAAAATAACACTAGAATAAGGTAATTATCTTGGCAATGATTAGAGAGTTGATAATAAACGAATGGAGCGAGAGAAAGGAGGGTTGAAAATGCGATGAATTCTCACTAGAGCTGAGAAGTGGACGTTATCGGGATCTTCGATGGGCGTCTTGGCGTCAGTAAAATCCTCGAGGAGGAGATTGAGAGTTGAGAAATGGAAAGAGGTCTCAACAGCCGCGAATATTGAGAATGGCAATAGAAAATCTCGCTTAACTGAGAGCCAGGCAAGTACGGTCACCCAGGAAGCAGAATCATTCACTGAAACATCCATTTTTATATCTCAGAGAGATCAAGAAAGAAAGCCATGCTATAAAGCGGCGCAAATAAAACCATGCTCCATAATACCTTCCATGTGGTGCATCATCCGATGCATAGCCGATCTCGTCGGATGCGGGACGTGTTATGCCAAGCAAATTGCTAAAACGCGAAGTCACGTTCTTTCTCTCCACCCTCGAAATATCCTTGACACTCCAAAAGTATTGCATCGATATCCGGTTTCTCTCGCTAATCCACTCGTCTACTCACGCTTGTGGGATTCTCCTTGAGGAGCGATGAAGAAGTCGTACTCGAGCTCTAATACAGCCTTGGGATTACCAGAGAGAGGCTTGAAATCAACAATGAGAGAGTCCTTGACGGCGAAGACGGAATCGTCAACGAGGTAGCGATCCTTGCGATCGAATATTTGAGTGGTAACAGGTTTGAAACCATCCTTTTGGACCTGCAGACACTGTTAGATATGTGAAGGAGTTCGAACTTTGGTACTTACGATGACATGAATGTGAGCTGGGCGGTGAGGGTGTCTGTCAAGAAGGTCAAGAAGCTTTCCAGCAGGACCTATACCCCTATTAGCTGCATACCAGACACAAATTATATATATCCTTACCATCGTACGGAACAGGATAGGTAGTTGGTCTCAAACAATAAAGTCCATAGTATCCGTTCTCATCGGTCTTGAACTTTCCACGAAGGTTGAACTCCACCTGGTTCGGATCTTGTTGCTCATACATTCCATTGGTCGAAGCTTGCCAGATGTCTACCCAAGCACCAGCGACAGGCTTCTTTGTAACCGAGTCCAAGATCTTGCCATGCATATATGTACTCTCACCATCATCAACACCATGTACGATGCAGGAATCGTTCTTGAGGATCGGGGCATCGTGTCGGAAGAAGGGGCCCAAGATGGCACTGGCAGTAGCTGCATCGTCGGTCTCAGCAGCAAGCTTGAATGTGATTTCATCGACGAGGCTACGGAATGATCTGGTCAGCATTTACTGTGCCTTGTTGGTGTGCCTTTTGGAGTGTAATGTTGGTTTAGAGATAATACTTACGATTCAAGACCAATGATGTCGCAGAGTAATTGAGTTTCGTTCCTCTTGTCATCGCTCATCTTGCCAGCCCAATTGAGCATGTCCACAGCTTGCATCCACTCCTCAACGGTGAGCTCATTCTCACGGGCGAAGTCGTGAACATGGCGAATAAGACTGCCCATCAACTTGCGAAGACGTGGGGTGCACTTGGGGCCCGTTGCGTCGATGACTTTCTGGGTGAAGGTGGGATCAAATCTCGACTCTGCTGCGACCCCGCCATTGGTGTGACCATTGGTTTGACCGTTAGTGGCCATGGTTACGTGAGGTATGAGAATGTTTTCTGGTAGAAGTGAGATAGATGGAGGTTGAAGAAGCTTGATCAAGCTCTATGGAGGTCAGAGGAGGGGTAGTTGGAGGTTGCAAGAAAAGGAACGAGGGGAGATGGGAGAAGGGTTGAGTCAGGCCGGAAATCGGACTTGAGTGAAGGTTATAAACAGTTGAGAAGTGTATTAATTTATGGAAAGAAGAAGGAGCTCCCTCGAAATTATGAATAGTGTCTCCTGGTGGAAGCAACGACTAGCTGTTTGGTCCCTTACCCGACAGAGTTTCCAAGCTGACCACCACGCCCAAGTAGCACAACCAGTCGACGCGCCTTGGAGAATTATGCAGTGCTCCGCAAGGTTATCCCCGAGCGGCATTCGGCATCTGGCACTGAAACTGTGGCAATCGGGCGGGTACTTGATTTGACGCCGCTTTTCCGGAGGAAGAGAGAGATGTTGTCTTGGAGGGAAAGAAAGTGAGGAACGGATGAGAAAGCGGGGTGAGTGGATTGGCGGAAGCTAGAGGCGCCAAGGAACAGGGATAGAGCTGGAATTCTGGGGCTCATGGGGATTAGGTAAGCCGGGGTACTTACACCTCGTTCCAAGTTTCTTCCTCCTTCTCCATCTTTGAGATAATCATAACATCATCAATGCTTGTCTTCGTTCCAATGCATTCTGTCACCAAGCTATGAGTGAGCGAATATGCCAATATCGAGTCCTCAACAGGGCTCACTCTTTGAGCCAAACACGCCTCAAGCGTCTCCTCCACCAGTCGCGTGTCTGGTCAATGTGAATACTTCGCATAGTGTTACGATGATGACGATGAACATGACCTCGAGGCTCCCGATCCCTCGCCCCGTCCCGCGTGGAACCCATTCTTCCGATCCGAGTCCCCAGTTTTATATTCAAGATTGGATGGCCAGGATCTTCAGCAGTATTCTGGTGGTGGCACAAGGAGACTGCTGTGCGACTCCATATTGCTATCATTATCTATCAAAATAAGCAATTATGGCCACTCCTCGGAGCCTTCTTCGAGTTTTTAGGTTCTCAATTCTTTTCCTTGCATAGCGTTGGACTGCAAGTTCGCAGTGCGCGTCCAAAACTTTTCAGCTCAGGCTTATACATCTGCATTTCGAAATGTGTCACTTGCATGAGTAACGCAAGAACACCTTTCCCCCTCTTTCAATAACATTGGAACACCACACTTTGGTCTGCACCTGAGCTCAGTCCTCATTCAGTAAAGGTAAGCAAGGGCAAAGCCTACCTAACCTATTAGTGTGGGGCACAGCCCTGCGTTAATATCTTGTCAGACCCGGTGTTCGTATATTTTACCAAATCAATCTTGCAGATCCTTCTCGTACAACTCGTCAATGAAACCGCCAACCAAATAGTAGGGACGGCAAAGCTCATTCAAGACAAAAGTAAGCAATGGTCTTAGCTTATTTCCGTCCGATGTCAGCTCTGTGATCGAGCTAGCGCAGTAGGTCGAATACCTGCATGTCGATACCTTATTCAGATCGTGGTTGCTTAAGGGTTATATTCAGCGCTATTGAATTGACAAATTGTTGCTCTTAATTCCAGGTAGTGTGGTCGAAGAGCCGCCTTCGATGTTGCGATGAGTAGATCTCCAACGAAAGACCTGCCTACCAGGCAAGGAATAACCCGATATGTCAGTAAAGATATTAGCTGATATAGTCTTGGTATCACCAGGGATTCGTACGAAGTAAACAAGTGCCAATCAAGACAGTGAACAAAGACTTCTCTTAATTGGTTGGATTCATGATGGATAATCTAGAAGAGGATTCGAAGGCTCAAAGTCTTATGGACTCCAAGCCAGCGCACGATCCCATTGATTGGGAAATCGATCGTCTCCAAAAACAGTATGGAGCAGTTTTCTCCTCTTTGCCCCACATTAGCCTGATACCCGAGAGCAAAATAATTGATCGGTGCCTCCTCGGAAGTATGAGTAGTTTTGAACCTCACCATATCCAGGAACATCGGGGTCTGGCGTCCCCAAAGGTTCAACTGTGACGAGACCTTTTCTTGCCCTCTTGCTTAGGAGATCTCGTTTCTAACCGAAACTGGGTTCGTTTGTGCTCCTAGACATGCTCCACAGACTCTATTTATGGCAAGCTGCCTTCACAAAGCCTAGGACCCGGTGGTGGTAAAGGTTGTGTTGGTTCGCAAAGTGCTGCGAGAAGGGATCGTTTTCTCAGCAGCGAGTGTGCTTCAATAATTTTTGTTCTTCTTGCTGCTACTTCCTTCAGATTATTCCTCGTTGGCGAAGGTTCTGTGTGCTTGTGGGAGTGCAATACTGGGATCTTTGCGGGCATTCTGGGCCTACTGTATCGTTCAAAGCCTTCGGTGCCATCTGAAAGATCGTCATAGGTTTTGAGTACTCTAGAAGCAGACGTTTCACTAGATCTTGTAGGTAGACCTTAATAAGTGTCAATCCAGCATTGCTAGCGGCCTTCCTCTTAGCGAACTGCTCGAACCGCTCTTTCTTATCGTCGAGAGCCTGTAGAGTCACTTTGATGTCTAGAGACTCCATGAGCTTTTCAAATTTGCTGTGTATTGCCGTAGGTGGGTCATGTTTGTAATTGGTACCCGGATTGCGGATAAGAACTGATTTGGCCAGCGTCTAAAGTCTCTGAGGATGACGAAAAACAGATTCGGAAGGAGAATTTTTCGTTGAAGTGGTCTGAGGTGCGTAAACTGGCAAGTGATGGCTCGCAGATCTCGGCTATTAATCACTCTGGGGGAAGAGTCGTTCACATCAAAGGCGTGAAGAACGTAGTAGGCTGCAAGCATTTTTCAAAACGCTTGATAGGGGTATTCTATGTATTAGTGTATTAGTGAGTGTCTTAAGGCTAGTAAAGAAGGAGAGACAGTTGATTGACGTGAAGTCTAAAGGGTCTGTTAGGTGAAGTATCCCCAACCCAGGCTTAGGTCTGTTGCTGTATCGAAAGCATTCAACACGGTGGTCGGGATTTGAGTATCGCAAGGTGGATCTTTCGAATTACGATCCCATGATGAGATGGTTGAAGTTGTACATACACACAGGAGTGAAAGCTGATTTTAGTTGAGAGTTGTGTAAAAAGCCAGAATCTCGCTAAATCTCGCCTAAGCCCCTGAGCTCCAAACGAAGCGGTTTATGGACCGCAGTGAGAATGTTGCTTTCGCAATTTCACAGGAGTACATCTGACAAATTCACAGACGTTCAAATGTATTCTGCGATAAGGGATAGAGGATCCTATATTAGGCGGATACCTTGTTGCGGATTTTCTTAGCTTCGTCACATTAGAAGAGCACTCATCACTGGCTATACACTAGTGAGGTATGAATTCAAGACGGAAAGCATTGCGGCATAAGGCTGGACTTGCAATCTACCAACTTAGGCTTGGCAACGACACATGCTTCTAATCTTACAAGCAGTCTTATTCTTGTACAAATCATCTAACCAAGACCCCTCCTGTGAGTCAGTCCAGGTCTGTTAGGTCAGCCTTCTCAAGTGGTCAGAACACTCTCAGAAGAACAGGTTTGTAGGCAAGATGTGTATTGTGCAGAGGTTATGAGTCCGGGACGAATCTTTGAGACATTCAACTCAACCTATTCTACTTTTCACTAACTATCGAAAAAGCAGTTCCGAATCTCTTCCACGGCTAACATCAACGTACTGCTCCTCAAGACGTTTTCTGGCGTTTCCTGGATCCACTCTGGGTGGCTCGCCTCGCTTTCCTACTAGGTGCCCGATATGCTTGGCCTTGGATCTCTTTCTTTGCCGCTTCTGACAAGAATGGATTTGCAGTCGGATCCCGTCTGAGTCGAATGAGCTCTTCCTTGCCATACTCGTACGACAATAGGGCAGCGGCGCTCTCAGCTGCAGGTAGACCGCCAGGATGAGCACCCGTTTTCTTCAAAGCTTTGATATCAGCCTTCTTTTTTCTGACAGCCTTCTCCAATTTCCACGGATTGACGGGCACATGCAGTAGCCTGAACCCTTCCTGGCTGACGGCAAGAACTGGATCGTTGATGATCGGCACGCCATCTATGACCGAAACTCCGTTTCCATAACGTGGTCCTATAAAGCCGTACTCAACATCTTGCATTGAAGAGGCTTGGGCAATAGCAGCTACAACTTTCCAGCTACGATTACAGCATTGGCGTGCTCCACCAAGCTAGCGCGAAGTATCATAACATCTCCAGGATCAAGATGAAGGCGCTCGTCAAGAGTTGAGAAGCATAAGTCTGCTCCGGCTTATTCTCCGAGGGGCGTCCAGTAAGTATATGTATCATGTGCCTCCCCAGGATCTTTATGGGCGCTGCAAGCCAATTTGACGACACGGGCCATCCCGAGATGTGCTTGATGGCGACTTGTTGTCGGCACGCCGTGAGACTCAGCCATAAAAGCATGATGTTTGCGCGCCTTCTCAGGGCCGTGAGGATCAAGAGCCTTATACCAATCATCACGAGCAACTTCTGGTCGGACCATTTTGTGTAGAAATTTCTCCACCGCTTCTGCTCTCTCGGCTTGTTTGCTCCGGCCCGGCCCCCTTTGCGGTCAGCGCTCACAACATGATTATAAAGTCCGTTTGCATGCCACTTCGGGTTCTTATCTTGTCCTTTGATACACCAAATACAAAAGTGTTGCCGACCATAAGGAGAGTTTATGCTTTCGCGATAATCTTGCTCTCCCTGATGGAACTCGTCCCCCATCGGATGTCGAGACTTTTGATTTGGCTTCGCCGGATGAACTGCTTCGAGCTCGTTGTCCCAATCCATGATTTGATCTGCTAGGGGCCTGTAGTTGGGAACGCTTCGAAAGACCTCGTCAACACCGCCAATGATCTTCGCTCCGATGATCTCATTGTTCACGTCAACAAAGGTGGCGCTAACCGTGATTGTTGCCATGGACCGTGGAAGGTTCCCTAGTATTCTTCCCCGCATCTCTGCCATCGAGGAATCTTTGATTTTGACCCAAGGCAGGCGGGCAAACACGAAGTTTGACCACATCATACCAATATCAATTTGCTCATCGAGATCTTCAGGACAGTCTCGTCGTAGTCGAGCAAAGTCAATTCCTGTTCTATGATGAGCTGGCTACTTTTATCATCAATTGGGGAAATACCTCTAGCTGTTATCTCCTGTGAGAAAGCTTCATAGTAGAAATCAAAGCGGATGTTTTCAGCAGCTCGGTGCTCGGCTGCTCTCTTCAGATTATTCTCAATAGCTTTCTCTGCTTCTTCCTTCGTTGGAGCGTGAAATACCTAAGGCAAAGCATCCTTGTGGTTGTCATCGAGGGGTTCTACGAGGCTACTATGTTCGGCATAAGGCACCTCTTTGTCCTCAGCTTGAACGGTAGGAATAGCATATGGCGAAGGTACTTGCGCAACTTGTTCGATAGGCGAAAGAGATCCCCTGTTGGAAGTAGCTTGCTCGTGTATAACACGACGACGTTTAGCAGGACGCTCTTGTGGCAACGATTGACTCGGAGAAGACATATTGCGTGAATCCTCATCCGGACTAGCGCAGAGTTAGTGACAGAACGGAAATGTTTGCATCCATGTATGATCGGAGCTAGGATAGTCGATATGTTGTATCTTAGTTGTCCAATCACTCTTAGAGGTGAGCACAAGAGACACTCTATTCCCGAAGCAAATGCGGTTCGTGGAGATACTCTCATCGGCTTTGAGATATTGTTTTGGTGCAGTCTTGCTAGATTGAGTCACTAAGAAGAGAAGGCATATTGATATATATAATTGGCGTCTAGGTTGCTACAGTGCGCAAGGGTGGGATGTGAGTTCAGGACGTATGGATTACATATGGTCATGAGAAGTCTGGTCTAAAAGAAACCCACCCTAAAGACACACAAAAATGAGACTCCCAGAATCAATGTGCCAAAACATCATCCAGGAGAACGATATCATCTACTCATCGCCGTACTCCTCATCAATCTCGTTATTATCTTCCTCTCGCTCATGTCCGTGCTTCTCGACGCCTTCTCTTTGCTTTCTCTTCGAACCAGCTGCGATCATTGTCTTCTTCTGCCCAGCTGTCGTGAACGGATCTGAGTTGGGATCCTTCTGCCAACGCGCAGCCTCGTAATGGTCCAGCTCGAACCACAAGGTCGCAGATAACAGGCTATCGGCAGCAGCCTTTGCGAAATCCTTCTCCTTTTCAAGTTTCTTGATAGCATCTTTCTTTGCTTTCTCTGCTTTCTTAAGCTTCGAGTGCGTCAAGTAGACATGCAGTAGTCTATAGCCATGGACAGAATCTGCGGCAGGGTTCATCATTGAAGACAACTCTTCCACCGTTCACCGAGCGTCTGCTGCCTAAATAAGTCGTGATTAGGTCCAGCTCTCTCTGCTCAGCCGTGCGTCTCTCGTCGTCGTTCTTTTCATTATATGCAAGGAGTTCTGCCTCAACCTATCACGCTCTTCACCTGGCTCCATCCAGAGCAAGTGCTGCTTGATGGTATCTTTCGAGCTTTTAGAGAGGAAGACCAACGCAACCCTTTCGTCGCAGAGATGTGTAGTGCGGTGATTGAAGTTGGATGCATCCATCATCAGAAGGGCTCCTCTTCCAAGCTGAGCATTGTCAAGTCTGTTTGCATAACCCTAGTTCTCGCCGTATCCATGTAGATTTTCGTGGTACCTGCTACGGTCTATCCAAGAGCACATGAACAGAATGAGGCCAGCAATTCTCGTCGGGACATTGTGCCTCGATTTTTGAAGTTCTTAGTCGAGCGAACAGGCAACTAATATAGCTGAGATACGAGCTTACTCACCCTCCGACTCAGACGAGCCGCTCTCTGAGCCATGTGATGAGTCGGAGTCTGCATCGTCACCATGCACCGTGCTATCCATTCCACGTTGCTCCGCAGTTTCAGCGGTCTTGGTTCCCTCTTCTTGGTCGTCAACCTTGGCTTTCTTCTTGAACTGTGCCTCAAATGGTATCAAGCCCCTCAAGAACCGAGTCTCCTCTCGTTCAGTGAAAGGGCGATACAGAGAAGCCGGGGCAAACTCTTGTTGCCAGTCCAGTTCGTCCTGCTCTACTAGACCAGCCGCTACATCAGCTTTCATCTGACGGAGAGCTCGAAACTTGGCCTTGTTTGCATCGTCAAGCCTTCGCCAATAAACGGCGGTGTGCAAGAGCTTCATGTCATCTCTGGAGTTGGCCATCTCGGTTTGGAACCCATACTCCAGTATGTACGCTAAAACTAGTCTCCATTCCTTGTCGCGTGCTTTCTTCTGGCTGTCAGCAACCTTGGTCTTGCGCTTGTCTCGCTTATCTCGATAGGCCTTCTGCTCCGTAAGACTCATGTCGTTAAAGCACTTGACGTTTTCGGCGGTGGACTTCGCGGTGTAGATATGTCCACCCCTTGTCCCAATATAGTGAGTGACTCCGTGAATGACGATGGTATAGTAATTCGAAATGACATCTCCAGGTAATTGCTGAAATCGGAGATTTAATTCTGGCACTACACAATGGGAGCCCTTGTAAATTCCGAAGCAAGTGCCGCAGCCGGGTTGTGAACGAACATCGCGATCCTTGTGCGCGCTGACCTCGCTGTTGCTGATACTAGGTACCAAGGTGGAGAATTGAAAGGGGCTAATTTTTGGCAAAGCCCTTTTTGTACAGCTTCATCCCTATGCTCCTTGGCTTTGGAAAACTTAACCGCGTCAATAAGGCTGTACAAAATGCCGATGACTACCTCTGGTCTTCCAGCATCCTTGAGAAAATGGTGGCTGGCTGCTGCTTTCAAATTGTAGAGTGCTACTGTATCAGGGCTGCTGGCAAATAAAATGTGGTTCGTAAAGATCTCGTCATTTGTTGTGAGATTTTTGTTTTGATGTAGTGAGTAGAAGCAAGAACAATATCTATATATAGAATCGGCACAGCGAAACACAGGTGAGATAAGAGCTCATGACTGACAGGATGCACATGCTGATCTCTGCTCAAGATGTGTGGCGACACTGATTTACTCGTACAAATAGCTGCCTTGTATTTCATACATCTAATCAAATTCTCTAGTCTTGTTCTCGAAATGTAATTCTGTACTACTCAAACCAAAGGGAAATCTCTCAAGACAGCGCTAGTACGCAATATTCGTAGCGTTAGCTTTGCACTGTACCATCCATTGCATCCAAGTTAATAGAGACACGATCTATCCAAGACCACCGGTTTTGAATCATTCTGATTCATCTTCATCGTCCACGCCGTTGTTGTACTGTCCCCTGTGTCCACGAAACTGTCTTGCAATTCGTATTTGTTCCTCTTGCCTTTGTGCTAGGTCGGCTCGTCTAGCTTCGGCTTCGGGAACCAAGGTTGCGTGGGAGACTTCGGCGGCTTCGGCTGTTCTTTCTTGAGCCTGCCGGCGCTGACGCTGTTGTCCAGATCTGGAGGTCATTCGAATATTCTCAGGCTGAGGAAGTTCTTCTGAGTACGTGCCAGGACTTCCTTGACTTAGCTGGGATTGTAGACTCCTTGAAGATGTTCTACGGTCAGAGGTTTCTTGCTTGAGCAAATTATCACCCTCGCTTGTCTGCCTCTCGGGGAAGTAGCCCGTCTTGCCCCTCGATCGCTTATAAGATGCGTCCAAAGCACTGCTCGAGACTATTTGCCCCAATTTTCGTTTCCGAGACTTCCTCTCTTTCTTGGAAACCCACGGATCTTGGGTTTCATCTTCATTCCAAAGCTTTTGGGTAGTATCCAGCAAGATCTGAATCGCTGATGACAACTTCGTCGCCTACAACTCTCAGTTTACCATACTTAGTGAATTGACGGATCGATTCAAGTTCTTCGCTTTGCAACTCCTGGTTATTCGAAAGCTTTTGTGCGTCCTTTTGATCTCGAACAGCCTGCAACCTGTCGAGCTCCTCTCCTGGAGGTAGTTGGCTCATATGACGCGTAAGGCCGTCCTTGGTACTTTGAGAAATAATCACCACAGCAACCCGCTCTCCGAAGAAATGTCTTAGACAATGGGCTAGAGCACTAGAATCCATTTGCAAGATGTCTCCAGCTCGAAGTCGTAACCGTTGACCGATACTGGGCACGCAAATGTCTCCTTCAACAAAATGACCACACACAGCCTCGATAGTCATACCCTTGTCTTTTGGATCGCGGTGAAGAACGACTGAATGATTTTGTACAAAGGCCGTGAGCAGATGATACAAAGTCTTCTCCCCATTGTCCTCTATCCAATGTTTCACGTTTTGCCCTGCTTTGGCCATGACCTCCCTGTGATCAACTGCTTCTCGGTATAGCTCTGGCGAGCCTGCGTCGAAAGAGGCAGCCAATACGTTGAAAAGTGGGATCATTTGACGCATGATCTTCACTACAGCTGCAGCTTTCACGGGGCTATCCTTGTTTCTCCCTCCCTTGCTGTCCTCTGTGGGTATATGGCAAAATGGCCCGGAATTCCTTCGAGTCTCGCTCTTTTCTTGCCCTTGAATGCTCCATATCCCAGCATGAATAACACCCCATATCCTTTTTATCTCAGCAAAGTACTTCGCCATGCTTATGTTATATGGCACCTTAGCGTCTCGACTGTCCGGATTTCGAGACGCATGGCTGGGGAAAACGGCAAAGAAATCTGCTAGCCATTGAGTTACCTGAGGACCAAGAGGCGAATGGCCAGGGACGCCCCAGTATAACAAATCCCAAGAAGCTGGCATCCAGCAAAGGGCTTGTGTTCCGTCCGCCCAATTGATGATGCAGCCTTTGAGGATCGTCGGATATCGTGTTACAAGTGGTAGAAGATCCTTTTCACTCACAGGCCCACTACCAAACTTCGCCATATGCTCCGCTTTTGTTCGAGGCAACGTCATGGTAGGTAGGATAGCCTGACAGATCCTGAGAAATGTCCAGCCGTATCGGTATTGTCTCATAAAGTGCTCTCCAGGCTTTACGATATCGTTGATGTATCCTGCATGTTTAGTTACGAACATGGGGACAAAAGTCCGTGCGTTCAGGGCATCAGAATCATGAATTTTATTAATTAATTAGCTGTAGACCAGCCACATCGCTTAATTAAGTCGTGTACCCAGAAGTCCTGCTGCTCAATAAGCCCATTGATCCATTCCTGAGGAATTTTGTCCCATTCTTCTAATACTGCTACAACCATTTGAACCTCAGTTGTTGGCTGCCTTAGGCGCCTATGGAGAGCTTGTTTTATTCTCCTCCAGCACTTCTCAATAGGATTCATATCAGGGCTAACTGCAGGATGGGGGAATAGAGT